TTGGAGACCATGGAGTGGGAGGTAGTGTTAGCTTTGAAGACTCTGGTGGAGGTAGTCTTTTTTGTAGGTGGCTTGGTGCTTGCATTTTCTGGAGAAGACTCAGGGTGGCTCCTTTTCTGAGAGGGTTGGAATTGGAATTGGCTGAGTCCATCCTGTTCATCTGATATTTCAATATCTGCATCCTCTTCTTCCTCATTACCTGAATTGGCCAAGAATATCTCTTTCTGTATATCTCTTGCAAGAGGTGCATGTATATCTGAAGTCTTGACAGCACTTGGCTGAGCACTTGTCTTTTTATTTCCTGAAACAGCAGGTATTCTGTGTATTGCAGATATGTGGTAGTTAGATCTCTGGTATGGCTGGTGTAGCTGGTGTGGCTGATAGATACTGACTGATGTTTGGTGTTCTGGCCTGTGCTCTTTTCCAAGAAAAAAGCGAAAATTCTTTTGAGGAGTGAAAAGGGATAGCTACCCCCTTCAGGAGGCTATATCTCCTGCTGCAGGTGCTGCAGCACACTGCAGGTTGAGAAAAGAAGTCTCCTTGATAGATTGAACAAGTGGAACAAGTTTGGAGATGGAATTCCAAGCAGAAAATTTGTTGTGATATTGGTGTTTTTTTATTAGATAAAAGTATTATATAAGCAAATAAGCAAACTATATAGAAAAGAGTATTTGCTATAAGATAATAGAGTTAGTTAATAATTTATAAGGGCAAGTTTTTATAGATAGGTTCTAGAGAGCTAGTGCTTAATACGTTAGTATCTACATAGGTATGCTTTGCTAGCTTAGCACTTTTTAAGTTTTGCTAACATATTAGGCAGCGACTAAGGGCTGCACGTTAATATAGAGAATACTAGCTAGACTAGATAGACAGCTGGCATCCTTATATTTACGTAGGTCGACCGTCGTTCTAGGGTTACCATTCTTCCTCACCACCGCTGGTATTCCGAAGTCTCCCGCAATGGATGCGTTGCAGAACACGCGATGCGCTTCTAACGAACGCTACGTCAAAGCAGGATGCCCGCATCCTCGTCATCTCCATCGTGAGAGGCCTCGAGTGACATGCCTTCGTCATCCTCACCTTCGTCGCTGCCGATGTCGAATCGCATTATCTTCTCATTCTTCGCCTCAGCTGAAACGTAGTCAGTATGTTGTACTTGAGCGCGGACTACACGGGATGGGAGCAACATACTTCCCCATTCGACTACTTGGCCATCCTGGACTTCGCAGTCCTTCAGCACCGTCTTCTCTTCACCTTTAGCTGCACCGCCTTCTATTTTGCATCGACGGCCGAGAATGCAGTCTGTGAGTTGAGCATTTGGTCCAACCTCCACGCCATCCATCAACAAGCAACGCAGCAGGCGGGCGCCCTCACCCACCTTACAATTGGGGCCAATGACGGATTCTTTGATGTTGCATTTCTCCTCAACTATAACGTTCTCTGCGAGCAATGAGTTTTCGGCTTCGACGCGACACCGTTTTGGGATTGCATTTTTGTGAGCAATCTTCGCCTGATGCGCGAACGGCGATGCGTTGTCTTTGCCTACTTCTTCTATTGACGGGAGTCTTGCCAACCTCAAGGACACCTTCAGCAACAACTGGGAAGTGTCGACTCTCCGGATAAGCGGAACAGCGGGATCCGAAGGCTGTACGTAGGCCAGCATGGGGGGAATCGTCGGCGTCTTTTTGAGCGAGAGAGATTTGAGGCCCCTGGCAATCCCTGCGTTTTGGACACGTGAGGCTAGATCTGCTGAGGCAGTTTCGCTTTCTTCCGGTAACATTGCCCATGTGCTGCTGAGTTTTGAAACGTCAATCTCCTCATTGCTGAGCAACTGTGAAGCTTCTAAATCGCCGTCTGATTGACTTGGCGGCTCAAATATCTCGCGTAGACCGAGCTTCTCGCCCAGGCCATCCTGCCATCCTGCTTTTGCCCACCACCCCAAAACGTCCTCTGCGATACTTTCAAAGGCCTCATTCCGTTTTATCATTTCCATGACCCAATAAGGGAATAGGTAAACATGTGCGTCGCGGTAAGTGGTTAACATTCGGACACGGGGATGCCTGCGAACAAGCGAGTGGCGGACGGGGAAAGCCTTCTTCTCCTCAGTGATATCGTTCAGGGTGTCTGTAGGCGCTGTGTACACCAGATTGGACAGGTGACGGCGAAGGGAGTCGGACGGAGGTGGTACAACCGGGCTAGGGAGCGGCGCCGTGGCAATGAAGTCCGTCTCTTGGCCTCTGATACTGTCCTCGCCTTTAGTCTGATACCACACGCCTAGCCCCCCTCGCCTTCCGATCTTCTCTCCTCCGACGCCCATTGGCAGGGGCTCCCCATTCTTTCCGAGCCCGCTAGTAGCGGCACCCAAGCCGGCCTCTTCCACCATCCACGCGTCTAGTAGCGATGTACCGTCCAGTTCACAAACCAGGTCGCAAGGAAGAACAATGAAGTCGCCTTTCACAGCACACTGTACCTCGGGCAGCCGAAACAGATCGCCAGTGCCTGAAGCATGAGTAAGGCCTTCGGGTGCAAGGATAGCGGATCGTGGCGCGGGTAGTGATGTCAAATGTGGGTTTTGAGACATTGCAGCTTCGATGGCCTCGAGAGACTCCGGCGGAGTCACAATGGTGATGTCTGCTCAAGCGGACAAGACATCAGTCGTGGTTTCGCCAGCACATGCAGGGGGAACACTTGCCAGTAAGACCCATACGATAGCACCAATCGAGCGGATACCAGACCATTGGGCGGTTTGCAATAGGTAGCAGCGCCTTGGGAATATCTCGCGGATTTGAGGTAAATGTGGTGAAGGATGCGCCAGGCCCGCAGAGGATGAGGGCCTGGAAGCCGGGTTGGGGCAGCGTTGCGTGCGGCATTTGCACTGGAGAAGAGGAGCGTCCGGACGAGCCGGTAGAAGGTGTCTGTAACTGGTGTCCCGGTTGCTGTGTGTATACCGTGGTAAATCAGTTAGTTGTGTGTGAATGCTCAGTATATGTGACGTGCAGTTGCACCCCGCCAACAGTTTCCGCGCCGGGAGTCATTGAAGATCATTAAGCACGGACCTCGGCAGCCTCGGCAAGGGAACCATTGCCCAAAACAAACGCCCGGGGGTTCAAACAACATCTCATCCCGACTGTCCAGCTGAGGGACAGCTCCCCAGCCACACAGCAACCTCCCACCATCTCCTCCTCTCCGCGAATTCCAGGCGCATCCTCCTTCCCTCCCCAGATCACACCGAGCGGAACCGAATTACGGCCAGGACCCACCCGCAGAACATGAATTGAACGCCATGTCCTTTTCCTACGACCGCTACGACCGCTACAACCGCTACGATCGCCGCCAGGCCGCCCAGCGCCGCACCACCCTGGGCTACTGGGTGCCCCTCATCCTCACCGTCACTGTTGCAACCGCGGGGCTTGCCGCGTGGGTGTGGAGCGAGCGTCGCGACGATGAAGACGACTCGTCGGACGACGCAGACCTGAGCTATGGCGAGGAGCGCGACCCCAGGAATCCGGCCGCGTCGCAGGGCACCACGCGAGAGGACGACAGTCTTGTGTCGCGTGTGCAGGGCGTCATTCGGCGGACCCCCAGTCCCCAGCAGCTCTTTGACAGCGTGAGCAAGAAGACGGCTGCCGGTGTGGCCGCCGCGGGGGCTGCTGCGGGCGCAATGTTGGCCTCCATCCGAGAGGAGGACCGGGATGACTTTGGCGATCACAGTAGGTGGTCCGAGGAGGCTGCCCTGCGGCGTAATGTCCAAGCCCAGTCGTCTCAGAGCACCACTGCCGTTGAGACTCAGGCCAAGTCATTTGCTGCCTCCGTACGGGGCGGACCCCAGAGTGCTCAGAGGCGGAAGACGGTAGCTATCGTCGTGTCGGCCGAATCCCTGCTTGACAACCCACATAATGAAGGCTCCTATCGTTCTGAGAACGCGGTACTTATTACGGCCAATTGTTTGCGTGGACCCTGTCTGACCATCTCTAGACCATCCTTTCCCTACTCCCCGACACCGATTTCTCTCGGACCAAACTCTTCGTGCTCATTTACTCTCCTTCCCTGCGAGGACGGCCTGAATCGCAGGCCGGGCCGGCTTCTCTCGCGTCATCCTATTCAGCCATCTCCACTCCGGTTCACACGCCTGGAGACGAGCTCAAGTCGATTAACCCACACCCTGACGATGGCGCGTACACCCCTTCGCTGTCGGCACGCAGTTCAGACAACGTCTTGTGGAACACACTACATGCACAGGCTTTGCGCTTAGTCGAAAACCCTGCCATGGTTATGCCCTTCGCCACCCCGACTGGGTACGTGCACATGCTTCGGCACATTGGACCGGACCTCGTCTACGTGGTAGACGCTCTAAGCGGCGCAAACGGATCCAACATCGAAGACATCAGGCGTTGGGTAGGACAGACCGTGGTGGTCGTTGATAGCGATGGGACTGGGCTTGGTGCTCTGGTGGATACGGATGATGAAGGGCCAGCATCTAAATCCGTGACGGAGCACAGTCATCTACATGGCGAGAAGTGGTGGGAGAACGCAGACATGGTGGGCCTGGGCAAGGGGGTCGAGATTGTCGATGCATCGCGACTGATGGAAGACTTCGAGAGAAGGGCCGGCGGGCGCGAGTAGAGGAGTAATGGGAGATGTGTCTTTTCTTGATAATCAGTAGTTATCAGCCTGTTGCTGTCTTGGATTTGCTTCGCATGACCCTGAATATTCCAGCTTCTCTCTGTTATTGATTGTTACATGTCTTCCTACGCATGTACTGCCCTGGTGGAGCACTCGAGTTATTGTTTGAAGTCACGCGTCACTGCATCAAGAGGCCTCGAGCAATCTCTTAGCTCGTCAACCACTTTCAGATGATTCCTCTATGCACCGTATTTCCGGTTGCTATCGCACGTTGATATGCCAAGTCGGTATTCGACACGTTTCTTGGTGTGTCATGATATCTCCCGGCTTCATGCGGAGATGCATGCCATCATCCTAGGTCATGCTTGTCAAGTGATTGATGACAGCGGTGGTCTTCCTAATGATACAGTACATAGCGGTTAGTGCTCACCGCAAGACGGTATGGTTCAACACACGTAGGCTCCATGGAATCCATTGATGACTAGGTGGTGACGCACATGTATAGGTAGAGGCCTCCAGCGCGCCTGATTAGGTTCTATGTGTATAGTTATGTATCGAGTAATGTCGCATGCTTATCGGGCGAATAGGACGCCATAAGCTTCAAACAAAGGTTAAGATTTGGACGAGGTGTACTTTAAGACGAGCATCTACCGGGTGACCGGATTCACGTAGAGCCAGGGTGACTGTGGCTGGCAGTGAGATGGCCTTCCGACTAAGGTGATGCTAAGGGCTGGTGGGTGCCTGACATCTGAACTTAGCCCAATGTAGCCATACCTAGATGTGTCTGGCATGAGGGCTAAAATGCCGGCAGGTGGAATATTTATATTAGCTAAGTGAGGACCAGATGTACATGTAGGATGGTTCTACTTTGCAATTGCTTGTTGAGCTCGTAAAGAACGATCTAAGGCCCCCGAAGCAGATTGATATGTTCATATGCTGATTCTTACGACCGGTGTTACCATTTTGCGACACTCCCCGCCCTTATCGTGAGGGTAAAACTAGTAGAGGCGAATGAGTCGCCAGTGACTTTGGTACATGTAGCGTAGCGGTAGAAACAATGGGCTAGGGCGGTGAGAGAGGTTATCGTTCAGGCCGTACTCGTGAAGGTATGGGCCATTATGGATGCAAATTTCTACTTTCCTTGTAACCCAAGTCCGAACGGAGCCAGACAGCCACTCGCAGTGGACAAATGAGTTTGAAGGTACATGGTTTATAAGCATCCTACTCAGCCGAGACTTCCTTGCTCACTATCCTGCCCATCTCAGGGCGACGGACTTGGGTTGTTTTTGGAAAGCTTCGCCTCAACATACCTTGGCCACGTATTCGTGAAAACAAGATACTTGATGCTTTCGAAAGCTGGGTCAAACACTTCTTCCGTGAATTGACTGGGCACGATGTTTCGTATACTCGATGCGCTACTGGAATTTCCTGTTGACTCTAAGCTCGCCGGACGCTCAAGGATGTTTTCCCATGGGCAGACCACATTCTCCTTGACAGGCGGTGATAGTGGGGTTGTTCCAGAACCCTGAGGCATGTACGGATCGTACTCTATACCCTCGAAAGTCTTCTGAAGAGTCCGGAAGATCTTGTAGTCGATGTTGATGGGGGTCTCGGCGGTGCATGGGTTGACGAGGGTGAAGAAGATGAGCGAGGCTTCTGCATACATCTGGCGCCTCTGCGCCGTTGTGACAACCTGCAGACTCCCCCACTTCTTCTTGAAGTTGCGCACCTCCCGAAGGAAGATGGCGTTTTCGGCGGTGAATTCGCGTGACGCCGCCCACGAAATCAGAGGCTCGATGCTGTGCTCGATGCTGAATTCGAGGGCATGCATAGAAGCTTTCGGCTTCAACTCCTTGTTGACGACAACGTGGGGAATTCTTTTGCAGAAGGATGGGGTAGCAGAAGAGATGGAATCAGTTGTGAGCAAATCGGACGTGCATGTAGTGGAAGAAGAGATGGACGCGCGTCGAGATTGCGAGCGGAGTGTGTCGAATAAGGGAATCAATATCAGAACTTGCTGACACATGAGAAGGCATAACAAGAACCTGTAACAGCCTAGTCAGCAGGTGGCTTTGATGAATGGCCAAAAGGGATGCTGGGTGGCACAGGACGGTGCACCTCTTGCGGCAGGGCTTCGATAAGACATAACGTCATAACGATCATAAGTTGGTGAAAAATTTGGGACTCACCATCCAGCTGGCGGGAAGTATTGGTTTGTTGCAAGCACGGCGGGAATCTTTGAATACGTGAACGCCATCCACAACGGCGTCCCAGGTAATCTGTGTAAGGTGTGTTAGCCAAAGGCCGCAGAAGACTGTCTATCAAGAACCACACACCCGGCCAAAATAGCGAGCCGGGTTTGCCAGGCCCAGGAGTGCACGTCGTCAACTTTGCGGATCTTCCAGAGAATCCAAGGCCCCACAGCTGCTGTCCAGACGAATTGCATGAGGATGGAAGGTATCCTGAAGCACTTGTCAGTAGTCGTTCATCACAGCAACGATGCATGCCCTCTGGACTCATCCAACGTACCATTCGGGGCCCCGACGACATTGTACCCTATCCACAAAGCTAGGTCCAAAAAGCCCATACGATGGGTGGAAACGTCGCGACCAAAAAAAGAGAATGATGACCGGGACGAACTGACGTGTTCAGCAGCAACACTTTTCCCCGATGAGGGTTGTACATACCGAAACGATGAGGCCAACCACGGTGCCCAGGTAGACCTTGGAAGTTGCATCGAGGCCAATCCAAGCCTCTATAATCCCACGAGGCGTGAGCGTAAGTCTCTTCTTCCGAGCTGCCTCCAGAAAGTCCCTTTTCAGCCGTCGCTGACTTTCATAAGCTTTGAGGACCCTGGCATTGCATGCTGAGTTTGTTCAGTAGGGGGTGTCTATGGCCTCATATAAACCCTTACCTTGAAAGAGGGCCATGCCGCAAGGTAGAAAGACGGACATGATCCAATACTCCGCCGCACAGGGAAATAAGCCGTTCCACGGATAGACGAGAAGAACCAGAATGAGATAGACGTGGAGCATGGATACGGTGGCGACGACAACTCGTATGTTACGGATCTTAATGACGAATGCGGACCTGTGGTGGTAAAAGAGAAACAACTCCCCTGAGACTATGAACGTGTATACAATGGCCAGGACGATATAGGTTATGCCGATGCCATCCAGGTTCGGCGAACCGCCATCGAGGACGCGTTTGAGCAATTTGGGAGCCATGTTGAGCATTTTGCGCGATTCACGAATTGAATGAAACTGAGGAGGGGTGGAGAGGTGGAGCCATTCACGGCTGGCGGGTGCAGTCGCGGAGCAGGACGGAAGGATGGAACTGCCTGCTACTTGGAGAGTGGGTACACAGGCGATAGCAGTGGAGGGTGCCAAAGTCGCGCGAAATGGATGGAGGAGCTGCCGATGGGGAGGTTGGGGTGTGAAGAGAACTAGCAGAGCGCGACACACATAGATACATAGGAGCAAGGGAGAGCAACGACTGTCCGGGTCCTGCCCAGCTGCCGACGAGGACAGGTCAAAAGTAGTGGCGCTCAATCGGGTGCTGGCAACCTGCGTACGACGAGCTACTGAATGAGATGGTGCTGGAGGAGCAGGCGCTTGGGGGAGAGGGTGATACAAAACACGCCACGGGTGTACACAGTGCTACGTTCAGTCGACCTTGCTATGCATGTGGGAGAAAAGGGATACCTTGTGGTAGTAATGCCAAAAGCTCCAGGCACCCCCCGATCGGATCGCGGGGGCAGCCCATAGCAAAAGCGGTCGGGGGATGTCGAAGGTACGTTTGTGGGAGCGCTGGGTGAATGGTGCAGCACATGGTAACTCACTACCACAATACCCTTAGGCTAGTGCGCGGTCCTGGTGCTGGACGGTGCATCTCGGACGGGACAGGGAGTGTTTCGACAGGGGGAACATACACGGTTCCGCGACCACGTTGATGGTGCTTTCCTTGACGAGCATTGGACGTCCAAGGATGTCTTCGTCTCAGATCCCTTAAAACGGGAACAAGGGATGATGAACATGTTCGGCGCAGCTCCGAAGGTCTCGGTTTTAGCTGCTGAAATGTGGCGTCTCTGGCCACGAGAACCACGGGTCTCCGTACGCCACCATCCATCTAGAGTGTAAGGATGTAGAAGCAGGGGCACGGTTGGTGAAGCCTCGAGTTGCACAAGCGGAGCCGTTGATACTCTGTGCCAAGCATCCAGCTGAATGCCTCAAGGTGAGCTTCCAGATCCGCATTTTCATGGCAGCAGTAACGCAAGGAGATAATAAGATGGGCCTCGCATTCGGGAGCAAAACCGGCTCAGATTCATATAAAGATTAGGGTGGATCCGATATGCTAAGACTTGGTGAAACCTCAACCCAACATCTTTTCCGACATCTCAAGGATATGGTGAGAAGACGAGCCACACTGCCATGGTATTGCCTTGAGTGCTCCCCGAATGGGACACCTCTGTTCCCATATCATGGCATGAGAGAAGGAAGTCTTAAACATCGAAGAATGGCGGTTGGGGAAGTTTGTCCTCTCTTTCCGCAAGCGTCAAAGGCGGCATTGAGCGAAGCAGTCCAAAGTCGAGAGGCTCCCCCGAAAAGCCAAACCCAACAGTGTTGGTGATGATCAACAGCGCCGGATGGCGATTCGAAATCCGTTATCATGTCCCTCAATCCTTCTGTTCCTTTTTTCCCTTGTCCTCTTTCTCTTCATCCGTCTCCTCACCCCTCCTTCTCGTACGCGGAAAATTGTAGTCGTCGTCTAAGCCATCTCGGGCAGCCAAAAGACCTTTCGACCAGCCTTTGAATGGCTTCCTGAGTGCGCCAAAAAAGGAGGCATGAGAGGATGACTGCTTGTGAGGTGTGTGTTTGGAAGTTGACGGAGAGGATTTCGTTGCTGAATTGGCTGAATCGTTGGAGGTCGACATGGCAAAGCACGGTTGAAGAGATGGCAACTTGGCAAATAAGTTAGAAATAAGTTAGAAGGTATGTTGGTATGATTGTCGGGCTGCAGTTGTTGGCCGCCGTCAAAAGCCAAGTTTCGCGGGGGGAACAGCAGCAGTTTAAATCATCCGCAAGCGCTTAAAGTCTTGACCCATCAGAGCTCCGAGCCCGTCACACCGTGCTTATGATAGAGACTATGACGTAGAAACGCTGTGATAATATTGGCTGCTGCGAGCGGAGATATCTCGGCGACTCTGTGTCGGCTGACTGGTAGATTGGTGTCAAAATGGCCCTGCCCCGACAATCGCGTGATGTGAGGTTGTGAAACGGGGGAAAAGATGATAGAAAACCGCACGCCGACGATGGTGTAGGTACCTCGGCAGAGAGAAGAATGTTGAGGAAAACAGCAACTTGATGAAATAACACGCCTGACCCATCGTCTTGGTCAGACCAAGGTCATTTCCGCGATGAGCCACAATCCAGGGCACAATCCCAGGGGAAGGGATGCTGGGTACACCTGGTTCATAAAGCCAAATATGAAAGGGCTATCACTGCTAACGATACTGCCAACACACCAGTTACCGAGAGGGCTGGCATTCGATTCGTAATGGCATCGGTGTGGTGGTTGGCTCCGTGTTTCCTGGCCGACAACAAGGGGCGCGAGGAGCGGCAGAGACCTCTTTGCAGTGACAGCCGTGTCGTGCGGGAGTCCACCGGTGCGGTGAATGGAAGTATAATCACTCTCTCTGCATGCTGCTTGTTTGGGTGAATACTTACTTGTATGGGAAGTCCTCAACATTACTAATCAATTCCTATTTATGTAGTCCGCCGCTAACCACTCTCGGTTTAGGGACCTTCCCCTCGTTCAAGTCGCCGATGCTTCTTTGCACGACCTCCGAGTCTCCGTGTCCTCCGTGTCCTCCATGTCATCCATGGGCTCCCCCGTCCAGCGTGTCTTGCAAGTTGAGGCTGCTTTGGCTGCCCGTATTGTTTGCCGTCGCTGCTTCACAGCGTCTTCTGGGCTCCATCAAATCCGATAACGGCTCCCAGCGGTTCCCTTACCCTTGTCAGGACTGGGGAAACTTCATCATAACGGCCAACCCCCAACAGCCACCTACCATCTCGTACCGACTCATTACCACTACCTGTGCAACAGAAATGGCGCTCTCTGCCATGCCTCCAACATCCTCTTTCACCATGCCTGCCCGCTTTGCCATTGAGCTCGAAAAGCTTGACCCCGAGGTCCCCTTCCGCGCCTCGCAAGCCCACGCCCACCACACATGGGCCCGAACCTTCCATTCTCGGCCTGAGCTCTACCTGCGCCCGCAATCGCTGGCTGAGATACAGAAGATTGTCACAATGGCACGGCGGATGCGGCGTCGCGTTGTTCTGGTCGGTTCAGCGCACTCACCCTCTGATCTGACATGTACGTCGGCGTGGATGGTGAACTTGGACGACTACAACCGCGTGCTGAAGGTGGACAAAGAGCGCAAGACCGTGACAGTGGAAGCTGGAATACGCATGCATCGTCTGAATCTTGCCGCAAGGGAGCATGGTTTGACGATGCCCTCGCTCGGCTCCATTGACGACCAGTCATTGGCTGGCGCAATCGCGACAGCGACACACGGGAGCTCCTTATGTCATGGACTCCTATCTGAAAATGTGCTTAGCCTTCGTATCGTTCTGGCCAATGGACAAACCGTCAAATGCTCCCCAACGCAATCCTCAGACTTGTTTCGTGCGGCCTTAGTATCTCTCGGCGCTCTTGGGATTATTGTAGAAATCGAGTTCCAGATGAGGGAGGCCTCCAACCTGGAATGGGTGCAGACCATCTTGCCGATCGAAGACGTACTCTCCAAGTGGGATCATGATCTATGGACTTCCCACGAGTTTGTGCGCGTGTGGTGGCTACCGTACATGCGGCGTGCTATTGTCTGGCGAGCTAACAGGACGACCTCCCCTCCTCGACCGCCCAAATCCAACTGGTACGGCAGTAACGTCGGCTACCACACGTATCACATCCTTCTCTGGATTTGTCAATATGTGCCGCGTTTCTTACCGTGGGTCGAGTGGTTCGTTTTCGGAATGCAGTACGGCTTCAAGACGGGCGCTGCCACATCTGCTGTAGAAGAGCAGCGGACTGGCCTGCTTATGAACTGCCTCTACTCACAATTCGTCAACGAGTGGAGCATCCCGCTCTCACAAGGTCCCCAAGCACTAACCCGGTTGACCAGATGGATCCACGGTGATGAGCATGGCTCCGGAATACCTTTCAGCCCAAAGGGGGTATTTGTACACTCGCCCATCGAAGTACGTGTGACTCATGCCACGAGGACCATGCGCCCATATCTTGACACTTCGGTTCCTGGCTCGCCCAGTCTGTACCTGAACGCCACCTTGTATCGCCCATACGGCCAAGATCCTCCTGCGCGGCAGCGATATTATGAAGCCTTCGAGCACCTGATGAAGGAGTACAATGGTCGACCCCATTGGGCGAAGAATTTCCAGTCAGTGGACCACGCCTACTTATCATCCGTCTATGGATCCGACTTGGATGATTATCTCCGCGTCCGCAACGAAGTTGACCCCGAAGGCATGTTTCTAGGTGCTTGGCACCGGCGCACGATCCTACCACCTAGAGCCGAAATGCCCGTGTTTCCTCTTGAGGAGAAGGAAATTGTGAGAAGGGAGCGCAGCAGCGGCGGCACAGACTGGGTGGGAGAACAAGCAAGGTGGTGGGACGGTGGTGCGGATGTCTTTATGAAGACGAACACGGCCAGGAGTGAGAGTGAGGAGAGCTTTGACCTGATGGCTGGCGCGGAGGCGGAAGCCAGCGTGCTTCTGGGAAGTCTTCGTGATGATACAGACAGCGAAGACGTTGAAAGGCGGCTTCACGAGACTAGTGCCGGACGTAGTAACTTCGAAAAGATGTAAACTGGCTCGGGGAGCTGATGATATCCTTGATATATGGTTGATGGGGCCACATCTTTCCATGATACTCGTGGCGTGGGATTATCACAACACTCATGATTTGTACAGGGTTAGCTGCCGTGATTCAGCAAGCGTTCACTAGTAAGTTGGGTAAAGGACCGAGATGCATTCGAAATGCAGAAACCGTTTCATCTAATCTTCCCAGCTGCATAATATCCGTTATTCATGCACGCATCAATCCATTGTACATGTAGATCCCCCGCATTCCACCAGCTCCCCAGCGCCTGCACATACCCGGCACTCTTACACCCTCAAACGACGTCTTCCACGTTTTCCTCCTGCACAAAGGAGTATTCATAGTATAAAGACATAGCAGTTTGATTAATATAGCATCGACATCCCTGCCCTATAGAGGACGATTTATGAGGAAGTGCAGCTGGAGGCTTAGGGTAACGGTGGGGCAGTAGATGAATATTGCGACGCGAGTTAGATGAATGTCCATGTCCGCTGACGGAGTTGGGAGCTCAAGTTCCAACGCTGGCGGGACCGCGGATACGGAATACGGGATGCACGTGGAGAGGCAGTGTACGCATACCCCCCCACAGTAGTCACTTCGACAAGGCACTAGTCTCAAGCCATCTGTAGTGCGAGAGTGAACTCCCAACGTGGGAGGTTGTCAAGTACAAAGCAGGTTCGACGCTAACAGGTAGGGACCGTCGATGCAATGAGAATTCGCTATGCACATTTGAATCATGCAACTAGTCGAGGTCGACTCCAGCGCTCGAGACGCAGAGAGATGGAGAGTATATACAAGGACTGGAAGCATGGCCAAGGACGCAGCTCGATGATAGCAGTCGTCTCCAGGGAGGGGAAAAAAAAAAAAGGAAAAATTCCCCAGGAAGAAACAAAACCGCTGGGTCAAGGCCAGAACTCTAAAAGCGATGCGTCGGTCTAGGGTGACCAAGAGGATATGCAAAATTTGCCTACACCGGTAGGCTGTGATGTGGGAGTCGATCCATTACATTTTGTGTTGTTGCTCAAGCAGGTGTGCTCCTTGTGCAGACATGGCGGCATCTCTGCGAGCCTTCTGTTGTTGCCATCTTCTCTTGGCGTTGTCGATGGCGTTGCCTTCGTTGCGTGCAACGACGGCAGTGTATGTGAAGGACAGAGCTGATCAAATGGGTCAGTCCTAGTGTCACGTAGCAGAGCCCGAGAGGGGACAATACCCATGAAGGCGGCAAGAGCCGGCCAAAACGACTTGGCAGCGGCGGGCATTTTGGAGTCGCTGAGTGGAAGGTGTGGTCTGTGATGTAATTGTAGTGCAGACTCCAGTTGTGGTGAGGTGTGGAGTGATGCTGCGCGATGGAAGGGCAGCATCAACAACAGGAGGGGCTGGCTTTATTTATAGGTTTAGCGACAGGTCACGGAGTAGCATTCTACTGTATAAGGCTGCCGTACTTGTATAGTCTTAGCAACGGGAAGGGCGCCCCGGGCCTGGAAACAAGGCTACCAGATCATCGTCTGTGTAGCGTGATCTCGCGGGTTTGACGCTCCCAGCGTTGTAATGGTACTGCCATGGGCCTAGTGGAGTGTGGTGGAGTGATGGAATGACTCTCTCCTAGTAGGCTGCGTGCAGTGGAGTGACGGGTTTGGTGAGCGTCGTATGATTCATCTAAATACTTCCAGGTTGAAGTAGATCTCGCTCAGAGGGAATTCGGCTTAGCGTCTTGGCGACCAACCGCATGAGAGAACATCCACTACCTGTGGACCGTACCCCATCTTTGCAGCCACACCTTCAGTGGAAACATTGTGATCTGATCATCTACTCCGTGTTGCAATATGTATCGCTACCGAACGATACCAGGGCCATTCAACCGGGAGTTTCCGCACCTCAGCATTTCCATCCCACATCCTCTCGCTCACTTCTGCCGCAAAGCGCCTCCGTCAATGGTGATGTCTTGCTGTCATCCAGGTCAGCCTCTGCATCCTGCTCTGCGGTTGCGATACCTATCCTTACCCCCGTTACGAAGCCCGCGTTGATGAGCCACTTTACTGCATCGGCAATATCCTTCGGCCTCCCTGCTCTGTTGGTGGGATGGTCGCTGACATCCTTCTCGCTGACTTGGGCTTCAAACGTCTCCCCTTTGTCATCGCCCTCTTTGCACTCATGCGCGACCTTGATCCTGCCCGGCGCGATCAAGTTTACTCGGATCCCCATGGGTGCCAGGCTGATGGACATGGAATGCGTCAAGCCCACCTGCCCGGCTTTGCTTGATGCGTATCCTTCTTGGTTGGGATCCGACTGGTACGCTCGGAAGCTGCCGATGTTGATGATGCACGGCCCGGCGCCTTTCATCTTCTGCGCTCCCGTCTCGTTATCCGTGCCCGTCACTTTCATGTAGGGTATGCACGCCTGGCTCATAACAAACGGCGCCGTCAAGTTTGTCTCCATGTAGGCCTGCCACTGATCCAACGTATCCGGATCCTCCATGGTCATGTCGTTGCTCCATTTCGGGCTTGCAATCCCTCCGTTGTTGATCAAGACATCGATGCGGTTGTCGAAGAATTTTGCGGCCGATTTCACTTTGGAACGAATCTCATTGACATCTCGCAAGTTGCAGAGCGATGATTCAAGTTTACCGTCTTTGTGATACCGCTCCAAGTGCACAGTGGTGGTGTGCTGCAGCTCTTCCTCGTCGATATCGAAAATGTACACCCGGTTGCCTTCTTCAAGCAGGTACCGGGCCAATGCTCGGCCAATGCCACGAGCGCCGCCGGATATCAAGATGTTCCGCGAAATGGCTTCGTCTGGGGACATCGCTGCTGAAAAGAAATCCAGTCTCTGGCAATATCTCTGCGGGGATGCCGTGCGTCGGTCTTCCAGCCCGCTGCGAGTTCTCCTTTTACGCCTCTATAGCTACCAATGATCCCTGGTGTCCCAGAACGTGGCCGTGACGTCACTTCCTTGTCGCATCCAGGTCTGCGTGCTGTGGTATCAAAGCCCAAGCAGCAAGTACTGTGTAGATTCTGTGCTTACCGAACAGATATTTCCCCATAAAACACGTGTAGGGCCGGCAGACACTGACCACAGCAGAAAACAGCATCCATATGTCGTCTATCGTGGTCACGTGACTCCTACCTCGCGGATCTTCGGAAGAGGTGCAAAGTCTCAATGAGCACAGTTCACTGATGTGTGGCAAGTAAGAAAAGGAAGGGGTGGAGAGGCGTTTGTCGTGCCGGGGTGAGGTGCAATCTGCTCACATCATTCCTGGGAGATGACCATTGCATTGCAATAGGATTTGTTGTTCGGTCGCTATATTGACATTGATATTGGGTGGCTTAACTACAGTTCAGAGGGTATCAAACGCCTACCTCCACGTATATCCTCAGTTCCTTCTCTATCATCACATTGTACACTTTCTTCTTTTCTTCGTCATCCAAGAAGTCCTTCAAAAGAGTGAATGCCAGCATCATATACTCTTTACACCAAGGAAGGTGCGTCAAGCCAAGGAAAAAGGTCTCTCTCACTCGGCGATGGCTCTCCTCCAGTAAGGTTTCGTGTTTGCTCCTCTTCCTATCCCGTCGTGGTCCCTGGAACGGCCTCTTTCTTGATTCTGCATTGTATTCGCGGACCTCGAAGAGAATGTAGCTATACCAGAGTGCAGGGGAGTGTCCTGCTTCTGTTGCTTCCGCTTTACGAAACAAGGCACGCACCGAATGACTCGTAGATCCGGCGGTTTCGCCTCTGCGCATCTCGTGGAAGATTGCAAATAGCCACGTCGTCAGAAGAGTGCTGTCTGGGTCCCCGAGAATGCTATGGTGCATGATTGCACGGACGCGGTCATCAATCGCGAAGCGAGCCTCATTTGCGGCATACACTGACAATAGAACTGTGTTGTTGGGGAAGTCGCCCAGGAAAGGACGAAGGGTCTCGCGCAATAATGCTGGTCTGATGATCGGGGCGTGGGTGGCGTGGTAAACGAGGAGGCTGGCAATGAATTGAGCATGCAGCTCCGCTGCATCGTGCTTGGAAAGATCATGGTCTAGAAACCATTCAGATAGGTTTTCGTGAACGGCAAGAGAAGCTCCAATGTCTCCATCTTTCGACAAATAGACAAGGAAGGCAAGGAGTGAAGTGGCGAGAATGGCGGAAGGAAAATCTCGACCCAAGAGAGCGCGGTCATTGGCCTCGTTGAGGAGTCTGTGGCCACGGAGAAGACATGGCTGATCTGGCCGGCGTAGAGCAGCAGCATCCGGTCTGGCAGTGGTTTGCCCTCTGTCAGGAGGAGAAACAAGTCGCCACAGTGCTTCCAGCTGGTTATTGCACCGAAGCGCCTCCCAAACCCAAGTGTGGAACAGAGGCAACAGCCCGCGAACGTCCAGAAGCGTGGCATCCTTATGCATTGATAGGGCGGCTCGGCAAACCTGTTCTGCTCTTCGGCTATCCCCTTGTCTTGCCTCCACGAGAGCATATGCGTTATACAGACGTAGAGACGTGGGCATACTCTTGATCAACTGTTTCGCTGTCTTGGACACCTCGTTGGGGAAATGCGCTCGCTCAAATGCGAGCAAGTATTCGCCAATTGTTTCAATGCAGGCCTGCTCCTTCGCTAAGAGGGTCAACGCACGTCGAACGAAGGTTATGTGTGCTGCAGGTTTACTTTCATCGGGATATTCGGCTTGGCCAGTTTTGGAAAAGCCCCGATCAAACAAGAGGTCCAGTGTCATCTTGTAGCTACCGGGGCAATCCGAGAATACCCTGAAACCATCCACAAAAGAACTGTTTTGAGGAGCGGCGGACTGAAGGCATACTGACTCCCGCTTCATGATTGGATCAAGCCACCACCGGCGTTGCCCGCCATCAAGAAGCCCATGTAGAGGAGGCATATGTGAAAAGCAGAGAAAGGCATCTATGATCAAGAATTCTGATGTCTTAGGAGGGAGTATGTGTAGATATTCCGCGATGTCAGAAAAGAGAATGACATGAAAAGGGTCGTCACCAATATCGTCGGCCATTCGCCCAGGATAGTTTAGCTTCTCGATACGCTCGACTTCTCTGAGCCGAAAATCCTCAAAAACAGGAATTGATCGGTCCTCGGGCTTTAACGGTAAAGGAACTGGGCTTGAAGGCCACACGTCGCCGGAGCTGGGGTTCCTCCATCCCGTGGCATTCTCCTCCCCAATGCGTGGAATTTCGCTCTCCCAAAACTCTTCAAATGATGACACGGCGGAACTGCGGTCCCCTGATTTTGCGACATCAGGTGACAGCAAGTGGAATTCCAGCAACGCCTGCCATATCGCCCGGGCAAGCTCTTGGTATCCGCTGCTGCGGATCATGTCGGTGAGGCGGACCAAAACGTGCAGATAGACCTCTGGGGCGACATCGGCTGAGCTATGGCGAAGAGCCTTCAGACATTGATGGAAAGTGTCTCGGCAATTGTCATGTTTGAACCCACCAAAGTGGGTTTGTTGAAAGTCTAGGTATCGGATCCAGATATCGGGATTGGCAGGGAATCTGTTAAGAATCTCGGCCCATTTCTTTTCGAGTCTACTGGCATCCCACGCCTTGGAAGCTTCTGACATCAAACCGAGATGAAGGACCACCAGGTCCTCTGTAACATTGCCGATTCTCTGGATGGCTTCTTCGTATGTGGAGATGCGCACCTCGGCGAGGCTCCTTCGGTCTGTGGTGCTCAGGTCTGACGATTCGCGGCCCAGCTTCATCATCGTTTCTTGATGATCAACCAAGTCGAGCCAGGCTTGGAGATCGTTTGGCTGATTGCGCGTTCGCTGGATAAGCATGGAGTTCCTCTGCGTGATGGCTGACATTATCGGGTCCGGCTGGACCTCCTGGCTGGCATCCGAGTCCGAGGCGGAATCCGACGAGTTTCCTCCGCCTTGGAGCTCCCACGACCGGCGGTCCGACGCTTGCATATCATGATCAGATCCTCGTTTTCTCTTTTTGCCCCTTGGTATCTCAATGAACTCGGCATCTTCATCAACCCGCGAAGTTGGATCAACTCTCACTAAGCGTACTGGGCCATTCACTTTTCTGGCAGCGTACGGGGAAGTCAAAACCCGGTCACGAGGCATAGACGTCGGCCCAGTTACGACAATCCGGTTTGTTGAGCTTCGATCTCGATCAATCCTGTGATCAGGTGGGAGACCTAGAATGGATCCATAGCCGTAACGCCTGTAAGGGGGAGTATCGTAACGGTTCAAACTCCCATATGTGAGATTGGCACGATCGCCTCTGGCGTCCACAAAGTATGGGGTCGTCGACTGCTGCTTTGAAGGTGCTCGAGAAGACTCAGTAGGTACGTGGCCGGGCGACTTATTCCTGGAGCTCGCCAGCAGCGGCTTCTCACGTCTGTCATGTTTGTCGTTTCTCTCATGCCTCTGGGAACTTCTTGGAATTCTATCCTCTGTTCCATGGGCCTTGGGCAACTGTTCTTTGGGTTTTGGTCGGAAACTCGTGAATTTAGGGACGTTGGAGGCCATGGTGGATGCATCGGCTGTTCTGAGGAGGGAAGAGAGCACTGGGTCTTGGCGTTCCATAGGGCCCGGGTGAATGTCGGCACGGGTGGGGGGTAAGAGAAGGCCCACAGGCCCACAGAAGGCCCATGCACAACGCCTTCCCTCCTCTGCGACAAGAAATTGTTCGAACTTTTTGACCGCGGTGTGAATGAAGTTGGATAACTCAATAACATCCCCAGCCTTCACGCCGGAGCCCACCACCACGGACGGAGCTGCGACAGATTCCATACCGACTAACCACGCTTTCCATGGACGTCTAATGTTGCAGCGCTCCCGCGCATCCAGCCTTCCACCATGACTTCGCTCCAGAAACAGCTCGCTGCCATCGCCGCCTCGAGCACTCACCAGCTCGATCTTAAGGCGCAGAAAGCTGCTCATGGCAAGTCCCTACTGTACGAACCCAGAGTCGCCGCCTCGCAGTCTTTCGAGTCCATATACGTACTATGTTGCGAGGGCTATCGCGACCTCTGCGCCCTCGACCAGCGCTTTGTACCATTTGCGCGGAACTTGTTTAGCGAACAGAGCAAGGATGAGGACCGCGCCCAGATGACCAAGAAGGAGAACGAAGAGCTAGACTCGGTCCTGGAAGCGTTTATGACATTGGTCGGTCCAAGAATACTCTTGAAACCAGCTGAAAAGGCGTTGGAGTGGCTTGTCAGGAGGTTTCGGTTCGTACCATGTGCCTCCGGTGCGATTGCCCGCTGACAGCTATTAGGATCCACGAATACAACACGGAATTTCTGGTCCTCACCTATCTCCCGTATCATGCTACGCCTCAGTTCCTGGCTCTACTGTCTATCTTGCCATCAAATCTCTCACCGGCTCTACGCTTCCTCCTGCCGTACTTGACACCCCCGAGCAATCCCCCTCGGCAAGCGATTGTGTATGCCGCTGCGAATACGCCCCCCTTCTTCACAGCCCTGCAGGGATATGTTGTCAGGGTCCTACAAGCTGGCCACGAGGGCCACAGCCTCCTGACCCTGTGGTCTGGGGTGACTGCACAAGCCGTCGATGCTATCTTCGAGCAGACGCGATCCGGACGGCAGGAAATTCAGGCGCAGCGTACGGAAGAAGCCCTTCTCCGGACGCTGCCCGTTCTGAACCAGTCTCTCAGAATGAGAGACATCCCGGAGGCGCTGCTGGGCAGCTATGCGATCATAATCATCATGGTGACAAAAGCCGTCTTGCCGGACAAGGTTCTTGATTCTCTCATGGAAGCTGTGGTCCGGAGTTATGAGCCCGAAACGGCAGAAAGATGTCTCATGTGCTTGGCTGTAATAGCCGAAGAGAGGTCGCAACCGCGCCTTCCAGCAGCTGTTGTGAAAGGAATATCCAAAATCCAGGGACTGGTCTCCTTACTGCGAGCCCTGGCTTCTACTTGCACTGTTGCTAGGCTTGCGCTTGGATGTGCTCTAGGAGATTTAGATCGTAATGGGAATACGCTTTCTTCCGGGGACGGCCAGACACTGTTCCTGGATATTGTGGAATCTGGCCTTTTGAACGGAAGTTACCTATCCACATGTCTAAACACGGTGTTAGAGAAGATTCGCAATAGCCCTCCTGGCTCAACACAACATAGTGTTTCCATAGATATTGCGACCAGACTCTCGGAATCACCACAAACGTTCCCTACACTGCGAAAGCTCCTGGAGAAGAATAGCACCGAGTTTGAGTCTATGGGTTTGTCCTTCCAGGACAGTCTCATTGCCGAAGAGGTCCAGAGCGAGCGCGAGGAAGACGACGAGATGCTTGATTTGGATCAGGTCGCTGAATCAGGCCATGATAGCACTTCTATTATCATTCCCACGATCACAGCGACGAGCCTACTGGACCCAACATCGCGGGACTCTTTCCTAGAAACTCTTGCTGCATTTGAACAAGCCATGAGCCTCAATCGTCGGGCAGCTGGATTCCTGAACTCCGAAGGACTCGGTCGACAAGACGCGTTTGAAAGACCTCTCTTCTTCAGTTTCTTGGCTCGAACTTGGTGTGCCCCTGTTCTTCCTTCGCTGAAAGTGCTAGCTCTTCGCTCAGCGATCGCATCTATCAAGGAGCTCGACAGTGGGACGGATCTGCAGCACCTGACTCCGTATCTTCTCTGTGGACTGGCGGATTCAGCACCCCCTGTACGGCGCGCCTCTGCGACTTGCATCAGCCTACTTGCACAGAAATCTGAACCTGCGGGAGCTTCTGCCACTCACACAGTGTGGGGTGCCTCCACTCTTTATGGGAAAGAGTCCGCCAAGTTATGTGCTCTTCCCAAGGGACATCTTTCAGCTTTTCTGTCCTCAGAACTCGTCCATATCCTTGAAGCTTGTGTCCTGGATCCGAACTATATCATCACGTCGATGCGGAACCTGTTTGAGAGTGGCCAGTCGTCCAAAACCCATCAAGGCAGCATGAAATCGTCAGCAAAGGCGGCTTTGGCATCTTTTATGGCTAGTCATGTTGCTCTGACACCGTCTTTGCGTGTACGACTATGCCTGCTTCCTCTCTTCGGCTCGTCTGGGAAATCCACGGGTAGCGCACGCCTCAGTACTATACTGCCCGTTGTGCGCAGCTGGTGCCAACTCTCCGCCGGCGAAGTGTCGGAAACATGCAGAGTCGAGAACATAGAGGCTGGAGCTGCGGACAGAGAACATGTAGCCACCCTGTTACCGCGGGAGCAAGAAAGCCTGGAGATATTGCGGGAGGTCCTTTCCGGTCGCGTGAGCGAAGGCCGTTTGGCCCTAGTTGATGCAGCCTTCGAAAGGTTGACTGTGATATGGCTGTCCATGAAGTCCGAAACACGATTGTCTCTTGCTCAAACACTGCTAGATCTTTCGCTGAAGGATGATTGCAAGACTGCTGTCCAGGAACATTGCAAATCTCGCTCCCTGGAGACATTACGGAACCTCAAACTGGACACAGCCATTTTGCTGGAGTTCATAGAAAATGCACCGGCCACGTTGCAAATGCCCGAAGGTCCACCCGCAAAGAAGCGGAGAAGAACAAGCCGCAACGAGATGGCGCGTTTAGATATGCAATCGGCAGACGACGTCACGAGGATCGTGCGCAAGCTTACCCTTATTCTGGAGTTGATAGAGGGATCCAATGCTGCGGAACATACGTTGTTGTTCAAGAAGATATTCGCACTTTTCGGTGATATGCAGCATCTCAAACAACAGAGCGACTCAGAACTCGTATATCTCCAAAGCTTGATTCTTGGTTCGCTCACCCCAATGGTCAACCAGCTGAAGGTAAGGTCCGTCCTGATCCCCTCGGAAGGTGAGGTCTAACTGCGGACAGAATGAACCCGACACTTCCGACCTGCAAGGGTCCGTTCGTGTCGACCTGTTGATAGAATGCATTCGCCATTCCAGCAGCCCCCAGGTGCAGAATGCCGCTCTTCTGCTCATCGCAAGTCTGGCATCATGGGTGCCCGAACTTGTACTTCACAATCTCATGCCCGTCTTTACCTTCATTGGGGCCACGCTTCTACATAAAAATGATGAATACTCCGCGCACGTCCTCGATCAGACAATCTCACGAGTAGTTCCTCAACTTGCCTCGTCCTTGAAGGTGAAACATCAGAACTTCTTGACGGGCGTCGCCGACCTATTGTTGAGCTTCACTGCGGCGTTCGAACATATTCCACCCCACAGAAGGCTAAAACTCTTCACTGAGCTGGCTCGCACTCTCGGCCCTGAAGATTCGCTTTCTGCGATTGTTGCTCTTCTGCTTAACAAACCAGTGACGTCGGCACCCCGCAAGTTCGTTCCCGAGCTGTTGCTTCAGTTCGAGCCAACGCTCACGCTTGAAGTAAGCCGACTTCTCAGATTCTGTCAGTGCTTCTGCTAATCATGGGTAGACTATCAGGGGTTACCTCCATCTCATGGCCGATGCGGCTGGTCACAAACGGACCGTATCTGATACCCTTTTTGGCCTCAGTAACATGGAACCGTCGCAGGTTGAGAGCATGGTCAGCAGCCTTCTATCAACCCTCGCGGATTTAGCCACCAGCAAATCGCTCCGAGGGCATATCGCCAAAGCCTTCAGGAAGAGTCGAAACCCTGCCAAACCTAGAGCTATCTTTGCCGATATTGTAGAGGCAACCATTCGTCTTTCAAAGAGCGTCGCAGAGAACGCCCGCATACAACACACATGCAGCCGCATTCTGGCCAACTGCCTTGACCTGCTTCCAACGTCAGATCTGATCAGGACAGCTGAGCTCTTGCTTGTCAGTCCAGACTGTCAAATCGCTCTCGCAGTGGTGAAAGCTGTCGAGATCAGGGCGGGTCATGTCATCCAGAATGATGCCCAATCTGTGCAATCTCTGCTCTCGTTTCTCCGGCGACTCGACGAGCTATTGCAACAACATAACGAGGGTGATGTAAAGAGCATAGCAATAAGCTGTATCGAACGCATTGTCGAGAGATTTGGGAAGAAAGATGTTGCCGCCGTAGGCAAAGTTGCGCGCACGATATCTGGCTCACAGTCGTTGATGAGCACTGAGGACCGTGTCCGTATTCTGTCGCTCATCTGCTTAACATCCATCGTGGATGTGCTTAGCGAAGAGGCCATATCGCTGCTGCCAACTGTCCTGCCCCAGGCATTCATATATCTGCAGGAGAGCATCGACAAGGACAACATCGGGTTGCACAACGCCGTTTTCAGTCTACTCTCCAAGGTGATCGAACGGCTAGCATTCGTCTTCACCAGCGAATATCTCGTGCCGGCCCTGGAGCTTGCACATCATTCGGCGGCCGGCGGGATGGACGACGCCTGCGACGAGCAGAGAACATTGTTTTACAGGGTGGTTGCAACCGGCATTGGTGCGCAAGAAGCTTTTACCGCTATCAAAACGACGTGGCCTTCAGCTCTATCACAAGGATACCAGGTACGCCTGAATTTATCCAGTTGTCCTGTACTCGACTAACAAGTGCCAGGCCGCCCGGGAGCATCTTGATCTCCTCGCCCAGGCCATTGACCACCAAACAAAGAAGAAGCTTATCGCAACTAGCGCGGCGCTTTTCACCCTGCTATCGGAGATGTTTGACCTCCGAAAGGCAATTCGTGATGCTGAGGCAGAAGAATCGATCGATGAGGACGAGATTGAGGCTCTGGAAACGTCGCTCGTCAACTCGGTCATCGCAATGACGCTAAAACTGAACGACACCACTTTTCGACCTTTCTTTGTACAGCTGGTTGACTCTGCATCATCCTCAAGCGATGAGGCGGCGGACTTGGAGCGCTCCGTCACTCTCTGCAAATTCCTTGCGGTGTTCTTTGACAAGCTGAAGGTTCGTTGACCGTCGTTCTCTTTGGTTTACCACGGTTATTACGTTAGTTATGCTGACATGCCTCGCTAGTCCATCGTCACAAGCTACTCCAGCTATATCATCGAACACCTCTCCCACCTCCTCACCTACTTGGCCACGCACCCAGCGGACTCCCCCACTCTAGCTAAGGCGGTCCTGGACACCCTTCACAACTCCTTCAAGCACGACCAAGACTCTTTCTGGCAAGCTCCCTCGCACTACGGCGCAATCCTGGAACCCCTCCTCAAACAGCTCACGGTCGACTCTCCGCTTCTTCTGGCTGAACACGTCATCCCCACCATCACGGAACTCGCGGTCGCGTCGTCCTCATCTACGGACAATCACCGCCAAATGAACTCCATCCTACTCAAGTACATGCGTGCAGAGGAAGCGCATACGCGCTTGGCAACAGTCAAGTGCGAACAAGGTCTGACGAAACGACTTGGAGAAGAATGGTTATCGCTTCTGCCTGAGATGTTGCCGTTTATCAGCGAGTTGCGGGAGGACGACGATGAGATGGTGGAGAGGGAAACACAGAGGTGGATCACCATGGTGGAGGAGATCCTGGGCGAGGATCTAGAGGGCATGTTGCAGTAGTCGCAGGCGCATCCTTGGAGGATAGAGTATCTGTGTGTTGTGTACATTGCATAGTGGCTGGTCGTACAGCTGTAGGAAGTTTGGGCGTTTGGAAAAGTATTCGGTATTGTAACCCAGCGGTCACCAATGTCGTAAGCAAGAACTCGTATGATGCTTTTTCATGTACATATGATCAAGTGGCTTCGCTCATCTTGAGAGGCGGTTCCTCCTCCATGCCGACGTATCAACATGACATCGACACCAAACCCATGCAAGCACAGATGTTCACCCATCCTACATTTTCAGCCATCAACAAAAACAATCGAACTAACCAACAACGCCAGACATCCATTTTCTTCTATTCACTAACCACGTTTTCAAACACCTCCTCCAACAACCACCTTTTCTTCCCCATCCACCGCGGCCTCCAGCCTCGCCACTACATCGCTGCTTTCTTTGGGACTGCTCTCCGGCGACGGAATCTCCATCGTGTTGGATCGCTTAGGTCTGAAGGGAATAGGCGTCGTCGGCCTACTTGACAGGAACTAGAAGCAAGAAAAGCACCCATCAGCCGAGGCCCTTGCACATGCAATATGAAGAAGTAAACAGCCCCAAACAGCAACTACCGACTCGACTTTGAGGAAATGGGTTCACTTACCGAGCTAGCAGCTGACAGCAGCGCAATCAGCGAAGCCTGGACGACATCCTGATGGATACCCACGCCCCACACCTTCTGGGTGGAACCTGCCGCGGTGCATTCGATGTATGTGGCGGCCTTTACGTTCTTGTGGGAGCCGATGGCGTGTTCCTTGTAGTCCGTGACATCGAGATCGATGCCCAGACGCTTCAGGGCGTCAGCCAGAGAGGAGATTGCGCCGTTGCCGACACCTTCAATGGTGTGTTGTTGGCCATCAATCTCAATAACTCCCTTGAACTTTCGCTGGAGATTAGCCGAGCTCTGTGCTTTTCCTGGTTCAGGGGGTGCAGGCGATTTGGAGCGGTCGGCGCTGATATCGTAGTCGACCAGGCTGAATCGCGGATTGCTCTTTAGGTGATATGCGTCCTCGAAAAGCTTGGTAATCTCAGAAGGCAGCAGCTCGCGGCCGAGCATATCGGTTTCGCGTTGCACAATCTTGGAGAAGGCGATTTGCAGACCGCGCGGCAGGTCGAGTTCCAGCTGCCGCTGGATGATCCAAGCCACGCCGCCTTTGCCACTCTGGGAATTGACTCGGATGATGGCTTCGTATGTTCGACCAATATCCTGAGGGTCCAGGGGCAGATATGGCACCTCCCATCGGCTTTCGTTGTCTAGGCCAAGAGCTTTCCTTTCTTGGAACCCCTTCTTGATGGCGTCCTGGTGGGAACCGCTGAAGGCACACACGACCAGCTGGCCTCCATAAGGCGCACGAGGGTGCACTGGGATCTTGTTGCAGGATTCCACAACGTTGATGACGGACTTGAGGTCGCTGAAGTCGATACCGGGGTGGACTCCCTGAGTGTACAGGTTGAGGGCCAGGGTGACCAGATCCACATTACCAGTCCGCTCGCCATTGCCAAACAGAGTGCCCTCGACCCGGTCTGCGCCCGCCATTTGTGCCAGCTCCGCCGCCGCAACTGCGCAACCGCGATCGTTATGTGGGTGCAGGGATACGCAAATCTTATTCCTCTCCGAGATGTGGGTGCAGAAATATTCAATCTGATCTGCGTATACGTTCGGTGTGGACATCTCCACCGTGGCAGGGAGGTTGAAGATGATGGGATTCTCCTCTGATGGCTCCCATGCAGCCTTGACGGCTTCGCACACCTCGACGACGAAAGCAGGATCCGAGTCGGAGAAGGTTTCTGGGGAGAATTCGAAAGCCCACTCGGTGCCTGCAGTGCTGGGGTCGTCCTTGGTGATGGACCGCGCGTACCTCGTGCATTCTACCGCCAGCGCCTTACTCTGCTCGTTTGTCATGTTGAAGACGATGCGCTGGAAGCAAGGGCTCGTTGCGAGGTAGAGATGTAGAATGGCCTTCTTAGCGCCCTTCAGGGAGTCGACGGTGCGGCGGATGAGTTCCTTGCGGCATGGCGACAGAACCTGCAGCCAGACGTCGTCGGGTACCGCGCCGGGGGTGCTGACAAGTTTCTGTGTGAAATCGAAATCGGTCTGCGACGCCGAGGGGAAAGATACCTCGATTTCCTTGTATCCGAGCTTTACGAGCATAGCGAAGTATTCCCATTTCTGGTGACCGTCCTGCACAAAAGCACATTGTCAGTCCGAAGCTTCGTCCAGTCACGCCTTGTACCAGATGTCGGCCATACCATGGGGTCAACCAGCGACTGGTTGCCATCGCGCAAGTCCGTCGACAGCCACCGCGGCGGCTTGTCAATGGTTTTTGAGGGCCATTGGCGGTTCGGAAGGTCTAGGGTTGGGAACTTCTTGTACTTCTTCCACGGTTCCTTGAGCATCGGCATAATGGCGCGCGTGTCTATGTGACGCTTCTGCGGGGATCAGGCGGAGGTATGGATATATATAGATACAGATATAAGTGCGGAGGAGATGGGGGGACCGGTCGGGGGGTTGGAGGAAACGTTCGGGAACAGCTGGCAGGAATGACAGTGAGAGAGGAAGCAGTGGTCGTCGCGTGTGGCAGTGGTGAGTGCAGTGGCCAGTGGATGAGTCGTTTGGGGTGATGTGATTCATAGGGCAAAAGATTTCTTCTGGTAGGGCGGCGGACGATGGCATTGGCGGGGCGGGGCGGGGCGGGCGGAATCAATCAATGGCGGCTGCGGGGTTCCTCGGTGGCCGTCCGTGGCAGTCATAGCTTCTCGTGTTGGGGCCACTCCGACACCGGCTTTGGCCGCCCGTATTTGTAGATCATCAGATGGATAGATAGAAGGACAACCACCACGCTCTTCTCTTTTCACTGCAACGCGAATGTTTCCAGGGACCAGCAGACAACCACCCTGCACCGTCAGCACCGTCAGCACCGTCAGCACTTTGTCCTGTTAGCAAACGGGTATCCGCACGCCGCAGCATTCCAGTGCCGCGCCTTGCACGTCGGCCCGCACGCCAAAGTACAACCACACCAGGTCCTGGATAAAGACCCTGTCCGTCTCACTCCAGGTATCCAGCCCCATCTTGCTCAGCTCTTCCCGGTCGATGACGAGCTCGCTGATCGGGCTTCCCCTCTCCGACTCGGCCGCATCCAGGAGCCGTGCAACGTGTTTGAACAGGATCACCGTCCAACGGTGGAATGCCGCAATGACAGCGGTATGAATGCCGTCTTGGTAGTCGGACAGGTGGCCGAGCAGCTCCCTGTCCGTTTCCCGTTCCTCGGTCGTATATGCGTCTCTCTCGCCCGCTGATGCCCACCACATGAAGCCTAGATATGCCAGCCGGGACCAGGTCATCGGCTCCACTGCGCTCTCGTCGTACGTTTCGTTGAACTCCTCTTCGGCCTCCTCGGAATCCTTCCGCACAAGGGGTCGAGTGTCGTCTTCCAATCCGGACTCTCCTGTCGCGTCAGACACGTTGTGCCGGTACTTCCAAAGTTCGTGATGGAGCAGCTTGTAACGCTGCACGTCGCGCTGGCTTGCTTTGACTTGTGTGCCGTCCGACGTGCGAATTGTTGGCCAACGTCGTTGCTCTGGAGGCGCGTCATAAGAGTGTGGTATTTCCACAATGACATCGTACAGCTGTCGTTTTGCTGCCATGATCTCGTCTGTACTGCAAGATACCCATCCAGGCGAAGGAAACTCGATGGAGTGCGGGTGCTGACCTTGGTCTTCTCTCTGCAGCTTCTCAATCAGCGGTATGTCATGCGTCCCTAGGCAGAACAAAGCACGAAACCGTGACAGATGATCTGAACCCGAAGGTAGATGCTCCCGAGCGGCGTTAGGAAGACTAGCAAGAATGGAGAGATTGTATACTTGTGAATGTTAGTAGCATCGCGAATGTGTGTGCCGTTCTCCTCACCAAACTCGCACGACGCTCGAACAGGCGGCGCGCCAACAAAAAGAATACGCTTTCTGAGCAAAGCCGCTTCCTGGAGTCGGAAAACCAAAGGGCCGAAAACGTCGACGTAATGCACAATGGAACGGGCAGGATGAAACTCTGGCAGTGACTGATCCGGCGGCAGTGCTGCAGTGAGCGTGGAGAGAGCTCGCCGTCTCCTGTAGCCCCTTTGTTGGTCCGGGCTTAACTGCGTGGATGTTGAATCGGTGTGTTGGGATTGTTCCCTCCAAAAGTCCTCAAGAGGAGCTGTATTTTCGGGGTCCTTTGCTAAGGCGCTGATCTCACAGTCAGAGAAAGCATGAGCAATTGTAGTGCACTAGGTACCTTGCTAAGCTTTGCAGTCTTTCAGCGTGAAGCCAGCTTCGACCTAACCGCCCCTGGTTGAGAGGGACAAGTATGCCGACTGATACGAAGGTTGCATTGCGCTCGGCTGCCGAAGCTGGCGCGTTGCAGAAGGCACTCAATCCTGCATGGCCTTCGTGCACGAAATACCTACCACGCCGTCAACATGCGGTGCGCAATGGTGCGCTGGATGAACGGACACGAGATCGTCCTTCACTGCGTGGAGGCCGGAAGGGAGTGACTTGAATTCCACAGCGCCATCGAGCGGTACTATTGGGACTATGAATAAGCCAGACCAGAATCGAGACAAAGGTACACTGACTATCGATGGCCGAGCGTTTCCACGCAACCGTGTAACTAGACGGCCGTTAGTATGCAGCTCAGCAGGCAGCTGTAGCGATCGCTCCGACGTACCCAATCTTCTTGTCGAACTTTGCCAGGAACAGCGCCGACAGGCGAGGCGGATTGCTTCCCGCGCCGGTGTGGGCTTCCACAAAGCTCATATGCGAAGGAGTAGACATGACGTCGTAGAGATGGAGGTGGAGGTGGAGGTGGAGGTGGAAGTGGCTGCTTCACGGCGCGGCTCCCAACAACCTACTAGCCCTGCCTCGCTTGGACTTTGGTGTGTCAGCCAGGTTGGCTATGATTACGGTCGCGGGAAGTACCAACGACACCCTGAAGCTTGAAAAACGGAATTGTTACACAGGTTGGGAGAAAACCCCATCACACAAACGGTTCGGCTCTCTCCCCTTCCAAGAGATGAACTGGAAGACAGCTGCAGTCGAACAAGTGGAACCTTGGAAGACCAAAAGACGCTAGTCCGGGAACGGTAGATCTGTCTTGGCACCTCCGCGGCGAACTCTCACTCCGATTGGACAGTCCCTGCGCATTTGTTTACATCCCCACATCACTCTAAGGTCCACTTTTCATACCCTCTCAATCACATCGACAATGGAGATATCACCCCAATTCTCAAGTAACCATGCCCCAACGAACCATTTGCCGCATATGCAAGTAGATACTAACTCCCGACCCAGCGACATCTCCCTCCCTCCCCTGCCCAACCGCAACACACATCGCCTCCCTCTCCAGCACCCGTCTCCAGATCCGCTGTCTCTCCACCCTCGAGATCATCCGCACCATTCCCCTACCCCAGTCGCACGATGTGCGCAACTCGCGACTCGCATGGTCGCCACCTACCATACCCTCGTCCACCAACACAGCAAACACAACACCATCCCGTCGCACCCTAGCCGCACGCTCGAACCGCATCCTCGTTTCCGACGAGGACAACACGCGAGTCTACGATTTGCGGGACGCGAAGTGGAATGCTGCGATCAGTAATGGGTCCGGCGGCATGGGCAAGATTGTGCACGTCGAATTTGGGGCGACGGAGGACGAAGTGGTTGCCTTCTCGGACTTCGCCAGTAAAGCCACAATCTGGTGCTTGAGAACGGGACGGACGGTTGAGATTCGGGACCCTAAATTTACCGGAAGGGAGGGGAGGGGGTGGGGATACAGACCTAGTGGTGATGGCAAGCTGGGAAATGGAAGAGGAGCGGTGTTGGCTCTGCTTTGCAGGAGCGCGGGACAAGATTTGCTGCTGCTTTTGGCACCAAGGTCATACAGCCTCATCAAGAGAGTGGAGTTACCGACGTTGGATGCCGCGGGTTTGAAATGGAGTAGAGACGCGCGCTGGATCGCCGTGTGGGACTCCGCATCGTCGGGATATCACTTGCACATCTATACGGCAGATGGACAGCTCTATCGGACGATAGCGCGCGAGCCGACCGACGACGCTGACAGATGGGGTATCGAGGGCCTAGGTATCAAGACTGTAGAATGGGTGCCAGGTAACCAGTGGCTCGCAGTTGGTGGCTGGGACAGAAGAGTCCGGATCCTCTCGACCCGAACATTCTCTCCCGTCGTGTTCCTGGACCACACTGCGGAAATCCAAGTCCCCTCCGCACCCGTGTACACGGAGATGGTGGACGGCAGAGGTAACCGGACCTACAGCTTGACACCACAACCAGTCACTCCGCCAAAAGCTACGGTAGAGAAAGGCGACAACTCGATGAAACAAGGCATCGGCCTCGTTTCCTTCAACATGGACGGCACCCTATGCGCAACAAGAGACGACTCCACGCCCAACACAGTCTGGATATGGGATCTACGATCTCTCAGCCCAAAGACTATTCTGATCCAATATTCGCCAGTCAAGTCGCTACAGTGGCATCCGTCGGACCCCTCGCTCCTCCTCGTCCACTCAACTCACGACTCCCCTACCGTATATCTCTCATCCACTACGTCTCTCTCCGCCTCAACAACAGATTGCCCCCACCCAGGGCCACCGGAAATCCTCACTCTCGCGGACTCGCTCAGCAGACCTTTAGGCTCCGCGGCTGCAAAGTGGGACGTAGGATGGCTGTCCACAGCTGCAGACAAGAAACCTGCCTTCCTGTTTGGTCACCAACAGGGATACATGCTTGTCTGGCCGGAGGGGAAAGACAAGATTCTCCGGTTTGAGACCGAGAATGGAGAAGAGAGTGAGGATAGTTTGTATGATATTCTGACTGGTAGGACGCCGGTGCCGAGATTGTATCATGATGATGACAAGGGGATGTTGGAGGATGGAGAGGGACTGGACGATAGCAGAGGGTTTGAAGGCGTGGATGTGGATGCGTACGAGGTTAGCATGGGGAGCTTCGAGGATACTTCCAGGGAGAAGAGGAAGGGTCCGCCAAGGGGGAGGAGTGTGCTGGATGAGAGTGGGTTGGATGAGATGTTCTGAGGTCTTCACAGAAGAGCATAACGTTCGGCGTTGGTTGGAAAGGACAATCATATACCCTCCTGTGCCTTGCGTTGGGAATTGATCACACATAGTCATTCACAATATAAACTGGTCAACCTGACCTTTTCATCCATTACCACAGAGAAGTAAAGCTCCAGGATATCACAAAATCGCTCAACAGCCTAGTCCTCATCCCTAAACCCCCACCGGCCCGTCTGATCCAACCCCAGCGGATTATCCCCCGTCTGCTCCTTGCCCGCAATCTTCTCTGGCCGGTGCAAATAGCTATCCTTATTATCTCCTCCGATGATCTCCATGCGCTCTTCCTTTGTGCCCATCAGAGGGCCTAGGGCAGGCTTCGTGGTTCCGCCGACAGCATCGCCGAGAGGCTTTGTGACCTTTTCGAGCGGAGCGCCGACGGGGCGGAGGCCGGTGTTGAGGACTTTGCCTGGGAAAGGGACGAGGGTGTGAGTGGATGCGTGCGTAAATTGGTGAGATAGGTACGGAAGGGAAGGGGAGGCAATGACATGTGGAAAAAGACAGGGTAGGGAGTGTACTTACCTATTGGGTCGCCGACAGTGGAGAGTAGGCCACCCGTCCCTTTCTGTTGTTCTTCCTCGCCATGCTCCTCGTAGGCGGGGTTGGGGATGTGTTGTTGCTGTCCCTCCTTGTCTGGCATAGTTGTGGTGGATTGATCCAGATGTGAAACAAAAGTCTGAGATGATTCCCTTCGTGTTTACATTCGAGTTAAAAGCTCCTAGTAACGTGTTCTTTTCGTTGATCTGCACCTGTGCATAAAGAAGCCAGAGCCCATTTATAGAGGTTGGGGGGCCGGCCAATGACGTCAGTCGATGGAGGTGGCTTTGTGTTCACGCAGGCCAAATTCCCGTTGTTGCAGCGCAGCTCAGGGGAGTGCGGGATAGGCCAGTATCACAGTACAAGTTGCGTCACAGAGCGCGGGGTGGTTGTACCACAGTACTGTGTAGTCGTGGTGGTGGCGATTATCGAGCATCCAGCTGACGCATAACAGACGCTGCTGGGGATTTGTACCCTAAAGAACACCACCCGACTCAAGTACAAGCATGTCGTCGCTGGGTCACTATCGCCTGCGATGAGGTTCGGGAATGATGCAGAGATGGGGAGATAGGGAGGAATAGGATTACTACCTAACAATCGTTACCGGAAATATCCTTAGGTCTTCCAACACCCAAACAGCAGACGAAATTTTATAGGAACAAGACCGAAAACCAAATACGCTGAAACCACGAGAAGTAAAACAAAGGGTATTCAGTGTGTGGACATTACCCGGAGAGCCGTCACTTCATACTGCACTCCGATGCGCCGTGTACGTAGAAACTGCGCAAAAACCGGAACGACTTTGCGAGCCGGGCGATGTATAATGACAGTGACCATGGTGGAAGCCGTGCGACAATGGACCCATGGCAATTCTAATAGTTACGCCCGGGGGGAGCGGATATAGTGCCATAATCTTGTGGTTCGTCCTCTTCCACTAGGCTGTCGAGGACGCTGTCCATGTCCGTCACCGTCATGGCATCTTCCTCGGCGAGCTTCTTCCGCATGCGATATGTCTGCACGCTCACGTACACCACGAGAGCGGTTCCAAGGACGAAGCCTGCCACGGCTAGGAACACGTTGACTGGGATCGGGTTACCCTCGAAAGGTCCCTTGGTAAGCGCGTCGATGCCGGTCTGGCACAGATTGATGAGGCCAGAGAAGCAGATGATGGTGCCATAGACGCGACCAAATGTGGCAAACCCAAAGACCTTGGCTGCATAGTCGGACATTGCCGAGTAGTAGAAGGGCCGGAGAAGGCAGAAGAGCACAACGTTCACGTAGCCGGCCCACAGAGCGGGTATCGAGCCCACCACCCCTATTGCGGTAATGATGAGAGTGAGAAGCAATAGGACCACGCGCGTACTGAGGTTATCAAGCATGATGCCGAGGAAAGGCGTAGACAGGACGCCGCCAATTGGGAGCGCCCAGTCAAAAAAGTCGTTGATGCGTGCTGCGAGAATCGTCGAGTCGAGCATATAGGTGTACTGCTCGCGAATCGTAGCAATGAAGTAATTCATGCGGATCATCTGCAAAACAGTCAGGAGAGCGAGAAGATAGAACCAGGGGCTGAGCATCTGCTCTCTGGCGGTTTTGTTGTGCAGAGCACCCCAGACGCCAGAGACCTCGTGCTTGTGTTCCTCTTGCTCTTCTCTGTGCTTCCTTGTCTCTGGACCTCCAACCAGCTCGTCGAGTTTCTTGAGTCGACGTTGCCGATGTAGGCTTCTGGTCTTCCGGACCTTCCAAACTTCCTCGTCTGGCAGCTCTTCATCCGAGGAATGGACGTCGCGGGTGTCATCCTCGGCTCGTGCAATCTTCATCTCCAGCTGTGGCGCTGTCTTGTAGTTCTCGGTCGGCAAGAAGGTAAGTTGAGCGACAACTATTGCCAACGGGACTACTAGGTAGGCTAGAAAGAAGGTTTGGGGCTTGAAGGCACCCCCGGTCGCATCATAGGCAAGTCTGTAGAAGAGGAAGACGGCAGCGGAGGCGTCGAAGGCGCCAGTAATTGTAGCAACGATGGTTCCGGCATATTTAGGGAAGGCATTGGCGATCTGGAACGAGGGCAAGAAGATGGCAGAGCCACCGAGGGCTAAGAAGAAATTGCCTAGGGTATATCCATCGAATTCGTCAACCCTGAAGGCAAGGCTCATGAGGATACTGCCGACAGATAGGCAGGCACTTCCAAACAAGAAGCATACCTTGGGCCCGTAGCGGTCTAGAATGGCCCCTATCGGCAGGGCTGATACGTTAGTTGTAGTCGAAGCCAGGCTGAAGAAGAAGTTCAGGCGCAGGTCCTGCTTATAGCACACTTCGACACCGGCATCGAGTTCGTCCTGGTCACACATTTCGCGGAAGACGCCCTCATTGATGAGAATGGGTTTCAGGGCTGCGAAGCCAAAGACGATGCCGCTGGCGAACCAGCAAGCAAGCACTGTAGTAATCACCTGCGCTGCGGGCAGGTGTCAGTACTCGTTCGAGTGATGGGTAGGGGGTCAGGTGACCTTACCTAGGCGCTTGAAGGTAGAGACGTGATACTGGGTGACACCGCCATATTCCTCGGCGACGGTGGTCTCCTCGGGCGGCTTCAGAGCATCATAACTGATGACCCGCCGTACGGACCTTTGGCTACCGCCGAAGCCGCTTTCAAGGGAGAGACGACGTTCCCTGGCGCGCTCCACGGATGCATGGCGTTCTATCGGCGGCAGAAAGAGGTCGACCAACGCCTCTTCCCTGTCTGCGCCCTCCTGTGTGTGGACATGCTGAATCAGAGACATGGGAGCTCAGCGAGAGTCGGAGAGGAGGGAGAGCAGCGACGAGGGCAATCCTCAATGGCCCTCGAGGGAGGGGAGCAGGATAAATACCGTAGTCAGGAGGACGGGAAAAAAGGTGGAGAAGAGGTGGTCGATTCAAGTCAGTCAGTAGGTATGCGGGAGCTCTATCGGTGTCGGTCGGTAGGGCCCCAAGCGGTTGGCTATGGGTGGTATATAGCCTGGGCTACCCCACCGAGGACGTTCCAGAACGGCGTACGACCGAGTTATAAAGATGGCATCAAGGAGAGGATGCGAGGCGATGAGCTTCGCACTCGGGAGCTCCGGTGGCCGTGGTATGTGGGTGTGTGTGTGTGTGAAGGAGAGAAATTGCAGCTTGCCAGAGCAGAAGCAGAATTTCTCTTGTTTTCGATGGAGTTGGCCGGAGTTTCGGCTTCAATGTTCGCACTTTCTGATTTGCGGAGCTCGGAGCTCTCGCGCACTAGCCGGATCGGGCAGGGAGGTGGGAAACTTGGAAGGGTCGCGAAACCTCTTGGATGGATAATAATAAGTAGATGAGTTCGTCGTCGTCAGCGTCGAGATAACGACCACGGATTCGGGAGAGATAGTATGATGTGGTGTGTGTCTGTGATGCGTCTCCTCTAGGCTAAACTTGGTTACGCCAGCACCCTCCTCGGTTGTGCACACCTAGGGAATAATCGAAACAATTGGCTTGAATTTCCCAAGTTTTCATTAGGCTTCGATCACTGTAGTTGTCGCAATGGGAAGGCGGTTGGGCAGGTTCTGAAGTCGTGTCCCACAGGGTCGGGGTTGATAGCTTTCAAGTGTGCCTTGCAAACATGTCATGCAGGTGTCTTGTCGCTTTGGGTATCCTATCGGCATTTCCTGGTTTCACCCGCCCAGTCGCCCGTGTTGGAAAGATCAATGAATGCTGCATCCAACACAAACGAGCAGCGTTTACGAATCGTCAATTGGTGTTTCATCGACGAAACTCATTCACTGTCCTAGTCAGTGACAGTAAGCAAGACATCCAAACCAGAGCATACTTTGCCTGAGATACAATGTGTACACCGTCGTCCATGGTAATCGAAGCATCCGAGCATCTTAGTCTTCATCGTGTAACAGACTGCTCTTGTGCCAGCTAATATGAGCGGCCGTCAAGTCCACAACCGCGTGTCTCCACTGAAACTGACGAGAGAGCTTGTCTTGAGCTGCCTGCGTGCTCCCAATGCGCCATCGCACGGGAAGCCGAGGCCAGAGAGCCCTTGGGTGTTGGTCGAGGACATGATCGCTCCCAGTGCCGAAGTCGATATGCACAGTCTCCGGGACGTCATGGACTGGCTCGATGCTTTAGCGGACCAGGAACACCAAAGGATTGACTGGTCCCCAGGATACGACCAGCAGGAGTCGCTCTTCTCCAATAAATAATCAATCCCACTCTTTTCATTTCGGTCGACATACAGAGCATCAGGTCGGCAAGACCACCTTGACTCTGATCTTCGGTCCAGGACAGGCGTGAGGGGTACCAAGAAAGTGTAGGGACCTCGGGGACGAGAGTGGGAATGATGGAGGTGCAAAAGAATAGTAGATTCGCATCTACTGTATGCCCTAGGAGCTATGTATTATCGAAATAGTGAGAGGGTGACAAGAAGAAGGGTCTGATCTACGCTTCATTCCCCACGGCTAGTCGTAGGCACACTTACGATTTACTTATATTCCACGACCTGCGCAATATCGCCATCTCTGCACCTCTTGCGACATGGCGCCTCCTGACCCTACCGTGTTGCATGTGTTATTTATTAGGCTCCGAAGCGTACCATTGTTCAAAAGTAACGCGTCACCACTGCTGAAACCCCAAGCCCTACAAATGTGGGCAAGCAGAGGGTGTGCATCGATGAGTGTCATATACAGTACAGACATTGGATGGTGAGTGATTTTGGGTATGGGGGCCAAATCCGGCTAGACTTGCAGAATCCGTCGGATTGATGGGTTTTTCTGCAGTCGGGAAACATCGGAAGCCGAGTCGCAAAAACCTTGGCGGTTCTGGCGGGTTCAGAGGAACTTTTCCCCAGCAAGGCCGTCATCCTCATCCCCGATCTCTCTTCGTTTCCTGTGTCCAGTCCATTCCACCGCCTCCAATCCACCCACACCTCTCCGCTCATTTCTTCTTCCCGTCGCATCAAAGCACAATGGCCGCAACCGCTCCTCCCACGTCGACTGGCTCCACCAAGCTGGATGCCATCAAGCAGACGGCTGCCGCCGCCGACCCGACAAAGCCTTCGGGCATCGATCTCTACGCCAGATTCGCCTTCGCTGGTGCCGTCTGCTGCTCCGTCACCCACGGCGCCCTGACACCCGTCGATGTGTACGTTTTGCGACTCGATTCCAGCGTGCGGGGGCCTTCAATGGCTCCCTGTTGACATTGGGGACCCTCATGTTGACATGTCCGGCTAACTCCCAATCGCAGCGTCAAGACCCGCATCCAGCTCGACCCCGTCACATACAACCGCGGCCTCGTCGGTGGCTTCAGGCAGGTCATCCAGAACGAGGGTAGCGCTGCCCTCCTCACCGGCTTCGGGCCCACCGCTGCTGGTTACTTCCTGCAAGGCGCCTTCAAGTTTGGCGGTTACGAGTTCTTCAAGCAGCAATGTATCAACTTCCTCGGCTACGAGACCGCGTCGCGAAACCGGACTGCCGTCTACCTCGCCTCGTCGGCAACTGCCGAGTTCTTCGCGGATATCGCCCTCTGCCCTCTTGAGGCCACCCGTATCCGTCTCGTCTCTGAGCCTACCTTCGCCAACGGTCTCATCGGCGGCTTCACCAAGATTCTGAAGAACGAGGGTGTCGGTGCCTTCTACTCCGGCTTCGGCCCCATCCTTTTCAAGCAGTACGTATTGAAGGAGCTGCCGCCCAGCCAATGGGTGAGCTGACACTCGGAATAGGGTTCCTTATACCATGGCCAAGTTCGTCGTCTTCGAGAAGGTCAACGAGGCCATCTACCGCACAGTCGACAAGTCCAAGGCCTCCAACGGCACCCAGACCGCCATCAACCTCGGCTCTGGTCTCATCGCCGGTTTCGCCGCTGCCATCGTCTCGCAGCCCGCTGATACCATGCTTTCCAAGATCAACAAGACCCCTGGTCTGCCCGGAGAGGGTACCACCAGCCGTCTCATCAAGATCGCCAAGGAGCTCGGCTTCCGTGGCTCCTATGCCGGTATTGGTGCTCGTCTATTCATGGTTGGTACTCTTACTGGTTCGTCAACTCGATCCTTTGGTAGGAATGGCGTTTCTAACATTTTGCAGCCGGTCAGTTCGCCATTTACGGGGATATCAAGAAGGCTCTCGGAGCGACAGGCGGTGTCGAGATCGCCAAATAGACGTATCAAACGAGCGAGTTTGGGCAAAGTGGTTGGCCGGCATGACAACAACCATGCCGGGACCGTCACATCAACGTTGGGCATACTAGCGAAAAAGTTCGGCGTGTCTTTATTTCTTGCATATGATTGCCATGGCTCTGTTTCATTTACATTCCCCCCGTCTGTTCGCGTTTGTTCTGCAGCCTATACTCATAGATTTCCCACTTGCTGTATAGAACCGGTGTTGGCCTATGTAACAGTACGATTCGGAGATTTGCTGCATAATAGACGGAACATTATAATTCTAGATGGACCCTCTCTCCACTATAACTTGGCATTGATGTATGCAGTGAGATTGGGGATCGTCGCCAAGGCGCCAGGCGGCTTGTATGATTGATAGGAGTGCAAGCCGTAAGAGGCTTAGCGTACTTTACCTTTACCTCTTCAAGCCTCGCCTGAAGGACCTCCAGTTCATCTCCAGCTCACCTCGACCACCTTCACCCTTACGGCTGCACCTGAAACCTCAGAACCTACATCTCCACTGATAGGTCGTTGGTCCACTACGAGTCCAGGCTCTTGGGCAGTCAAGTCTGACATGTCTCAAGCATAGGACGAGCGTCCATGTAAGTCGAGCATCTCCTCTTTATCTTCTTGTCTGCCGACGATGAAAAAGTTCATCCTTAGACCGAGATCCACTCTTTCCACTCTCCTCCGTCGCAGCTTCGATTTCCAGGCTCTGGACCAGGCGGAGAGTACAGCCGTTGGCAGCGACGTCCTGCGGCGACTGTGGATCGAGTTCAGCCCGTCACACGGTTGCAAGACCCTGTCGTCCTAGGGCTAGTCAACAGAGGCTGCGAGTCCTGGACATCTTGGTGGAGTAAGCTGGGCGGTTGGGGTTGGGATGTTGGTGGGTTGTTGACGACCTTAATCTTCTCTCTGAGGCTTGTGTTGTGGCTATGAGGGTGCGTCTCCTGCTCTCGTGCTTTTGCTAACAAGTCGTTTCTAGAGGCCCCAAAGGTGGGTACGAATGTTCATCAGGAAGCCAAACACCACCCTGTTCGCTGTAGAGCTTGATACCCCGGAGCAAGAATTTGCAAAGAACTTTCATAACGTCACGAGATAGCACTGAGCCCGTATGGAAAGTCTTTACTTCATATTGGCCGTTCCTCCGTAATGCTTCACCGAACAGTATCAATGTGATGAGGTTCGCTAGAGGTTCCCCGTGAGTCCCATTTGGAGATATGGAGAAACGGAGGAAGCAAGGCAAAGCATCCTAGTTTGACAGTGAAAACACAACCCAAACAGCTCCCCCGGGGCCTTTACTCTGTGTACTGTGTATGCTACATAGGTACCGCATGCGTCCCCAACCTTGTGGAAGCCGCTGGCATGGTGGGGTAGCTTCCTGTTGTGAAAGCAAACAGCTCCCGAATCGTCGATGATGACGTCAAAACCACCACCACTTCCAAGGTTCAAAGCGACCACCCACCTGACATCTCGGATTTCCCCTCCCAACTACACAGTACAAACTTGACCTGCGCACAATCAAGGCTTCGAATTCCAACTGAAATAGAGCACACTACTGTTGAACTGTCCCTCCCCTCAATCCAAGGACTACGCATCACGAAACATGGCGAACATCCCCACCTCAACGTCCGTCCGCGAGTCGGCCGTCATCGAAGCGCATCCCAGCGACGTCTGGCATGCCATCAAGCTCCAAGACTTCGCCAAGTGGTGGACGCGGCTCGAGAAGAGCGAGTGGGAGAAGGGCCAGTCTCCCGAGACGGACATTGTCAGGTGGACCTTCAAGGATGGCACAGTGTTGGATGTGAAGCAGGAGGAGCATTCGGTAGGTTGAAACCTCCTTCACTTCCCATCTCGACATATCAGTTTGCAGTTTCTTTCCTTGCACGTGGAATGGTCTGGTTATCGTTATTGGGAATGGAAGACATCGACGTACTGACTGAGTATCTGCAGACCATCGATCACTACATCACCTACTCCGTCATTGCCTGCCAGCCCCCTCTGAGCTACACGTCGGTTGTCAGCACGATCCGTGTCTACCCTGTCACGACGGGCAAGCACGAGAACCACACCTTCATCACCTGGTCTGGCAACTACTCCAGTGATGCGGACGCCGGTATGTCGTACCTTCCATGACCCCTTCTGTGCTTGCACTGCCGCCTTACTAACTTATGGGATAGGTGTCATCGAGGATGCAAAGTTCAAGCGCCGCGAGGCATTGGCGGATCTCGAGAAGGCACTTACTAAGAAATAGGACAGAAAAGGGGGACGTGCACATGGAGTCATAACTAAGCCTAAAGCATGCCACGGGATCACGGCGTATTATGAGTCTAGGATTCGGGATCGTTTACGTATGGAAATGAACTTCTTCACAGATGGAAAGCAAAGGCGTTGCAACTGCGGATCCCAGTCGTTTCAGACGGGAGATGATGAGTATACCTTGAGGATTGGAGTATACATTCTCTTATCTTGAGTAGCCCTACCTGTAAATGGTCCTCCCAAGGCTTCGTGTCACGAGTTGTTCGTGACATCGTGGGAACCTCCTGGGTGTCTATTGAGCATGACCCTTCCAGTCAACAGTCCAGGAGAGCGTTCACGATGTTCGTGACGCATGGCTAGGGGCGTGTCTTCCTGCCCAGCGGCTCAAATACGGGGATGCACATAGGCAATTTCAAGGAATTTTGTATATTTAAAACGCTTGTGATGGATTCCAAGATGATCCTGCCTACAAGGCTCCAGTCCGCCTCCCGGGGAAAATAAATGCAGCCTGTTATCCATCATCCAGAAACTGCCCGTCGAAGGCAACCAGAGCCATGAAAGCACGCTTTCGAACTCTTCACCCAATGACTCCTCCGCTACCGTGTACACTTGCCGTGTCTTCGTCAAGATAGGCGCACTGTAGGACTAGGCAACGACGCTCAAACCACTTCTCGTATGAGTGCGCGAGCCTGGCTGCCATAACAGCCTAGGGAAGGGCTGTGAAAGCAAGCCAGCGAGCTCGAGCGCAAACAATCTGCCGAGGAGGGGCGTGCATCAAGCTGCCTAGCCTGATGCCTCTTCTGCCTATCCCTCTTCTTCTGCCACCTCCTTCTCCCGGTTCCATTCATTGATTCCCTTCAGGCAAGTGTACATCGCAGTCCTAGGGCTGGACGAATCAAGGGGGGACCAATCCAGTGTTGGATTTGTTGCGAGTCCGGTGTCCAGTGGGATTCCCACGCCTGCGACTGGTAGGGAGGTGAGGGCGCTTTCGTCGTTTGCTGCTTGTAGGGTTTATATGTCTTTGTCAGGTGGTGAGTGTCCTTTGCGAGGCGGCGTCAAAGGGGAGTGAAAACAGTCTTTGTTTCGTTGACGAAGTGGGGTTCTATTGATAGGCACAATGGGGTTTATCGTTATGATGCGCAAAAGCGAAACCGACCGTGTCCCATATCCAGTGTGTGGAGATCCAGTACCTTCCTTGGAAAGAGAGGAGTGGGAGAGATTGTGGGAGAAGAAGAATTAGGGTAGAATGGTTCCCGTCCTCAAGGATCCACATAATCTGTCTCCCCGTCAAAAAGCCCCGTCACGACCCTCAACATGGGCTCCAGAAGGCTCAACTCGTCGCCGGCCTCGCCGCCGAAGAAGCGCAGACGTTGGGCCTCGTCCAACGCCTGCTGCTCCTGCTGGCGATGGAGCTGGTTGCGCGTCTGCCAGGCCGCGTACATTCTATCCCAGTGGTTCCAGTGGTCTTGAGGGCGGCTTCCCGGGGGATAGTATGTTGGCGGTGGCAGGAAGGTTGGGTTTGAGGCCATGGACGCATACGAGGCCTCTGTGTCTATGGAGTACGTCCGGATATGGGTGGAACGGGCATGGCCAGAATCACGGTGACGCGGGCGACTACGCGTACGCTTTCTGTTGTGTCTTTTGCTCATGGTGTTGTGATAGTAAATTAAAAGAAGGAGAAGTAATGGAAATGATGATGGAGATATGATTGAGCGGTACGACAACCCTCGCAACAAAGCGAAAGGGTCGCGATGTTAAAATCAGAGGTATTGAGAAAAGAGACACCCTACCCAGTCTTTATACCAGATGTACATGAGCGCATCAGGCGCAAGTCTGACCAGTCAGAGGGTCATCCGTGAGTCATCGCCACAAAGCTTTGCGCGTGTGGTGTGAGTGTGAGTCTGTGTGCCAGAGACGTGCGATGGCATGACTGGTCAGGCTGCCCAGGTGATGTGGCGAAGCCGAGAATTCCCGATATCGGGCTTTTGGGCACCATGCGAGTTTCTGTGCACAAGGCTGTTCTCTTCCAACTTCTCACAGAGATACAGTACACAGTACAAGTACAGTATGCCCCAAGGAGAGTAAGCACAGCCGAGTTCTTTTGTTTACTGTGGCCTATCAAGGTGCTTCTGCAGTTTTCTATCTACAAGTACCAACACGGGGCATGTGGCACATGAAAACAAGTGGCTGTGCGTCGTAGCCACAGGATATCCGCCCGTTACCCTATATTCATGTTGTCCAATGTTGGAGGTCGCGTTGAACCTCCACAAACACGCTCCCATCTGCGAGAGGGCAGGGGGCAAGGGTGAACTTGATTTCAAGAAAAGGACAGGAGCAGCGTGACTTCTGAGGTTTTGCTGCATGTATGAGGCATGGTAAGTAGATTGCCCTCCACGTCCCGATTCACCAAGCGCTGCTGCGTTCAGGTGCCGTAACGAAGCATCAGCACAATAACAGTCGAGCAGTTGGCATACATCGCAGCCTATACAGCACCTGGACCATAGCGGACGAGCCCTCAACCTCTCTTCAATTTAGCTAAGTCGACATTCAGCTTTAACAACCGACGGGCGACTCTTGGAGCATCTATCGCTCCTCCAGCCCTTGCGCTTCCCGCAAACGAAACCCAACTCACTCCCACGAGTCCTGACTTTCGTCGAGAAGACATAGCTTTGACTCGGGACTGTGCGCTGATGCTTCTTGCACGCCTCCGCTACTTCATACCTTCTACATAATCCATGAATGCTCTTGAAGGGTCCCTTCTCTGCAAATGTATATGATTTGAACCTACAATGCGTGCGCTTCACGCTCCCTTCGCACCCACCAGGAATCATCCTCTCTGCGCCCGGGGGAGTCTGGCCCCTGAATGTCATCGAAGCTCTCTGCTTTTGAGCGTAGAAAGGCATGAGCCTCGCCATCTGGCCAGAATGGACTCTGATATCAATTTGCTGAGGACCTCTGGAAGCCCCAGCCTCGGGACCAAATATCTCACGCCGAGGAGTTGGGGAAATCCCGCGAAACCCACACTGGCTAGTGCCTCGCATTCCACGCGAGCCTATAAATAGAAACTTACCACAGTAAGGATAGTGTGGTTCGCAGAGCCATGACCGAGGCCACGACCGCGACTGAACGGTGATGGATTCTGGAGTCTTGGGGCTCCTGGAGGAGGAGCCTTGGGGATCTGAAGAGGAAGCATTGGCAGGAATGTACATGTATAGCCGGCATGTACTCCGTGTACACAGTACATCTGCAGGTTTTTCCGGCAGATAGGGGGAGCATCCAATCTGGTAGGAAGAATACAACAGTAAGAAGCACCAGCACGGATACGAGTGGGAGGAGTAGCTCGTATCGTCCCATGCAAAGACAACCAGCTCTCCACCTTTAGCGGCCAGCCTGTTGAATGTATTCTCGAGTTTACCCTTCTCCTCTGATCTGGCTGCTTCAAAGCGACGAGCCCCCCACTACTTGGTGTGATGGATACATATAATACAGAGTAGATGGCGCGCTCTCTACTCTCATTGTTGCACTGCCACCACCACCCGCACTCTCGCCGTGCTGGAGGAAGACGGTTTTATAGGCTCGCGCCTCTGACTGCTCCATATGCATAGGTGCTGATTCCAAGGTTCCCTGCTTTTCCGCACGTGCACCGAGCCGGGGCTGAAAGTGCACACCAGCCCTGGAGGGCAAGGTCCCAAGTTACAAGAGAAGAGGTGAGCAGCCTTCGCAAACCACCACTCAACTGCCATTCTCCGACCTCCCTATGTTGTCTTACTCGTCCGATGCGCGACCTGCCACTCGCGGGTGCAGCAACTGAGACTCGTCGGTCGTAATCGCCAGAGCGCCAGTTGATCAACGCCAATCGAGGCCCGCGTTTGGTCCTCGCCGTTTATTCTTAGGTGAAGCACGTCGCTCTCTCTAGACTCTCCCCAGTCCTCCCGCCCCGCCCCCTCTCACAGCGTCCACCCGCCGCCGCACGAAGCTCTTGGCCCTCCAAACGCCGGAGATGCCTTCGAAGTTTTCATGGCACAAGTCGAATCGCGCACACTCGTCCACCGAGAGTTCTGGCCATCCCTCTCCCGTGCCTTCTGGTAAGTGAGCGGCGTTGGAGTGTGGACAGTTCACCGACTCGTGCGGCTGACCAAAGTGCTGCTAGTGAACAACGAAGTCGCGCCCCAACAACAACAACAACAACATCAACAAGCTCCTTCCCCTAATAATCAACAGCCCCAAATACAGCAGATTTCTCAGACCGCGAACGAGACTGCGTACGGTCACCAATTCCCCCAACGCGCCACGAGCCACCGTCACTCGACCCACCTTTCCCTCGACCAGACGGCGCAGCACGTCCAGGGCGGACCTCCTTCCGCAGGCTCTCAACACTCGCCGAGCATTGAACAGCGACGTGGTTCCTACCAGCCTCAGTCAACGCCGTACGGGCACCACGAGGGGCACAAGAAGTCGTTGGGCAGTCGCATCACGGCTCGGCTGACTGGTCATAGCAAAGACGCTGACGATCACGGTCGGCACTCGAACAAGAACGGTCTTGGACGACGCGTCTCCATCAGGAGAAGCGACGGCCAGCCAGACATCTATTCCCAAGGCCACGACAGGTTGCAGGCCGGAAAGTGGAATCAAAGGCAAGGCTCGAGTGCCCATCTGCCTACTTCGACGGAGCAGGACGAAAGCAACCTGGACTTGGATCCCTTCCTGCAGCAAGAAGACGACGAGACCCCAGAGCCCCCGCCAAAGGACATTCAATACCAACAGCATTCGCAGCAGTACGATCGGCCCCCACTCGCTAGAGTGGAAACCGAAGGGAGCTATCACGGCCAGGGCGGGGTAGAACAACAACAACACTACAGCCCCGACCAGCAGGGTGCGCCGACACCACAACAACAATACCAGAGCTACCAGCCGCCTGCCTTGCAACAACAGCAGTCGGCAACCGAGTACCAGGCCTTCCATCCGCAGACGACGCCTAGCCCGCACCCCAGCAACGCATCCCACGAGCTGACCCAGTCGCAGCAGAGCTACTATCAGTATCTACAGCAGCAGCAGCAACCAATACAGCAACCACACCTCCAGCAGCAGGCTGTTCAAGACGGCCAACCACCCTCAGTTCATTACCAACAGCAGTATCCGCCTCTGGCTCCTCCACAACAAGGTCAAGACTTTCCCAACACGCACGCCCAAGACGTTCCTCCGCCCTCGCAGCATCAGGAACTCCACCTAGGCCATACAGTCCGTGCTCTCTCCCAGAATCGTCCCACTGATAGCCCACATCCTCAGCAGCTTCGTCCTCCCTCGTCGCAGCAACTGGCCCCGCCATCGCCCGTACAGCAGCCCCCTCCATACCAGGCTTACGACTCCCAGCAGCAGACTCATTCCTCTCAAACGGTCGAGGCCCACCCGGAAAACGCAACGCAGCAAGGGCAGGACAGCATGCCTCCAGGCCAGCAGCGTAACACGCTGCGGAAGGTCAATGAAACGGGCGGCCCTCCCCCAGGCGCACCTTCTCGAGAGTCTTCATTGCTACAGCAGCCGTCAGCCAAAGGTCAGAATCATGGGAAGCCGCCGGTTTCACCTGGAATTGCCACGTTTGGGGCTAACGTCGTGCCAACAGCTTCTCAAGGGCAGCCATATCGAGGGGAAGCCCAAGGTCAGCAGGACCAGGTGAACGAGATGGGCCGAGCGACGCCTGTACCTCGCTCTACGAGCGATATATCTGAGGAGGAAGTGGCCAAGCTTCGCAATGACTTGGAGACCCTACGTGAGTTTCTTGGGTGATGTGGAAGGCGGGAGCTAACCGTGATAGGCGAAAAATATCAAAAGGTGAAGAGGTACTTTTTTGACAAGGAGGCGCAGGTGCACGCGCTGCAAAATACTCTCGCAAACCAACGGTTGTCACTCTCTCGCACGTCAATGGATGATAGCGAGTACGCCACCCGCTTCAACAGACTGGACGGGCTGATAGCACAGCTGTCGTTCGCTATTCGCAAGGAGTGGAAGTCGATCCCGCCCTGGTTGCAGACTGTAGTGAACAAGAACGCGGTCGAGACCGGTAAGCAGGAGATGACGGCTGTGGGTCGAGCATTCATCTCATCGTGGCTTGTCGAGAACATCTTCGACAAGTATTTCCATCCAGACTTGGATCCCGGTCTGTCGACTCAGTTGAAGACCATTCAACTGAACATCCGTAAACTGTCACCGCCTTGCCACACGACAGAGGACGAAGAGGCTCTGGTAGCAAAGGTGGTGAACTGGCGCCTGGCGACGCTGGAGGGCCTTGCCGAAATGCTACGCTCGCCTCAGTCCCACACCAACCGTCAGAATCTCATTGAGACTCTTAACGAGAGCCTGATAGGCTCTCTGCAGATGTACCTGAACGACCCTGCACCTCCAGATCTCAACGGCGGTGTACCCATGATAATCGAGCTCGCCGTCAATGTCGCTCAACATCTCCCCCTTGAGAGTCGTGAGGTACACATCGAATACTTCCCACCGGGCCATGGCCTTGTCTCGGATTACATGAAGGTAGAGACGGGAATACCGGCTCTGACGAGTCCGATCCTGGAGTTTGAGGACGCAGCTTCTATGAGGAGTGTAGCCATGGACGATGCTTCTTCGCTCGCAGAACAGCAGGACGGGCAAGCTCAGCAGAGCGACCAACCTCCCAAGGAAGGCGGCGCCAGCGAGAAGAAACGGGGCATGTTCGGTTTTGGCGGTGCAAAGAAGCCTGCACAATCCCTCTCCCAGCGCGACAAGCGCGAATCTTCGCTCGGCCAGGGCGGAAGTCAGCAGAGCCTCCAGACTCCGAATCAGAATCCGCCGGGGACCTCCAGCGGTGGAAGAGGAGAGGAGCAGCAGGCGCCGAGGGTGAGGATGGCGGTGGGTCTGGCGGTGCAGATTAGGGGGAAGAGCATCTTGATTAAGGCGCCTGTGTATAGCACGTGAGGGAGCGAGAAAGATTGGTTGCCTTCTAGCTGTTGTCGCTGTTAGCGAGCGTGCAAGCGTTGTTTGGACATGCAGGTTGGGGATTAGCGGTAGCATGGTGTATCTTCTTGGTCTTGATTTCTCCTTTTCGTTCAGTTCTTGATACACCCTTGAGCTAGAGACTTTACAAGGACACTCTTCCGACAATATGGGTTTCCTGCTGTGGCAGGTGAATCCTCGAGAGAGACTCTACATCTGGTTTGGTTTATGATGAAGGAGTTGTATGCATACCGATACCCTCGCTTGTTTATACGGTTGTAGAGGAAGGGTAGTAGTCTAGAATAAAGGAGGTTTACGTTAATCGAGTTGTGCGAGAATATTGATGAGTCCAACTTGCTCAGGACTTCAGGATATGCTTAAAAGGATTGCTAAATAAGCACGTCGCAAGGCCAATGTTAAGCATTTCCCTTGAACGGTTGAGGGGAGGAGTTTTGGAGTCTCGGCGCCAACCCTATTTTTCTTTCTCAGAACCAGCATCAGCAAATACTCCTGATGATATATCTGTTACGCCTCCCAGTCGCTCAACTTTCACTTTCGACTATCCCTCTCAATATAAACTTATCGATCACTTTTTTATAAAATAAGATTGGCTGAATGGTCTAGTGGTATGATTCTCGCTTTGGGTCACTGCCTAACATGCGAGAGGTCCCGTGTTCGATCCACGGTTCAGCCCTTTTTTCCCAATTTTTTTTGAATGCTTTTTGACATTGAACATACATAGCCCAGGGCGCTGAGGCTGGCAGAGACGATATGACAACGGCTCTCTAGATTTCGTCGGAACAAGGGTCAGGGAATATGCGCTGAATGCCCCTCGTTATTATAAACCGAGCTCCTTCATTTTGGTCTCCTCCCTTGGGCCTCCCAAATTTTCCCTTGGATGCGCAGGATGGTCGGATGTCTGAAAGGAGCAGCGACGGTGACGTCTTCATCATTCTTCTTGGTTTCAGCGAATATGAAAATGTGCAGAAGGCGTGCACTATGTTCCTCGTTTGTAAGATCACTGGCTTCCCATGCTTTGAAGTTCGTAGACATACTCCTCGCCAGTCACTTCGGTTTCCCAACTCTTTCATCCGACACGCTGGAACGAGGGAAGCTCGAGGAAGAAACTGACGGTAGCGTGTGATTACATTCTTCGCTTTTCAAATGGACAGGAACGGCGAGAAGTGACGCGGTTGGACGGAAAATGGAATAGGGAAGTGGACTCTGTGCTCTCATCCATCGCACCCGTGACGTACTCTCCTCGTAGGAGCCGCTCCGTTGATGTCTTGCCGGCGCTGAAGAACGGCGGCCCCATCCACGATGCCGATGGCCAGGTTGTCAAGGCGCAGCATATTGGGGGTTGTGAGTGGAGGAGGTAGAAGTTCGCCCCTTTGTGGGCGGAGAGCGAAGAGGCGTGTAGGTTGAATCCTGGATTGCAAGCAATTTGCTTTCTCAGCATCTGTGCGTGTGACGCGCACCGGATAGTTGCATGTTGCAGCATACTTCAGAGGAGCGGAAGATTCGGGAAGACAGGCAGCTCCATCGCGTTGCACACACAAACAATGGTGAATACACGAGATGCGGGCCCAGGACAGCACAGGCACAGGCACCATAACACTGAACGAGTGCGTCTATAGCCGGGCCTTCTCCCTCTGCAACTCTGCCGTCAACAAATCAACACCAACCCTCTTCGCCTCCTCATTCAGTGCATCCAACTCAGCCTGCACAACGGGTATCCCCTCCCTCATCCTCCTCTCCCTTGTCACCAATTCCACCTCTCCGGGGAAGTAAATCCTATCCACGCCTTCCGCACGCTCCGCCCCTGTCACCCTTTCATACAGATACTGCATCCTCGCTGCGAACTCTTGGCGACTAAGGAACAGATCTGGACGGATGGCCAAGAGGAAATGGCCTACGTCTCCAGGGCGAGATGGGTCGTAGGGTCCGGCTACGTTTCCGGCGAACGCACTCCCGGTCAGCACACCTGAAAACACGTCCATCATGATAGCGAGAGCAGATCCCTTCGGCCCTCCCATTGCCAACATAACCCCCTCCAGCGCAGCCTGTGGGTCCTGCGTCTCTCTCCCGTGCTTGTCCAGTGCCCAGCCCTTGGGGATCTGCTCGCCTCTTCGGAGTGCTTTGTACACTTTTCCCCTCGCAGCTACACTAGGTGCCATATCGATGATATACGGCCGACGACCAGGGCCTCCAGGCGCTCCCGCGGCGATTGGGCTCACACCAAGCAACTTCTCCCTCCCGCCATAAGGGGGCAATGCAGGCGATGAGTTTGTAAACACGAGGCTTGCCATGCCCGCATCTAGCGCCTGTTGCACCACCCACGCAGACATGCCAAAGTGATTACTATGCTTGACTGCGACAAGACCAATTCCCATTTCGCCTTGGGCCATTCGTATCGCAGCATCCATTCCCATATGTGCAGCGAGGAAGCCGAAGCCATTGTGCCCATCGACGAGGGCCACGACGGGGGTTATCTGTTTGAGCGTCGGAGACGCATGAGGGTCGAGGACGCCGTGGCGGATGCGCGCGATATATGATGGGAGGCGCTGGATACCGTGAGTGTCGTGGCCACGGAGATCGGCTTCGACGAGGGCAGAGGCAATGATTGCGGCATCAGTACTTGCGACGCCGTTATGCGTGAGGAGGTCTACGGCGAACCGATGCGCCGTGGAGGGTGGGACGAGGAGCAAATGATACGAGGAGGGCATGGTATGATGCTAAAAAGCCCAGACATAGATGTCCGTAGAGCCACTTGACCTGGGATGGGTGGACAAATCATGACGGAGAGTGAGAAGAATAATCCTCCATTTGTCGGAAACGGGAGCTGTTGACGATGATGTCGATAGATGAGATCAGATGCACAGACCAAATCCCGTGTGGGGGTGGGGAAACGGTCAAGCTTTGGCCTGACCAGGGTGGGAGTGCTTCTGGACTTCAGTTCACCGCAACAAGTCGACAACCAGCAGCGGTCGCTGACAAAAGAATCAGGCACAGGATGATTTTATACGACCGTGAGTCGGTTTAGACGGTGCCAGAAGCCACATAATTGTTATTCTCCAGCACTGACAACACCACAAAGGTTTCTACAGTATCTGTTGCCCCTATAGCCTATAGAGAACGAGACGGTGTGGCTAAAGATGGCTTAAGACTCCCATACTGTAATTAGGTATAATACAGGAGTTGTAGAAGCTGTGCGCAAGTAACATTTCCTACGTAATATAGCAATAGATTAAGTAATCTTTTTATCTTAATAGAGAGCGGCATTCGAGACAGATTTCACAACGAGGCTTCCGGCACCGCGCAATAGAAACCAAGGGTTGTCTGTAGGAAACCAGTAATCCAGTCTTCAATGTGTCGCACATAGAGCAGGGTTTGGCCTAGGCTTGGGCAGGGCCTAACTATGGTATCTGCAAAACAACATGTGTGCGAAAGGGGTAGAATTGGGCATGATGATAGCCCACCAAGCAGACAGGATGTGATTGAACGTTCAACGAAAGTCTGTGTTGCTTTATACAATAAACCATGAATACCGTCACCCCATTCTCTGTCCGACGGCCTAACTCTTCCCATCCCCTCCCCTTACTCCTCATCCCGCCACTGCTCCACCAAGCCCGCCTCCCCCTTAACCAGTCCCTCCAGATTCGCCCTAACACTCCACCTGATATACCTACTCCCTTCTTCGGGTTTCCCACTCGCTCCTACGGCAGAAATATCGCTCCTTCCGTTGCCCCCATCAAACCAGTGTGCAAAAACCGGTGGCTGCACAACCACACACATGGGAACTGGTGCCTCGTCTTCCATCTGCGCTCTCGCCTTGCCGCTGCAGTAGTCTGACAAGGCCATGTCGTAGCCCTTGGAGAAGTCGCGGATGCCGAACTCGTAGAGCAGTTTTCGGGCTCCCGGCTGCGTGACGGCGTAGGCGATGGTGCAGAGGGTGCTGTTTGTGCGATGGACGAGGCGGCTGTGTGGAGGGTAGAGGGTGGCCATGGCATCTAGGGGAGCTGAACGCATGAATTTGAGATGTTTGGGTAACGGTATCGTGCGATCGTTGGGGATGAGGATGCGGTTGGGTGAGGCTGAAGAAGGGAGTGGAAGAGTGGCACCGCAGTGGCCGAGCCAGAGGACGTCCCAGGTCAGGTCGTAAGGGGTGTGGTGGGGAGTCTTATGGGATGATAAAGCGGAGAGAGGGACGGTAGAACGGTCGGCCAGGTCAGCTTGAGAGAGGCGCTCCTGGGAAGGTGGGTGTTGTTGTGCTTGGAGTTCCTTTTGAGAAACGAGCGTTGGTATATGAGGAACTGCATGACTGATGCTTGATAGTTGAGAACGGATGCGGAAGTCCCAGTCAGCATCATCCTCTATGATCAAAGCAGAGCTGAGGTTCTGCTCTATGATGCTAGCAGCCTTCGTTAGTTTTCTTGTACGATTGAATGTCCATCCACTATTGTGCCTACGTTCGAAGTGCGTTCATATGAGCCCGCCATGACCCCTTCAATCCATCAGACAGTTGGCGATGATTGCCAGGTGGGTACGCCTTCTCTCGGATGTCTTCGGCCTGTACGCCATCAATCCATTCCAGAGACATGCCGCTGTAGGAGGCAGCGAGCGAGATAGAGTCTCTGCGATCTGTTCGCCACGGTGCGTTGACGACGAAGATCTTTTCGAACTGTACTTTCTTAGGTACTGATTGGGCGAACGATCTTACCATGGGGAACATACACCCAGGGTGGCATTTCCTATGCCGACTGCACCAGTTCCCGACAAGGAGTACTGTTTTGCAAACCCAGGTTTTGGGTAACTACGAACCTGATGTCCAGACCTCACCACAAGAAACAAGACCACTGCGCACAATGCCAGCGCCAGGCAAAGACGGCCACGGCTCAGCGACGGCATACCGAAGTCTCCTAGTCATCGATCCGCCCAGTGCTTTTCCAACACATGCTTTGGGGGTGGAGCCCGCTTTAACTCCGCAGCGGAAAAGTCACTGGCGACAGAAAAAATTGAGAAGAAGACAACTGACAACTCCAACGTAGAGTCGAAACCCCAGAACCAGATGTTACTCGTCGATCTCACTCATCTTACGTAGCATAGATTGCAGGCTAAATGGAAACGCGATTGGGCCAAGTCTGCTCTACATGAACATTACTCTTGCGGCACGTATGGGGTAGATACCGGGGGTATGTACATGAAACCTGCTGCTTGGAAGATATATATCGTATTGTGGTGTGCACCACTCGAGGGTCGTGTATGTACACCCAAGAGCTCGGCGAGCTATGGGCCCGCCTCACTGCCGTATTGGCTGTATGCGAAAAGGACGAATCAGTAATTGAAGGCTCGTTGCGCGAGCGCCACTCGGCGGCTTAATCCCCCATAGATCCACCCGAAGGCGTCGGTATGTCGTTGTAACAAGGCGTCCAATCTTTGAGCTTTCGTCAGCAACGATGACCCTGAGTGGGGGATTCGACTCGCCCAGCTGGACGAATGCTAATTCAACAAGTTTTTGGGGGATGGGAAAGCATAGGGTATGGAGAAGGCACTGTTGCCCAAGCACGGAGGGATGCTTGACTAATGGCGAGCAGTGGGCTCGCAGTGTCGACTTCAAACGCAGTGTCCCGAGGAAAAGATTTACCTATCTGGTCCATGGAACCCTCCCTCAGCGAACTTCATCTCTTTCCAACTCCGCCGCGGACCAAATAACTCACTCCCCGCCCAACTGCGGGATCGCCTGACGACGCCCCCTCCGCGCCACGACCCTCACCACCCCCTTTCTCTCCTGTCCGGGCCTCGCAAGCGTAGGATTCAACATCAATTCGTGTCCGGCACTGCTTCATAAGGCCGCATTGCCTCCGAGTTTCCGTTTGCATCCCCTTTGTCTTCCTTCTCAGGAGTGATATACATCGACACACCCGCGCCGGATGACTCCCCATCCCGCTCCAACAGCATCTGGCGCCAATTCTGCGACTGGGCCTTTCTCTCCTGCCTATGATCGTTGCAACTGGTCATGAAGTCCGTGTTGGGAGTTATGTATATCAACTCGCTCCAGCCATCACTCTTCGGCAGTGCTTCAATATTAAAGTACGTAACCACATCGGACCACCCCTCGACATCCGCAAATCCGTGAAACGCATCATCAATGATCAATTGGTCCAGGTTTAGGCGTCCGATCAATTTGATCGCATCATCGAAGTAATACATGTGGCGGAATTCGGTGCAACCGGCGCCATACAAGGGGAACGGGAGGGGCGTCACGCGAATATGACGGATGCGAGTGATGTGCTCTAGGTCCATGCCCATCAGAGTTTCAATCATAGCTTCTGTGCCGTGGAAGTGGAGCATTGCTCTTTGTGGTAGGATAGGCCATGCTTCGTTGTGGATTTTACTGCAGGTTAGGAGGAGAGCAGCGCGGTTTTGGTTGGACCTGGTGGCATGACGGCCGTGCCCGTGGCGGATCACATAGGAGCCGAAGAGCTGCTCGTAGATGAGTAGGCGTACTTCGGGAGGAAGGGACATAAGATTGGTCGACATTAGTGAGAGAGAAAGATTGGTTGAGGTTGGCAGAGGGAGAGAAGTTTCGGTAAGAGTAGGGAGAGTGCTGGATGTATATGGAAGTGGGAGAGTGGATTGGGTTTGCTTGGGCGTGTGCGGAGACGTTATCAGTAGGCGAGTTGGCGTTCGGCGGCGTCGTCGTAGAGTTACGCCGAAGGACACACTGTGGGGTGTAAAGTACTGACGACAAAGCAACAAAAACCGTGTGTGTGCAGCCGATCGTGGGCAGGAAGAAGTCGAGCAGCTGAACGAAGGTGTATAGAAAAGTAGTCATAGATCTGGCAGCGGGGTTGCGACTGACAGGAGGACGAGTTTCATGAGATGCTCGGGACCCTCTTACCCCTGGTATTTACTATCAGAGTCCAGATTACATCTGCCACCTCTCCGGTACGTATATCTACCCACAAGACAACATGGGCAGGTCAAATGGGTCATCGTCAGCGCACGCTGAACGCTAAAAGCTGGTCACTGACGACGCGCACACGCGCAATGCCCTTGTCTACCGAAAGACGCCGCGCAAAAAAAGTATGGTCAGCACCCGCCTAGTCTCCATCCCGTCAATGACCGCAAGGCTCGATAAGGGTATCAATGCATACGCGTTGTTGCGGCTCGGTCCCCTGCTCTTACATAGCTCTTGATCTCAATCGATTCCATGACGGCCGCGGCCTCGTTCTTGCTCGTGAAGCTTCTTCTTCTGCCACTGCCACTCCACGAGCACGGGTAGAAAGTGCCATAGATCGAACTCCGGCCACAGACAATCTAGGAAAACTATCGAAGTTTTTTCATGGCACTGCCATAGCATGAAATCGCTCAGTCGCTTTACTCCTGACGTTCGTATCAAAAGGTCGAGCGGCGGGGCGCCAGCAGTTAACATATTGTCAGTCAATGTCTCGGCCGTAATCGTCTCAGGGTCCCGATAAACCGGAGCAGTACCTCCGTAGTCATCATGATCTGACGGGTTGATGGCTGTAGATGTGGTTGAAGACTGTTCTCCATCCCCAGCGCTAGAGTTGTCCTTCGACGATGACGGCGAAGCCGACCGTGATGACTGGAATTCAGGCATATCTTCAGGCACGGTCTGGAGCATTTGCTGGCGGATGTGTTGCGTTATGTGCGTTTCGGAGAATGGGCGCTTTGATGGGGTTGAAGGTCCACCTATAGGTTTGCTGTATGTCTCGACTGTCTTCCTCACGGCTGTTGTGATCTCGTCGCGGGAGGTGTATGGGAAGCAGACATTTAATATGGCTCTAGAGAGAAATGTTAGCCGGAAACTGAGGGGCTACGACGATTGGGTAAGTACTTTTTGTTGCCCGCCGTCAGGGCGACAGCCTTGTCGATGGCTTCCAAAACGTCCGGTTTGACCAAACTGCGCTGACCCAGGATGCGAATAGATGCACCGTACCGATCCAGCAGGGCACCGTGCTCTGATAGTTGTTCCAACTTTACTTTCGCCATGCTCATGAGGGCATCCACCTCATGCTTGGAACGCTTAAAGTTCTCTATACTAAAAGCGTAGATGGTAACGACCTTGACGCCGGTTTTGTAGCATACTTCGAGAATCTATGACAGGCGTCAGTAGGATTAACTGGACCATGGAAAGCAGCCTTACCCTTGCCAACGACTCGAATCCTAGATTATGCCCTTCTACCGTCTCAATGTGATGGTTTCTCGCAAAGCGTCGGTTCCCGTCCATGACAAAAGCGACATGCTGAGGGATTGGCCCCTGTCTTAGGGCGCCAATGATGAGTTCGCGCAGTTGTCGAATGCCCCAAACGACGGGCGGTGACGATGCGATCCATTTGTGTATTCGGGAGTTGTGGAGTGAATCGGCCATTTGGAAGCTGAGGAAGTTTGTGAGGAGGAGGATGGGGAAAGGGAACCGGCGGTCTAACAACGGCGAGGGAAGGGCCGAGCAGATTCAGGACGGAGGTATCATGAGGCGAGTTCTATACTGGGTACGGGAAAGTCAATACAGGTCAATGGCTCTTGGGCAACGTAAGACATTCGAGGCGGAGCTTGGATGTGACGCGCCTCCCAGGTCCGAGATGTGCCAGGGGTTGTGGGACGAGCCCCTCGGCGGGTCATATAGAATATCAACTGCGGCGCACAGAATGTAATAAACATAGTAGTTATGGAGGCAGGTACGGAGCAGAACCTGACGAGGTGATCATAAAAACACAATCCTTAGTTATGGCGTCTGATGTCCGTCAAACGACTTCTTGGAAGCACGGCTTCTACAAGTAGAGCATGGCACGTGACTTTCAGGCTTGCTTATGTAACCCTGGGAGTCGGGAGTCTTTCTGATCCCTTCCTGCATGTTTCTTCTTCCTCTCACTTCACATAGAGGCGTGCCTCTGAGCAACAACGCAACCTGATTCAAACCAGATTCGCATGTTTTATCATTGATGGCGGGTCAACCCGGGACCCCAGCCATCCAGCTTGCGGACCAGATTTCGCAGGGTTTTGTTGCGCTGGCCGGCGAGTACCAGTTGCTGCTCGAGCAACAGCAGCTGCTGGAAAGCCAGCTCACTTGGGCGAAACAACAGGTCAGCATACTTTCTCCGAGTTTGTTATTGCTTTCATGATGATCATCCTTAGCTCTAGACCTGCAGCTGCACTGCAGCTTTGACAGACACTTCACATTATCTCTGATTTACATCCAGCACTCCGTGAACCGTATGACCGCTTTGAGCATCAGCTGATTCCCTGCAGTACCTAGACCTTCTCAAGCGTTTCAGCCCTTCGACGCTCTCTCAAGACCATCGAGTCTTTCTCCAAGAGTTGGAGCTTGCTCGCTCAGAGCAGTCCCGCGTCCAAACCCACTGGCTTGATCACATCAGTCGGAATGACGACGGCGAAAGGCAAGAGAGGGTATCCAGAATTCGAACTGCGCAGTCAGCGATACAGAAACTCCATGCCCCAAAAGATAGTGGTGTGAGAATATGGAGTGGCCCGTCGGCAGATATAGATAGATCGAATGTCTCGCCCAAGTCTGCCAAAGCGGATATGTCACCGATAGAGAAAGACTTTACGACTGTGGGGATGCCGAGTAAGTTAGGCTGTCCTTTCGCAGCTGGCAGTCGACGGCAAAGTTCGCTGGCCACTCCCAGAAGCTCCATGTCACGCATGAGTCAAAGGGCGACGCGCTCCAAGCGGCCTTCCTTTAATGATCCCATTCGCGCCGAAATCTGTGGGAATGACATGGTGTCGGCATCTGTATCTATTGAAGGATCCGCACCAGTGTGCCCTATCCGCTTCCTGGACCAACATGCCCCTGAAGAGGTCGCCAAATATTTCGAGAACCACAAACACGAGATTCCCCGGAGCCACGAGATTTGCATCAAGCGTTTTCAAAGCAATGCTGAGCATATAGAACAGCTGGATCGCAAATACGGCAACCTGGTGAGCATGATACAAGGACTTGGGCAGAAGCACCAAGTATTTCTCCCCCCTGAACCTGATGAGGATGGCGCAGAAGATGGCGTGCCCGAGACTGAGGTGAAGACGGATAAGCGGGTGCACAGCTGGGCTGAAGAAGTTTCAGCCAGTTTACACGACGTGAACCCAGATTCAGTCGGTCCTACTGGGAACGGCGCTGAAGAAGCAAGAGAACCCCATTTCGACAGGCCTTTGAAAGAAGTCAGAGTTGGAGAATCCCCCAGCCGTCCTTGGGGCATCTCGATTCCCGCCAAGTATACAGACAACCAGAGCTCATCGTCGGTCGGCTCGGCACCCACGGCATCACCTCGCTCACCGCTTGAGGCGAACGTTGAAGCAACTGAAACGTCGCAGAAGCCTTCCAAGTGTCCATTTGATCACCGAGCTTTGGGTAGGATGGCAGAAGACAAGGGCAACCCGCACGTCGAAGAGTCTGCGTCTCCTGAAGAACCTGCTCAAGCGGATCAGTCCACGTCGAACCCCTCTCCACCACAGCCGAGCGGCCAGCCGGAATATCCCAAGGCTAACCCTCAGGTGGTGCCTCAGATGGTCTTCAATGGCCCTGTGTTCCTCGGTTACCCTCCTGAGCAATTGATGGTGATATTGCAGAACAGTAATCTGGGAAGCATGATGCGTTGAAGGAGTGAAGGCAGGTTACTCTTGGTCCTGAGGAATGCGGTTGGTAGGACTACAGCCTTGCTGCTATTTCTACAGGTAACGTTATGTCTTCACCACCCGTCACCTCCCAAGTCTCCTTTTTCACGCGTCGCATGTGCTGCGACCTCTGCCCGTCTGACTGCTCGACCCTTATGGGCCTACGAGGCTGGGTGCATGGTCTTTATGCAATTCAGCTCGCCATTGACTGTTCGGAGGATCCCGCGGAGATTCCTATCTTTTGGCTGATGGATATGGACCGTGACACATCAAACGTGGGCTCAACTCTGGCAGTACCCCGGCCGCTCGGTACTGCGTGGGTGCGGCTACTTCTTTTTTAGATCGGTGATCCATGTTCGAACGGCTTTGGCACTGTCATGTGCGTCGCGGAAGACTGATTTGATCCGATTAGTAGGTAGTGCAGAGGATGGCGTCTGGTAGCACTCACGCTTCCTCTCCGTCTCATCGAGACCACGCATGAAGTCGGCGCCTTCGCCTAGAGCGCCTCGAGGATTGTGCGCCTGGCCAGCGATGACGGCTGCCCTCGCTTTGAATGTCTGCAGGGGAAGCGTGTCAGTTGGCTGGATGTCTTGGGGTCAGATAGTGCGGACCTCGCTCAGCACATGTACCATGTCGTCTTCCTCGAATAGATCCAGTATACGGGCACCTAGGCTGTAGAAGTGAGGCGCAAGGGCTCGCAGGTCGACGGTGCGTGGGTCTGCCTTCAAGGCATTGAGCACACGCGGAGCCAGTGCGGATGGATGGTCGAGCGTGACTAGCGACGAAGTATTTAGACTCTGACTATGTGGCAACGTAAGCCTTTTGAACAAGAAGACATCTGCTTGCTAGACATGAAGGCTGGACGTGCCTGAGCGCAAGCATCTCACCCAGCCACAGTGGCAGCTCAACCTTGGAGCCTTGTTGAATCTGTCCATCCTCTCTTAGCGTGTGAATACAATACATGGAAGAGGCTGGGAGGAATTCACGTCACCCGTCATGTTGCCCTCCAGATAGCCCAGACCAGGTACTGTGAGCTCAAATGTGCATGGAACTTTCTGCAGTAATGCGAAGAGTGTTAGTGCGGACCTTGCAGAGAGTATCTGAGGACGTGTTGGATCGCACCTGGGCGTCAGTGAGGATGGCGTCGACATCGTAGTAGGACTGGGAGCCCATTGCGCCAACTCTGCTGCCTGCGAGATGGCCTTGCCCGGTGTTCTACGAGACTGCGATGGCGAATTGATAGTTGAAAATAATAAGTAGTCTATGTCTTCAGACATCTCCGTGCAGATGGATGGATGGGGTTGTCGTGGTCCGGGGTTCTGAGCGCGTCTCGCTTATATTTCCAAATATAGCATAGCCTAAAATGTTGGTCATAGCTTCGATGGGCCTTGGCGGAAGTGGGCTTGGGGAAGCTTGGAAATGGCGGTTGGGGAAGAGAGAGGCGCGGATAGCTACATACATGCATTGATCCTATGCAATCTTCCTTCACCCTACCCTCCCCACCAACCCCAATAAGCTCCCACAATTGTCCTTGTCGGCTCCTCAAAACCCTTCATTCCCTCAATCCCGTCTTCACGGCTTACGTCGCTGCTACCGCCTTCCACAGGCATCCACCGCCTACGTACCTCCTCTGAGCGGGTGCCATTCTCATCCAGCCCACGGACGACCACGCCCACGCTTCTTCATCTCAAACCTCCATTCACCTTGGTTCCAACCGCGACCTTCATTGCCACCCGATCGGCTATTTGTAACCCACCATCGTCACCCTCGCGACCGGACAACTCTCTCTTTTTCCTTCCCTTTGATGACTGCTCCTCCCTCGCGAGCCCCCTCCTTCACTCCGTGTCCCCGTGCCTCGAATCCCGCCGGAGCACACGACCACCGGCATCATGACGGCCAGTGAGCGTGCTGCACACCTCATCGGTGCCCTCGATACTGGTTCTGGCCTCGGCACCTCTCGTGCAACCTCCCCAGGAGGCGATTGGCGCCAGCCCAACGGTGGTGTCAACGGCACTCATGCCGACAGACTGAGCCGCAACCGCCCACGAACCTTTCCCTACTTCCAATACCTGCCATACCAGACCGAGGGGCAAGCCGAGCGGGAGAATAGCCTAGACACCTGTTTGCAACACCTGTACATTGCCGTGTCCGCTGGAGACTTTGCTCCGGGCGCCGTCCATTGGACACGCGAGATACGGGGATGGCTGTCGCTCAAGTTTGACCTGCCCCGCCCCACGAGGGTGAAGCTTGTGAAACTCTACTATGAGCTTGCTCTGGCTCCCGGCTTGGACTATCTGGTAGCTGAGCGTTTCGCAAGCATGTTCATGATCTTGACCAAGTAAGAGCATCATCCCTTGCACCCGCTCCGCCAGCCATCCATCTAACATCCATTGAACAGACGCAAACATTATCTGCGCCCTGGGAAGGATCTCACCTTAGACTGGCGACCCCTTTTCCGCGAGTTGAAGCTGTTCGTCCTACCTACCGAGTCGGGAGGCTCCTATCCCTCCAACGTCAAACGTAACCCCCGCACCCTCACAAAGCTATGTACATTTGCGCAACACTATTTTGATCCACATGACATACCGGCAATATTTGAAGAGTTTCTGCCCTACTTCAGTACATCCTTTTCCGAAACAGGATATGTGGTCGTTGGACTGCTGAATCTCCTCCTCCCAACCAATCCCGCTCCCGAAGACCGGCCGGATCTGCTACCGCAGGAATTCCTGCCCACATTCTTCCACCTGTGGTCCCTGGTCAACCGGTCCAGGGCTTTCGACGTTCATTTCATAGACGTACTGTCGCGATTAGCCAGGGACTGGCTACCGGCACAACATGTTCCCTTTTCGCAGCATGGAATCTTCACAAGCGAGCAGTCTGCGCTGATCTTCACAGCTGCCTTGCGGCTCCTCGATATACCGGTTGGGCAAGCAACTTCACCCTATAGCGATACCGTCGATCTCGGCGCCGGCTTAGCCATCATGTTGGATAGAGATCAACGAAAGCATCCGGTTCCTCACCACATCGCCCGTTGGATCGTCATGTCGCTATCCCCAGCATGTCTAGACGACCCAAACTCCATTCTCAGCAAACTTGAGGGATTGATTCAAGCTGTCGAGACCTTCTTCCATCCGTCCAACTCGGGCAGTTGGACAAGGACCCTTTCGCAGCTCGTCTTCTACCTAGCCGACTTCTTCGTCATGCGTTGGAATCGTGAGCGAAGCGGCGAAATGGAGGTTCCCGAAGGCAGAAAGCTCAATGACGCTCTCAAACGGCGCTTTGTACTCTGTTTACGCGAAGTCATCTTCATGGGTATTTTCGCGAAAAGTGGCACAGCGATCAACTTCTCGCTCTCAACCCTGCAGAGTCTGGCGTACTTGGAGCCCAATCTGATCCTTCCCGGCGCACTCCAGAGGATATATCCTGCCATGCAGGGGCTTGTTGAGGTGCACCGCACCATCTCCTCGATTCGGGCGCTACATATGCTCTCGAAGATCATGGCGCGCACCAAAGGCTACAGGTGTCATGTCACAACTGTTCTTGGGCTTGCACTACCCGGCATTGATGCCAACGATCTGGAGAAAACGTTGCATACTTTGTCCTACATCCAAGGCGTCTGTTACACCGTACCGTTCCATGACCTGACTCAGGAGTCAAAGGGTCCCAATTCCCACGTTTCAAGAGACGGGACGGAGACACCCAGGGAGGAGGACAATACCGGTCTCGCCATGGAGTGGATAACTCAGCAGGTCGAACGTCTGGAGAAAGCCGGGGGCGATATTGAAATCGACTACAGCAAAGAGCTGAGCGACGAGGAGGAAGCCAGAATCTTGCGGTCTTCGACCACAGGACTTGCTGAATTTCTGACGTTGTTCCTTGGACGCGTTTTCACTCTGCTTGAAAATCTTCCCGATGCCTCAAGAGTCCGCAGTGGCTCACCGGAAGAGAATGTGGTCAACACGCTCCCGGCAGCATTCACTCCTTTGCTCGCTGCCTTGTCTCCAGAGCTTTTCGATATCGCACTGGACAAGATCGCAAATTTCATTACGAATCATGTGATACATCAAGCTCGTGATGCCATGGCATTCATTTGTAATGCCCTCGTCAAGATCAATCCTGAGAAGTCTCTGAAGCGCATTTTACCCCATCTTCTCGCAGGAATTCGTACCGAAATCGGGGAGAATGGTGCTGGGTCAGCGCGAACTACCGGTTCTGAGGTGCTCCCGAGAGACCGTGCTCTTGTGTGGAACATCAGTCTCCTCAGCATGTGCGTTGTGCACGTTGGTGACGCCGTTTTGCAATGGAAGGAGGAGCTCTTTGACATCGCCGACTACATGCAAAAGAACTGCAGGGGCATTCCGACCGTTCACGTATCTAACTTCATCCATCATTTGCTGCTCAACTTGACGGTCACCTACACCATCGATTATTCGATTTACGAACCGGAGGAGCTCAAAGCAGGGCTCACCACGGACTCGTGGGGTCGACTTGTTGACCCGCATAAGCTCAACATCAAGTGGCATACGCCGAGCACAGAGGAGATCGACTTTGCGGTGCGTTTATTTGAGAACCATGCCAATAACGCGATCAGTCAGCTCACCGACCTCACCGGCCCCGATCCTCCCATCAAGCGAGATGGCACCGGAAAAGACTGGTCGGACGAGGTTTCGAGGAATCTAGTTCTGCTCAGGCTGCTTGTTTCCGGTATCTCCGTTCTGTTTGACACGAGGGAGGAACACAAAGATGGCGACCCTGAACCCGCTCATGATGTCGAGGTGGATGCCATGGACACCGAAGGACCGGACGACGATGGTGGGTTGGGCGAAGCGGAAGACGAAGAGGTGAAACCCACCTTCCAATACGAAGCCGGCTATCCCCTCAAGAAGGATGATAAGAACTATAAGCTTGTTCATGAGCTGCGACATCGTGTTGGCGAGACTCTACACATGGTCCACAAGTTCCTGATTGCCAAACAGGAGGACGATGTCCCTTGTTTCAACTCCTTGTACAATGCGTATAAATGTTGGTTCATTGACGTTGGTCTAGAACGTTCCGCACACGTTCTAGATAGAGTTACTCGTCTACTCAGGGCCGACGTTCATCCGTTCAAGTTCAGTGGTTTGAGAAAGGAATATCCTAGGCCTCTGTTGGTACGTCGCGCGAACGTTTACCACCTCCAGCGCCTTCGACATAATGCCAATCCACGGCCTAAGACCGAGTTGGACAAACAGTTGTTGCTCGATCTGGCCGAATCCAGCGTATCCTTGTACACTGAGATCCGACGCACCGCCCAGAGTGCCAATGAATCTGCAGTCAAGTGTATCATAGGGGCACGCCCTCTTGTCATTCCGTCGCTACTGGATGCACTCACCAAGGCCATAACTGAGAATGACTACCCGCGCATCAAGGGCGCCATGTTCTCCCTTCTTTTTGGCAGTCTGGCCAAAACCATCAGTCGCGACTGGAGATTCACGCCGACATTGATCAAAGCCTTTATTGAGGTTACTGGCGCTGATAAACCGTCCGTACAGAAGCTTGCTAGCAATGCTACCTTCCAAGTCATGGACATGGGAAAGGCTTTGGAGCGAATGGTGATTTTGGATAAAGAGGTTATCCAGTCCATCGCTTTCGCGGTTGACCCGACCGAAGAGGTTGCCGTGCAGGCAAAGATCAATAAAAGACGCGACTATATCAAGAAGAAGAGGGCCCGCATAGAGGGGAAGAAGGCTGACTTGGCTAAGGAGCTTGTCGAGGTTTGCCAAACCGCCCATTGGAAGAAAGTTAGCAGGACTGCAGCCATCGTGCTTGGCCTTGGTATGCGGTACGATACCATCGCGTCAGATGAGATGATCGAGCTGGTTACGAAGGGATCGATTGACCAGCATCCCCATCTGCGCAGTCTCTTTGCCGGTGCTCTGGTGAACTTGTTCTCCGTGATCCAGATCCGCGCCGTTACCGCCCACAGCTACGAGAAGTACCTTTTGGGACAGGAAGAGATCCCAGAGAAGATCACCGTGCCTACAAAGACCGATGATCCGAACTGGACGGCAGACTTTCTCGCCAGTTTTGCGCAACCCGAAGCGAAGTACTATGTTGATAACGACTACCCTGGCTGGCTGGTGTGGAACAAGACGATGCCAGCGGTGTTGCCAAATGCTCCGCCGCTCGAGTATGATGAGCTTGAGACCAATGTCCGGAGGAAGATAGGGAAGCTTCTGGATCGCAACTGGTTCTCTACCTTTTTCGCATATCTGAAGCAAGAACCGCGTGATTCTGGTGCCGACCGGTTCCGCATGTCCAACACAATGCTATTGAGCTTCGCGTTCGAATTGGTGTTCCACAACCTTGCTGAAGTAAGTTTTGAGGACCTCAAGGAGTTGTCTCAGACGGTGTACGGAGATGGTAGCGACAAGCATCAGCACCGTGCTACCGCCGAGATAATGGCCGCTCTGCTATCGTGTGCAGCGGACTTGAAACCCGAACAGCGTCAGGAAATCTGGGCGTTCTGCTTCCCTATCGTGCGCGGCATCTTCAAGGATGGTCTCACACCTGAGAATTCGTCTTATTGGACCAGCTTCCTCCATGTAGTTTTGCAAGGGAAAGATCCTAGGCGAGGATGGCCGCTGGTTGACTGGTTAGCCAGCTTCCGCCTAGATATGGAGTCAAGCGCGGCTTTCAAGGAGAGCTCGAAGATACACCTGCTGCAACAGTGTATTTGCGATGCTGGCTGGCACTTCCGGTTAGAGAAGCCTATCCTCGAAGACTTCCTGAAACACATTGACCATCCGTACAAGAGTGTCCGGGAGGCAATGGGTCAGACTATCGCAAGTATCTACCGGACGAGATATCACGAGGCGTACAAGGACGTTCCCACGTTGATCAAGGCACAAAAGGAAGCATCACCGCTTGGTGTCCGGCCTTACCAGCCCACTGAAGAGTTCACTGCGACGATCAAGGATGTCTTTGACCGTCTCGAGGTATGGCGAAAGGAACGCCCTGCAGGACAACAAACGCCGTCGTCATACACATCGGGCGGTAAGACGGTGCTGTTGTGGCTAAACTCGATGCTCTCATCATACGAGTGCATCCAGCTCGTCAAATTCTTCCCAGATGTCTTCATGGAGCAGCTCCTACACATGATGGACATTAAAGAAGACCCTGAATTCCAGTCTCTCGCCTACCACGTCTTCCGCCACCTCCCCAACATACCTCACCGCCAAGGCGAAGACAAGGATTTCATCAACGCCCTCATCCGCATCGGCCGCACAGCAACGTCATGGCATCAGCGTCTCCGCACCCTGATCAACATCCAAGTCATCTACTTCCGCCGCCTCTTCCTCATGTCCGAAGACCAGCAGCTACAACTCTTCGACTGCGTCTCCGCAATGCTGGCCGACGTGCAATTTGAGGTTCGCATGGGCGCCGCGACCACGCTCTCAGGCATGATTCGCTGCTCTCCCGTCGGACTGCGGGATCGCATGGTGTCGACCCTGAAATTGGAATTCGAGACCATGCTCGAGAAGAATCCCCTGCCAAAACGCCGTGTCCCCGGTACGCCTACGCCGGAGCAAAATAAAGTCATCTTGAAGAGACATGCGGCGGTGCTGGGGTTGGGAGCGCTGGTGCAAGCGTTCCCGTATACAAGTCCCCCACCTGGTTGGTTACCAGAGGTGTTGGCGACGTTGGCAAGGAAGGCGGCGGCGGACCCGGGCATGGTGGGCAAGAGTGTAAAGAGTATATTGGCAGATTTCAAGAAGACTAGGCAGGATACTTGGCATGTGGATGTTAAGGTGAGTCTGAATTTGCGTTCCACTTCAACGAAAGCGGATATGTTTGCTGACGTTGAGCTTAGGCGTTTGAGCAGGAGCAACTAGAGGATTTGGAGGGTGTGCTATGGAAGAGTTATTTTGCGTGATTGGTATGGTTATTTGAAGATGAGTGTGGGGAGAGGAACGAACGCTCCAAGGCGAGCGTGAAGATTGGGCACGACGAGATGGCTTATGTACAAAAGGAGGGAAGCGCCTATTGTGTGTGCATGATGATGGATGCCCGCGATGTCATGGTCTCTTCTTCTTTCCACTGTGGTCCTTGACTGTTCTAAATTGTCTAGCTCTGCCTCGAAATGCATGTGCATTGATCATCGGTTGCGGGTTTTGGGGCATGCAGTGCATCATGGGGAAGGTTTCTGGGAATGGACGTGGAAAACTCGAAAACTCGCCAGGAGCGTTGATAATGAATAGATTTCTGCTTTTTCTTCCCCGTTCCCTTTGGATCTATGATGATGGGGGTTGTGATGGTGGCTATCTCCTCACAGATATGCATTGTGGACCATGCTGTTGCCTTTGACCTGATATCATAAAGGGTGTCCATCTACCAAGGTATCCTCTATGTAGTATATTACCTGTTGCCTAGCTTGGTACTGATGGTCAACTTTGTATCAACCGTCGAGTCTATACTCCCAAAGCGCTCTTCCAGAGTCCCGAACCCCTATCTACAGCAGGCGTCGAATTCCCCATCTTCTTCGTCTCCTTTGCTTTCCCCCTCAAAAGCTCGGGATAACCACACCGACGCCCTTCCGATCCGCCAACCGGACTAATTGATGACCCACGACCACGTCCATGAGCCCTAATCCTACGCTCTTGTATATGACGTTGCCCTTTTGCAACCAGTCGGAAAGACTGCTCCCAACCGACGGATCGACCACATCGTCCACTGCATCATGCTCCATCTCCTTCACCCGACCCATCAGCCCCTTAACCCACTTTCCCATCTTTGTTCCTCCGCCTCCACCAGTTGCAGCCAGCTCCACACGCCCCTCATCCAACCCTTCACCGCCCTCCAGCCCTGCCATACTCCTACTCCTACTCCTACTCCTACTCCTACTCCTACTCCTCCTTCTCCTCCTTTCATTTTCCCTCGCGTTTTCTTCACTCCTCCTCCTGTCGGCTTCCCGACCCAACATAATCAGCTCGCCCAACTCCACCACCTCCCTCGCCCTCAACCCGGCCTGTACCACCTCACCAGCCTCCTTGAGGCAAGCCTCCACGCTATCCACAACCACTGCCCCACCCTCAGCAGCATGTCTATGGAAATGCATATGCGTATGGTTCGGCTTGACATTCTGCCTCAGTATATCCGGATGCAATTCAATCATGTGCGGTTTATACGATCCAATGGCCGCCACGTAGCGCCCCTTTCTGCGGCCTTCGGGGTTGGTGAGGTAGGATGCCGGGAACAAGGGGGTGAGTGAGGGCGTCGTGCAGAAGATGATGCCGGAAGAGCGGATCGCGCTTTTGAGGTGTCGAGGGTATTCGTGGGCGGAGGGGGTGATGATCTGAATCTTCGGCCGGTGGAGCGGGGGCTGTGATGGCTGTTCGGAAGAGGGATCGGAGTCGGAGGATGGAGCAGTGGAGAAGAGGGTCTGGAGGAGTCTGACGGCGGTCTCGTACGTGCGGTTTATAATGGTTAGGTGGTGGATCTCTTCGCCCCTGAGGATGAGAGCGAGACGGATGTGCCAGTAAGCTTGTTTTCCTGCGCCGAAGACGACTAGATCGTGCACGTTGTGGCGTTTTTTGAAGAGCATTGTAGAGGCTAGGGCGGTGCGGAAGGCGGTGATCTCTTCGGCGTTGAGGAAGCCTCGGGCGGCGCCGTTGCCGTCGAGGAGGGTGAGTGTGCCTTTTGGGGTGGTGCGGCTTTCCTCACTCAGGGTTGGGGGCTCAGATGCGGATGCGGGTGTAGATGCGGACGTTTGCGATGACCGGGAGGAGATCTGTAGGGAGGAAAGTGATGATATAGACTTCTCGTCAATGCTAGACCTACTCTTGGAGCTTGTTTCGGTCTTGGGACTGGAGCTTGTCGGCTCGGAAGAGCTATTCGGTTCCGCCAATGTCACGATCTTGACACCCAGTCCATCGTTGCTACTAGCAGGCATGAACAGGGTGGTCTGTCCGTCACAGCGCTTCAATGATGTGCGCAGCGGTTGGTACGAAGATCCGCAGCCATTGTTGTCTTCTTCGGTTGACGTCGAGTAGCAGTGCAGCGCATCGGCTAGGCTTTCTTGGAGATCTAGGACCTCATCTCTGGTCAAGCCGTGGAGCAAGTTACGGACGTCTGAGTCGGACAAGACGGTCAATGGCATGGTGGATGGGTCGGCTGAATGAAATCTGGTGGTAGAAGTTTGAAGAGTTAAGCAAGCTTTGAATGTGTTAGCTATGATGTTCAAGAGCAGTCATTGCAATGAAGCACCACCTTTACGAATTGACCATGCCACTGCTCGACTCACTCGATCACCGGCCGCTATACCCCAACTAAAAAGGCAGCAAGTCCATGAGCGTGTGACAATAGTGTGTTTGATTCGTGTAGCCGTTGTTGGGGAGCAAGTGGTATGATGGATGGTGAGGAACCCGGATGTGGCGGGGATGAAGCATGTGAGGGGCTCTTTCTATTTACCAGGCGTCAAGTTGCACACAGGCACCACAGCGTGGAAGCAGGGCCGCGAACCCGCCGACCCACATACTTTGTGGAACCTTCGTTTACGAGTTGCTAAGAAGTTCAATAAACGTCAATGCCCTTTTGTGAGTATACGTGAAATTCATGATGATTGATTGCAGCTTCTTTGGCCGCTTTTGGTCGTCCTAAACACCAGGTATTGCTATAGAACCCTTCCCGTGACGAGTAAAGTGACGCCTGAACCCACGAGATACCCATTACCGCATGCACATGCCAGTCATATCTAGATCTTGATGGCATTCTCGATGGCCTTCCTCCTCTTCTCCATGCGAGCATTGGCCTTGGCACCCATGATACCACCGCCCCAGTGGCGCATGGCCTCCTGGTGCTTCTCGAGGTAGCCCTCCTTGATGGCGGAGATGAGCTTGGACAGCTCGTTCTTGTCCTCGGAGCGGACCTCGGTCAGAGCAAGAGCGGCAGCGGTCTTCTGGTGGACGACGGTGCCGAGCCTGGCCTTGCCCTTGACTATCGCATAGGGGACACCCATCTTGCGGCAGAGCGCGGGAAGGAAGACGACGAGCTCGATGGGGTCGACATCGTTGGGGATCAGGACGAGGGACGCCTTCTTGTTCTCGATGAGACCGACGACGTGGTTCAGACCGAACTTGACAGTGTAGGGCTTCTTGGAGACATCCTCCTTCTTCTTGCCCTCGGCGATGGCGGTAGCCTCCTTGCTGAGACGCTCCTTCTTCTCAGCCTTGGTCTCGGGCCTGTACTTGTTCAGGAGCTTGAAGGCCTGAGCCGCGGTGTTGCGCTAGTGATGCAGTATCAGCGACTGGCGAACTATGACGGCGCCCACACAAACTTACGTCCAAAACGTGCTGGAACTGGGCGATCGAAGGAGGAACCTTCAAGCGCATGTTGAGGATCTTCTTCTGCCTCTGGAGACGGACATATTGAGGCCACTTCACCATGCGAGAGAGGTTGCGGGCGGGTTGCTGAAAACGCGTCAGTGAATGTTGTTGTGTGCCATGTGCTTCAACAGCGACTCACGATATCAGCGCCGATGCCGAAGTTGCGAGGGCGCTTCTCAATGAGAGGGTTCTTCGCCTTCTTGGTGCTGCCGGCCTTGCCCTGGGGGAAGGGCGCCTGGAAGGGTCAGCAGGTTAAAAAGCTTAGTGCATTGGGCTCACTTACAGGTGCCGCTTTCTTTCCTTTTGGTGCCATTATGATCGTCGAGAGAGGCTCTGTCATGGAGAACAAGACCGTCAGCGAATGTCCAATTCATTGACTGGGTCCTGAATCTCTAAGAGGGGAATGCATTGCTGCCATTCCACACTCTAGCCATCTTCATAAACCGACATTTCTCCAGCACTGAAGCATGCAAAGTGTGCGGAGTATGCGAATATATGCGGAGGCCGTCCGTGATGGATGATGCGCTTACCGTGAACTTGTTGGCGGCGGGTCGACGGGTTCGTGGGTTGAGAAGAAGAAAAAGGCGATCACCTTGTCGAGTGTCGAAAAGCTCACGATGTGTGGAGCGAGTGGTCCGTGCATTGCTAACGAGGAAAGGGGAGCTTAAGCGATATCTGATCGACTCGGAGTTGGTGTTATTCCGTACCGGCCTAACATCGACCTCGGAAACTCCCAGCGCGGACACCAGCAAGATTGAGGACATCATCGTTGAAATGAAGGCCGAAAAAGACAGGCGCACTGGCATAGGCACCAAGGGAAATTGGGTGGCTCATCTGTTTCTCGCGTTTGCCTTATGGAAAGCGCTTCTCCTCTCTCTCGCAGTCCTCTGCCCCGGACCTGGCTATGATACTTCGGCGCGCATTCTTTTGGGGGAAACGGTGCATCCTCCCGACCAGGCATTGTCCCAGTCGCTTCTTGATCGTGTAACACGCGCTCACTTGCGATGGGACGCCTTCTATTTTGCGGGTGCTGCCCAGCGGGGTTACGTTTACGAACAAGAATGGGCGTTTAGTCGGCCGTATTCCTTCCTCATGGCAGCCGTAAAAGATCGTATGTTCTGACTAGATGTACTACACGAGGTCAGACGCTTACTCCTGGGGAAGTTCTATGGGGGCGGGGCGAAACTCCGCTGAAGCTCTATGTTTGGGCAGGTATACTGATCTCCAACCTGTTCCATCTCATCTCTGTGATGGTCCTGTTTCGTCTTGCTCATGCGATTTCAAGACCTCACAATAATCGAGAGATTGCTTTCATTTCATCTGCCCTGCACATCATCTCGCCTGCGGGTTTTTTCCTATCTGCTCCTTATGCCGAGTCACTGTTTTCCACCCTCAATTTCGCCGGAATGCTCTTCTATGTCCGTGCCAGACAGACGGAAAAGACACTTGGAGCCTGGACCATCTCACAAGATGCCTACATGGCGGCGTCGGGCATAGCCTTTGGACTTGCTACGCTGTTCCGAAGCAATGGCTTGCTGAGTTGCATCATCTTTCTGTACGATGTCGTACAGCTTTCTCGTCAAATATTCGCCATGAAACTGAGTATACATGATGCTCGTCGAATTCTCTCCACCTGCGTTGCCGGAGCTCTTCCTGTGTCGGCTTTCATCGCTCCACAAGCTTTCGCATACAAGCAATTCTGCATGGATCATCAACCCAGCAGACCGTGGTGCGAGGAGCTGATTCCGAGTATATACACATGGGTACAGGATTACTACTGGTCAGTGTATCTATCTTACTGCCACAGTGAGCTCCAACTGATAAAGTTCTGTAGGAATGTCGGGTTTCTTCGGTACTGGACTGTCTCCAATATTCCACTATTTCTCATCGCTGCACCCATGCTTTGGTTGCTCTCCTGTACCGCTATCACGGTGCTGCAAGGTCCACTAGTGACTCTGATGTCTAGAACCAATAAGGAGCCCCCGATTCAGCTCGCTGACGGTGCGGGTAGGATCTGCGACTTTCGACACCTGGCCATTCCACAATTGGCCCTTGTTGTGGCCGCTGCAACCAGTTTCCACGTTCAGATCATCAACCGACTATCCTCTGGTTATCCAATCTGGTACATTGTTGTTGCCCATTGGATTGCACACCAGGCAACATCCCCTGCGGGACGACAACACAGCCTATATTCCCAGTTCGCATTACGAGGCGCAGTCATGTACGCAATCATCCAAGGGATGTTGTTTGCCAGCTTCCTTCCTCCAGCCTGATTTCTTCTTCCTCACTACCGTTGCATCAAGATGACTGGTCGTTCTTGGTCCTCTAACCGCGTTCCTGTAAAGACATGACTGTCAAAACGGGAGAAAAGTATCTGGACTTTGGCACATAGAAATCACTTACTGTGACGTACAGAGCGGGACCCATGCCTGTGAGAGCAGCTGGAGGAAGAATAATCATATTATTAAAGAGCCTTCTCGGTTGCATGTCCTTCGGTCGTTCTGTCTCATCCACCCACGGCCAAGTACCCGCAAGCCAGTCTGCGACATTGATGCGCAACCACACAATGCTCTCACGCTCACAGATGCACAGAGCGCTTAACTTTTTCCAAGTCCAACTGTCCAGCGACTGAGCGCACCGCGCATAAACGTCCCATAACCCAGGCTCGCGGACAGCCCTACACCGGAATCTATCCCTCCACCACCAAAACCGACATTGCTCGAAACAATGTTCTCTGCTCTCGATTCCAATTTGTCGCGGCCATGTTGAGATTCTGGCGCATACAGCCGGCAGAAATGCGATGAGGCATCGCGTGTTCGGGACATTCGACGCTGCGTGTTTCAGAATTGCGATCTCGCCGGTTCGGAATGCTGGAGAACGCTCGATGAACAGCATTGCGGGAGCACCTTGATATTTGGAGTTTGAAGAGGCGTGGGGGTTTAAGCGTTGGCACTGAGTGAAGACTCCGTCAGATATACTGCATCTTTTCACGTCCGACTGAACAGCAGGTGGTCGCAGGGTTCTAGTGGCGTAAGCCAGACTGTGGCCAATTGAAATGGTTGAATTAGGTGATCTAACGCAGAGCAGCAGTACAAGGGGGTGTTCAGTCGGATGCGAGATGGTGCAGTATATATGTACCCATCGCCATCCTGGATAGAGATGCTCTGCACACGCTTCCATTCATTTTCACATCGTACATTACTTTTTTCTTTCTGTCGCTCATTGAGAAGTACTAGCGCTTGGTCGCAGTATTGCTGTATTCGCCCATCTTCACAGTCTTTATATTCGCTCGTTCCTTCCACATTTGCGAAAAGTCGCGCTTAAACCATTTTCCAAAATGAAGGTCTTCATCATCGCCGTCCTCGCCGCTGCCGCCACTACGCAAGCCCGCATTCTGCATGTCGTCCGCCAAAACAACGCGCAGACATTCTCTGGCGCTCTTGGAGGCGTGGAGGCTACTCCGGTAAGGTCCCCACACTTTACCATTATCTCTTCTACCATTACCGCCATTGACCATCACCCACTCCTTCCAACATCCCCTGCACACCTTATCTGACTCCACCACAGGTGCTGGACTCTGGCAACGAGGACCGTCCTTTCTCCGTCAAAGGCGATACCTTCGTCAACCTTGCCGCTGCGCTGCAGCGTTCATGCGATCAGCAGTTCAACGGGTGTGCGAACCTGGCGAACTCGGGACAGGCAGACTTCTCGACGCAGGAGTGCCAGGCGCAGAAAGGTGAGTGGCCATCTCTATCTGGGAGGCGATGAGAGAAACGTTGAGGAAGTTGAAGACGTGGAATAACGGTATGGGCTAACTGGGCTGTAGATCAGTGCGCCGCTGCAGCGAGGAGGGCTTGAGTTGAAAAGGAGTCAAAGAGAATGAGTAATGGGGACCGGTCAGATGAGCAGGTCGTAGCGATGTGTTGGTGATATCTGTGATGAGGTAGGCGAACTGGAATCGCCATGGGACGTTATGACTGTATGTTCTACCATAGAGAACCAAGAACTCAATTCGCGGCACAACGGAGAATTTTATTGTTGCTACGTGCACGATTTCTGAGACTTCATCCTATTTACGTTCTCATGCGATCGGCGGGGACTGAAGCCCCAAACCCACGTTGCAATCCTTCAGCCTACTCCACTTGCTTCTGGGGGTGGCCCTCTCAACTTCATTCACATCAAACGCAAGTCAACAGAGGCCTCAACTTCTCGAGCACGACTGCTTGCCTCTCTGCATCAACAGTTGTCTTATCAGCCGCATCTCCGACAGAGATAGCGACATAGCAACCAGTCTTTTTGATGATATCGCTCTCCGTTGGCAAACGGTCTGTCCCACACCATTGCACATCCCGCTTGCTCAAGATCCCCGAGTTAATCCTCGTCAAAATGTACTTGAACTGCGAAGGATTCGAGCACTTGGTCTGGCTCACATCGGGGAAGTTCACATTCAGCCAGACATCCTCGGGTAGGTAAGGCGTCCCCTTGGCGATGATCGTATTCGTAACATTGAACGCCAAATCCGCATACACCTTCGCTGCAAAAGACACATCATTCCAGGGGCTCTTGGTATCCGAGGCACCAGAGAATGCAATGGCGGGGATGCGAGCAGTTCTGGCGGCGTACACGGCGGCGCCGACTGTGCCGGAGAATTGCACGGCTAGGCCGACGTTGGAGCCTACGTTTGGTCCTGTAAGGGCGAGCTCGGGCTTTGAGTTTGCTCCCCAGAGTTTGGGAGCGACGGTGTCGATGCCGTATTTGATGCTCGTGACGGGGTAGCTGTTGACGTAGTTGAGGCGTGGGTCACTGGAGTTGGCCCCTGTTGGCGGGCTGTTGGGGGGACAGCTGTTCCAAGCGCCTGTATTGGAATAGATCAGTAGACTTCAATGAAAAGAAAAGGAATTGTTTTGTGCAACGAGATCCTCCCTCCTGGAGGTGAGATCGAGGGAGGCCTTACATCCGTCACTGTCCACTTTCGTAGGTTGCGAATCCGAAGAGCCTATAGTCTTAGAACCGTTGCCATCGGCATACATATAACTTGTTACGAACCAGAACCAGATTTGTTTTCGGCGGGGGCCGAGAGTATTACTTGATGGCCAGCGTTGACGAGGGTTGTGAAGAGAGCCCGGAGGTTTCCTTCGGCCCAGCCATCGTCGTTGGACTGTATAATACGTATTGCACTCACTGCTTGGAGGCTCAGAAACACCTGGATAAAGGTTGAGGCCCGCATGCTGAGTGTATAGAGGCAAAGATTGGGAAATCAGAACAGTGCTGGGAATATAGAAGGGGCGAGAAGCGAGCGCTCGTCTGTGAGTGCCCCAGAATTGACAGTTTGAGTGTTGGTACTCCAAAAGATAGGATCTAGTAGTGGAAAGAAGGCCCGTTTATACTGGTATCCTGCAATTCCGGCATAGAGACACTTGAGCGACCTTCCCAAAAGTTCATGGCCAATTTAAAAGCTTGCTTGAAACGTTGGGCAATGCCGCCTTGTGATTGACTGATTCATCCTTGGGTGTAATTGAGAAGGGTACTCGGAAGACGGAGGTTGATTCTGATTCGGTGTTTGATCCGGCCAGAGGAAGGAGATGAGAGGAACCATGGTCAATGGCTGGCTACAGGAAGGCTGTCGTTAAAATTGGCTAATCCATTATAGGAATTTCTGAAGCGCCAGGGGAACCACACGTGCGTTGCCCACAAACTGCTATTGATCCTGTGCCTGCAAAGACAGCATGTACTGTACGGAGTAGTTCGCTGTCAATTACGGTGGACTCTGCCAATACACGCCTTAGAAGTCGACGATAATGCCTGTACGCATGAACACCTTGAGGGATATGGTCGAGCTCACCTGGCAGAATCCGAACATTGAAATGTCTCTTTGCTTGTTGCTGGTCACGTGCTTTCGTTCTTGTCCGTGCGTCCAGAAGCTCTTCCACAGGCACCAATGACGACGCGTCTGGCCCCTCATTCTCACTTCTATACGGTACTGTGTATACCTTGCTCTGTGTGAGCCTCCCAAGCGTGCGCTCGCCACTTCACTCTCCACGGCTCGTCCACCACAGATAAAGCTCTGGTAAAGATGTCTGGCTATGAGGGTAAGCTGGAGGAGTATCCAGAAACCGTCAATCAATCCACTGACTGCCAAAGAGGAACACAACATTGCCAAGGAGGAGAAACCAGAGCATCCCCCGCGGCGGCCGGACCTCTCCACCTTCTTCTCAACACTCGAACTAGTCGATACCTCTGATCCTCAGGCACACCATAACGTACATGCGCTTCCTGAGCCAGAGAACGTTGCAGCTGCATTCCGCCTGCTCGCCAATGCTTTCGAGTTGATGCGCGGACGAGCGCCGGAGGACCAGAGTCGTGAAGGCGCTGCAGGAAACGACCTTCTTGCAAACATGATCGAGATCCTGAGGCAGAATGCGGACGACCCTCCGCAAGAGGTGAAGGGCGTGCCAAATAGCTTCCTGGACGAGCTGGAGAGAGTACCGAAGAAGGCGTTGAAGAAGGATGACACCTGTCCGATTTGTGTCAATCCGTTTCTAGATGGTACGTAACTGAGACCTCCTCCATGCGCTCTTGGTCCGTTAACAGTAGACACGGCAGACGAGTACCCGCTTGTTGTGCAGCTACCCTGTCACGAAGGCCACCGTTTTGATCTCGAGTGCATTGCCCCCTGGCTGAAGCTGAACTCGACTTGCCCGCTGGATCGTAAGGAACTTCTCAAGAAAAAGCAGCCGCCGCCCCCGCCCGATCATGACGAAGAGGAATATGATGACATGTACGCTTGAGCCTGTCTGGTGACCCGTCGGATATGTGATTCATATGTGGCCGGACGGACTCGGTACAGTCCAGGGCGGCCGGGTTGATGTCAAAACGAGCGGCTTTCGGCACTATTAGCAGGGCGCTGAACGTGCAGGCGACCTTCCGACGTTCACCCCGACTCGTTATGTTGAACGGACCATGCACCGGACTGATGAGCAAGTCAGGCTCTAAACAAGTTGAGAACCGTACAGTAGCCACCAAGCCATCTTGACGGGCAAACCTGGTTAATGGGAATTTCTAACCAGCAATGCACGCCACGGCCTCTAGTTCGTTGAAGGCATTCCCCTTGTGCGTTTCCCAGTTCCTTCCCTTTTCATATTTGTTCCAACTATCCAGTCACGTATATGAAGCTAGCTTGATTCCAACTCTACATTCTCCTTTTTCCAACGTCAATAGTCATGCGCCGTCAAGTTCTCCTAGAAGTTATTATTTTTGTTTTTGGATGTTTCGGATGCATCAGCCCACTCCCCAAATCTCACGGGGCTCCGATTCGTCCGGATATCATCGATTCGGAGCTTTTCGTACATCGGTTTTACAACACGTCAGATCCATTTGGATGCGAGATGTCCGGAATTTCCCCATGACCCATGGGCGAAAGTCGCTGTCCTCTTTCGCGGTGGGCAAATTCGACGTTGCAAATTGTGCGCGAGAGAGTGTTAGACCAACACCGCCCTGCCGCAGTAGTCACCACACTGCAAACTATGAATGGAGAGGGGACACGCCCCGAAAAGATGCTGGCTGGGCATCCTCGAATCCTCGACTTGTTTATCTTGAGCAGTGCGCATGTACGACTAGTACGAGTTATAGCCAGGTCGAATCTTACGGTCCAGCGTGTATACGTGACTGGCAAGTAAGGACCGGCTGCGTTCGAGCCTCCCTATGGCTGTTGTCCGCCGTTTATGATGGTGTAACGGTACTCGGTACGTCCGCCGGACGCAGGATTCGATTTGAGTGATTGCCACAATGTCAGCAGAAACGATGCGTGCCCTCTTCAAAAATAATCGCTCAGAGTGCGATGGGTTAGTCTCGAGATGAGAAGCGGCAATGTTAATTTGTAAGAATGCACCGAGTCTGATGAGACTGTAAAGGTGGGTTGACTCTTTTTCATACCGTAACGGGATGGATAATGCGGAGTTGGAGACCAGGTTGCGCCGCTCCGCGGGCCAAAAGTTGCTTGGCTGGGGGTGCACCCGCTGGCGCGGACGAACCATCGGCCGAAAGCAGAACGGCAACCACATCCGACCTTCGCCATCGATGTCCGTAATGAAAAGAGCACTGCATCCCGGGCATGCTCCGCTAACAAACACATCGCTGCTTGGTTGGGGCAGGCAACACACTTCCATCTCCCTACCTATCCTATGCGTCCAAGGATGAGCCACTACATATAGATATGGATAGCGGATCAAGACATTGTGCAGCGAGAAAGAGACCGTCCCAGGTCTTGAGAGCTTGCTGGGAATGTGAGCATTTCCTTTGCTCATGGCATTAGGTGCAATCAATCGGGACTGCTAATCAATGTCCTCCCAGGTAAACGACGGAAGATGCACCAACTCTCTCAACCTTCAGGTTCAGGGGACGAATCGAGTCTTGGCGGGATGGGCAGCAGTGGAAGCACCGACGGTGAACAACACCCGTGTCCGTTGCACATCGGGGAAAGACTTAGCAAGCTGGAGCAGCTTTTTGAGAAGTTCGTTTGTCGCAGATTTGCGAGTATACCGTCCAGCCCTTCTTCCACCTTGAACCTCTCCCGGAGCCCCACCATTGCTGGACCGGACTCTGATGAGAAGCCCAAGTCGCTGTTCGGCATTCTGCCGGAGATCAAAACAGAGTCTCACAGCATTTCAACCGTTGGCGAAAAAATTGTCCACTGGCAAGCTACGCAGGAGGACCCCACGGCGCAGATATCAACTTGGACCTCGACGCCATCAACCAGGGCTCTTGCCGACAGACCAGACAAGTCGGAATGTGACTCAGCACGCAGGGGTTTGGTCGCACTTCTACCCTCCCAGCATGATTCGGACGTAATATTCGGCTCGACCAACAGCTGGACCATCTTCGAAAGCGCCTACAAGCCTTCAAGAGCGCTTTATGTCAACCAAGATCCCAGAAGTTATGCTTTGGATATGTCTGCCGTTGCGAAAGAACCCACGGTTGTTATAGCACGCACTTTGCTCCACCTGGCCATCTGCATAGGTTCTCTTCCGCCCGAGTTCGACTCTACACGCTTGAACCATATCTGGTCCTTGAACACCACCGCCGAGAATTATGTCAATGCCGTTTCTTCATTCGTTTCGGTCGCCGATGAGATGGTCTGCACCCTGCCCGGTCTAGAGACGCTCCTTCTCCTGACCGTCTACCAAATCCAGAGCGCCAACCTCAGGCAAGCCTGGCTCATCTGCCGGCGAGCTGTCAACTTAGCCCAGTTAATGGGCTTCCATCGAATCATCAGGAAGCCGAAAATCAACCCTCCGATAGAAGCCATCGAGGGCGCTAAGATCCTGTGGCGCTCCATTGTTGACGTCGAAACATACCTCGGCCTACATCTCCGTCTCCCATTCGCTTCGGAAGAGTATCCTTGTGAAGAGGGTGGCGACGCCCGTATGATTCACCGTGCCGAGCTCGTCATGCTCTCACGGCAGATCTCTCAGCTCGATGGCACCATTACGCCCCAAACTTATGTCCATGCTCTCAGCCTGGACGAGAAGCTCGAATCTCTCATGAAGCAACTCTCGAAAGAGTGGTGGGAGGTACCGAGCATGCCATCAACAGCACGGTCTGAGGAAGCGGCAATGGTGCTGCAGCGACTAGTGCAACAGATCTGGCATCTGGAACTCAAGATCTTCGTACACCTCCCATTCCTACTGCGCGCTCAGTATGAGAGCAGGTATGAGTATTCCAAGATCACGGGGCTGCAAGCGAGCCGGAATATCATCATGAGATGGTTCGCGCTGCGGAATGCTGCCGTCACGCAGACGTGTTGCAGGTTTGCCGAACTCGGGGTCTTCATCGCCACTGTCACCATAGGGCTCGACATACTCATCGACATGGCGACGAAGGAGAAGAGTGTGGTGCAAAGAACAAGGGGCAGCGACTTCGCCATGGTGTGTCGCGTCGTCCGAGAAATGGAGAAGCTGAGCCAGGGCAGTTCAAGGGAGAAGTTCGCTGCTCGCAGCGCCGTGGTCATCAAAAAACTGCTCTGGGCGCTGGACCCGAATCGGCGCACCGAGGGCAGCGGAAGGCTCACCATTCCATACTTTGGGACTATAGAGATCGCGTTCCACAAACCGCCCATGCGGCCGGCTTTTGATCTCGACTCGGACAGCGCGCGAAAGCTGAACAACCCGACTACTGGAACCCACTCACCAGTCTTCTCGTTTGTTAGTAATGACTTGTGGCCGCCGGCTGAGAACAGCTGTGGAGGGGATTTGGATTTTGACATCATTTTGTTCGATGGGCTGGAGGACAAAGATATGGAGGGGAACTGGGTGTTCTGACGAAGTTATTGTATTGCCATACACTCTCATCTTTTCTTTTGTTTGCCATTTGCATGATACCTAGGATGTCCGGCGTTTTGGATCTTCGGCGTTGTACCAATCCATCCCCCGGGCCTTTTGAGTGTTTGTATCTGGAGAGAGCTGGTTTGGGATTTGGGGGTTTGGGGGTGGGGGGAGGTGTGCCTGTGGTCAGGGGGAACCAGGTGGAATATTCAACATCTTCTCCGCGTTGCTTTCCAATACTCGGTCCGAATGCCGCTGTGAATCAGCACAGAGAGATCTGATATAGCTGCTCACATGATCTCGTGGGCGATGGATACTGTGGTGGACTTTTTGCAGGGCTCGTCCAAACCTAGAGGATGCCTGCATACCCTATTTATTTGATTGGCCGCCCTTTGGAGCCAGGCTTGACAACCCGAGACCTGCGACGACGGCTGGGTTGCCTGCGCCCTACAGAACAGCCCTGGAGAGAGCCGACAGCCAGCGGCAGAGAGTGTTATTTATTTACCGCACGAGCTGGAGGTACCGCGAGGCAGCAGCGCTTCCCGCGGACTCCAGGGCTTTCACTCGCAGAAAAGCAAGCCCCAAGGCGACTTGCTTGGGTTTTCTTGAGCGATCGCGTGCCAACCGATAGACTCCCCCAAACTCCCGCTCCAGCGCAACCTCCAACTCCTAAAGGCTCTGGCACATCAGATTCAACCAACCGCCGCCCCGCTTCCTCCCTTCCACACTCTCTCACCTATCCTTTCCTTGAGACCCCTCCTCTAACCTTATTCATTCTGATTCCCTTTCCCCCGACCTACATGCATATCTTGTATGTTTCCCTGCCGACTGCGCCGCCAGAACTGCCTTGTTGGAGCCGAGTTTGCTAAGAGCCTCGCCCTGCAGCCAGAGGAGACTATGAGCACCCTTCAAGAGCCGCGAGATATCCTCCCTTCCTTATCTAAGACCTCCGAGAGTCGTCTATCCATCATCCCAATCCCGGATACCGCCGTGACGGACAGCGAGCCCGCACCGCACCATGCGACCCTCAGCCGTTTCGAGCACATCTTCACCTCATATCCTCCCATCATTGACTCGCTGATCGCACAACTCCCGACCGCTTCGATCCTGGATCTATACCATACCTCACGGCATTGGCGCGACTTCCTCAGGATATACCCGCTGGCATGGAAGACGCTATCGTTCCGCCTTCCCCAGCCCGCTGCTGGTGGTGGTCCTGGGAATGAGACGCCCGACAACAGAGAGAGACAGTCCAAGCTCTACAATTTCGACGCGCTCCTAATCGAGGTTATACGACCATGCGGGACACGGCTGACCAGCCTGGACCTCTGCAACACCAATGTCACGGGCATCGAATTGATCGGAAGCGTAGTCAATCCATGTATCGACAGCCTGCAGCATCTGTCGGTGCGCGGTTGCAAGCATGTCTCGATCAAATACCATATTGTGCCATTTCTGGGCCGGTACATCACAACTAACTCGCCCTGGGGAAGACAGAAGCTGGCACTCAAGAGCTTGTACACATATCGCGCCCGTCACCATCGCCGACGACCATACCTACCCTCCTCACTCGCGCGACGCGACTCCGACTCCGATCCAACACATCAACTGATTGAGATTTGTCATCAGCTGGGGATTTGGACAGACACGGCTTGGTGTCCGACTCCAGGAGGAAGATGTTTCCGGAGAAAGGATTACCACGCCGGGAGAGCTGGCCCGCAGAACATGGAGGTCTGGGTGCCGTTTGACCGGCTGTGGCGATCGAGCAATCGCATCGGACCCGTGGAAGGAACCCAGCGGCTAGGACAGAACGATGGCAGACTCTGGGAAATCGAAGAGACGGGGTACGAGGGCGAGCCGCTCGGCCCCGAAAACGGGGTGACCGCTGGCGAAGGCAAACACGTTCCTGCGCATCTCCGGAGGAGCCATCGGGCCTTTGTCGAGAATATTCAGTGCACGCAATGCAAGGAGGTTGTACTGGAGCGTTGCGAATCGTGCAGCGTGCGGATGCATTGTATGGGATGTCGCAAGACTCTCTGCGCTAGCTGTGCCTTTAATCGACCAATCCCTAAGAAGAGGGTCAGGACACGGCATTTTACAAATTTGGCACTTGGACTTGGCCCATCTTTTGGCGCCAGTTCATCAGGCAACGATTCGTCTGCTTCTCTGGCCGAGCAAAACCGCGCCTCCAAACCGGAACCTCCGAATAAATTTTGGTGGGCGCCGGGTGCGACGAGGTCACCGAACCTGATGAACGAGAATGTGAACGAAGATGATTCGTCTGACTCCGAAGACGGCGGAAACTTGAATGGCGGACTCCCCATTCCGCCCGCGAACCGCGATCCCCCGAAACTCAACATGCATTGGTGCTGTCTGGAACCCATCTTTTCTGGAGGCGGCGGAATCGCGGTGCTTGGAACTGGCTTAGGTGGCAGAGGTGCGGACAAGATCCGAGCTGCACCGTTACCCCAGACGAAGGAATATCAGGATCCAGATTTTTTAAACCAGCTTCGTCCCGTCGACTACGTGCGAGAGATGAAGAACAACGGCCTCTACGAGTATGTGCTTGGCGAGGATGTGGATATTCTCTCCTACCTGAAGCAGGAGAGTCTGGATCTTCAAGCAAACATCTGTCCGCGAGGGCTGTGTCAGGACTGTTACCGAACTTTTCGCTGGAAGGTGTCCTGCCGAGCGTGCAAAACGCCGATATGTAAAGAACACGATTTCAGAGCTCTCAAGTTCAGAAAGTGTGGCTATCGAGATATGCATACCGAACGCGAATTCGTTCAGTCCTATCATGAACCGCCTCAACTGATCATACCAGAGTTTAACCCCAACAAGAACGGAAATAATGGGAAGAGTATGGCCCCAACGACATCCTCATCGATAGACCCCGCCGAGTCGGGAGCTGCAGCGACCGACGAGGCGCCGTTGTCGCGATCGCAGATCTTGATACCCACTTCAACACCATCTGCAGCTACGTCCTCGGCGGCGCCGCCTCTGCCTCAAAATCCTGCTACGGATCTCTTCTCCAGCTCCACATCCATTCCTTTCGTTCCCGTCAGCTCTGGCCGCCCACGCTCTCTCAGCGCCTCAGGCTTGCGCAGTCGAAACTCCGCATCCTGGTCCAACAGTTCTCGAGCACTTCAACCCAGCTCGATTACGAACCCCCCACCACTACCGTGCACTCCGCGTCATCCTGTGCAGTGGGAAGGTTGCGGCGCGTACTTCTGCCAATACCCACGTCCTGTGGGCGATCATCGGCCACAGTGTGTGCCGCTTAAGGAATGTTCCTATTGTGCCGTTCTCGTATGCGATGTAAGCACCCGTCATTTGATCACCTCACTTTTGGATTTTACTAATGTGAATGTATAGTCTTGCGTAGCAGCCAACCCGCCTTGCACCTGCAGCTTCTGCAAGGTAACATACCACTGTCCAGTGTGTTCACGCAAACCAGAAGTTCGCTCGCTTTGCCGTCTTGAAGACGAACTGCTCGTCAAGGCAGAGCTGGAGCGTCGTCTGCACGAAAAGAGAGAACGGGATAAGGAGGACCGTGGCCAAGCGGACCAGGTCGCTGATGCGGCACTCGAGTTCTGGGTGATGACGGGTTTGGTCTGGGAAGGGCTTGTGGGAGGTCAGGAGGAGGCCGAGGATGGCCCGGAAGCCGTCACAGAAGCAGAACCCCCCTTGACGCCGAACCCCGATTCTATCACGGTGACGATGGAGTTTGGGGTCAGCGAGGAGCCGAATAATGTTACGACTGTCACTGCAGGACCGGCTGCGGGTCCGCCTGCTGTACAGCAAGAACAGGGATATCATGAAGTGGTGGAGGGTCCAGACAGTCAAGAGCCGGCCGGAGACGAAGCGCCATTGCCATCAACTTCAGCAACTTCACTGCCCTTTGTCGAAGAGTCGGCAGGGGAGGGCGGGAGTGGGGACGACGACGAAGGCACCCAGGACGCAGACCTAGAAGACGAGGACGGCATTTTGGACGATGATGTCGAGCTGGGCGATGGGGAGAGCGAGGCTTTCGAAGCCATTATTGAAGAAGTGTTAGTCGCTTCTACGGAAACAGCTGCTAATTCTGGTCCGCCGATAGCTGTTAGTACTGCGGAGGCGATGCCGAATACTGCGCACGAGATCATCTGATTTAGAACGTGTGAGGATGACGAATTCGAGCGGGATATGGAAGTATTCAGTCTGCATTTGAGCGCATTTACGATATACGGTCTGATTTTCTTTGGGTCTGGCCGCCTTGTGGTCGACCGAGCGTTAGAGTGTTCATCTGCGGGTAGGGTTTTCTTTAGATCTTTTGCTATTGGAACTGCGGGCAGCGGTTAGCTTTGCGAGACATAGGGCGTATGTGGGAGGAATCTTCTATGCATACAGGTAGAGGGGATCGACGGCACAGTTCTCCTGTTATACTGGGTACGGATATCAGAGCATGGTGGAGTGATTGCGGTCACTAGAATGCAGGAAGCACGACGTACGATGCTTGTTTGTCCGCTTTGTAAACGTTGGGGATGTACTCGGTATTTCTGTCTCTTGTTGCTGCGGCGCGATGTCTGTCCGTCTGATGTCTCGTCAGGATCCACCCGTTCCTTCACCAGCCCCACCCAAAGCAGCATAGCCGCATAACCTTAACTATTTTAAGCAGCGCGCCGCGTAACAAGCGGTCCATGCATCTCATCTCATAGATCTTAAACCCGACGTTCCCTCATCAATCGCAACTCCAATCATTCCCCGCACAGCTACAATAATGTACGCTCGTTCTTTGCTGTTGGCTGCTGCCGCGTGCGTCGTTCCTGCCGTGCAGGGCGACTTTTATATTGTGACCGAGTTTCCTGTTCCAACGAGTTTGATTCCTTCGTTCAGTAATAGTGAGGATGTACGTCATTAACCTTTTCCTCGTTCGCCTTTTTCGAGTATTGCCTACACGAATCCTTCGCTCAGATCCTCTCTCCGCATCCTGTGAACATTCAGGATCCAGAATATGATTTTAATGTGAATCCCAGGCCAAATCCTGGACCTCCTCCGTCGTCTTCAATGCCGAAATCTCCTACTCGCGCCTCACCGCCGCCCTGGGCCCCACCCACGCCTCCTCCGCCTCGTCCATCGCCTCTCTCGTCTCCGAGTTCGTCGTCACCGCTACCTCCAACTACAGCATCCCGGCCAAGGTCACGGAGCCGGATCAGACGGAGCGCATCATAGGGAAGCCGGCTTGGTACACGGCGTTGCCGAGCGAGGTGCGGAGTTGGAAGGAGCGGGAGTGGGAGACGATGAAGAGTGTTGCTAGTGGGGTCGTGGCGGCGCGGTTGACGACCACGAGGAGTAAGGGCGCGGCGCCGGTGCAGACGGCGGTGCCCGGGTTGGGGGGTGTGGGGTGGGCGGTTGCGGGGGCGGCGGCGGCGGCGTTCTTCTAGGAAGCAGAGAGGATGGGATGAAGCTTGCGATTTTCGATTTGGATGTACCGTTTGAAGTTAGGATGGAGGTTTGATATAGGAGTTGTGTTTAAAACCGCTAGGAATCTGTGTTTAAGATAAGAGGAGGAAAGAACCCTTGGAAGCAGCCGGGCTGGTCCTGGTGTATTGTGTAAAGATATTGCACAAGGGCGGCATGCTAAGAACGGATAAAGATTCGGAGGAAAGGCGTTTAGGATACATCAAAAGGACAATTTCAGGAGTCTGTCCAATCTCTTGACATCTAGTCAACGGAAAAGAATGAGAACATGAAGAGGCAAGGAAGAGAGTAACCAGATAGCGTACGGATCGACATTCTCACTCTGGCAGAAAAGGACCTGAGCAGACATGGTGTCAAGACAGGAGCAGGTTTATCAATGCCATGTGCCCCCTTAAGCATTGGCATCTCTGTACAGATCTTCTCGGTGCGTTTTACGGTATGGACAAGAATAACTTATTTTCTTTGCTTCTAGGGTCTTACATGCCATAGGCTGCGTTGGATGTGTGAAGCATTCGCAAGAAAGAACGAGACGGCAGTAGTACTACCGTGAGTCTGCTGTAGGTGGGATCTCACAATTCATTAAAATACGCTCGCTAGATGATTTGTGGATCACGACTCGAGAAACTCAAGAAACTTTCGAAGACTTCGAAATTGGAAATGCCTCTTTCCCGCCATCTTTACTTCACTGTGTAAATACACACGACTATATTGTCGAAGAGCCTGAACTTTTTGCGGGAGGATACGAAGGCTACATCTATAAATCCATATAAACTAGATTTTTGGAATTGGAACCATCCCTTATTCAAGCAATGTCATGATATGGGCAGTGAAATACTTGTCACGTGATACTCTGTTTGTAGCGCACCGCCAAGATGGCCTGTGCGGAAGCTTCGATGAGAATTATGGAACGGCTTCCTGCGTCCACTTCCTCCTCAGTCGTCCTCAATCTTCCCGCTGCGGCGCTCGCCATCGCCCACCATGACGACCTTCTCAAACACGGCGATGTATGCGCTGACGGTGCAAGAGCCGTCAGCAACTCAAGAGGCTCTCGTCGGGGACTTCCTCGGAAACGGTCGCCAGCAGATCTTGATAGCCAACGGCTCGCGCCTCTCGATCCTCGTCGTCTCGCGCGCCCGGAAGGGTCACGAGGTGATTTTTTCGCAGAATGTCTTTGGTATCATACGGCACATTGCAAAGTTCCGCCTTGCTGGGGGCACCAAAGGTGAGTCGCTAGCACTCCGGCCGAAGCTGTATAGTGATTTTGCAAGGCACAGCGAGACCCTCGACCTGTTGCGCTTCCCAGAGGCGTGGTGGAGGCGTTAGTCTGATATAAGGATTTTGGCTAAAAACCAACAGATAATATTGTACTCTCTACCGACTCTGGACGACTTGTGACCTACGAGTATCTGCCGGAGGAACGCCGACTGAGTCCTATTCATGAGGAGACGTATGGAAAGTCTGGTATCCGCCGCGTTATACCGGGGGAATACATGGCCGTTGATCCGAAAGGGCGGGCCATCATGCTGGCATCCCTCGAGAAGAACAAGCTTGTTTATATCCTGACTCGGACTGGCGAGGACGTCATCACAATATCCTCTCCACTGGAAGCCCATAAGCCGTCGACTCTCGTCTATTATCTACTCGCGCTAGATGTCGGTTACGAAAACCCGGTCTTTGCTACGCTTGAGCTGGATTTCACGCAAGCAGATACGGACCCCACCGGTGAAGCGGCCAAGGAGGTGGAGAAAGAGCTTGTTTACTATGAGTTAGATCTGGGTCTCAACCATATCGTTCGGAAATGGTCCGAGCCCGTTGATCGCACTGCTAACATACTCTTTCGCGTGCCCGGTGGCGCTCATGCTCCGAGTGGGGTGCTCTGTTGCGGCGAAGACAACATCAGCTACCGTCGCATACACAATAGAAAGTCGGACGTTAAGCGACTCGCGATCCCTCGCCGGGACGCGCCCACTGAGGACCCGAACCGCAAGCGCATCATTGTTAGCGGCATTCTGTACACGCTGAAGAAAGGGGATTTCTTTTACCTTCTCCAGACCGATGACGGCGATGTCTTCAAAGTAACCTTTGATTGCACGGACGGCGAGGTCGATAGAATCAAGATCAGGTACTTCGATACCCTTCCGGTGGCGACCAGCATTTGCATCCTGAAGGCCGGATTCATTTTTTGCGCATTTGAGTCCGGAGATCGGGTGATCTATGACTTGGAATCACTAGGTGACGATCCGAATGATCCCGAGTTCGACAGCACTCAGTTTCCGGCAAACCCCTCCGACCCTTACCACCCGCCCTTCTTCCGGCCTAGACCCTTGAAGAATCTCATACTGTTTGAGACCATCCCTAGCATGAACCCGATCATGGACATGGATGTATCAAACTTTGCCGAAGAGGATGCTCCGCAGATAAACACCATCTGTGGGACAGGCGCACGAAGCACTTTTCGGACCACGCGCAATGCACTGGAGGTCCTTGATCTTATCGAATCTGGTTTACCCAGGCAGGCGACCGCCGTGTGGACGACAAAATTGACCGTTGAAGATGAATATGATACCCTCATTATACTTTGTATGATTAGCAGCACCTTGATTTTGAAAATCGGCGAAGTAGTGGAGCAAGCGCATGAGACCGGTTTCCTGACCGAGACCACAACACTTGGAGTCCAGCAATTTGGAGATGACTGCATCATCCAGATACATCCGAGAGGAATTCGCCATATCCGGGAACTACGATTCCCCAACGATGATACGGAAGGAGAGACTTCCGGCTATTACGACTGGGAGGCTCCGGTCCACCGCACCATAGTTGCGTATGCGGCAAATAACCGCCAAGTTGCCATCGCACTCAGTTCTGGTGAAATCTACTACTTTGAATGCGATTCGGACATGTCCCTGGCCAAGTTCGAGACCGAGATTCCCCTGGAGCACAATGTCACATGCATCGCCATACCGGATATTCCAGAAGGTCAAGCTCGGAGTCGTTGGATGGCTGTTGGAAGCAGTGACCAGTCGATACGCATCTTCAACCTGACCGCCGACAATGAAGGTAATATTCTGGTAATGGCCTCGCTCCAGCACCTTAGCTCAATTCCCTCTTCATTGGCCATCAACTACATGAGAGATAACAGCCCTCATGGGTACAGCCAGTATCTCCACATCGGTCTTCGTTCTGGTATCTATATCCGGTCGGTCCTGGAGGAGTTCAATGGCGAGATCGGGGACACTCGGAAGCGTTTCCTGGGACCAGCGCCCGTGAGGTTCGCACGAGTCAATGCAGCAGATGAGCCTGCCGTAGTGTGTGTGACGACACGGCCTTGGCTCAGCTATGCACATCCGCAGACTGGATGGTTCTGCACAACTCCGCTAAACTACATCAGCTTCGACTCCGCGGCGAGTTTTGAGGGTTCACAGTTCAAGGGCGTCATCTGTGTCAGCGGAGCAGAATTAAGGTAAGCATCCCTCATCTTCCCTTCCCCCCAGGTCTTGCCAGCCTGGTTTGCCTTCCGGGTCTAGGATCCGGTTATGTGTTGTGATGAGAACCTAAGGGTTTCCGAAATTCTTTCATGAGGATCATATTATTATTTTCCAATTGTTCCTGCTGATACACTATCCTGGATATCATACGGTATGTCCCGCTTTCCTTCGGCTGGAGCTGACATGTGTCCAGAATCTTCAGTATCAGCAACCTTAGCAGCAACACAGTGACGCAGTCGATCCCACTTCAATATACGCCGCGAAAGATGGCCGCCTCTCCGGAAGCCCGTGTCTATTATGTCATTGAGAGCGACAACAACACTATCGATCTAGCCACTCGAGAAGCGCTTCTCGCGCGCAACGGGGAAGATGCTGAAATGGATGGCGACTCCACGAACGGGGTCAAGGCGCTACCAGCGCCCCAGTTTGGACATCCAAAGGCGAACGGTCTTTGGGCGTCGTGCATTCAAATAGTGGACCCCGTCCAGGAGAACGCAGTCATTCAGACCCTCGAGCTAGGGAGGGATGAGTGCGCGGTCAGCGTTGCTCTGGTTCCCTTCGAAAGCAGGAATGATGAGCGCTTCCTTGCAGTTGGTGTAGCCGTCGGATTAAGCTTCGTCCCTTCGTTGAAGTTCAAGTCCGCCCACATCTATCTATACAAGGTCTCAGACGACGGACGCTCACTCGAGTTTTATCATAAGACGGACACGGACGATTTGTGTCTTGCGCTCCTCGCTTTCAAGGGGAAGCTAATGGCTGGCGTGGGTAAGAACCTCAGCATGTACGATATCGGCAAGAGGTCGCTGCTCCGCAAGGCGCATACGGCCAACTGTACGACCACGCGAATCACCGGCTTGACGACGCAGGGTAGCCGCCTCGTCGTCTCGGATCAGTCCCAGTCGGTCACGTATGTTGTGCACAAGGAGCTCATTCATCCGAACCGCCTGATTCCATTTGCCGACGATACCGTTTCCAGATGGACCACATGTGCTGAGATGGTTGACTACGACACCGTCGTCGGTGGTGATAAGTTCGGTAATCTGTGGATGGTGCGTTGTCCACCTGACGTCTCCCACGCTTCCGATGAGTCAACGGACGGGCAACATCTGATCCAGGACAAACCGTACCTCAATGGTACACCGAACCGTGTCAACCTGGTCATGCATTACTACGCCAACGACATCCCCGTAGCTGTCCAAAAGAGGGCGCTGCTCTACGGTGGAGAAAAAATCGTCATCTGGGCGGGGTTGCAAGGCACGCTCGGCATCCTGGTCCCCTTCCTGTCCCGCCGCGACTTCAAGATGATCCAGGAGCTCGAAATGACGCTTCGCAGTGACAAGGAGCACAAGATGATCTCGGGTCGCGATCACCTGGCGTTCCGAAGTTACTATAGCCCGGCCAAGGGAGTCATTGATGGGGATCTCTGCGAGACGTTTCTGACACGCAAGCTGCATGAAAAGGAGGGTATCGTCGCCAGGTTGTCGACTCCCGGGGCATCGGTGGAGAGGGTAGAGGAGTTGCTGTGGAACATGAGGGCGTTGTATGCTTTCTAAAGCTGGATGGATGATGGGTTGGGGATCCGTGTAGGAATTAGCATCGGAGTTTGGGCAGGGATTTTTCAGGTTAAGATGGGATGGATGGACATTGGATGGTGTGGTGTCGCGGCGAAAATGGTCCAGGGGATTCTGTTTCCGGAGTCCGCAGTCTAGCTAATGATCCTGTTATGGGCGTCTGCAAGGCATGGAGCGGTTACGTTTAGGTGCTGGAGATGAAAGAATTGAGAAACTATGTAACAAAGGTGTTTTCGTCAATGTGCGCCTCCAAGGGGATCGAGTACCTTGATATTCGACCCCCTTTCCCGCCCACGGCCTCACCCCATATCAACCCCCCTCTAAACAAGGGAGATCCATACCATGGGATGAGCATGGTCAGTTCCGTTCCGTTCGCCAAACACGCAAAGTCATGTCGCATCACATCACAGCCATACACAGCAATTTCCATTTGACAGGATGCGGACCTGCTGCCGCCGATGGGAGTGGTGATGGATGAACAGGGAGGGGGGTGTTGGATATCTATGTACGTATACATTTATTGTTCTAGCGAGGGGGAGTCGTAAGTTGATGTTTTTCCTTTCGACCAAGTGTTCTATTTCCCATGTTCCAGATGTACCACCAATGGTCCATTTCCTCTGTGAGAGCGATCGTCTAGAAAGGAGGAAAGAAAGGACAGGCAAGCCAGCCAAGCAAGCAAGCAAGGCTCCATACGCCGACCAATAACCAGAAACCAGGAACCAAGAAACGATAACCCATATTTTGTTCATTCATGGGAGGAAGATGCAACATGTGAACCCATCCCTCGGAAGAAGAAGGTGCCAAACGGCAAGAACGAATGGAAAAGCAAAGAAGCGACGAAGAGTAAAGCTATGTTCAAGAAGAGAAACCCGGCCAAACAGACAAGCTGCTCGACAGGTAAAGGACCTCAGATCCAAATCAAAGATATGCTCATGCACCAAACCAGCCAGGCGGCGGCAAACCCACTGCTCCAGTCTTGCATGCAAGATGCATCAAAATCACCAAAGGAGCTCAACACCCCCCACACACACCAACCACACCTCCCCACCTAACAAGTCGGCTCCACCAGCTCATACCCATCATTCCCGTCCTTCTCCACGACATCGGGTCCCGGGTTGGGGAACCTCAACTCGGCCGGGTTGCCGGGCGACTTGCACTCGGAGCCGGGCAGGTCAATGTTGAGCGACATCTCCGGGCGGGCCGAGAAGGCCACGGCCTCTGCGCGACGGTGGGGCGCCTTGAGGGCTTCGCTGCGCTCGAGGTTGCGCTTGTGGACGGCGAGAGCACGGCGCTGGACGTCGCGGATGCGGCGCGAGGTGGTAGGCGAGGAGCACGAGGAGCATTGGCAGCCTTCAGACCAAGATTTGGTGGGGCAGATGCAGGTGCAGCCTTCGAGTGTGAATTGCGAGTCGGGGTTTTGCTGGTCCGGCTTGTCCGGCTGCTGCTGAGGAGGGTTCTGCCCGTCGCCCGAGATCTGGACCGAGGCGCAGTTCATGTTGAACTCCTGCTCGCGATTGATCCAGGTCCAGGCGAAGACGGCCTTGCCCGCGGGGAGATCGGCAGGGACGACGAAGTCATACGTATGGTCCGCGGGATCCAGCGACTCGGCCTTGTCGTGGTGGGGGAAGTTGCCCTGCCATGTCTTGATGACCTTGAAAGTTTTACCTTGGTCAAGGGAGATGCCGATCTGGGCGGAGCCGCCGGCGTGGGTGCCTCCGACGGGGTTCTCTTGGGGAGAATTGATGCGGTGGCCCGAGACGGAGAAGTTGGCCTTCTGGCCTGGAGCCCAGGTGACGACGGGTTGGCCTTCGGGTTGGTCGAGGAGGTCCAGATGGCCTTTGCAGAGGGCGGTGACGGTTTGGCCGCAGCAGCCGTAGGGGTAGTTGAGGTAGGGGTCCGCCTTGCCCTCTGGGGTGAAGGGGTTGTTGTCTCCCAGGAGAGTAGGAGGGTAGTCGAGGTGTAGGTGTGCTTGGGCCAAGCCCAGGATGCTCAGGATGGTAACGATGTTGGTATACATCTTGGCAAAACGGCGAGATGGATTGGACAGGTTGTATTCAAGATGTTCGTCCGAGAAGGTGAGGTTGTTTTGAAAAGATTCGATGTCGAAAGGAAGACTGGCTTTTATCCTGTGGACCGACAAAGAGTGGATCTACAGAACACTGTATTGTGCAGCGGAAGACCGGTTAACAAGGCCGCAGTGGGGGGTGCCGCAACTGTAAAGGGCACAAGGCGTGACAGGGCGGAGCACGAGGCGATTTGGATCTGGAAAAAGGGATTTCGGAAAAGGGAAACAAACGCTCTGCGTTGGGAAAGAAGGAGTGCACAAAGGAGTGTGGATATGTCCACCAGGGCTAGCTGGTAACAGGAAGAGAGGGTGGGGACAAGAGGGAATGACTGGCGCACGCTTGAGTGTTGCTCGAGAGGTTTGCTGAAGAGAGCGACGCACATCCTTTTATAAAGTGCGGCGTTGGCTGATGACCTCTCCTTGCCCCTTCGCGTCCAAGACATGGCTTGTTGGTGGTGATTCCGCCACCCGGGCTTCCTTCACCTGGAGTGAAAGGTTCCAGGCGCCGTGCGACTGTGAAAGATGGACTGAAGTGAGCATGGTGGGTCTCCGGACGCGGTTCCTGACAGCCCAACAGCCAGTCATGTGAAGCCGGGAGACGGGCGGGGATCTGATGTGACTGCTCCGTCAGGGTCTGCAGAAACGCGCAGTTGGAGCAGGGCGTTTCGAAACGGAGGCGACTCGCGCAGCGGCAAGGTGCCCATCGGAGGTCGAAGGGAGGTGGACAAGGTGGTGAACATTTGGCTGGCTGTCGACATGTCGCAGAGTTACGGCGCCTTACCGCTTTCGGAGAAGCTTCTTAGCGCCCGCCCGCGTGGCTTGAGCGAGCGTATCGATAAGGAAGCGAAGCGAACTGGACGACCACTGCCTTGCTGCTCGGGATGCAATGTGAAGCAATACATAACCGTCAACGAGAAGAGGCTATCCTCTCCGCTATCCTCTCTGCCTCAGTAGCAATTTTGCAGCCACCGACTGCCAGAAGATTGGAATGCCACCAATTCTGCCCCGTACCGAGTACCTGCTGACGGGCGTGCCTGTCCCTTGACGCCCAAGAAAGCCACGCGGCTATTCGTAGGTTTGCCATAATTAACAAGGAAAAGAACAGACAGAAGGGGGAAAAAGAAACGGGTGATGTGATCCTTCCGGAGCTGCACCCGTCGAACTCGGCATTTTTTTTCTCGTCCTGTTCTTCACCGTTTGCTTTGCCCTGGCTCTGCTTCAGTCCGGATTCAGAAGAGACGAAGGGAGATTGTACTCCACACGAAGAAGAGGCCGCACCCGTTGGGAAGCCTGAAACCATCCCTTTGGCTCTACGCAGAGCTGTATTCCCGTTCAAACACATCCCTCCAGAGTCATCCGCAAGCTCAACTCTTTCCTGTGTCTTTCGCGGTGGATCCAACATCACAGCTCACGGCATGTTCCGGCATTCCTCCAATTCCCAACACCTCGTCCCACAGCCCTGCAATCCCAACACCCCTTCGCTCAACGGCGATCCTCCATCTCGGCCCGGGAACAACTTAATTCATTAACCTTCCAGAAGAACCGAACCTTGTCGATCCCTCGTTTGATCCCATTCACCCCAGGTATTATTACTCCTCCAAGAAGTCACGCACGGCTGCCCCGCACTGGTTGCAGACTACGAGTAGGAGGCATACTTAGTTCTACCACTTAGCTTATTACGCATCCCAAATGTACAATCTAAAATAGATGCTCTGTGCATCAACACTTCCTTCCGTTTCAGATAGACGACATTGCAGTGCACACCCGCGCGAATGGGGACACTAAAATCTATCCCAACACTAAAGTCTTTGTAAGACAGTAGGACACATACGGGAAATCCGTCTGCGCGACTCTGCGGGGCAACAAAGGGCAACACCGCATCCTTCAGCCCGTTGACGTGATTGTTGCTTACTTTGCCCCTCTGATTTTAACCTCCACACAGCATGTCTTCATTCATGATTCGTGCGCTTGGCCATGCGCTTACTGTGCCTACAGTGCCTCGCAGAAGTTCTTTGTAAGAAAGGCTGACAGCATCACTGTTGATTGCAGAATTGGCTTCGCTTATCGCCTTCAATCCTTCTTCATTCTTAGCTCATGCCTGCAGGACGGAGGAAGCAAGATGTTTAATTAAAGAAAACACCCTTTATATTTCTTCTCAGATGGTTTTTTGCTTTTTTAGACCGCGGGATAGGACCTATCGTTTGATGCAGGTGGGAGATAAATAGCTCATCCTTCATAAAGAGAGAGACAATGATAGAGCTTGTTGGAAGAAGGAGGCGTCCGCTCCTGATCAAACCCACGCACAGGGATTCTACGGAAACCGAGAGGAATGCTGGACGAGCACTTAAGAAATCACTAGATAGAGAGACCGTGACCGTTGTGAAGACTTACTACTAGACTACCAAAACTGCATGGTATGCAGCTCACTGATTCCATGTGCAAGGACAGCGCACTCTGATTTATGTTTATGAAGACGTCCACTCATCGCAGCATGAAAGTTAGCCAAATGACGCTATCAATATCATATCATGGCTATACAAGACAGATACATCAATGGATAGCCGATAGCAATATCTCGGATCCATCCCGCCCTCAATAGCACTGTTGCCCTTCGCTGCCCCAACGCCATCGCTTCCATCCTGGTGATCCTCAAGAACGCCTGAAAATGCCCATCTGAACCAAGAGCTCAAAAGTCGGTGCTCGCAAAACGCAGCAGATTGAAAGGGTCCACTGACGTAACCCTAAACCCAAACAATCCTCATAGTCCCTGAAACTCAAATGTTCCTCCAACACCATCGCCTTCCTTCCCACCTGCGCTGAATTCCCTCCCTAGACTTCTACCCGCTCTCCCCAAAGAACCGACTCGCAACGATGATATCGCGATCCCCATTCGCAAAATCCCATCCCACAATCGTCGGATCCTGCGAGCAGCAGATGATCCTCCGCGCATCGAACTGCAGTTTGAACACGCGCGAGTTGGTCGGCGGGTGGTTGAGCTGGTTGAGGTGGTGCGCGTGGTGGTGATGGTGATGGTGGTGGTGTGGGCCTGCTGCGGCTGCTGCGGCAGCGGCGGCTTGTCCGGGCGTTAAGCCTTGGGGAACTGGGGCGGCCGCGCCTGCCGCTGGAATGGGTGGCTGTGGCGGCTGTTGTTGTACTTGAGGTGCTTGCTGTCCTAGAGGAGGGATTGGGTTGACTGGGTTGCCAGTCATCGTTGCGGGAGCTCCAGTCTGAGTAGTAGGACCTGCGTTAGTGTGTTGTCCGGCTTGACCCTGAGCTGTCTGAGCAGCAGCATGCAAGAGTGAAGCTTGCTGTGCCAAATTGTGTGCAGCCTGGGCCTGGGCCTGAGCCTGGTGAGCAAGGGCCTGGAAGTTCGTTGCAGCAGTTCCGTTGGGTTGGAGGGCCACGCCTCCTTGATTACGGTTTTGGGGGACGCGCCGACGGCCTCCACCAGCTGCCCTGACGGCCTCGTTCTGGTAGAGAACCTTTGATTTTTCCCAAATTCCGTCTGCGTTCTTCTTCCAGATGATGATGGTCTCATCGTAGGAGCCCGAGACGATGCGAGCCCACTTGCTTCCACCACCGCCAGGAGGCAGCTTCGCACCGTATGCCAGAATAGACCTTGGATCGCGAGAGCCTGCGTTTCGCACACGTCGCCGATCCCTTGTTAGATTCTCGGGGACAAGCCCCTTTATCTTCGCTTCAAAAAAGCGGCGGTCAACAGCCCTCGCCTCGGCTTCCAGCTCATCCTCGTTACCAGGAAGGTCACCAAATTGCGCCTGCACCGTCCGCACAAGGTTGGTGTGACCTTGCAAACACGCCACCTCAGCACCGGTTGCTCTATCGAATATCCGCACTGTCTCGTCGGAGCTCCCGCTGACGATTCGCCGCCCATCGAACTGGACACAAGCGATTCCCTTGGTGTGACCGGGGAAAGTCATCAGACAGACACCCGTGCGTACATCCCACACTTTGACGTTCCGGTCACCTGAAGCCGACACGATTTGACCGTCATAGATTTGGATAGCATTAACGGCAGCCCCGTGTCCTTCCATGGTCATGAGCAGAGAGTAGGGCTGCAGTGGTTTGAAATGCAGGTGGGACGTCTCGGTGATATGTTGCATGTTGATTATGTAGGGCGGGAATTGCGCCTTGGATCTCGTGGTAGATGAAGGGTAGGCATCATCGGTCGGCCAAAGCTCTTTTCGATTCCAGACCTTGATGGTTTTGTCCTTGGAGCACGTAACCAAATACCGATCGTCGAATCGGAGGTTGAGCACCGATTCCGAGTGTGCTTGGTCTATCTTTTTGATGAGCTTTCCAGTGGAAAACTGCCATAGAATTACTCGACAATCGCTTCCAGCGGTTATCAATATATCTTCTTCGGGCCGTTCGTCAAATTGGAGACAGAGTACCGAGCCAGTATGTTCCTGAAGCGGAGGATGCACAAGGCGCTGGGTATCAAGGTCCCAGATTCGGATCGTCTTGTCTCTGCTGCCGCTCACGAGATACTTGCCCGAGTATTGTATCGTGTACACGCATTCCGTGTGCCGCTCTTCTGGGTGGTCTGGATGCGGGAGCTGGAAATTGGTATACCGGCCCATGTCCCAATTTTCTTCTAAGCGTCTCTTTTGCTTATATAGGTATTGCCAGTTGATTTTGGGCTCCGTGCTCGAGGGAAGGAATAAGGTTGGGCGGACAGGAGGATCAAGGGCATCTGATATCACTGGAGTTGTTGCGGCTACATCCTCATCGATCTCCGTCGTCGTCTTCTTTCGACGTATGCTTTCCAATGGCGATAGTGGAACACCTCCGGTTGGTTCGGACACATAGGTAACGCCTTCCATGGCATCATCCGCTTTTGATGGACCTTCATCCGCCTCCACGGCATGATGCTGCTCAGCCCAGTTGGGAGGGCCGTCACTGGAGCCATCGAGAGACATGGGTTCCATCCTCGCCCTTACGCTGCTGTCCGTCTCGGTTCTCTCCAGTAATGAAGGCTTTTGGCAATGCCGCTTCTTGGTTGAGGGCTTGTCGGAGTCGGTATCTTCGGTGGTCCGTGGCCTGGTCTTCTTTTCCTTCAGATTCGCTCGCCGTACTCTCTCAGCCTCTTCAAAAGCGCGCACTTGGGCGAAGTCGGAATTCCAGCCCTCCAAGCGGAAGAGCAGCCTCCAGAGAGGACTGTCCATGACCCGCGCCCGCCAGGCCTTGGATAATGTGGAGGCGCGCAACAGCGTCTCGGGACTAAGATATGAGAAGATATGGAAGGTTATCTCCGGAGGGAGGTGTAAGACCGGGTCGAGGTGTAGAAGGGGGTTCAGTTTCTCTACTATGCCTGCTATTGACGACGTGCGCAGGGAACGAAGGATAGCATACGCGAACTCTATACAGACCGTTAGCAGTGGTTGCGCAAGGGGAGCCGAGGAGACAAACCGCTCCGGTCGCTTTCGCTCATATTCAGGACCCATTCGGGCAGAGGATAATGGGTGTCCATCCCGACATCCTCGCCGTCGCCTAACCTGGTATCCATCCTCAGAACCAGATCGCTCCCGCTCTGGCTTCTGGTATCCTCCGAGTATCCTTCATCGATCTTACTTATGGACGAGACGGACCGGAATGCTTGGAGGTAGGATGGGGTCGCGAAGTCGGCGTCGCTGATGGGGCCCGCCATGCCGCGCGAAGGAGGAGCGACAAATCCAGAATACTATGAGTTGGTGGAAACGCGCAGTGAGGAGACTGGGATTCAAGGCCGAATCAGGGAATCGCGGAGTAGTGTTGATAAAACAAAGACTTGCGGGTTCTGGTTGGGTGACGACTCGAGTGGTCCGGGCAGACGATGATGAGGTGAAAGATACAAAGCGGCGCACAGAGATGTCGGGTGCTCACTGCAGTTCGAGATCACACTCCAGTTTCGTTCTCCAGGGCTCCGAGGTGGCGTGGTTACCAAACAAGGTGATGGGCGGGATGTTTAAGCCAGGTGCAACCCGTCAGGCGGCCGTTCCTTGTTGCGGTTTCCCGCGAGCTATTCACGCCAAGCTTCTCCAGACCTGACGCTAGCCATTTAAAGCTAGCCGCTGGGCATGTATCGTTTCTTAACTACACGACACAATAGGCAACGGTTACAGTGTGCGAGCTGAAGACTCGTACAGGGAATTGCGGAATGCCCTTTACAATCACTTTGCGACCTGGAACGTCAAGAGTATTCTTGGTACTTTGGTGAAGGAAGGGTGGAAGGGTCGAAGCCCCCCAACAGGTCCGCAGGCTGACATTGATTGTAAAAGACGGACGAATACAGTGGCGGGAGTAGGTAACCGCCGTCTGTACTTTGGATAGCTATGTTGCATTATCACAAGTGTGAAGTCGTAATCCTTTAACAGTCGGAGTGACAAACGCCAGTGACCATGCGACCATGGGTACGGAGTAAGTCCATGACGGATGCCTTCAAAGGTTCGAAGCTCCAATGCAAACGCTCAGCACCATGTTGAGCCTCAACTTCTGTTTGGCGAAAGTCGGATCATCAGTGGGACCAACAACCTTTCTAGTCATGCTGTGCGTGGACTTGAAAGTCTCCTCGGGCGATGCTGTCTTTCTGCGAAAAAGTAGTTGGAGCAGCGTGACTTCTTGTGAGTGAAAGCATGACACGATCGTCGAGGTTGGTGCAAACGTTGAGCAGAGTGGTGGTTGCATTATTATGACCCCTCACATACCCGTTATGCTTTTGCACTTTGCAATCCCTGGAGGCATGTTCGGAGCGACCACTGACCAGCAAAAGCACGGCTGCTTGCTGCGGGTCCGACTTGGAGGGGCACCCAGTCCTAGCTCCGCAGGCGGGCACGCACAGTGGTGATCTGTATGGATGGATCTGTATCCACAATAACAATGGTCTGCCACTCACGGCATCGAAAAAGGGGTAGCGCAGTGATGAATAAAAAGACGCAACAAACGGTGAGGAAGATAGAGAGAGGACGGCCCGAAAAAGAACAGCATCCAACTTAAGTGCAAATGTGAGAAGAGGGTTGTGTTAACCTTTTAAAAGCGCATTTCGCCCAATCCACGGATGCCGCTTCTCCTTGTCCCTGTTCCCTTTGATGTTGCCCAGGGCTGGAGGTGTTGTCTCACGGCACGTGACGTCCCCGATCCCCGACGCTTCCAAGCCGCCTGCATGAGGAGGGCTGATGTGAAACGAGGCCACTGCAACCGCCCACCCACCTTCACCACACTTTCACCACCTGCATCTCCGCCTCGACCCCTTATCACGCACTCCTGCTGCCTCTCTTGACTATCTACCGGTTGTCCGCCCTCGCCCACGCCCCAACAACAATCGCGACAAAAGGAAAAGGAACGCAGCCCGTCTCCGCCCCGCGCCTGTGCTCAGGGACTCTCCAGACCGCCTTGTCTCCGCCGCCCGTGCCTGCCCGTTAGCCCCCGTGGGTCCTCTCTGCCCCGTTCGAAACCCTGCCCAGCATCCACCCAGCACCCACCAGCAGCACCCACCACCCAGCAAACCCAGCACACCCAGCACCCACCGTCAAAGCGCTCTGCCCGCCACCGTTATTCTGTCACCCGGAGGCCCTGCAGGGCGATGAGCTGCTAGCATGGAGGTAGCGTTCCACTCCGGACTTGCGAGAGCCTACACTCAATCACCTACCTCCTCCTCCTCCTCCTCCTCCACCCCCACCACGCGCTCCCGGATGACTTCGACGGGCGCCCCGCCTGCCCTCATGAGCCACCAGAGCTACCAGAGCCAGTATTCCGCATACTCGCACAGCAGCGCCCGCGACACACAATCCACCCAGGCCACCTCGTCCTCGACTCTCTTTAGCCACCCCCCGCCCTTTCCCTCCTCGTCCTCCTCCACTCCCGTCAATGGCGGCCCCGTCGAAGCCTCCAATAATGTCCTCAACAAGCGTGCCGACAAGGACACCTCGCTCTTCCAACGATGCCTCAATCTGCAGATGCGTCTCCGCCTGATTCCCGGCTTCGAGCAGTGGATGCGCGAGGAAGAGGACAAGGCCGACGACGATGCAGATCCCGTCACGCTGTTGTGGAGGACCTTCAGGAGGGGATATCCGCTTCTGGACATTTACAATGCCCTGGGCCCCAAGGTACCGCTGAGCATCGACGAGTCCAAGATTGCCGAGAAGAACAGACCCAAGACCGCGGCATACAAGTTCATTCAGGCGTGCGTCGGAGAGCTCAAATTCCCCTCCGAAGAGTGTTTCATTCTCAGTGACCTCTATGGTGACGACACGACCGGTTTCGTAAAAGTGAGATTTGCCCCGTCCTACTCTCTGCCTGCCAGCGAAACGGCTAATCCATGCTAGGTCACCAATGTCGTCAACCGCGTGCTGGATATTCTCGTGCAGATGGGTATAATAAACACAGAGACTCCCGTGTCAGACGACGCCTCTGGCATTTCCAACGGCAAGCGAACCCAACGGGAGCACATCATTGACGAATTAGTCAAGACCGAGCGCACCTATGTTCAGCATTTGGAGCTCCTGCAGGCCTTCAAAAAACTTGTCGAAGAGAAAGGCGTCATCACGGGTGACAGCGTGCACGATATCTTTCTCAACCTCAATGCGCTCCTAGATTTCCAACGTCGCTTTCTCATCCGCGTTGAGCAGACAAACGCACAACCGCCGTCCGAGCAGAACTGGGGTCAGCTCTTCGTCTTGTACAAGGACGCCTTCCATGTCTACGAACCGTACATTGCCAATCAGAAGAAGTGCGAGGAAGTCGCAATGCGCGAGTTTGACAAGTTGAAGGAGACGGGAGGGTCAGCCGAAATGCAGCAGATGGTGGAATCCCCAACCCACTTGACTTCCTTTCTCTTGAAACCTTTCCAGCGGCTCGCAAAATATCCTCTCCTTCTCAAGGTACTTACCCTATCCGAAGCGTCCGTATTCGTCTCATGGCTAACGTCCGAATAGGAACTACGAGACAAAGGCGATCTCGACCAACAGCGCAGGGATGACATCTCTAGCGGCATAGAAGCGGCTACCTCTGTCCTCGAGCGAACAAATGCGGCAATTGACCGTGAGGAGAGGATGGAAGCCGTGGAGGAGCTGAAGATGTTGGTCGACGACTGGAAGGGTCATCGCATCGAAGGGTTCGGCGATCTGTTGCTCCACGGCCAGTTCACCGTTCTCAAGGGTGACGCCCCCAACGCCAAGAGCGAAGAACGAGAGGTCCGTTAACCCTTTGCAATCACGATCCACTTTCACGCCCCTCTACAGCCTCTCCGACTTAACTGGTTCTGGTCTGTGAACCACGCTGACTGTGTTTCAGTACAAAATCTACCTGTTCGAAATGATCCTGCTCTGCTGCAAGGACATTAATCCGAATAAGCAGAAGAACCGGATGAAGGCGTTGGCCAAGAACGGCAAGCCCAAGCTGCAGCTCAAAGGTCGCATCTTCATGCAGAATGTGACGGAAACGATATCGCTGCAGAAACCAGGTAAGAACCAGAGCCCAGCCGTGTTACTTCTAGGTACTGAGCTCTGAAGGGTCCTACACATGCCAAATCTTCTGGAAAGGTGATCCCGGAATTGAGAATTTCATCATCAAGTTCAATTCGGAGGAGACCATGAAGAAATGGGCCACACAGGTCGATACCCAACGACGCATCTGGAAGGATCACGCAAGATCAAGCAGCAGCACGACACAATCGAAGCCTTCCGACACACAGTTCATCGCCCTCCAGGGAGAAGTTCTAGAAAACCCTTACCGAGAGGATGACGACGACGGGGATGACGAAGATATCGACACTGTAATTCCAGGCTATCCCGGACCCCATGACCACTACCACCGACAGAACAGCTCGGGCGGACCCCCTCGGTCCCGGTCCACGACTGGCGAGAGTGGACCTCCAGGGAACGAGCTAGACCCGGGGCTACCACCTCCACGTTTCCCTGTCGGTTACCCTCCACAGGCTCCGCTGACCTTGCGCACCCAGCAGATCGCAGCGTCTGCGGGCAACCAAGACTCATACTTCTCCCCGACCGCCGAATCCCCGGCGTCCGCCCATTCCATTGCTCGCACCAGTTCCTCATCAGCTGGCACCTTCCCCTTTCCCAGACAGGCACCGCCAACCGGATGGCAAGACGAGAACAATCGCTACACCGCTCCTCCACCTGGGCGCGGACACATGTCCCGCGATGGGCCTAGTCGCGGCATGCAGCGGCCATCGCTTCCTGCTAATGCTGGTCTCTCTATGATGCAAGGTCGATCGAGGGCCGCAAGCAGCCCTGACATTCACAACTCTGCAGGGCGCAGGGCACCACCCAGCGGACCAACACCCCCAGTGCCTGATGTCCCTCCGTTCCCCATCCATTTCGCCTATGATCGAGCCATTCCACATCGGAGCCAGAGCAATTCCCCGGGCAACTTACCAACTCGAGCCGCTACACAATCGCCTGCGGTACAGCGGGAGCGTTTAGCCGTGCAGCAACGCACTGCTGCGGAATTGGCGAATACGGACTATCATGGTGGCCCAGCACGTCGGGATCCTTCCCATTCGGCGATGTCACGCAATGGAACTCCCCTCTCGTCGTTCGAGCGCACACTAACCCCGTCTTCGATGGATTCTCGGACGACCTCGCCTCCGTTGCCGACACAGCTGAAAGTGAAGGTCCATTGTCCCTCAGCTGGCAGCACGATGACGCTTGTCGTTCCGACGACAATTAGCTTCCAATCCCTGAAAGACCGCATCGACGCCAAGCTTCAGCGCTCGACGAGCGTGTCTCTCAGCGCGGGACAGGTGAAGCTGAAGTATCTCGACGAAGACGACTTTGTGAGCATCCAGTCCGACGAGGATGTGCAAACGGCGTTCGAGACATGGAAGGAGCAGCAGAGGGACCTGGGAGCCGGTGGACAGCAACTAGGCGAGATTGAGCTGTTTTGTCAGCGATGATACCACAATCTGTTTTGAGCGTGGTCAAAATGGTATGTCTTGTTTGAGTGTGTTTTGCATGTTTTCCAGCCGGTTTCATGATGCCAAATCCTGTCGACAGCGTGGCAATGTTGCGGCAGGATCAGCACAGGAAGAAACGTCGGGCTATTTTATTGTTAACTGCGTCGATGCGAGCGAGCACATTGAGCGGTATGTTAGCGGTGGATGGACGGGGAGATACCGGGAGACCATCACGGACCACCACATCCGGCATCTGCGCATGTTGGCCCCTTCCGTGTCTTTGGGGTGATTGTGGGACTTGGTGCGATGCAGCGATGTGGGAGTGAGTGGAGGAGGCTTGTACGCAAAGATCATGTCTGTCTGGATTGGTCGGGCCGGAAAGGAAAGGGAAAGACCACGGTCGGGGTACGATTTGATGATATTGATGGCATTTATGAATTTGGGACTTTAGGTGTGCTTTATTCTTGTTGACGACAGCGAGCGAGCGACTGGTGTGGAGAGGGGTGGGGTGAGAAGACTATTTTTATTTTTTTTATCTGTTCTCCTCCATGGTTCTGTAATCTGGGTAGGATGGAGGGGCTGGTGTGGGACTTCTCCTTCTTCTTCTTTCTTTTTCCTTCCGGAGTGGAAGGTGTTTCTATTAGATTATTGAATATTCCTTCCCTTTCATGTCTGCTTCCCAAGACGCAGTTTCTTGTCTGTCGTAAATGACGTGTGATGTCTGATGTATAAGCTTCATCGATTCAGCGACACGGTTAGTTTGGTCACTGATATGGGACTCTTCGCATTCGTGATTGCGTTCAATTGAAACCATTTTCTATTCTTTCCTATTATCGTACACGCCTCGCATACACCGTCCATCCCATCCACTCCCATTCCCTTCTCAACACCGCTCAGTATAAAAAGACAGACATCAAACAAGAGCTTTCAACACCATGACTCCTCTTCCCACCTCACCGACACCCAATAGTACAGCTCATCATGGGCCGGCCGACGGAACCCCTCTTTTACTTCGAACCGCCCTTGCGCCCGGCCTCGCGCGCCCGCTCGCTGCCGGGCTCAAAGGAGCCGGACGAGGCGTGCCCGCCCTTGGAGGCGATTTCCCTCTGCCGGATGGGTCAGTTGACTTTTTCAACAATGTAGGGGGAAGGGAGGGGAGGAAGTTTAGGTAGAAAGGGGAAGGGGAGAGGGAGAGGGAGAGGGACTACGAACCTGCTTATCCGGATCCATGCTGGCGAAACCACCGGAGTGGCTGGCCTGGCCGCCCTTGGAGGCGATTTCCTGCACCTCTTCCTTGGGGCGGTTGGCGAAGTTGCCTGGGTTGGGGTTGTCGGTCATTTTTTAGTTAAGATTTTGGCTTCGGTTCGTGTGGGATTTGGCTTGGTTTTAGAGGTGGGGATTCGGGTTTGAATTGAGTGCTGTGTGTGGGGTGTTATATGAAGGTAGGTGAGGTGACAGGGAAAGCAGAGGGGGCAGTTTGATATATGTGTGCTTGAATTTTGTGGTAGTCGGAGGGAATGGAAGGGTTCGGGAATGATGGCATTAGTTCAGAATCGCATCACTATTTCGTCAGAAGAGGCGAAGGCTAGACTACAGCATCGATGTGCATGTCTATTCGCGGGATACTGGTGCTTAGTAAGGGTTATAGCTACTGGTCCGTGGTAAATGGCAAAAAATGGGAGATCTAGAGGCCCTGGAACGTTCCGGTGCTTGGGGAATATTTGACGTCAACCAACTCCTTCCATACCTCACCAACCTCAGGAGGAGGTCGACGACGTCAGGCTTTGGGAGTGGGGAGCCTTGTCGACGTTTGCGTCGTCGATTCTCGGGGGCTGGTTCGCCGGGGATTTTTCCATCTCCAGATTCAAATCACCCGTGTAATTCAGAGGGAGGAGAAAGAAAGATAAAAAGACGTGGGGCTTGTGGTAAAACTGATTGTTGAGGACGCCAAAGCGTTCTTCACCACTACTACCTTATCAATACAAAATGGGCGCCTTTTGAATAATTGCCGAGTTTGGGTCCGGTCGACGTCCTAGCAGGTGCGGGGGAACTGTGGGGTATACTGCAGTAAACAGCTTACCCAAGGGTACTGTGTATTGTAGCTATACCATAATACTTTGATACTGTAATACGGTAGGTTACATATACGGCACTTACCTAACGTACCTTTGGCAAGAGTAGAGTAGAGTATCTCTGTGGACGAGTAGAATATCTTTGACAAGTTCTCGGCCGTAGATGTCATTCACCTTTGATTCCAACTTTGCACAAAGTACCGCTTGCAGTAATGATGGATTCTAGTACGACTGCGAAAGCCGAGGAACTGGTACTGTGTACTTACTGTTGTATAGCTGCGTCGCCATACACAGTAAGACGGGAAAAGGGATGTGCACTTGTGTAACACAACGTATCTGTCCATTACGTTACCATGATGTACCCAACTGGTGCCACTACATGAAGCCATTTTACATAGTACGGGCCAACCCTGAAAAGCGAAATCTGACCGATTGCTTTTCCGTCTGGGTCCAGCAGACTGGGCAGCGGCGAATTGGCGGGTTGAGTGTGATGGCGATGGAGTGGTGGAAAGGCGGACGTTGAGAACGGGCTATCACGCCAGCCCGTCTAGGTGGCACGATAAACGGCGTTACGATTGGCGGATGGGAGTTGCATGATGACGACGATGGTTATAGTATGAGTGTTCCATGGCAGAGAGTTACAGTAGGGCCTTGGTATCAACAAGTAATTGGGGAGTCGCTGGCGCTACTGTGGGGACATAACAACACAGAAACTTAGCCCCTCCGCACGAAAAGTTGAATATCGGAAGAGGACAAACCAAAGAATTTTAACATTATCATTCAAGTCTTGGCTGAGACAGCTACACTATCCGCGGCCCACTAGTACCGATTTCATGATACATCGTCTTTTCATCTAAACATCCCCACGACCGACTAGACATTACTTACTGCGCCCTCTTCCCAAACTTCTTGGTCCACGCCGCATCCCTCGGAGCCAGATGAACCGCGCTCCTAGCAGTCAGGCTCCTCTTCTCCTGGGGCGCAATGTGTGCCGCCGTAATGTTGCCGCAATCGGGTGTCTTCAGCGACTGTCCGAAGACGTCTGCGATCCAGATGAGGACGCCGTTGGTCCAGCCGAAGCCTTCGACGACCTGCGGAATGTGTTAGCTTTTCGCCTCGTGGATGACATGCTCCGGATAGCAAGAGCAAGGGTCCAAAGAAACTCACCTTATACTCGCCGCCGCTACCAGCCGCGTTCGTCGAGTTGTCGCTATACTTCTCAAACATGGTCCCATTCGACCCCTCTCGCACACCCTCGAGCTTCGGGAACTCTGGCGTCGAGCCTCCCGTGACCCTCCACGTGCAGAACGTCGAATCGAGATAGCGCTGCGCAAGGCGGAGCGCCAACTCCTGCGTCCACACGTAGTCCTCGTCGGAGCCCTCGTTCTCATCGACGGGCGTGTTCAGCAGACCCTGGATGAGGATATACTGCAGCGGGGGCCAGACATTGGGCTCATCCCACTGCTGGCCAGTGATGAGGTTGGAGGCGGAGATGGCACCGGCCTTCGCATCGAGTTCCTCGCTGATGCGGCGGTAGGCGCGGCGGACGGAGCTGGCGTTGTTGAGGAGCTCGTCCGGCGCGGCTCCCGTCCAGAAGGGGTAGAATTGGGTTGGTGATTGCCAGATCTGGTAACCCTCCGGAGCGCCCTCTGTGTCGCTTTGGCGTGCCGTCCGGTCCGATGGTACGTAAATGGCCTTTGCGCCAGAGGTGAGGTTGTAGTCAAAGTAGCCAAAATGCTCTTCGTCCCAGAAGATGGCCGTCATGGCCTCTTGCCGGGCGTCGGCGCGGTTGGCCCACTCCTTGGCGGCGGTGTAGTTGCCGAGGGAGCGGTAGAAGTTGGCAATGGTCTTCTCGTTGGCGTAGAGAATGGAGTTGAGCTCTACGGGAATGATGTTGTACGTGTTCAGCGAGCGGAGCGGGAACGAGGTGTCGCTGATGGCGTCGTTGGGATTTCTCAACCACCGTGCCGAGTAATCGAAGCCGCTTTCCGCGCCCGATGCGAGGTTGGCGTACAGCTGCGCCTTCTGCGCCGGATCAAGTGGAATCGATCCATTGAAGACCTCGCCCTTCTTGTTGTAATAGGAGACATTGTTCGCGGTAACGTAGTCCTCACGGTAAGACTCGGGCCTCGGCTCCGTGTTGAGTACAGCATAACGACTGAGCGAGTAGGTCTTGCCTCCGCGATGGAGCTCAACGGTCCGGTTCTTGACCCAGAAGTCGTACTCCTTCTCCAACAAGGGCATGGCTCGTTGAAGAATGGTGCTGTTGTGTGTCTGCTCGATGTAGATGCGGATCATCTGAGTGAGCAGAGGCGGCTGGCTGCGGTTGAGATAGTAGAGGCGCGCTCCGTTGGGGACGAAGCCATATCTGTCGACGAAGTCGAGGAAGTTCTCGATCATGTTGTATGCGATCTCGGTGAAGGAGCCCTTGGTTCGCAGCAAGCCTTCGATGACCCAGAACGAGTCCCAATAGTAGGGTTCCCTAAAGCGACCGCCAGCGACCACGAAGGGGCGTGCGATGGGCAAGAAGGAGTCGACGCACTCGGTGCAGTTGGGGTTGGGAGAGCCAGCATATTTCCTCGTCAAATCAGGCCAGATGTCAATGACCTGGCGCACAAAGTCTTTGACGGTGCTGCTGTTGACATTGTCCAGGAATTCCGGTTGGGTTTCAAGCTGGTTAGGGTCGATTTCGGCGAGCTCGGAGCCAGCCTCGCCAAAATACGTCTTGAGGAAATCGTTTAGGGCGGTGTTGTTCTGGATGGGCCTTTCAAGTTTGCTGAAAGCCTCGAGAACTTCGTTCAGCGGACGAATCGTCGGCCTTTGGACGGACAGTCAGCGCAAAGGACGCCCTGGGTGCTTCAATCGGTAGGCTTACAGATCAACGAACGTCTTGGAGTCCACGAAGGGTCTCGCGAGCTCAATCTCTTTGAGCAGGTTTCCGATGCAGTAGATTTCCGAGTCGCAGGGAGCAATCATGGAGCCATTGAAATAAATGGAGGCCGCCAGGGGCAGCAGAGCTGCCCACGCCGCAAACGTCGATTTCATGTTTCACAGATAACGGACGTCACGGAGGGAAAGAACGCGTGCAACAGAAGGCGCAGAAGGCGCTCGGCGAGGTTTTTATACTGCCGATCACCAAGGCACACGCCTGTTGCCTCCACCCAAGAGCCTGGTCACGGAAACCAGCGTCGGTGGCTTGGGGAGTCTGTCCGTCCCCGGCCGGGGAAGAAAAACGGGGAAGAAATACGGGGTGGTAAAATGTCAATCACATTTTCTAGGGGACGGCAAAGGATCGCAGAGGATCGTCGAACCAATGAATGAAACCGAAGGAACGTAAGGAAAGCGAAAAAAGGCGCACAGGCAGGCAAAAATTCCCTAGGCACTCGTCTCTGGAGGTGTTGGATTGCACGATGCTCGTCTTGTGACGGCCCTTTTCCCCACAAAGAGGGCAGGTCGTTGTGAAGTCTGGGCTTGGCAGTGATGTCAGCGCAAGGGAGGAGGAAAAAAGCCGACAGGGTCAGGTACAGAGCTGGCAGGGGGCCGCGTGTTGGATACGGAAATGAGAGCGGGGGAACGAGCAGAGTTTTCCAGTCCAGCCTCCCGCTATGGCTAGGATGGATAATAATGAAGATGTTGGGCCAGTAGTGGATACCATGGAAGCAAAAAAGGAGCGAAGAGTTGGGACAATAACGGCACCATGCCGGGCAGACTTGGTGGTTGGTGTTTTCGTTGTTGAGAAGGAAATTCTGAAGATCGGGCTTTTGTAGGGCAACGCTAGTCTTCCTCGGGTTAGCCCCTCGGAGCCGCAATTGCACCGTTGAACCTTTGGAATCTTCCATCGAGCCGTTTTGACGACGATGCGGCCTCGTTGCGGTGCTACTGCGTACTATCCGGCATCGTTCTGCACTCACCCGCTGATCGGGCGGCAATTGTCCGTCATCCTCCACGAATGTACTTGTACCAAAAGTCACGCTGGTGAATGGCAGTACTGTAGACGCCAGGTCTTGACTCCCTGCCCAGGTGCATGCGCATAAGAAGGCTTCTCAGCCATCGACTCGGAGCCAAAGAGCAGTTGCACAGGCTGCTTCGAACATCGCTGCTATGGCTCGTCCACGTTGACGGTATGGTATCATGCTAAAGGTTATGGTGCCTGTCAGAGCTAGGCCGACTTCATATTTTTGCTTTGCAAAGCGCAGAAACAATAGAAATCACCTTGTCTTGATGGAACAGATTCATGTACCCAACTTCTATGGATGAGCTCGCCGTAGCCCTCAAGCACCGCACAATCGTACTAGGCCGCGAACGGAGTGCAGTGTGGAATTTACACCACTCTATCCGCAATACTCGCATCTTATATCATTCATCTTTCCATCTTCCCACCAAAAGTACGCTTTGAAGGTTGCCTTGGACCACAAGCTATACCATGGCACTGCCAATAAGAATCGTTTCCGCCGAACACCGTCCGAAGTCGGAGGACGGCTTGCGGCGGGGTAGCTAGCAACTCGCGGGGAAGGATGCGAACATATCATTATTATTTGGGACCGTAAGCTTCCGTCTTCCTCACTTCCACTTTTAAAACCCTCAAATCAATATGTCCTCATTCAATATCGTTGTGCTCGCAGGTCAGTGCTTTCCTGCAACTTCATCGCATTAGGTACTAATCAATCGACGCAGGTGACGGCGTTGGCCCAGAGGTGCGGAGCTTTTGATTGTAAACTGGAAAAAACAGAGCTAACAGAACCCTCAGATCATAAAGGAAGCAGTAAAGGTGCGCTGATTGCCAATGGCTGTGTACAACCCAATTAATCCCATTGCCAGGTCCTCAATGTGATCGAGAAGACACGAGACATCAAGTTCAACTACCAACATTACGACTTCGGAGGCGTGAGTTCTCCACACGACAGTAATGTCGGAAGTTTTGACAGTTGCACAGTGCTCCATCGATGCCCACGGCACTCCTTTAACAGAAGAGACCCTTGCAGCAGCGAAAGCAGCAGATGCGATCCTTCTAGGAGCAGTAGGAGGACCCGTACGTGGACACCTTGCTGCTGTCTCTGAACTTCTTCTGACATGGTGACAGAAATGGGGAACCGGAAAGGTCCGCCCTGAGCAGGGCATCCTCCGTCTGCGCAAGGAACTAGGCACCTTCGGCAACCTTCGACCCTGCTTCTTCGCTTCCGACTCCCTCGTCGACGCCTCCCCTCTCAAAGCCGAGGTCTGCAGAGGCGTCAACTTCAACATCGTCCGCGAACTGACCGGCGGCATATACTTTGGAGACAGGAAAGAGGATGAAGGCGACGGCAAGGCCATGGATACAGAGCCCTACACCGTCGAGGAGATCGAGCGCGTGGTACGACTAGCAGGCAGTCTCGCTTCCGTGGAGAACCCTCCCGTTCCCGTTTGGAGTCTTGATAAGGCGAATGTCCTTGCAACGTCGCGGTTATGGCGGAAGACGTTCGAGCGAATCATGAGGGAAGAATTCTCCCAGCTTAAGTTCGGCACGCATTTGATCGACTCGGCCGCTATGTTGATGATCAAGAACCCGAGAGCGCTGAACGGAGTCATCGTCACGAGCAACCTCTTTGGAGATATCATCAGCGACGAGGCAAGCGTCATTCCGGGTAGTTTGGGACTTTTGCCAAGTGCGAGCTTGGGCGCAATCCCTGATGGCAAGACCAAAGTCAATGGTATCTACGAGCCGATCCACGGTGAGTGATCAGTCGTTCCTTTCTCAAAATTCTGACAAACTCTAACCTTGACTAGGTTCCGCCCCCGACATCGCCGGGCAAGGCATCGTCAACCCCGTCGCGACCGTCCTCTCCGTGAGCATGATGCTCAAGTACTCATTATGCCTGCCCGAGCTCGCTCAGAAGGTCGACGAAGCGACCAAGATTGTCATCGACAAGGGCATCCGTACCAAGGACATCGGCGGCACTGCAAACACTTCCGAAGTCGGAGACGCGATAGCGGCTGAGCTGGAGCGGTTGTTGCAATGAGGAGATAATACATCTACGGGCACGATTAATGATCTAGGTTCTTGTGGAAAGTAAGAAGATTTACAGTCTTTGATAGATGGGGCTCGGTGGTATAGTAATGTTGTCGTATAGGGGCATGGTCCTCTTCATCCATATCTATCCATATCTAGAGCGTTGCTGAGCCGTATGGTAAATGTTGTAAAGACATTGTATAGACAAGCATATTGACTATGTTGACGGAAATTTACATCGAACTTCTTCAAGCAGACCATATCTTGAGAATTGCAGGTGTTAGTTATTGCCTCGGCTCCCTCTTGAACAACTTCAACATCTCATTATCAGCCTCAAGTAACCTTTCCGTGGTCCCTTCACCCCCTGCGCCACAAAAAAACACCTCAGCCATGATATTGATCCTATTAATTCTGCTACTATGGTATTACGCTCAGATGATTCGGCACGCAGAACATCTCGCGCCTGGCCTGTGAATGTATGTAAATACCTCGCACTGACTTGGCTCTGGAAGAGCTGACGACGAGTGCACAAGGTTTTCGACTCTATAATGCAAGGGGTCAGTCTTGTGTTTGAGGACTTCGGATCATTTGAAGTATACATTCACATTTCCTATAGGGTATCACGCATCGAATCGACAACAGATAAAATAGAAGAACCCCCTCGATTTGTTCCCAACCAACCATCCCTCCTCCCCTCCCCTCGCACCTCTGCATCTACTCCCCTAAGAAAGCCAACTCCCTCGGCCTCCCATCCACCCCACACGTACTAAAAGCCCACCAGCTAGCATTCCACCTCGCACACACATTCATCAGGACCCACTTGACCGGCGCCGGCAGCGGCGGGAAGTTCGCATGCAACCCCTCGCCTTCAAACGTGACATCGTGATTCAGCAACACGACGGGCAACTGCCTCGTCTTGGACAAACCACCCATGACGGCCTTGCCCTCCTCCTCCCAGAGTCTGCGCAAGGGCAGCCGGGACTCTGGGTACTTGGCCAGCGCCATCAACGAGGGGATTTCCTCGGCCAGATGCGTGGCGAGGTCGCGCATGAAGCCATCCATCAGATCCCGGCATCGCTGTCCCGAAAACCGCTCTCTCTCTTGTTCAACGTCCCTGATCCAGTGGCCCCACGCCTCGAACCCCGTCTCAAACGCCTGATGCTGCCGCACATTCACCTCCATGATCCCCGTCTCACCGGTGGCCTTTTCAATCGCGGGGAATAGCGACGTCTCCTCCCCCCTGTGGTGCTCGTGCACTGTCTGCCAGGTCGCGAGCATGTAGCATGTGAATGCCGACTGGTGGGATGGCGGCACGTGGGGGGCTTGCAGGTAGATGGAGTTGAGGGAGCGGATGATGATGTTGTGGACGAGTGCCATCTCGCTGGCGATGAGGGTGTATTGGTCTGTTGCCGTTCGGTTGGAGGCACGGGGGGTGGGGAGGAGGGCGAGGGGGCCGAGGGTCCAGGTGTAGGTCGGTTGTGAGTGCTTTGGGGGAAGGGGTGGGAGGGGGGATTGGGATGAAGTGTTCGTGGAATTAGAGGTAGTGGTGGTGGTGGTGGTTGCCGGCATTGTACCTAGGATAAGGTTGAAGATTGGTAGGAGAGGGAGGAAAGGGTAGGGTATCTGGAATGGAGATCTGAAGAAGAAGAAGAAGAAGAAGAAGAAGAAGAAGAAGATACTGAATGAATGAGTCAAATGATTTCAGGTGATTGAGGTGGCACAATTGAGACCTGTGCTCCTTCTTATACCTACCGTGCTGCTCTACGCCTTGACCCAGGCTTTCGACATTCATACCTGTTTTTTCTCAGCCCCAAAGACTGACCAAGGGTTGTCACAATCCCCGAGGCTCAGCACTACATGCATGCGGTCTAGTCTTGCCATATAGCTCTCAGAGCCTCTAACCGGACCCGTCTCGCTTCGAGTGAGGCTTTGACATGCCTTTGTGGCAAAGGCCGGATCTGGTCACTTCTGTCGACTCACTTGGTCAAAGCTTCACCACGTTTTGTATGGCAGTTTGTACCACCTGTGATAGGAGAACAGACTTTTTCAAAAAAGCCTACGGAATAGAGTTGGCGGGATTCGAGCAGCTAGGTGTGGCAGGGCAGGCGTGTGGCGCTGTCGTGGCGCAAAGCTGAAAGCCATCGAGTCTTCAGCCGACGATGAATATGGAGGGGTGGGTGCACGGTGCAGTTCCAATCGATCAATTGACAAAAAGGTGTGAGAGCAACAAAGGCAATGCTTTGGAAAAACTGATCTCTGTCGATTGCTGTGTTGATCAGGCCCCATCCTGCTGCCAGCAGTCATACTCCTCCATTCACGTAGTACTAAAAGGCTCCACGCTCCAAGTTCCCCATCACGGGCATCGGATCCACTTTATGCACGCATACATGGTAAACTGTTGTGACCATTCATTCCGCCTACATTTCAAGGCGAGCATGCAATCGCTCCTGTCCATGAAAAATCGGTCATCTCAGAAAGGAGAGAGTTGATGTGCAAGCATCAATATTAAAGTATATAATGTCATCGTCATCGTCGTCATAATACAGAAATTAGTTACGGATAGGAGGGATATATGCCAAGAAAAAAGTGAAAGTATGGAGCTAATCCGCGTTATTCGAGCATGAGGAAGAGGGAAAGGAAGGAGAAATGGAAACCAACGAAGAGGAAAAGCAACATGGCCGCCGAGAACCCGAGGCCTGGTATAATGTGATCCGATCCACCCAAGCCATCCCCAGGGAATCAAAGGCATCAACGTAGCGAAAGTCGTCGCTCCTAGCGCCATATAAACGCAGGTTCTCTTACTTAGATCGACCCCTTCCTCCCACCGCTCCCTATGGTCGGACTCCTCGCCCCACCCACACTCCCCTCTGCCGCACTTCGTCCCTCTTCACTCCAAACCTCGCTCCTCGCCCTCCTCATCTGAATATGCCCCAATGTCTTCTTCAACGCCGCATACAGATGCGCATTATCCCCCATATCCAGATCGACCCAGAAGCTGTATATGCTCAGCTTGTTCTTATTCATGTCTTTGAACCGGCGAAGTATGTATTGGCGAGCGGCTAGCTCCTGCTGTTCCTGGTCCTTGGGGTTACTGTTGTTGCTGCTGTTGTTGATGAGGGTGCTGACTCCAGGGCGGTAGTCGGGGAAGAAGTGCTCGAGCGGTGAATGGCGAAGTTTGTTTCGGAAACGGGTGAAGTTGTTCAACAACAGAATGACGGATGAATTCGCGAACAGGGATGCCATGACAAAACCGTAAAACGCCTCGAACTCGAGGGTGAGTCGTGATGTCGCCGGATCCTCGAGGAGAACGCGGTCGTAGACGCTCACGTCCACGGTGAAAATAAGTGCAGTAGCGTTTTCGAATTGGTGAAGCCAGCGGTTGCGGAAATGATGAGGAAAACTTCTACCCATGCTGAAGAGGTGGACGTCTAGTTCGTCCCAATTGAAGCGCAACTCTTTGATGTTGTGCGAAGGATAATCGAGACGCACAATATCTGCTTCCGAAGGGATGTAATCCGGGGCCGAGATACGCTCAATCTCACGCGCAAAGTAGGATGCATACGGGGGGAAGTCGATTTCGAAGTTGCGGACATAGAGGGTGGAGAAGGTTTCGCTGGTCCAGATGTTGAGGACGGCACGGACGCCGTCCGGTGTTGGGCCGTTGGTGGCTATATCGACGGTTTCGAATTCGTGAAGGAGCATGGCGAAGTCCCGGTTTAGCTCGTCGGAGAGATTGACTCCGGTGTCCTTGAGGAGGTCAATGATGGCGTGCATGAGTTGCCAAACAGTCTGCCGGACCATGCCTTTGTAGCTGAGGCGCTCTTCTACGGGGTAGCCGCCTGCGTAGAGGACTTTCATTTGTCTCATTATGAGCTCTTTACCTGTATTTTCGCCCCCCTGGAGGACGATTTTCGTCTCCCGCCGCAGCCAAGTTGCATCTTCCTCCAACTCGCGGTCAATAGCCTGACTCCGAATGGCGGCTGCAGCGTCGGCATAATCCTGTTCAGTCGGCACGTGGTCTCCCGATCTCCCGAGAAGCTTGATGTAGAAGACAATACGAAACCATTGAATCATGCGGGAGATGCTTGTTAGTGCCTTGATGCATTGTCCATCCCATCTCGATGTCCTCGCCAGGGTGGAAAGCGATGACGCGTCTTCTTTTCTTATCTGCCTGCTTTTATGCAGGAGAATCTTCCTCTGGGCTGTTGTGTGACTGCTTACTGTCAGAAGTCGGGGGAGCGGAGTGAAGTCGACACACCCACCATTTGCAAGCAGCCAGGAGCAGGTGAACGGCGTCAGTCTGCCGTTTGGCAACGTTCTGCAGTCGTCTCATTGACCTACTCCCTACAGCCAGCTTCATCTTAAGCGCAAAGTCGACATGTTCCTGATCCGGCTGCTCTAGCTGTGCGATCAGCCGATCCAATCTGCGCACCAGAACCTCGCAGGATCCCATCAAAACATCCAAGTCGCTGAGGAGCTGGGGATGCATATCCTGAATGGCGTAGTTGATCCAGTCGTGCATCTCGCCGAGGCTCGACTTGAGCGCCGTCAACTGCGCGATCAGATTGATAAAGGAAGCATTGCTGTCTTTCCACTGGTCGTGGAGTTGGCGAAGTCCGTCAATCGACTGCCGAAGCCGAATCAGATTGGAGCTGATGGCGCTGGAGAGCGCAAAGACGCGCTTCTCGTCGATGACGGGAAACGACGACATGGCGCCCGCTGGCCGACTTCACGAAGCGGCGTCCTGGAGGTGGTGGAGGGGGGAAGCGGGCATCACGGCGAAAATAGGGAGTTGGGCCAGTCGTGTTTGATGTTGCGCATACATAGCTGAGAGGGTTACGGGGGGCGGGCAGAAGGCCTGATGGTACTCCTATTGGGCAAGGTCGCTGGGCGACTGGGCGAGTGAGCAGGGGTGCCACCAACACTCAGCTGCCGGTTATAGGAGGTTTTATTTATTAAGATTACATAGGCAGAGTCCGGTGCTGTTAGCGCATCTTCACCGACCCGTAATAAAAGAATGGATAGGGTTATTATCGAGACAATGATTGAGCATGGAAGCTGCATCAAATTGGAGAGCCGCGAACTCCATCATGAAGCATGCATAGGGTACGAGCTTGAAGTAGAGATGGAGCCGGTTACAGGTCGGGGCATCGGGGCGGGAAGATCCGCCATCACGTGGCGCATCAACAGGTTGGACGAACCAAAGAATTCAAAACACTGATTCCGGACACAACATGTCGACAAGAAGCACGATGTTTCAGGAGATCCGGATAATTCTACTGCAACGGCAATAGTTCACGTGAGCCGGCACGTTCCCGTGATCGACCGTTCCGCGACTGCCCAGGTGAGTCACAGGTTCGGGTTCGGCTGCTATCGATAAGCGTAGGCACCACAGTATGGTCTCAGCAAAACCATTCCAAGGTTGCCACCACTATTCTCTCCTTCTTCCTAGACATCGCAAATTCCAAACAAAGTGTGTTTTGATCAATCGATAATATGATAACCCTGGATGCATTACCGATCGAGATTCTGTCACTCATAGCTAGCTTTCTCGAGCACCCCCGAGACGTATCCAATTTATCCTCAACCTGCCGAAGAGTGAACCACTTCACCCAACTAGATGGCTGGAAAGCCTATCTCAAAGGCCGATTTGGCATCACCGGCCGGGACTCGGATGCTCTCAGTACTGTGCATGGCCTCACCACCCTGTACCGCAACTGGGAGCGAAAAGCCCTTGTGGCAAGAAACCTACGTCCCAGGCCAACTGTCACGAGCTTAAACAATTGGGGCCAAACCACTTGGACCGATCAATCGACGCAAACCATAGGCTACCAACCAAGTATTGACAGCTATGAAGAGATATATGGAGGCTGGGCGGACCGGCGAGAGGTGCTGGCCTGGGCGGCTGGTACACGTGTGTTGGTGCGGATTAAAGATACGCATCAAAAGGCCAATTTTTCGCTGGATGAGCCTTTCCGAGGGGAATATGACGTATACGGCCACCCGACTTCATGGTACTCTTACGGGATAGAGGACGCAATCGATGGAGTTGACGACATCATGTCCGTTGGACTGCTACGTCCTCATCAGAAACACGAATCGCTGGAGTGTATCACAACGACGACAGCGACTGGCGAACTCGAATTGATATGTTTCGATGTCGAAAACAGAAAAACTAAGACGCAGCGCTATACCCCGACGGGTGGGAGAAGCTACCTTTCCATGTCTCCCGCTTCTCAGCCGTTAATGGCGACCACAGCGGAAAATGCAAGGCTGAGGTTGTACCCTGTCAATCCTGACTGCGTTGTGGACTCGGTGCAGTCGTCCATCAGCGAAGTGGAGGTAAAAGCACCTCAACCGACCAGTATGCCCTTGACTCTTGCGGCATGCAATTTCATCTCCGAAGATAAAGTAGCCGTGGCCCTGGGGCCCAGCCAGCAAATCGTCCAAGTGTTTGATATCACTCCCACCGGATTCTCAGCCAGCCCCATTCGCAAGATCTACTCGCCTTCGGAGCCAGAGTATTTCATTTTCGCATATTGCCTCCTGTCTCTTCCCAAGGACTCGCGCGCAGGAGGCAACTCAGGCAATATCTTCTTCTCCGGCGCCAACGACGGCCTCGTCCGGCTCCACGACCTGCGGTCACATAAAGATTGCGAGGCCATCTTCGGCGACGTCACGAATGACCAGGCAATATATTCTCTCGCACTTCAAGGCCAGGAGCGTATCATCGCCGGAGGCAATGCGCACTCGATGTTGAAGATCTACGATATCCGGTTCCCCGGCACACACGCATACAGCTCCATTACCCTGCCGTCGAGGCCTCGCGTGCGGAAAGTGCATCCCCCCAATCGGACCCGCGGCTTCGGTGATTTCATCAACCCGAAGAAACTTGGGGATGCACAGCTCGTCACGGGGGGTTGGAACCTCTATCTGCGGCCCAACAACAGAATAAGGGGCGTTAGCATCGGCCATCCATACCAAGCACCTTCCTCCGTCTACAGCCTCTCCATCCCCTCATCCACGTCGCCTTCCCTGTACGCGGGCCTCACGGGCTGCGTGCTGGGCCTCGACTTCGTCTCCGTGCTCGACAAGCACCCCGATCCCCTCCACGCAGGAAACCGTCTCCAGTACCTAGACACGGGAAACGTCGACGTGGTGCGGACGTACAATCCAGACAACGATGTCCTGGACCTGTCCATGTATCACCAGGGCACTGAGGGGGAGCTGGACATGTCGCTTTTCGTGCAGCACGGCGCAAACAACGAAGTCGCAGAGTTTGCGAAGTCGAGGGATTCGGCGAAATTGGCGGGCATGGATGAGAGATGGCGGGATCCTGCCGAGGACAAGTGGGTTCGTGGTCAGGAGCCGGGGATGCAAATGAAGGGCGATAGAGGGCATCGTAGGGGAGGTAGGACGCGCAGGAGAGGGAGGGGACATGCTTAGTCGGTGATACCGCAAATGAAGATATGGGAAGAGTCGGGGAAAGACCTTGATGGCATCGGAAAAGCTAAGATTGGGAAAGAGTTGGGAAAGAACTTGATGGCGTTTGACATGCTGTCTTTGGACATCGATCGCAATTTCTCATTTCCTCATAGATGGACAACGCGCGTGGGATAGACACTCATATAAACATGCGAGTACTTCGTAAAATTCTATAGACGATTCCTTTTATCTATTTCCTATCCCAACGCCAAATACACCTCGAGACCTACTCTACAGCGCAACTCCATCTATCATTTCCTTTCCTGGCAAGTCATGCAAAGCTTCTGACCGATTAACCTCTAATTCAAAAGTATTTACTTCTCGACGTAACCAATATGTCAACTTGAAGCATATTCCCACTCAACAACAGCCGAGGCACACCCATTCCAAATTCGCAACCTCGCACAAGACAAGGCACCGTTATTGCTCCGCCGCAACCCCGTACTCTTGTCCGTTTACTAAACACCGCAAACTCCGATTTCGATCCGCCTCCTCATCAACCCAAATATCCCTCATCTCATTACTCGACCAAAACCATTTGATCAGAAGGGAACTCAACGTTCTGATAAAACTGTTTCGGCTCGGCTCCGCCTGCATCCGGTGCTTTGAAATCAAAGAGGCGCACTGAAGTCGGGTCCGCGCTATACTATAGATGAGGGCGCAACTTGTGATTCGTCAAAAGGCGCGATTCCGACGGCTTCCATAAGCAAGAATTTCCTGAATCTCAGCTGCGGGATGAAGGTGTCGCCACTCGGGAGGTGAAGAGACCGTGGCACGGGAAATGAATTGAAGGTTACGAAGGCGGGCGGGAATGGGTCCTTATTTCCGAGCGTGTGTGATAGGAGTCGGGTGTTGGCTTGTTAGTGATATGGTATTTGCTCGTATGGGAACGACGAGTGGAAGCCCACATGGACGATGCTGTTAGGCTGAGGATGGTGGAGTTCACTCCGAGGTTGCATGTAAGGAGCCGGGATGAGGCTGTCGCGCTGGTGAAAAACCAAAGGGTTCGCCAGGGGAGGCGACAAAGACGCCGGAAGCGGTTGTTCGTACAGGGGTTGCGATGTCGCTGGAGCATATGGGTATGGCTCGTAGCTCTCAGTTTCTGGAGTGGGAAGTTGCAATGATGAGAAGTCGGCCATCCAAGGAGAATCGTTCCATAAGGGTATCACAAGAGGTTCCGTTATGGGCAACGACGGGCTCCAGGCTGACTCAAGGCTGGATACCGGCAATGAGGGGGTCGGGTACGGGCTGTGATAAGGACTGGCAAGTGCAAGTGGGGGATCCACGAGCGTTCCGGTTGTTGAAGACAGCGTTGTACTGTAAGTTGGGAAGTCGGGAGTTGAAGGGAGTGTAATGGATGCCGGGGGTGATGGGTGCTGGCCTATGTATTCCGTGGAGACTGAGCGTGAACGCGCATCTTCTGATGGTTCCGCCAATGGTTCATTTGACTGTGATGCTGGTTCATCCTGGAGCAGTTGCTGGAGGTACTGCAGTTTGCGTTTGCGCTTCTCGCCTATATCGGCTGTCAGATAGGACATGTGCGATGATCAGGAAGGTCTCCTTACGGTAGTTCCTAGAAGCTATTCTGTTCTGCTGTTTTCGAATCTCGCTGTTGACTTTTTTCGGTTTCTGAGCCGGTGCAGCAACCCCATCTGGATTTCTTTTACTGGACTTCCTTCCCGAACGGGGATGGGAGTTCGACTGCAGAAGTGGTGTGGAATGCAAAGACATGGCGCCAGCAGAGGTGACTCGATCCATGGGAATGGTAAACGGTAAGTTGAAATATATTGATCGCGAAAAGACACGAGTGCAGCCGGCGCGCTTTTGAAATCTCAACCTTGTCTAGGTACCGTTCAGCCCTGTGGCGCCAAGATCTGTATTTGGAGTTATGGACTTCAGTTTCCAGAAGGCCCGTTAAGAAAAGCCACATGCAATCAGGAGACACATAAGCGGCGGAAAGCGGAGCGGACAACGGCCCCCGTGGTCGGCGTTATGGCAACTCTCAGCTGGCCTTGCGAACTAGACGTGGACAACGAGGATAGCCAGTTGTGCCTCGAGGACGAGGGTACCTGGGAAGCGATTCCAAAACATAAGCTTTTAACCTTAAAGTGCGCCTTGGGATTTCACAACAGGGTGGTTCCATCCCCCTGCCACTTGCCCTTTGGAGAGCTAGTCGTTGAAACTGGATGGACTTCCTAATGCGGTATATGTTAGTTGAAAGGAGACTAAGCTATTCTCGCTTCCTACTGGGCGGCTTCGTCAGAGATGAATCATCCGTTAGGGCTGAGCCCCGGGCTTGGCCTATGTACATGGCAGCTGTGATTGTAAGAAGAGCAGTGCAGGGTACAATGCTATTTGTTCCTTTCTGACGGACGATGCTGTTATCAGTTCGAACCAGTTCCAGCATTGTTCAATCAGACGCTTTGATCCCTAAACTTGCGCTCCACATGTGGGGCTATAGAAGCGTGTGGGGAGAAGAGATGGAAGACATGGAACTGTGATTGTTGATCACCGTTGGTCCGCTATGACCTCAAAGTCCGCAATGATTGCAGTGAGAAAATGTTCGTGCTGGGCTGAGAATTCGATTTCGAGCCAGGAACGAGGATGGTAACTAAGTGCACGTTGTCGCTTAGGCTTCAACCAATCATCATCGTGCTTCCTTGTCACGTAAGCACCCCTTTTTCTACACACGAAGTTCAGCACACTCGTTCCTATCCAGAGATATTCGGCGTTTTAGAAGCATAGAAATTGCTCTAACTCTAATCGAGCATTCTAGCCTGGGGTCATCAAAGGCGGGCAGTCTTTTGCGCATAGCCCACGAGCAGGGACAGAGTATCCAACTTATCCGTTACTCGCTATGGTATCAGCATTCTGTGTGCCCGTCAAATCATCTGTTACAGTGGGTCATCTCCTTATCATGGGGCATCTCACTGTAAAACTCTTCAGGAGGCTCGCATGCATTCTTCCGCTGCAAATCGCTCGGTCGGGCCATCTTTCGACTACACGACCGGGGCTACAGCACATGCATCTAAGAAGAGCCCTATACAGAAAGGGGCCAATGCCTATTTAGAAGACTAGTCTTTAGACAACCTTTTTAAGCCACGGTGATCCGTGCTACCACATGGACATACCCCTAAATTTCGGATCAAGGCTTACTATATACCCTAGAGTAGGGGCGGCGCCTGCTTACGGGTCTGTGTCAGTGTAGAACAGATCTATTTTCCAGGATGAATAGTAATGATTGGCATCTAGACATGCGGTGTTATGCAGTCGAGAACGGACCTTTACTGCTGTTCAGGGTGCTGTCCAAGGTGCACGACAGCCGAGGTACATGCTTCCAAACTTATGACGTATAATCGCCCGTTCACTGCTAGAATCCACGTAGGGTGGAGTCAATAACTCACAGGTGTCATGCTAAGGAGAACATAAACTCGGTCGTTCCAGCTGTCGAAACGTTGTTCACCGAAGAACTCAAGAAAATATGCAGCTGAAGGCCATCGAGAGACGATCACTCCCGTGGAAGTTCGGCCATTTACAGCTCCTGGACATTGCGTTTTGGACCCCAATGGGCTTCTAGACAATCTCAGACCCGCAAGTTTGGCGACCTTGACAATCTAATTGGCTCAAGTGTGTCTGTGATCCAAATGGACGTACCTGCAGCGGATAACACTGGGAACCTTGAAGCACCAAGGTGCTGATATCCGGCAGCCCGGCCCCTATCATGCTGCCAGGGGCTCTAAACATTGATGCAGGCGTTCTTGGGATGGCACTGGGGTACATAATGTGAACCGTGCGACGGGGTGCGCTCATGTTATCCACAAGCCGGTCACTCAATTCGGGTTTACGATCGGGTGATTCCATGCTTGGTGTCTCAAGTCTCAACAATTTGAGGGGCTTAGCTTTCAGTCTAGCTGTCCTCCATAATTGAGCTATCAACCGGATGGATACAATCCCACCTGGCTAGTCCGTGGAACCAGTCCCGTAGCCATGGCTGTGGGGCCGTTAGTATTGCCCAGAGTGAGTGGGAGTTGCGGACCGGAGAGACGGCCAGGGGCTGATCGTATCCTGAGAACTCTGTGGCGAGCCCTACGCATCAACTATCCTGATCTTAAAACATCCAATAACGTTCGTGTGAATTTAGGACAGCCCAGTCGCCAACCCCAAGGGTCGGTAGTATCAAAGCGATGGAATGATAGTCACAGACACAACGTGCGGTCTGGCCCCCAACGAATAGTGCACGTTTATTTTTCCTCTGCCGCCATAGAGTAGTATACTCAAATTGTTTTCGTAGCAGATAGATCCTCCGTGTGAATTCGGCTGTCCACCGTAACGGGCCTGGAGACATCACACCGCTGACACAAAGTACTCCAATGATTCAAACAGATTATCATATTTACACATTCACATCCGCGAATATATATGCCTTCGCGCGTATGCGGTAGGTACTTGGTATCTAAGCGCCTAACTTCCCATTTGGAGCTTGTGAAAGGAAACGCAACGCAAACCATGATCTCCTTGACTGCTTGCTTGCCCGCCGGCCTGCCCATTGCGTATGCCAGCGCATACGGAAACGCAAGCGGAATCTATATATACACCAAAAAGAAGGGGTAAAACTTCCCAGAAACCAGAAAAAAAGCATGCCGAACCCCCCGACATGAAGAACTCGCACCAAAAGCCCTCGCCAAAGTGCTTAGTCACCCGCCTAATTTCCCCTTCAAACTCCACCACCTACTTCCCCAAGAACCCTCTCAGGGCAGACTCCACAGCGTGATCATCCCGGTCCCGATCCTGCACCTGCTGGGCCCTCCTCTGCTGCTGCTGTTGTTGCTGCTGTTGGAACCCATTCCTCTGGCCCTGGATATGACTTCCCACACTTCCGGGTACCACAGGAATCGGTCCTCCGGCAGCGGTATTGGGGACCTCCCTTTGCGGTGGACCCATATATGAAGGCGGGTTCCCATGTTGTTCATACCGCTGATAACCCCCCGCAGCAGGCTGCTGCTGTTGCTGCTGTGGTGGACGGGTCAAACCCGCACCAGGTACAGCACCACCTCCACCGGCAGCCAACATCATCGCCTTCTCCCTATCCCTCTTCTTCTGCTGAACCAGTGTGCCCTTCACACCGCGCAGATACTTGGCCGCCGCCTCAATCAGCCTCTTATCCTCGGGCGAGTTCTTCAACGCCTCCAGCATATCCCGAACCTGAGTCTCCGACTTGATGTGCGGGCAGGTGCGCGCGTGGCCAAAGTGCGCCAGGCCGCAGAGACCGCAGTGCTCGACGCCGGCAATCTTGAGCGGGCATGCGCCGAGCGCGTGGGTCTGGTGGCAGGCGATGCAGACTTGCTCCTTCCAGCGACCGAACTGGGGTTCGAGGGTGGACCGGACGGGCAGGTGGACGCGCTCGAATGGTTTCACTGTGGCCCGGTTAGGAGGCGGTCTGATGGATTGGAGTGGGCGTTGTGAGGGCTGTGGAACCTGTGGAGACCGTGGTGGACGCACTGCGGCGGCTGCCATCCGGGGAGCCGATGGCTTCGGCGGAGTGCTCAAGGCGCCACTGGGCTTTCCAACGGATTTGGAGGGAGAGAGACTCGACACACCTGATCCATTCTGCTTGTAGAGAGAACTGTATGTGCTCTTAGGCTGCGGCGGCCGATTGAGGTCATTGATGTTCTCGGGCTCTGCTTCGGCTTCCAGTTCCGAGGCGCTCTCTTCGGGTTGTTCGTCGGAATACAGTTGGAAATCCGTGTCGCTTTCGGCGCTTTCGCGCTTCTTCTTCAGCTTCTTCGTCTTCTCGACTCTGGCGGGCGAGGGGCCGTCTGCAGCCTCAGCGGTGGCATCTTGCTCCGTGTCGTAGCGGACGTTCTACACAGGTTAGCTGAGCTGTCTATCAGAGTACATGAAACAACCTACCATCCGTGCACGTTTGCCCCGACCAAGAGCCTCGGCCCGTGCCAGCGCCTCAGCTGCCGCCGCGGCTTGTCTTTCCTTCAGAATCTTATCCCACACTCCAGGGTCAGGCGCAACCACCTCATCCGTCGTGTCCAAAGTATCCTCCAGCGCCCCTTGATCGTTAGCCCATACTCTTGCAAAACTGAACTGGGAGTCTGCTGAGTCGTCGGCGCCAGTCTTCGTATTCTCTATCTGGCTCCGATCAAGGAGCTTCTCAATCGACGCCTCATCGTATCGGATATCATGATCCGCGCCATCGTCTTGAAAGAGCTCGGCTGCTCCGTGTCGAAGGATTGACTCCAGGTCTTTATCCTCCAGATCTTCTGCGTCCAGTTGTTCGACCACAACGTGGTCCAGAGCCATCTTCTTCCGTCCAATCTGAACAATCTTTTCTTCCACACTGGAGCGTGTCATGAGCTGAAAGCAAAGGACTTTCTTCTTCTGGCCGATACGATGAGCTCGCGAGATGGCCTGTATGTCTTGATGTGGGTTGAAATCGGGATCAAGGATAATGACCGTATCTGCTGTTGCTAGATTGATGCCAACACCCCCAGCACGGGTCGACAGCAAGAAAGCGAACAGGGGCGAGTCAGGCGCATTGAACTGGTCGATGCGCTTTTGTTTCTCCAGCGAGCCCATAGTGCCATCAAGACGTTGGTAAGCCATCTGCATGCCGTCAAGGAAATCTTCGATGATGCTTAACATGTCCAAGAATTGGCTGAAAATGAGAACACGATGGCCGCGTTGTTGGAGTTTCGGCAGAAGCAACTCAAGCAGCTGCAGTTTTGCAGAGGCTTCGACCAAATTTCGATGCGAGATTGCCTGGATATCGGTGCGCTCCTCGATTTCACGGCTGTACACGAAAGGGTGACATAAGCATTTGCGCAGCTGCATCAATATGTTACTCAAGTTGGCCTTTTCTTGCTGTTTGAGACTCCTTTGCGTCATGAAGAGAGCTTTCAGGAGCTCAGGGTTTTTTGCAAGGATGGATTTGTAGAGTTTCTTCTGAAGAACACTCATAGATAATGGAACAATGATCTGCCCCAGCGGTGGGAGGAAAGTCAAGACCTGTGCTTTTGTCCGTCGCAGAATGAATGGCCGGATCTGCTCATGAAGCTCCCGGATATTCTCCGTGGTCATCTCTGCATACTTTTCCTCAAGCTCGGCAGCGTTGATCGTATCGTCGAGGAACTGTAGCAGGTTGAAGAGTTCCCTGGCGTTGTTCTGGAGGGGTGTCCCTGTGAGAAGCAATCTGAAAGGAGCTTTGACAGCTTGGAGGGCGCCATAAATCTGGCTCCTGTCATTCTTTAGGCGCTGGCCTTCGTCAACGATCAGGCCAGCCCAATTGACGCCCCTAAACACTTTCCTGCAGCTATCATCGGTAGCCGCCTCATAGGAGGTAACGACTACATGGGCACGTAGCTCCTTGGTGCCTTGCGGAAACATCTCGTACTTATATGCCATGTCCCGGGCTGTTGCGGATCCAAAGAAAGTCACAACGCGCAAGGATGGAGCCCATTGCTTAATCTCCCGGCGCCAGTTGGCGCATGTGGAGTTCGGCACGACCACAAGGAACGGGAAGCAGTTGTGATCCTGAATGAGAGTCGCCATGAATCCAATTACCTGGATGGTCTTACCAAGACCCATTTCGTCCGCAAGAATTCCGTTTTTCTGGCAGTACCACTGGTAGTAGATCCAGTTCAGCCCTTCTATCTGATATTTCATGAGCTCACCGCCGACGAGATTGTCAGGTTGCTTTTCTTTCTCCAGCTTTGCAAATGGTGTCGCGCGCGCTTTATCGAGACGCGCCTTCAAATGACCTTGCTTGGGATATCGTATATATCGGCCTGCAACCCAATCATTGTAAGCAGTGACGAAATCGAGCCATCGTTCGCCATCTTCGGGAGTGGGGACCTTCTCCCAAACTGCATCCTCATACCCGAGCCCTTTGTACTTGATCAGAGCCTTGTCCACCTCTTTAATGCGTGCTTTGTCGATCTCTTCTTTTTGGACTTCGACATAGCTAGTGTACTTGACATCCAGCACGATGTCAATACGAAGGAACTCCTCTGGGATTGCGTCTTCGGTGCGCATTTTGGGGCCGTCTTCACGCTTGTTGAAAGCCTTTCGCATTGCGGGCGCTGTGACCCCCCAAGTCCAAGCACCAGAATGCCAGGCAGCTCGGAAGTACGATTGATTTTCCCACTTGATAAGATATTGTTTTTCGTCCTCGCTGAGCATCTCGCAAGATGTGCCAGGCTGATACGTCTCCACATCAGAGGGTCGCCACGCTATAAGTCCACCGACTTTGAGGTCTTTGGTGTCATTGCACTCCTTACACCGCCAAGTCCTAGCGTACTCCTGGAATCTCTCATCCGCGGTCTCATCCTCGTCACGATCAGTGACCATGGCATACGGTGACAATGGAGGCAGGTGGTGGTAGTGATAGGCGCGTGAGCACCGTGTGCACCTGAACAATACATTTGCAGCATTGTTAATCAGATTAGGAGGAACATCGACTATGGGATCCTGGCCGCCGTTGTCGTCGCGTTCTTTCTGCTCCTGCAACGGAGACTTTCGTTCCCGAAAAGGCCGACATGCGGGTCCCGGCTTGTGGCAGTCGCTGCACTTCGCAAGGTCGGGTGCGGTGGGATCTTTGCGCTTGTAGAAGTTAATGCATCGCTTGCACTGGAGCACAAAATTCTCATCGCCGATTTTGGTGACGAGGTGATCCCGCGTCCCGCGATTTCCCAGACAGTTTTTGTGATAGGCAAGACTGCAGCCCTGGCAGTAAATCAAAGGCGCAATCGTGGGTCCTTCGGAACAGACCTCGCAGCCCTCAACATGGCGCGATCGGAAAAGGTTACTTCGTGGAAGAGTCTGGAAGACTTCGCGTACGCTGACCACCTTTTGAGCCACCGTCTGTGGGGTTTCGGAATCCGAACGGTAAATATCGTTGACATCCGCTTCTTGCATGTTGTTCTGGGCACGGGTGGCCCTGTCGGACTGACGTACTCCTACTCGCGGGATCTTTCGTGTGAAGCTGGCGTCAAGGCCTCGTTTTCTTTTCCTTCGGCGACCCGGAAGCACATCTGATCGAAGAATATCAACGCCGCTGGAATCCTCATCCTCGTCCTCTTCATCTTCCTCATCAAAGTCTTGCGGCTGCACGCGGACTCGGCCCGAGCGGCGGACAGGCTCCTGAACCTTCCGCTTCGGCCTTCGCCCACGGCGTCTGGGAGCAGCTTCCGACTCTTCGCTTGAATCCGAGGTGAAAGCCTTGCTCTTTCTTGTGTACGTCCGCGAACGGCTTGTGTCCGTCGTCCCTCTACTCAAAGCGTGACGGCGCCTCTGTCTGGGTCTCCGGGAGCTGTCTTCATCTGAGAGATCGATAATAGCGCTATTTATGAATCCGTCTTCGCCGGTCTTCGTCCGGTTCCTGCGCAGGCCCCGTTTCGCTTCTGGTGCGGGTGACTCGAACATATCGCCTTCACTAGGACTGACCTCGTCTACTTGGAAGTTTTGTAGAGCGCTTGAACCGCCTTCGGTAGCTAATAGATCGTCGAAGCTTATCTGAGGATTGCAGGTCAGATATGGACTGCCTGAAGGCTGAAGTGTATGGAAAGTATGAGACTATATATAGAGAGCTAGAAAGAGGAGCGGCTCCGCGTCTCTTAAAGTACTGGAGTCTCTCTCACTTACCTGTCGAGTCTGCCCTGTTGACAAAACCACCTCGTACATCATCTGACCGCTCTTGCCGTACTCACGGTTTATGCGCTCAATTTCCTCCGCAGGCTCGTAGTATGTATACTCCTCTACGTTCCTTACCGGCCTCACCCTGACCGCGACGGCGACCTTGCGCACCGTAGTCGAGGCGCCGGTGCGAGCTGGAGCTTCATCGTGTGCGGAGCTCTCGTCCGAGGAAACAAAGTCTCCAGGAGAGAGAGGGGCTTGCTTTCGGGGTATGGAGCGCGTACGCCCTCCTCTCTTGAAAGACGCCATAAGATTCCCTTCCTCGTCGTCGCTGCTCATGTTGACAGCAACCAAAGATCTGTATTGGAGGTAGAGAAATGATGCCTGGAATTCGTGGGGCGGTAGATGACTATCGGGTGATTGATGTAAAGCTGTTGGGCTCCGGCATGAGCTATTGCAGCTGCATTAAGGTGAAGGAGAGGATGAGCTGTCCAGTCGCTTCACCAGCTTTCACTGGACGCGTGAGTTCGTGACGGAAGGAAGTCTTGGCACCTTCGTCCCAGTCCAGCGGGAAAGCGGTGGTCCGAGCTCAAAAAGTTACAGCTTGCAGATTGCCAAGTCCGAACTTTCGACGTCCCAATACGCATTCCTGCCTTCTTCGTCCTCAAGTACTGGTTCCGACATGGTACTGACTCTCCGATCTCTGCTTAGAGCCCGGGTTTTCCAGACACACACATCAATCCCTTCGCGAGGGGCCAACCGCTACAAATCGCTATTCGCCGCAATCGAGCGTGGTAGCCGCGAGCCCAGCCCGTCCAGAGAGCGCCGGAGAACTGGCCCATATCGACCTAGCCAGGAGAGAGGACGAGCACAACGCCGCTCAGGGGCAAGAGGAGCAAATAGCATTGGAGAGTTTCAGTTAGAGCGTCGCGGACGGCATGCCGAAACATATAAGCCGGAGAGTTTGCCGTACAGCACAGCGGCCTCTGAATTTCTATACGGATCCTCTGTAGTTATTGCAGCAATTAAGGCAAAGCGGCGCAAGCTATATACACTATATATTCACGATCGCGCTCTGAACTCCAATGGCGGAAACATATTGATCGCACAAGCCCGAGCTGATAAGTTGAAAGTCCAGCACGTTGGAGATGACTACTTACCGCTGATGGACAAGGCCAGCAGTGGGAGACCACACAATGTACGTACAGCATCAGATATATCCCTTCGCATAGTAACAAGGTCAGGGCGTCATTCTCGAGGCGTCTCCTCTCCCTCGGCCTCCGCTTGTGAAGCTGCGCGCTTCTTCAGTAGACGGAGCGTATTTCCATGTTGACTTGGACAGTCAAAGCAGAGAAGAGAAGCTGGTAAACGGGACTGAAACACGAGTGGCATACAAGTCTGGAGGCTGGAGACATCCTTTCCTGCTTTATGTCGACGGAGTGGTGGGCGCGAAATGCAAATCACGGCGTTACTTATGCTAACGTATCTCAGTTGGACGAAGGAAACCTCGGTGCCATTGCGCGGTCAGCCTACTTCCTTGGAGTGGATGCCATTGCGACGCCCACACGGCAGAGCGCACCTTGGAGCCACATAGCTCTCAAGGCATCCGCCGGAGCAGCAGAAGCGATCCCTATCTTTGCTGTCAAACAGCCTGCCGCGTTCCTCGCAGAGAGCGCTCGCGAGGGCTGGCGAATATACGCCAGCGATGCTGTACCTGCGGATGAGCCGTTGAGCGATCTGTCTACCTCCACCCCAGCCAAAAGCGATGGAAGTGCAGAAGATGGCTCAAGTAGCATTGTGTTCAAACATGCTCGTCACCCCAAGGTGCTTCCTGTAGGCCATAGCCCGGTCGCCTCGCATCCAACGATTTTGATGATGGGTGCCGAAGGGACGGGTCTCAGGACTAGCCTGCTCAACCAAGCACACTATATAGTGGGCATACGAGCAGGACGGGACGCCAGTGAGGTTGGAGTCGACAGCTTGAATGTTAGCGCGGCGTCTGCGCTGCTCTGTTTCGAATTCCTTAAGAGACCAGCGCAGCAGCGGAACTCGGCGCAATCCCTCTTTTGAGGTGTCATTGAGGGGCCACCGTTATGCAAGCCGTATGTACTGTACAACATGTTCTGAATGGGATGTCGGAAACTGCGTTTCGAGGGTTTGGATCTGGCTTCTTACTCCCTTTGCATTCGAAGAGACTCTTTCACCATTTGCGCCTGCCGGGGAGAGATTGAAACGGTCGGGAAACGGCGCGTCGGAACTGTTGATGCATCTTAGTTGCAGTGAAGGATCTATGGGCTGCATAGCGGCCGCAGCGCACACCGGCACCGCACACCCCGCCTTTGCACACCCCCACAGCGCCATGCTGAGAGGGTGCTGGACACATGTACAATTGAGGAGTATCAGTCACATGGTGCCCGTATCGCGGACCATCAATGATTATCAGTTCAGTTCACCGCCGAGTTTCATCCCACTTTCGCCTCGACGCGCCTGCGGCTCACTGGCGAGCGAAAGATAAGTACTTTGATATGCTGGCGCCTATGTCCGATGTGCATGGCATTTGCCGACTGTTCTCATGGCTTGAGTCCTCCGCATCCCGTATTACCCATGCTTCAACTGCTCTCGTAGACTGTCCGACGTCTCGCACGAGCTCAGAGTGGTCTTGTCTGTCTGTCTTGAAGGGAATTTGTATTCTACCTCACGAGGTGCAACTTGGGCTGCGTTGTGGGCAAAGTTGGAGCATATGGAGACAGTTGGCATTCCGCACTGTACTTACCAGTACTATGGCCACAGTACACCCCTCCACGGCGAGTGTCATGAGGAGATGGCTGGCGCACCGTGCTCTGAGCGGTGAATGGAGCATAGATTGGATGTGGATCCGTGCACGCGGTTGCGATAATGACGTTCTTCACATCGATCCAGTCTGCAAGCTGCTGCGGTACCACCTCGACTCGAGAGGGCCACTAGTAACCTCTGCACACCTTGCAGCCTTCATCTCTGCTCCTCATTCGTCTGTCCCTCCATTCTGTGCATCTTGTACTCCTCCAGCAAAATGCTACTCTAGTTTCGACCTGCCCCGTTTTCTTAGAAACAAACCCTCCCCGTACGACGCGTTCCAAGGTTCCCGCACACCCCCGCTACTTTCTCCAGCCTTCAGGAGGAGCCATTGCCCACCTAACACTTCATCATGACCCGACGCGTTGTATACAGCTTAGGCTTCTTGGTCGCCATTCTCTGTGAGTGCAGAGAAATATCACGAACCCGAGCCAGACTGACGCGCATAGGCACCATGATGACTGTCCATAGCATCTCGCTGCCGCGATGGATTAGCTTTGCTGCTGTATGTTTGCCTTTGTTGCAGCCTCATCATGGTCGGAAGCTCCACCAGCTTCGACGGAGCCGCTGACCCCCCGGCAGGAAGACGGCCGTACAAGTTCCCTGGGCCTCCATAAGTTCTGTTCCAGCGTAAGAGGAACCTGCGATGCTTTTCCACAACCTACCGACTGCACTGGCGATAGGAAAAACTTCTGCCACATGTGGAGAACCGTCGGCTTCCTGATCTCCTTCACAGTGGTGGTGGAGCTCGCGACCCTAGTCGGCTTTGGCGTCATTATCGCGGGAGGGGTTCAGCGAAGAAAAGTTGGCTGGAGTATCATCTCCTTACTCGTAGCTGTCGCTGGCATCATCCAGTGCGCCGGCACAGCCATTGTGGTGAGTCGTCTCCCGAGACATGGCGAATGCGGCGAATGCTGACAAGATAGGCCTACCTATTTAACAACGACGATCGCTTCTTCGAAGGCTGGTACCTCGATTCCTCCTGGAGACTCTCCATCGCATCTTGTGCCCTCCTCTTCGTCACGGCCGCCGGAATCGTTGCGAGCGCCTTCTGCCTTCCAGACGAGGGCGGATACGAACTCATAGCCGATCACCAGATGGAGTATGAGCAGGACGAGCAGTAGGCACATTGACTCTTTGGCTTGAAACCCCGTCTCATTGCGTACAGATTACGGTCGCGGATCTCCGCTTGGAACGATGGGTACCGATCCGGAGGGTACCAGAACGAACGCGAGTGAGCAAGTAATAAGCAAGCGTGTGCGAGAGCCAGCGGTTACGAAATAATGGTAATGACTTAGAAAGAGGGGCTCGCTCTGTTTCCGAATTTTGGTTATTTTGCTCTTCGCATTCCTTGGTTCTGGCGGTATTGGCAGGTTCGGAGCGCCCATTTCTTGACCACGTTTGCTCCGTTTTTTCATGATACCCGTCCGATCATATTTCCTTCGGTTTCTACGTCAGGGGTTTTGGCTCCTTGTCCAAGTTTCCGCTTCTCGGTCATGTGGCTGCAAGTTTCCCTTTAGTAAGGCATTCCATTCTTCATACGCAGCTCACTGTCCGTCATGCTGAAGACTATGAGTTAGTCTCATGCTGGGAATAATTCTGCCGTGACGGTTTGAGGCTCTTTCTTTTCGAGTAATGGCGCATGCTGCTTAGTATTCCACGGCCGGTTTTCGTCACATTTATACGGAGTTAAGGAGCGTATTCCGAGCATTGGTAATGCACAGTACACATGTTTCCAATAACCATTGGAGAGGTGCTGCTTATTACTGGATACACATTGAGGCCGTCTGATCTTTAGGGCTGTTGGTGACGCAGGCAGCAGTTGCTGGTCCAACGGCGCACAGCCACAGCCGCCGATCCAGCCAATCAATACACTTCAACCTGCAAGCATCCATGGATCCTACTTGAACTCTGGGAGCAGCGAACCCAACTCTTACACAGTACAACAACACTTCTGCAACAAAGAAACGAACTCGACTACGCGCACCAACTGGCTCTTTCCTCGGCGACTTACCGTACTAAGAGGAAAAAAGAGGGTAAGTCCCGACCTGCGCTTGCCGCGACCCTTCTAGATCGATGGTCAAGTGTCGTTCGCTCAAGCTCCGACCACCGGTGACGTAGCATCCATCTGATCTCTCTATGACGAGACCACCCCCCAACCAGAGCCTTTGCTGACCGATAGATGGGCAGGAAAAGGCAGTATACTTCGCGCCCGATCGCTTTCCCATACTTACGAGCGTGGCCAACGTCGCAAAAGCCGTCCCCTACTCCGTATACGTGTAATTTGAGTTTACATTGATCGTGTTCGAGATACCCTATCCGCTTAGCTTAGGATTGCTTTGGCCTAGCAGGTTTCAAGCACCGGCGACAGCAAAACAACAGCTTGAGTAGGACGAAACGCAGCCCCTTTTACAGACCAACACGGATTCAAAACCGCCACCATGGTCTCCAAAGCTCTGAACATCGTCTTCCGTATCTGGGAGGTTCGCGACCCCTTCCTCTCACTTGTCAGGCAACCGAACTCAAGGCTAACGTCGCCCAGTTCATCTGCACCATCATCATCATGTCCCTCATCGGCAATATGATCGCCACCGCCTTTGCCGGCAACCCCTCCGCCGTCAACTACGCCATGTTCGTCAGCGCATTCGGCATGGCCTCACTGCTGTATCTGATCCCGGCAGCCATCATCGAGAGACTGCAGTTCCCACCCCTGTCGAGCGTCCTGGATGGGCTGAATGTGATTTTCTGGTTCTGTGCTGCCGTCGCCTTGCCCAGCTACCTGCATGTGCATAGTTGTAGCAATAGGGTAGGTCTTCATTCAGGAACCCCCCGTTCTCACCCCTCCTCTCATCTCCAAATCGATCCAATTCGAAAAAAAAAAAATTCAACATTAGTGAGACTTTGGGTACTAACAAGAATGACCCAGTGGTACGTCCTCCACAATTCCATCACCAACGGCTCGCACGACCCGGAGAAGCGCTGCCGCATGGCGCAGGCCAGCACCGCCTTCCTCTGGTTCGGCTGGGTCGCCTGGATCGTCACCTTGGTCATCTCCCTCATGTCCATCCGCGGCGGCGCCAATCTGCGCGGCGGCGCCCGCAAGCCCGGGCCCAGCATGAGCCAGGTATAGGATGCCGAGGCGTTGCCGGGCGTGAGGTTGAGGAGCAGGAGCGCGAGCTATGGGGGTTTTGCCGAGATGGGCGCAACGGGGTGGAAGGGGTATGGGTTCTGTGGGGGGGATTGAAAAGGTGGACCTGCAGCGGCAGAGGAAGACGAACCGTGTATGATGTCTATGATTATGCGAGGGGGACATTGTTTGAATAATAAGAAGTCTCTCAAATTGGGGGCTATGGATAACGAACGGATCACGAAATATGGGATATCGGATATGGGGATTAATCGGACATGGGATCATCGGAAATAGCATACTGGAACTAGATGTAGCAGCCGTAACTCGGCTTAATAGGAAATCGGGCGTTTTGTTCTTGATATTGCAGTCAAGGCATTTGTGGGAATGGGGAGATGGGCGGGGGAGATTTAATTGGAAAATAGCTCTCATCTGCATTCAAGTATTATCAAGCTCGTTAGAGTGACACATAAAACCAAGAAGAAGTATTGACAAAGTCTTGTTGCACAAATCTACATCTACATCTACACACATTAAAAATTGTATCCCCCGTATCTGTACCGCAAGCCAAGGATCTCAGGTCTTGCAACTTTCCAAGGGGACGACCCCACACCACAAAAGTCCCACACACATCTAACTACCCGTTGACCCACCGGGCCCGAGAGAACACCAGAGGGAAGGATAGTAGGGTGCGCGAGACCCCTCGGATGGGAGCTTAATCTCCGACTTTGCCACAGATCTCGGAACCTCGCTTTCGGTTTTGTGTGCAATGAAAGGGAAGGAGAAGAGAGGGCGACGACCAGGACAGCCACGGAGCAGGGCAGTGTGCTGGGCGTTGGAGTCGGGTTTTGTGTGTTTGGGTTGGCAACGTGTTTCGTGTGCATGGAGATGGAACTTCTTTGTTTTTGGAAGGGCTTGGATTGGGAAAGGTTGAGGAACGCGGTTGCCGGAACTGCAATGTGAGAGTGTGGACAATGGGCGAATGTGCCTAGAATGTCTTCATGGACAACTCGTCATGGGAGATGAAATCGCCAATCGAAGCAGGCTCAGCATGAATATCTGACGCTTCAAATGCAGCTACCTGGTAAGTTCTTCCGTGGCAGCAGTGTTGGATTAACGTAGAATTGCCCAAAGAAACATTCTCCAGACTGCCCCTCAGACAGTATATCTGTACGCGAAAGTACAGGCAAGGCTTGGGTTATATGGGAGGGAGGCTCGAGGGGATGCGGGTTCGAAGCAGGAGGAGTACTATGTAAAGACCGAGCTCCTGCTTTCGGTTAGATGTGCATGCCTTGCGAGCATCTTTGCAAGCCTTGACGATTTGCATTGTCCGCTTTGTCTACTGCAGTGGCTACAGGTCAGTTTTTCATCGTCTCAGACGCGCTTGAGTTGAGAGACATCGTATCGCTTTGTTGGCGATGGAGGCAATTTCGAATCTCCTCGAGTTGTGTAGCGCCCTTGCAGACGAATTTCGTGCTAGCACAGATTATCAAGCAGAGGGCGTTTCCTTGCTATTCTTGTAGGGAGCCATTCCCACGTGCTCGAGCGGGTTCGGAAGGCTTCGGCTGCTCGGGGCTGACATTCCACAAGGAAGACGTGTCGTGTGGCGAGCGCTCTGGCTCTCTCGAAGCTGCTGCTGATATCTCGATTCGACGTCTTTCCTCGATGCTGAAGGCGGCGCTCTGAGACTTCGAACCTGCCGTTGGCTCGAGGCCGCTCTTCCGGTTTCGGGCAAAATCTGCACGCTCGTCGCTTGGAACAACATCGTCATCCAACGAAGATCGGAGTGGTACCTATCTTGTGAGCAGTGCAGCTAGCAGGTGGTAGGTGAGAGGCTGGCGGACGCGGGCTCCACGGGAAGCTCCGAGCGGCTCAGAAGTTGTAGTGTCCGCTTCCTCTGCTCGGTTTTCGAATGCGAGCATTGGAGGATCTCGCGCCGGGATCTTGCTCGAGGGTGGTGCCTCGTTGTTTGCTCAGGTTGGCGCGTCGAGGACGGCCGCTGTGGTCGTCTTGATTTTGCTCGTGAAGCTTTCTGTTGCAGGAAAAGACGCTCGGATGATGGCGAAGCTGGGCGTCGTGGTGAGGACGAAGGAGAAGAGGAGGAGCTGCTGGTGGTGGTGGTGGTGGGGGAGGGGGTGAGGTACAGGAGGGTAAAATCCAGTCTCGGAAAGAGCTGTCTCGCCGTCCTGGGGCAGGTAGTTTTGAAAGAAAGTTTCCGGGGGAAATAAAGGGTGCTACTGCTGAGACATAACAACCTGCTGAAGCCGCTGCCCGTCCCATGCCCGAGTAGAATTGATGTAACCTGTACTTGCAGTGCTGATGGCCATGGCGGAGCGGGCTTGTTTGTGAGCCCCGGGTGGCCGTGGGGTGGTTGCCCTGAGAGAGGGGCGGAGGGCGTAAAAAGTGGCTGGCCGCTCCTTCTCCTCCTGCTCCTGCTGGTGCTGCTGGGGACGATGCCCAGGTGAGAGCCTCCATGCTGCTGCTAGAAGCCCTGGGGGGGTGAAAGAAGCGGCGCGTTCCAAGCCTGGAGATCTCCCTCGCCGTTTGGTGCGAGTGCTATGCACTGGCCGGACAAGGGGAGAGGTGCTGGGAGGCGGCCTGGGTGCTGGGGCAAGTGAAGGGCCAGGGTAAACAATGCAGAGAGCACAGAGAGCTATGTCTGTAGGCCCAGGCAACTCCAGTGAAGGACAGGTCACGGGAGCAATGCCATAGCTCTCAGTGAAAACTCCGTTAGCCAGGATGAAAGGGAGGGGCAAGGGGATGCATCTGCAGGCTTTCCCTCTCTTTTCCCAAACTTCTGCCCTCTTTGCACTGGAAATCTTCACGACAGGGCGAGTCTTGCAGATGTTCTCGACTTGTCAAAGAGAGGCGCCAAGACAACCACTTGCCCCCCCATCAACGACTGACTCTGCCCACACTGCATATAGTTATAGGCGGCGGCCGATGCTGAACAGCGGCACCATCCCGCACCTTCTTCTCTACCACTCCAACAACGTGGAACCCAGGAACGGGTTGGTTGTGTCATCCAGTATCCCATCTGACAGGCAGGTACCATATCAGGAAGATCGACAACATGGAATCGCAGGCAGAGGCGACGGCGCCTTCGGCATATCCTACAATCTCCCATTCGGGCCAACTGGTTTCGATAGCGACCAACACAGCTTCTACGGATAGTCCAGGCAAGAAGCTCAGAATGGGAAACCTTTTACCCAGAAGGCCTACTCGCCGCTCTCCTCGATGCCGCCAAGGTACGTGTCCAGGGCAGATATGAAGGGTACTTTTCCCCTTTGCCCACCCTCGAGGTCTTTGTTGGCTTGGGAATTCGCGGAAGACAAAGGAAGAGGTCAAGAGATAGTTCAGGTACAATGGCGCCCGAGCGAGGCATGCCTTGCGCGGTTCTCAGAGTCAATGAGGCCTCGAGAGCGAGAAGGAAAGGTTTCTAGATGCAGTCCAGTCGATCCTTACTATGGGCAGCCAAGCCAGGTGGACGATACGAGTTCAGGCTGGCGGCCGCCGCCATCCATTGCAGCCGAACGCGTTCCGCACTTCGGTCCGGATCGATCATCTCCTTGCCGGTGGCCCAGCACCAGCCCTCCATCATCAGACACCCGGATACCCCAGCAAGGTTCCTTGAGCGACCAACAAAAGGAGTGGAGACAACTGGGTCGGTCCGCGGATACGCATTAACCTGATGACTCGAAGTAGCCGACAGCTTCCAACAGGGTGGTTGGTCGTGCAGTCAAGGTTGCCTTGGTCTTTAGAGAAACCTGTCCACCGCAGCCAGGCTTTGGATTTCGGCTCCTCAAGGACGTTCGCAATCAAGACGAGGCTGTACATTGCTGCAGAATCCAAGCCGGGACTCCATCAAATTGATGTTAATGCGCCTGCAGCCAAAATGCGGGGTTGACGGCACACCCATCTCCTTCAACTAGAGGCCCGCGACACCAACTGAAGACTCGAGCACAAGGGTTGCACCTGTCGTGCTTCGTACTCCTATGCTTAGCAGCTGCAGAAACCCCCTCTGTTAATCGTCACTGTCGCCCCCGGGGGCCCATGGCCATGTGCCAGTAGTCGACAAGTTGAGCATGCCACCCGCCAGCGGTCCATTTTCGGGAGAACCATCCCAATTGCGAAAGTCGTGAGAGGCGACCCATTCTACGACGAAACCATTCAACGAATGAGCAACACTCCGGACATGGCACCATGTGGCGAAGGCAGGCGAGAAGCGGGGAAGAGGTGGTTCCATATCCAGCAACCAAGGACCCAAGGAGCGTTGTGTGCGAGGTATTCTGGGGCGCGTGATGCTCTTTGTTCGGATGGTCCAACAGGTCCCCTACACTACTAGACTTCGTCTGCTGCGGGGCTGGCTTCGTCTTGTCGACGCTTGAGCGGTCCGGTATGGCGCGCAGGAAACATGAGGGTGAGAGCATGGCGGCGGAGCGGAAGGAACAGGGTGTTCAGTCCGATCCATGGGGTTTCTGCTTGGTTGTCTGCATCCTGCACCTGCGCTTTGCATCCGAGAATAGACGAGATGGGTGAAGGATGAAAGTCCCTGGAAGACAGGCACGCCGCAACCAAGGTCGAGCGGTGGCGCATCCCATGCCTACCACCAAGAGCCTCTCCAACAGTCGTCCGTTCCAACATCTGGTGAGGGGGAGAGGGGGAAACAGGAAGGCGATCTTGGTAGCAGAAAGGTCAAAGAAGGGGACGGAGTGGCACGACGTTCGACGGCAAGACAAGAGGGGCCCTTCACAGCAGCAGATGATTTGCTGCGGGAGCCCCTGGAACGCAGCCTCGCTTCCACCCCCTCCCCCTCTCCCCCTCCCCTCTCCTCTCTCCACACCCAAGAAGCTCTCTGAAAGCAGCCCCCGGCAGAGGCTGGATCTTGGACAATTTGGGGCGCGAACCGCTGCAATTTGGGAACCGCTAGGCCTGGCCACTTCTCCGCATTCTGCACATCGTGTGCATCTGCCACACTTCAGCCCCCTGATCCTTGGCCCCCAGCAGGTCGTGGTCGTGGTCGTGCCAGCTGCGGGCAAGCCTCAAAGGCGTTGGGGCTCGCGCTCCTTTTCACCCTTCTTCTTCTCTGTCCATCTCTTTGCCATGAGCCCTATCGTCCTGCTCTCCACCTCCCGACATCTCCGCTGGAAACCCGCCTGTGTCTGCCACCGGACTGGATCGAGCCGGACATCTCGCTGCCACCACTCAGCCGTGACCTTGTACTGCTAGCCCTGCAGCATCATAAGCGCACAGCTTTCAGGAGGCGGAGCTGCGAAGTGCCACAGTTGGCCCATCTCTTTTGCGTCGTGTTGAGAGTTGGCAAGCATCGCACCAGCACCTCCGCAGCAGCTCATTCCCCTTTCCCTCTCTTCACGGCTCTTTCCGCAGGGCGCCGCGCCCGCTGTGCCTTTGTCGTTGCTCCTCCGCGTGGAACCATGCTCCAGGCCGCATAGGTGGCCGCCCCCAGCGTTTATAATAGACGGTCCACGGATCGACGAAGTTCCTCCTAATAAGCTGCAGCGTGGCGCTTTCCACACACCTGGAGCTTCTTTGGGTGAATTGCTTGCCCGTGTGCTCGTCAGCAGCACCGACAGATGCTGTTATAGTATAGGCCATCTTCTTTCTTCACGATTCGACGCCTCTGGGAAGACTAGGGATAGATTGGTTCAAGAATTCGGCGCTTCTTTCCGGTCTTGCGTGTTTCCAGGTACGCCGCCGCGAAGAGGCATCGATCCTCCAGGTCCGCACGCTTGCATCCGGCTCAAAAGCTTACTGTTTGCGTCAGCTACTGTTCGAATCAAGATTTGTTTTTTCAAACCGGCAGGCGACGCGCATGGGATAGACTGTCTTGGTACGTCGTCGTCAGTGTATTGCCGTTTCTTAGGGTGCACTCCCCCTCCGCCGATGCGGTGCCCACGTGTGGCAAGGGTCGCCATTCTTCTTCGACCAAGGAAGAAGAAATATGTTGCTGATGATGGAATCCAGATTACACGGCTGGAAACTCCGATAGACGATCCGCTACGTTTGATTTGTTCCTGGTTAATTGTAGTCTACCGACCGTCTACTCGTCGCTAGTGAGGTGAGTAATCCCGTTCCTTCGTACCTCGTCACCATGTCCCGTTTTCTCCTTCCCGTCAATGTCTGGTTCTTCTTTCCTTTGGCTCTTGCGGAGCGCGGGGATGCTCACGGCCTGAGGATGATGCTGGGATCAAGAGAGGGGGAGAGGTCTCGCTGGTGGTGGAGGGCATTTGCTGCGCGCGGCAAGGCGGAAAAGGGTCGTCATGGCGAGGGCGACATGGTTGAGTGAGACGAGACAATGGCTAGCATGAGTGGCATGCTGTAGCGGAGGTGGGAGCTGCATTGGGTAGCGCTTGTGAGGGGATGGGGGGGTGGGTGTTGGGGAGATGGTGTAGCTCGCTGGCCAGTGAGGGACCTTGAAGACCTCGCCCAACGCAGTGTATCCAGTGGGAACATAGTCGGCATGGGCTCTCCGCATTCCAGTCTAATTCCTGCCCCTGTTTCTATTCCTCTCTGTTTCTTTTTGGATTCGACTAAGTTGGGTGCCTGCAGTAATATCTAAAAGCCTGTGCTACGGCCGACCCTTCCAGCCCTGGAGTATCCGCAGAGGCATCATCACGATAGTCCCCTTCCAAACCCGCACCAAACGCCTTGTCTCCACGCATCCAAACGTTCGCATCCACCAGCGACCCATTCGACCGTGCCTTGCCAAAAGCTCAGGCCGAATCATCTTGGTCCTTCTGCTGTCCCTGCTGCAAAAGACATCATCAGAGCAGCGCCATTGCCGGCTTTGCCAGGCAGTGTGTTCTTCCGTCCGTCTGTCCACCTCGCAGCGTTCGCCGCAAGCGTCACCAAGTCCTCGATTGGCGGCATCAACAGTGCTCTCGGTGCGCTCATTGCCCGGCAAACCACTAAAAAGGTACGAAGTCCCTGTCTTTCTTAGAGCCTTGTCCCCCTCCCCTCCCCGTCTTCCCGCCCCCTACCATCCTTGTGCACCACTCGCGACTGCCGTCAAACGCATTCGCACCACGCCCACGCCCTCACCGCACAACATCGACGACTCCACCCCCGCCGAAGCCCGCTCAATGCCGCCAATTTCCCATCCTCTCGAGGGGAATGAAGGAGCGTGAACGAGGGAGCGAGCTAGCCTGCCTACAAAAGCCATCCTCCCGGACTTCCTCCTCCCTCTCCCCTTCTTCTTCTTCCTCCTCCTCCACCACGATCAGACCGACTTCGAGCCACTCCACAGTCTGCATCAACTTGCCCTCTCCCACTGCCCTCCACCTGCCTACTCTGTCGTCTGCCACCAGAAAGGAAGTAGGCACGTGGCCCCCTTCACCCACAAAAGCCATTCCTTCACACCGTCTCCTCCTTCTCTCTCCCTCCTCCTCCACCTGCACCTACTCCTCAACCCACTTCGCCGCCTACACCGCACCACACCACGCTGCTTCAAGACGGAACGTGGCCCGTGCCCGCTTGCCTGCCTATAAAAGCATCTCTCTCCTACCTTCCGCACTCTCTCTTCTCTCCTCCACCCACACACCCTCCAGCTTACTTTTACAACTACCCTGCCTTATCTCACTGCCTACTCTTTCCTCTACTTCTTCATCTGCCCGACAAAGACAACCACAGCTGATAGACGTCCTCGTCCGCTACAGGTCAAACAGGAGCGCAACCTCTCCACGGCAGCTACTGCACAGCTCCTCAAGGACAGTGCAGGCGCAGCCTCTCACTTGGCCACCATCCCACTCCTCCAAGTCTCTTCCTTACGCAGCCGTCTGACCCAGCTTCCCGTGCTTGGATTGTCCCGTTGGTCAGATACGCTTCACACTCTTACTTCTACGGTTTGGTTACACGAGGCTCTGCTTGCGGTTAGCTTGAGGTGAACTTAAAGTACGCACTCCCCCCAACCCTCCACTCCCTCCTCCTCTTTCTCCTCGTTATCGCTAACTTCATGTTCAGGTACGCAACAGCTCCCGACATAGGATCTGGCATCAAGAGAACAATCCTCTACCAACAAGGACTTTTGCTAGACATCTACCTTTGCCATCTATCTGCTTATCTACTGCCGACGGCATTACCATCTTCTTCGCTCTTGCTAAGAGCTACCACAACACAAGACAGATCAAAACTTCCTTGTAAGTCCTCCTACCTTCTCCTCCCTAATCGCCTGGATGTCAAGGTTGTTCTGCCTTGCGCGCCTTTCCTTGGCTGCCTCTTTTCTACGCCCACCCTCTAGGGACTTACCTCTACAAGTTCTCTCCACTACATATAACTTCCTCCCTCTACTGTTTTTTATACCTCTGCTAACAGATAAAAAGTTTGTTCTTCCTGCTACCTCTAGACGTCTATACATACAACATCCCTGCGCCAACTATACCCTACTACACGGCCGTCACACACCTATATACCCCACTGCCGCATCCACGTTAGTACCTACGAACAACAGGTGCTTCACGAATACGCTTCTGTTACAGGGACATTTACACTGTGCCTAAGGTACGGTTGCAGACAGGGGAGCACATAGACGAACGTCGCTTACAATGTCTACAGCGAACATAATGACTTCACCAATGTTCAAGGGTGGGCTTACCCCCTCGAATAGTGCCCTCGCCGACAAGACCAAGGTTTTCCGCAAACCCACCCCAGATAGCGACGCCATCGCTTCGAGCGACGATGAACATGCGCCAACCGGCACAAACCGCGCTCCACCACCCATGCTCACACCAAGTGGTCGTCGTCCGTCCTCTGGCTGGTTGCAGGACATCCAGCCTAACCGCAAATACTCTCTGCCTCCTGTGTCCTTGGGCACCGCGATTTCTCTGCAGACTCCGCCCGGCTTGGATCTTCCAGCGACGAGCCGGCCACCTACGTCTTCTTTGGCCTGGAATACGTCAAGCTTCACCTCACAATCGTCCAACCATCCCAAGGACGTTGTCCCTTCGCCAACGGCTAGGAAACAATCTCTCACCGAAAGGCCTTCACTCTCCTTTATGAGCGAAGGAGAAGATGGTGTTGGTTTCTTGTCAAACCAACAGAACCCGAACCCGATGAGGAAGTCTGGCCGCTCTCAATCCTACAGCATCGCCCACGCCGACCTCGACACGAGCCCAATTGGGCAGTTTGCCGCTCGACATCGTGCTGTACTGCGCCATAGGCCGTCGAAGCCCAGTCTGCTAAGTGGTGAAGGTCTTTCGCAGCTCCGAGAGGATGAAGGGGACGAGCTTGGCGCAAACGGAGACAATAACAGCTCCTTCCCCTCCGCTTCGTTGGTGCAAGCAGCGGAAGCAAACGCTGCAAACCCGCGTCACCGCCCCGCCGTCAGCATCCCTTCCATGCAATCTCCGCTTGAGGCTTTTGCTGCTGCTCACAAGGCTGCGCTCGAGGCTTCAATCGAGCGAGACCGCGAGATTGCCATCGAAGAGCCAGACGATCACGAGGCTCAATACAACCTGCACATGCCCTTGGGCCGACGTTTCAGCGAATTTAATGCTACGGGAGGCCGCGGTTACCTGGGACGCAGCTCTAACATCGAGAATCGAAGCGCAAACCTTTGGGGAGACAGCATGACCCGTCGCCATTCCTTTGCGACGCCTTCCACTCACCAGAATTTGTACATGCCCCCATCCATGACCTACAACGAGGAGGAAGAGGAAGACGAGGCGTCCCCGCTCCAGGAATCCCCCCCTCCAGAGGAGCCGTTTGATGCCGGTGCGTACTTCAGCGGCCTGGGACCGGCTTCTCGTGCCATCAATGCTTCGGCGGTGTCGGCCGCTCACCCCGACCCTGTGATCCCGCGTCCGTCATCTGGCAGTCTGGCTGCGTATCCCGCCCCCGGCCCTCAAGGGCTAGGAGTCGGTCGCCCGCATCGACAGTTCCACGTCGTGACGTTCAAGTGCTCTCGCGCCGACGTCTACTTCACGTATGCGGACACGGGCCTTGAACTCCGTCCTGGCGACTTGGTTGTCACTGAGGGAGACCGCGGCCATGATTTGGGACAAGTGAGCCACGCCAACGTTCCGCTCGAGGAAGCGCGCCGCCTCAAAGCTGAAGCCCTCGACGAGCATTTCCGCTGGCTCTGCATGTTTTCGCAATACTCACTTGCCGGCTCAAAAGAGCACAACATGCTTGGGGCCTTGGCTCGTGCAAAGGGATATCCAAATATGAGGCGCGAGAGTCTGACGAGTATGGGTGGGCAGCAGGACAATGACAACAAGCCAAAGATGATCAAACGACTTGCCCAACATCACGAGATTCAGCGTTTGCGCGACAAGGAAGGGTTGGAGGCAAAGGCGAAGCGCTTGGGCGCACAGAAAGCCGTCGAGCACAAGTTGCCCATGGAGATCTTGGATGCCGAATTCCAAGCGTAAGTTCCCGTCTTCGGCCCGCGAAGATGAAGACATGCTAATGTGCGGCAGCGATTATCACAAGTTGACCTACTTTTATTACGCAGAGGCCTATGTCAACTTCAATCCCCTCATCGTCGACATATTCAAGCAGTACAAGATTCGTATTTGGATGTCCGCCGTCAACCCAGCATCCGTCGTCAACCCCGCCGGCCTCATGCAGATGCAGCCGCCTTCGGCGATCGGTCCAGGGGCCATTCTGCCTCCTCGTTCGAATGCGCCCGCCGCCGTTGGCCCTGGATTCGGACACAGCAATTATCGCCACAATGACCGTCAGCGTGGTATGTCAACCTCCTTCTGTAGTGTTTGTTGGGCATTTGCTAACATTTTACACAGGCCGTGGTAATGCGAACACATCTCAGGCGCAATACGACCCCAACTACAATGCATGGACGAATCCCCTTGGTACCTATTCGCCTGCACAGTTTGGAGGCCAACCCTATGGTCCATATACCGGAAACCAGGAGTATGGCAGGCAGCAAATGCAGTATGGTGGATACTGGCCGGAGGCGACATACTCGAGTTCCCCAGCTTTCGGTCAGCCTGTTTCCGGACCCGCATTTCGAGGTGGGTATCCAGGTCCCATGGTTTCTGGGCCTGCTGGGGGATATGGGGGAGGGTATGCGGGTGTGGGTGGTGCTGGGAATGGATATGGGGTAGGAGGCTTTGGTGGACTGCAGAACCCCAACTACCAATCTACTGCATCTGGATCCGGTGGTTGGGAGCCTGACATGGTGGCTTCCATGGGAAATCTTTCGCTGGGAGGAACTGGGGGTGAGAAGTGAGTCTGATTTTTGGGGGTAGGGAAAAAGGATGGTGAGTTGGGGGTAGGTTTTCGGGATGTCTCTGGCTTGGTTCTGATTTCAGGTTTCTTTTCTCTTCCTTTTTCCACTCTACTCAAAAGTAGGCTTCTTTCTTTTTCTCTACTGTTAGCTAAGGAGGGAGCGACAAGGTACAGTTCGCAGACCTAGGATTTGGCTATTACAAGGGTTCTATTTTCTTGGGGAAGGGTAGAGGGATAGGAAAACAATGCAAAAGCTGCGAAAAAAAATTTTCCTCTCTTCTTGCTGCTTGTTTTCGCGGCTTTGCTTATAGGCATTGCTGAGGTAGGGACAGAGAGTTGTAGGGTTGGTAGTTTGAGTTTGCAAGTAGAAGAGAAATACATGTCGCGACAACGGTAAGCCTGTCTTATGTCTATGCTACCCTCCCCCTTTCTCCTTTCCCCTCTGTTTCTCCTTCTCCTTTTCCTTCCTCTCCTTTTCCCTATCCTCCTTTTCCTTCCTCACCCTCTCCCTCCTCTCCGCCTCCACCTTGTCCCTCACCCTCCCCGCAACCCTCTTCTCCCATAGCACCCTCTCGACCCCACCCCCCTTTTCAGGAACCCTCCTCCATTCCTCCTTAGCCTTCCTCTCCTCCTCGCGAATCTCCTCCACTAGCAACCCCTCCATCCTCCTTCTATCATCCTCGGCCCCATCCTCGCCCTCATGCAACCAGAAACCCTTCCCATCAGCCCCCAAGACGCGCCGCATCTGCTCCACACTACCGCAGACGCCGTCGAACTCGCCCCAGGGAAGCCAGACTTCGGGATCCGCAAGCCAGACCCCGCCCCGGCCGCCGCGCAGGTCCCACATGTAGTCCCCGCCGATGGCGGCGTTGTGGAAGCCGAGTTGGGATTGCGGCGTGCGGAGATAGGAGCGCAGGAGGGCGCGTTCGGAGCCAGAGTACCAGAGTGAGGACCATGAGAGTCCTGTGGCGGCGGCGGCGGCAGTGTCTCTGGCGGCGGGATGGGAAGGGGAGGAGGGGTTGCTGCGGCGGGTGGGACGATTGCGCTTTCGTAGAGGTGCCGTTTTCTTGTCGAGGTGCAGGATTGCGGGAATCGAGCCTGTGTAGGTGTTTTGTATGAGTTTAACGGCCGTCCAGGGGGTATCTTTCGGTTCCATGGTATCTAGATCCTTTCTCAGCGTCAGGGGCTCGATGAATGGGACGTCAGCATTCGGCGTCGGGATCGCTGGATTGCTGCTGGTGAAATCGGGGGTCCAGAAGGGCGGTTTCGCATGCGCCAGGGCGGGAGGTAAGTCCAAGGAAGGGGTTGCTGTATCGGGACGGTGGAGCTGGGAGAGTTCCGCCGCGGTGGAGGATTTGTCGTGTTTTAGGGGCACGAGTTCGTTGTCTGCGGGGTGGAGGAGGGATTGGAAGAGCGTGTTGGTGTAGTCGAGACCCATGGAGAATTCGTGGCCGGGGACTTCGCTGGGGGCGACGGGGTTGAGGTTGTTGTTGGGAGAAGACGAATCTTCGCCTCCTGCGGTGAACCAGGATAGCCAGCCTGGGTTCTTTTTGGGTACAGTCTTCGGTATCGGCGCGCCTCGGGAGCGTTGCTGCTCTGCGAACAGGGTTGCGAAGACGCTCTGAGCGGAATCCATCGTGCTATCAGCTTCGTCGAATTTCTTCACAGCAGCTTGATACAAGGCTCTTAGATCTTTTGCGGGTCCCATCATCAAGCCCGAATCCAAATATCTCGCCCGACTAAGCTCCTTCTCTTTCTCCGTATCCTTCCCGTACAGATTCTCCGGGAGCGGCGACTCCGGAGCATACTTGCACGCGAGGGACTCCTCCTCATCCCCCTCACACGTCTTCCGCGCCCCAAAAACAATCCTCTGACGATACCTCTGCACACCTCGCTCATCCCTCCCATATTCCTCCACCAACCTCTCATTCGCCTCCTCCACCACCACCCGATACAGCCGAACCACCACCTCGCCCGGCAACTGGAACCACGTATCCTGCCCATCGGCAATCAACACCAGATCCTCGTCCCCGACCACTCTCCCATTCTCGAGGAACTGCAATATCCCCCTCACCCTCGCCCTCTCCCTCTCCTTTTCGCTGTCGAATTTCCGAAACAGGTTGATGATGGTGGCGGGCGGGTAGTTGAGGATCATGGCCGAGAGGGTGGTTTTGCAGAATTCGGGGCTGTCTTGCTGGGCGGCGAGGAGGAGGTGGAAATTGGGTGTCGCTTTGTGCAGGTTAGAGGGTGGGTGCTCGAGTTGGCCGTTTTCGAGCTGGAGGGTCGTGTTGGAGGGGCGGAGGGGGGAGTTGGTGAGGGATGACGGGATGGATGGGAGGTGTGGATGCCAGTACGTGGAGGAGGAGGAGGAGGAGGAGAGGTGTTGGCGGGCGGTGGATAGGGACTGTCTTTGTGTTTTAGTCTCTGATTCTTCATTTTTCCGTCCTCGAAGGCTTTATGGCAAGGTTGTTCATTCGAAATAGAAATATCCCACTCACATCCGCATTCCCAAGTCCCACAACCGCTAATGTTACAACCACGAACACCGCTCCAAAAATCAGCGTCCTCCCCCTCCTACTCCTCGCCCAAGCAATACCCGCACCCAGTACCTCGACTGGCGACTGTCCGGGGGACATGGGCATGGGCCTCAGCCCCGAATCGCCTGCCATGCCGGACGGCTTTCCGCCTCCTTAGCTATAGCTATAGGCCGCGCGGCGCATTCGGTATTCGATATCGATATTGCTCGACTAGAGAGGGGCCGTTCAAATGGTTTCGGAAAATAAGAAAATAAGAATATGGGGGATTTAGAAGAACCAGAGGAGAGAAATAGCAGGACAGATGGAAAGTTGAGATGGAAAAGACCAAGTGTCGGGGTTTTTGATCTATTACGCCCACCAGACGTGTCCGCTGAGCGGGCTGACTGACGACGCCCCGCCCAATGCTAACAATGATGAATTCCGCCTTGTAGATCAGAAATACGCGCCTCTCCAGAGAAACCCACAGGAAACGAAATATCAAGTCGGAAAAGTCAAGGGGAACCGGTGGGAAGAGCTTCAGCTTTTCCCTTCTCTGCTGTCAGCTGCAAAATCGTTCTTCCGGCAGAAAACCCCCAACGTATCCATATACGTACCCCATCCTACCGAGCCCTTTCACGCACGTCATTTAATATATTACTGGAGGGTCGTTCTATCCCAATCGGAGCTCAGGCTTGCCCCGCCGGAGTTCCACAGCCCCGTCCGCAGCCGAAGCCCGCACGGTTCGAGCGCCTCAGCCGGGCCGGTGTAACGCTAGCCTAGAGACTAATTGAGATGGATAAGAATAGAGTCCGTGATGGAACTGGATGTAGTGTATAATGCGTGGCCATATACCACAGTAGGTATCTCGTGTCAGCCTTCTTGTGCACCCATAAGAGGCCAGATTTGTGGAACTACAAGAGTAGCAATCACCCCGACTGCCTACATAGTACATGCCAAGCTCCTCAAATGTCCTCTTGGAATAACCTCGCATGTACAATGCCTCTGCAAACACCAACAAGACAAAATAAGTCATGTATTGGCCTTCCCTCATTTCGTCTGTCCCGTTTCACCGTTTCCATTGCACTTGTAGTGCATATGCATTCCCATGCGTGGCCCCTTTCAAAATGTAATCTTCCCAAGCCCACTTCTCCATGTATCGCCTACCCTCTTGCACACCACCAAGATAACCCGGGGTATCACTTATCCAAAGCCGCAGCCATGCCGCTGCGATCCAAAACACCACCTGTGACCCAGCTACCGAAATAGCGATTCTATCATTCAGTTCATGCTCTCATCCGTTTCCGCTGCCTTTCCAAGGCACCTGCCACGAAGCCATGAGGCGACTTCTCCTGACTGCATCCTCGTCAGCACACCCTTTCAAGAATCGCAACGACGCGCAACGTTTGCAATCCACAGAGAAGCACAAAAACCACAGAGCGCAACAAAGCTCAACTGCCAATGGATACTGCGTACGATTTCATCGTCTTATTCCGCACCTCCTCGCACTTCTGCATCGCCTGCATGTGCATCTCCTGCGCCAGCTTCCACGTCTCCATCACCTTCTCGTCCTCCTCCAGCTTGCGCATGTAGCTCGCAAACCCCAGCTTCGTCGTCGTCTCGCCCCGGTGGAGGATGAAGTGCTCATCGAGGGATTCCAATTCAGCTTCGCGCGAGAGAAAGTGCTTGGTCATGGTTTTGTTGTACTCGCGGTAGATTTGGACGTAGCGTTCCATTTGCGTGAGGTAGGTTCTCACCGAGATATCGTCCAGTTTTGCGGGCACGGCAGGGGCGCTCGGGACGGTAGGGTATTTCAGTTTCTGTGCCGAGTTGGGCTTCGTAGGATGCGCATTCGATGCTCTCGAGGGGAACGGCAGCGTGTCTCCCAGATCATCTAGGCCCGAGAGGCCGGCGCCGTTGGATGGCGCCAGAGGCTCGACATTGCGCAACCCAGAGAGTCCATTGAGTCCAGCAGCGGGTGGGCCGTCTGGGCCAATTTGGGGTGCATGGGCAGTTCCGTTGGGTGTAGGACCGTTCGGTACAGAAGCACTCGGTGTAGGGACTGAGGCAAGGGGGGACGACGTAGCTCCGCCCGTCGGGGTAGCAAACCTGATGGGCGTACCAGGCTTGATTGTATAATCCGCGCTGATTTTCGCCGGCTCAGATTTGCCCACTGGCGTTGCCACTGGTGGTGTAGTGGAGTCGATGTCCATTGCATCATCATTGGCCTCTTCCGCAAAGGCTTGATATTTGGCCTTGCGACCCTCCGGTTCAGAGTCGACTGAGGTCGAACTTGATGCTGCTGCTGTGGCGGCTGCTGCGGCTGCTGCGGCTGCTTTGCGAGCATTAGCTTTCGGTTTCTTCGTTACGTTGGAACCCCGACGAGGCGAAGTCTCCTTGGGCGGTTGCGGCATGGCAAAGTGGGGAGATTGGAAAGTACCAGCCCACTTCTCCGGCGAAAATTTCACTGGTTCCGCTGGTGCTGCTGGTTTTGTACCCGTGTGAATAGGCGGGACAGCCCAATCGGGCGACTTGAATGCCTCTTCCCACGCATCCGGTCGGAACGTGCCTGAATGCGGTGCGGAAGATGTATTACTTGAAGATGTTGTTTGTGTATTCAAAGGGGGTGGGGGCGGTGGCGGCATATTCGGGAACGGTGGCACAGCAAAGGCCGGCATAGGAGGAGGCGGTTGCGACTTGTTTGCATACTGACTCCTCTGAGCGGTTGTCCGCGTCGAGGGCCTTCCTCGGGTCGGCGATGTTGCTTTCTGTCCCTTTGGAGCGAAGTAGTCGGGGTTCCCCTCGAACTTGCCCTGCCATTCTCCAGGGGAAAACTTGACATTTATGCTTTCCTCACTCCGACTATGGAAAGGCTTGGGCGTTGCATAGGACGCTGCAGCAGTGCTGACACCGGAGATTCCCGATGTCCGCGTCCTACGCTGGTTAGGGGAAACCTTCGGTCTTGAATCTGCGCCCCTCCTTGCGAACCGGCGAATGTCGTCCTCGGATTCATCTTCACTTGAGCTTGAAGGATACATTTGCGGGAACGGATTCGGGGCTGTGCCATTGACTCCAGACTTTTGTCCTGTCCGTCCGGAATCTGAGGATGATCTCCCGTCCATCGAAGCTGCCTGCCTTTGTGTAGGCGAATTCCGTACACTCGCAGATCTGCCTATCCCGTCCCCGAATACCGAAGTACGATCTCCCACCTTGGAAAAGTATGGTGTCCGCACTCGGTTGCCCTCCGCATAGGGAACATCCGGGCCATCGTTACTGGTGCTGTTCTCGCCAGAGCGCGCTGAAGCATCTGCCGTGGGCGGAGCTGATGGCATTGGCCTCTCATAGCTTGCACGATACGACGAACGTGCTTGACCTTCATCTCCTCCTGGCGTTGCCGGATCAAACCCTTTCTTAGACGGTGTCCTCATACTTTGACTACGTCCAAAAGGTGTACCATTCGGATTGTTCGGGTTTGCGGCCTTCGCTGCTCGTGCTCTCGCCTCTTTTGCACGTTGTTCTTCACCGCCTCGCATTTTCTGCCATGCCGTGAATACGTTCGCCTTTTCCGCTTCGGTGGGCCTCGTGCTTGGTCGCTGCGCCGTGGGTGGAGTACGGAAGTTGTTGCTGGTGAATCTGTCTGCGCCATTGGTATAGCTTGCATGGTGATGCTGGGGTTGAGGGCGCGGTGGGTTAGGGCGGTAATATGACCCGCTGGAAGTGGTGGTAGTATATGGATTTCGTTGCGGAGGTGGGCGGGCTCGCGGCGACTCAGCAGCGCTCGACGGCATAGTAGTCGCCCGATATCTCCTCCGTGCCTGGTCATACTTTGCGCGTTGCGTTGGATCGATCAATATCTCGTGCGCCGCTTGGATCTGCTGGAACTTGATGACAGCGTCAGCCTCGCGTCCAGGATTGCGATCTGGGTGATGGCGTAGGGCAAGCTGCCGGAAGGCCCTCCGGATCTCGTTTTCGTCTGCATTGGGAGAGACACCGAGGTCTGCGTAGTAGTTTCGACTCGCATCGGCCTGAACCATGGTGGAGGCGACAGTGTGGACGACGTGGGATATGAAGCGTCGTTTGTTATGTTCCGATCGTGAGGTTTAAGAGCGACTGAATGCTTGCCAGGCAGACGCTCCGGATGCGCCGCGCTGCACCAACTTCCACGACCTCCACTCTTCTTCTGGGGCTGAGCGCGGCCTCAGGTTGATGTGTGACCTGTAGGTAACCGTGAAGAGTCAGGGCACAGCGAGCATCTTGTGACTGCAAAGTGGGTTCGACTGAAGGACCGCCCACGTCACCGCGAAACAGACATGGCCCTGGGCTGAAGGGCTGAAGAGGCGCGCAATAAGCAAGCGACCGGAGGGAGTGTGCTGGGAGTCGATTGGAAGGGATCAGCAACAGCTGCGTGGGGAGTGTTGTCGTGGTTGGCAGTGTTTATTTGTCTCTGTTGCAGCGGCCCGATCTACGCTTGGCCAGCTCCAGCCGCTGCTGTGGGGAACTGCCCGACCTGTGGCTGATGCCCGTGACACGAAGCTTTGGAAAATCTAGAAGCTCCACGGAAGGTTGCGAGACTCTAAAACATGGACGGAATTCTGTGATTGACGAAACATACACTGTAGTCTATAGTGTCCACTACCATGCCATCAAAGTCCACTGATAGCCCCGCCCTTGCGTTTCACGCCGCAGCAACCCAGCGCCCACAGGCGTATATAAGACATAATGCGAATGTAAAACCATCACCATAGACCATATTCTCAATACCGAAACCTCATGGGAAGCAAACCAGACCAGACAGCAAACAAGGAAGCGCAGTCCCTGGGCACCGATGATCGTGATATTGGATGGACTTGCAGCCCCTGGGACTTGAGCATCTGGACACAAGCTTGACACGAGAAAACAATCGGAGATCCGAATCTCTTTCGAATTTTGAGCCTTTGAAAAGCCCGGATAGTCGTGAAATGACATATCTCAGAAAAGTCGCTATGTATCCCAGGACACCGTTTTCCAGCCGCACTATCCCATTGCACCCGGGTACGGGCAAAATCCTCCACGAGAACCATCGCACACTCAACCAATCTAGCGGTAGCGCCAGAGGGAGAGAGTGTTGTGCCTCTTCCAGGTCTTCCTCCTTCCGGCGGTAGTCTTGTTGAATTTGTGACCCTTGCCCAAACCACGGCTCTTCTTGCCCGTGGCGGTGAGACCACGGCTCTCGCGGTGCTTGTGGACGGGGTTGACGATCCAGTTGATTCGGGGATCGCGGCGGATGGCCTTGTGCTGGGGGTCCACGAGGATGACCTCGTAGTACTTGTAGGTGGAGTCCTGGTTGATCCAGTACGAGTTGAGGACACGAAGGTTGGCACAGCGGCGACCGACACGCTCCTCAGCGGTGGACTTGAGGGAACGCTGGTACTTGAGCTGGTTCACACCCTGGTTGGTCGGCTTGCCTGATAGACGTATTAGTAGGGTTCGATGAGAGAACGTCGTGATATTCGCATACCATAGGTGGCGCCCCTGTGATACAGTGTCAGCTTTCCAGCTCCAATTTCAATGAATATAATGGAACATACTTGGGCACGGGTCGCTTGCGGCCACCACGGCGGACACGGATGCGGTAGATGACATAGCCCTGCTTTGCCTTGTATCCCAAACGACGAGCCTTGTCGGGGCGCGAAGGACGGGAGGCGCGGTGGATGACATGGAGCTGTCGAAGCTATTGATGCACTCTCAGCAAAGTTCAACGAGTAACATCAATTGGGACCAGAGTCCCAGACTGTGGTTCATACCTCCCAGCACTGCAGTCACAGCGTTAGCTCAATTCTCACTTAGAACACCCATGGAAGAACCTACGCGCACACGCGTCAAGAAGCGCATGATATCCGACTGCTTCTTCTTCTGAAGTTCCTCCACATCTGAGATCGATTAGCCCGTGGTGACTCGTAGCGCGGAAATCAGAAACGCACATTTAAGGGCACCCATCTGTGGCAATATTAGTACGAATAGTCCTCAAAGCTTTGCCTATTTCAAAGAGAAAGTACCTTGGCTGGTCGTTGGGCGGGTTGTTGTTGGGTCGGTCGTCGTTGAGAATTGAAGGTGCGCGGCCAGCAATCTCCAAAATTCGTGTGTGGATAGCGCTGACTAACCACGCAACTCTTGGCGGATGGAAATGGGTCCGTGCACACAAACATCAACAACGGATGAAAGATGACAGTATCAAGGTTCGTAGAGATCAAGAGTCAATCAGTGGACTGCTTACTATCGTACAGTGCAGAACACTGCCACGTTGGAAACGTACTCTTCCTCGAAAATACCCAGTTTTTGACATCGCTGCTTCCTGATGCCAAACATCATTCAGCTCGCTCATCGTGCAATTGCCATCGCCTCATGTCGAACTCTCGACCTCCTCTGGCGGAATACACTTCACCATTCTCTTGACTCCTCTCGCCGCATACCTGAGAGCCTTCTGTATCTCCATATCCCTGTCTCCATGATTCCCACCCACAATCCCTTCCATTTTATCTCCAGTCTCCCCACCATCACTCTCCCCTTTCTCATCTAAACCAAGCAGCCTCCTCGCATCCCTGAGTGCCTTGTTCCGCCCCAGTCCTAGCAACCTCTCTGTCTCCTCTGACTCCTGCGTCCACTTCTGTGCCACAGCCTTCTCTTGCTGCTCTTTGCGTCCACCGTCGATGACATCTTCCATAGATCGAAAGTCTCGAATCAGGGATTTGATATGCTTGAAGACGCCTACTGCTGCCTTGTCGGCCTTGTTCAAAGCGATGCGGGTAGCCGGATACGTGGCATAATCTCCATCCGCGGAGTCGTCTTCTAGCGGTGCAGGACGCCAGGATTGGGTGATCAGGGCTTCGAGCTCTTCCTTGCGGCGCTCATCCCGTTCCTTACTGGTTTCTCAGGGTCAGATAACCTTTCATAACAGTCAAGTGAGTACTCACGTTTGCCGCAACTTCTCCTGCAACAGGTCCTTCAGCTCTCGCTGATCCCGCTCAATCGTCTCGCGTAACCGCTCGAGCTCCTTATTGTCTCTCTTGGGCTTCTTGAAGAGCTTCTGGATGAGCTCTTCTTGTTGCCTGGGAGCAAGTGAGCAATGTGCTAGTTATAGAAGGAGATTTTGCAACCTACTGGCTCTCTGTTCGGGCGCCGGACGGTTGTCTAGCCGAGGGTCTTGCCATGGCGTCAATTCGGCAGATGCCAGATGGTGCCCTATGGCGAGAGAATTCAGTGGTGAAGACGCTATGAGCAGTTATAAGACGTAGACCGTGGACTTCGGGCAGGCGGGACGACTGTTCTTTCCTCTTTTGACTCACCTGACATCGAGTCCACCCGCGGTCTAACATCAAGGTGAGCGTGATACATGAGGTATAGATTCTTCAGTCGCCTCTCACCTAAAAGGTGCATGTAGTAATAGCATTTGGGTATTCATTCGGATGCAACGGGTAACTATACCTGCTACCTAGATACTTAGCCGATGCAAAGTGAGATATGCCTCACGTCGAGCATAGCAAAAAACAAACCGGACCTAATTGAAAGGGCCGCATTGAACGCCTGACCATCGTGACAAGAGTCTTCCCAGAATGCAAATCCTAAACGCCCCGTATACACAGATGTGACGAACGATTCTCAGAACCAGAGGTCTCCATTGCTAGGACCTCTTACAAAGGCCGCCCGTACATTCCAGGAACGCCAGCCTATACCATAACCCGCCTTCCTCAACAATTCAAGCCGAAATCGCATGATCAGTTCTGTGTTCCAGGCCGGGGTGAGGGATTGTACGTCCATGCACCCTCCCGTACCAAGCGCTCTCTGGCCTCACGCTCTTTCCGCCGCTCCTCCTCGGTGACCTGGTCATTGGCCCAGTATGCGCTGCTAGTCCGGTCGCGGAATCGCTTATGTCTCTCTTTATTAGGGAAAACCTGCTCCATGTTCAGAGGCGCGATCGGGCCGAAGATCTGCTCAGGATCAACAAGTTGCTGCTGCTCTAGCATGTTACGCAGATTAGGCGTATTAACCCAGGATGGTTGCTCAAAGTCGTTATCAGAGTCCTCATCCTCAGAGTCGGTCATGATATCTGGAAGTTTGATGTCTTCTCCGTTGGGATATTGCGTCGGTGGTTGTGCTGATTGGGACGATTCGGCAAAGGGAATCTTCCCGTGGGCAAACTGGGCATGTGCGGGAGTGACGGGCTTTGATCTGGCTTGCTGCGATGGACGTTTTGCGGGCCTATGGAGAGTTTCATCGTTCTCGGTTTGGAACGGGCGTTTTACTGGTGGTTTCGCGGGGTTGATAGGAGGTATATTGATGCGATTAGCATCCTGCACCGTCTGTAATCGCGAAACGGGACGTGCCGCAGGAAGATCAGCTCGGGGCTGAGAAGGAGGAGGTGCTTTCGGCTTTTCGGCCGCCTTGATGGGCTGCGTACGACCCAGTCGAGGGGCAGGTTTGGGGGCCATCGACGTAAGTCTAGAGGCTGCAGTGGGCCTCGAGGTGGAAGCCGCAGCAGGCTTTGAGGCGGCAGATGTGGGCTTGCTGGCGGTAGGTGGTGCCATTTTCGGTGGGGCGGTTGTAGTGGGTTTAGGAGCAGGAGGTGCTTGTCCGAATCTGTCCCGGTGAAGATTGACCTGAATCTTTTGCGGCTTGCCTTTGGGGATAGTATCCTTGCTAGGAGCTTTGACGAGTCTCTTCGGTTCGCGGAGTTTGTGCCCAGTTCCAGCAGGCAACAGACCCTTAGGCGGTGGAGGAGGCATATCGTCGGCTGAATCTTGGTCCTGCTGTCGAGTTGCAGTATTAGCCCTCACTGTACCAGGCCTAGATTGTGGAGGCTGTGACGTCGCAGCCGGGGTCTTCGCAACCACAGACAGGGCTTGTTTCGTGACGGTTTGGGATGAGATAGCCATCGGCGTTTTCGCTGCTGCCTTCGCTTTCTGATGCTGTGCAGCCGCTTTCGATTGCTCCTTTTCCCGCATCTCTCTCAGTCTCTCTTCTGCTCGCTGCTTCTGCTTGGCTTCCTTCTCGCGGAGATCCCTCTCTTTCTGACGTTCACGCTCAGAAGAGCTACGTGTCCTCCGACCATCGTCCCTAACGGGGCTACTGGAGCTCGTAGCCAGCTTGCTGGACTTGTTCGACTTAATCGATTCCTTGGAAGGTGAGCGGAGATGAGCAAAGATCGATGCCCCGCCCTTTTCGTTACGCTTCGGACTGGCAAAACTGTCATCAGAAGAACTATGCAACGGCAGTTTCGGACGTGATGCGTTCTCTGCCAAAGTATCAAGTTTGACTTGGGCACTAGTTGCGCTGGAGCCGATTATTTTCTCTTTCGCTGCTCGAAGCGCTGAGTAGAATTTAGCCTTGGAAGCACTGAGGGGCCCATCCGGATGCCTCTTGAGTGTTGGGGAGCCAGCGGGAGTGGTTGATTCCTCAACAAGAGGCAGATCAGAATTCGAAGCAGGAGCCACTTTGGGAACCGATGCTTCTTCGGGAATGCTGGCTTGCGTCTCAGCCGCATAAACCTTGGTCGACAATGGGCGAGCCATGATAGGGGCCGGGGCAGTCCTGACAGGTGCTATCCAGTCATCCTCTTCGTCCTCATCCTGGTCTTCGGCATGCTCGGAAAGGTGCGGGTAGACAGGTTGGGATACCTGCATGGGCTGAGAGACCTGAGAAGAGGATGCGATGGGGGGCTGTGGCATCGAAGGCGCTGCGATATTCTGACTGACCCTCTTGGGAGGCTCAGTCCTCTGACTGAGCAGATTGAGGCGTTCCTTGAGAGTCTTTGTAGAGGCCAAATTGTGCATCTTTGCTGATTCGGACTCCTCTTGTCGCGGCACCGCCTGTTCAACGCCCACATTCTCAGCGGACTCGACCAGCTGGGTGTGCTGGGTGGCGCCCAGGCTCCTTCCACCAGTGAATCTCCCCATATTGCTGCTCCTTATCCTGCTCTGATCTACCTGGCTAGTGCGCGACACACGATTACCCATGCTCTTCTTCGCGATCAACGGCTCACGGGCGGGGAGCGATGCGAAAGTGAGGCTGCTCTTTCTAACCAGCGGCTTCACGGGGCTTGAGCCATCAGACGGCGAGCGGACATCTTCATCTACGTCCATGTGATCTCCAATGTCATTGTGAAGCACCGTATCATCATTATGGACCATCGGGTCGGAGAGCGTGTCTGTTATAGAGTCGGGATCTATAAGAACTTTCGGTTCTGGAGCTTGTGATCGCTGGATGGCGGTATGAAGTGCAGCTTGTGTCTCCGCTCCTATGCTATATTGTTCAGATACGCGAGCTCGTGGGCGCACAGGCTGAGCTTCACGAATTGATTCGGTGTTAACGTGAGTCATCGTCTTAACAGGCTCAGGATCAGCTTGTTGATGTTGTACCGTATCAACATCCATGGCATCGACGGGCGATTCGTCGCGTAGATGTTCATTAGACGCTCTCCTACTTCCAAGTGCCTCCTTGGCTGACACGAACGACTCTCCAGTATCGCGTCTCCCGCCGGCGGACAGTCTCAGGGAGCGTCGAAATGATGCTGTGGGCTGGGTTGGCTGAGTAAATTGGCTGGTTTGCGTGGGTCCTTGGGAAAAAACATCATCAGCATCTTGGGTCGCCATCTCGGTGTCTTGGCTCGATATTTTCGGGCTATATTGTAAAGGCGTGGGCTGGTTAGGCAAGGCGTGATCCTGCGTCGTAGCAACGTGGCGCGGAGTGTCGCGGTTCTCTTTGCCCTGACCCAGTTGTGTGGCGAAGAGCGAACGGGGGATTGGTGATTTGAGTTTCGGAGTGCGTATCGGTGACGCGTTCTCCATGTCCTCCGCGATCTTGAACCTTGCTTTGGGAGCATTCCTTTGTGCAGGGCTCTTCAAACTATTCTGTGCAGGGCTGGGCAAATGCTGTGAGTTCGTCATGAAAATGTCGCTCAGAGGCTGTGCTAAGGTTAACGCGGGTTGCGAGGGTAAGAGTGAGACGGCTGGAGGTACCTGACGAACTTCGGTCGCGAGCCCTTTTCGCGCCGTCCGAGGCGTCTTTCCGCGTAGTTTACCAGGAGTCTTGAATACATCCAGGTTATTCCTGTAGTAATAGTCAGCACATCGCAGCGCAGCGGTAGCGGTGATTGCTGAGGGGGTCTTACTGTCCCTCCCGTGAGAGGATCTCGGCCATGTGCTCATTTAGCCACTCGAGTTCATTACGCACGGAGAAGCCAAAATCCTCCAGTTCTTGCGCTACCAGATCTTGTGAATGCTGTCGCTCGTCTAACACCCATTGCGCGGAGCCAATGGTAGGCGTCTTTGTCCGCGCAGCTGCCATGATGAACGTTGTGTGTCGTTGTTAAACCCGCCAAAGACGCGTCTCGGTAGGGGCTCGTAAGGCAAAGTGGTGATGAAAGAAACAAATCTCGGGCTATCTAAGCATGGCGCTGAAAGCATGCGAAGCTGTATGGATGGATGGGAGGGGTCGGGTCGCAGGTTGGTGAGTTGGAGATCGCTTGTTGTGGCTCTGGCACGAAACCCAAACAAACCAGCTCGTCCGCGGTGGCTCGTGCACTTGCCATGCATTTGACCTCACTTCGTCAACCACCATGCGTCGGCGTTTGAAGAGCTATCTACTCTACGCAATTGCTGCGGAAAACTGCCACTCGCCACTATTAAAAAGGCTACATGCTGCACATTTTTCTTTACAACGAAGATCATCTCCGATGCTTCGGTCCATCCCGCACCCGCTCAGGCTGGCTCTATCTCAACGATAGACAAGTGGAAGGGACCCACAAATGTCTGGTATGCATGGGTGGCGCGGATGATGAGAGGGCACTGTGGATCAGCCCAGATTATTTCAAATCCGCATAGGTTATTCCATCGCGGTTCAGAGACACCTGAACGAAGAATCAATAGGAGTGTCCCCGATTCACAAAATCATAAATAGTAGTAAGTTACTATGTCTGATTATAATCCAGATATCTGTGACCCAGCCACCCTAGAAGCGCACTGCTACACTCAGCCTTGATAAGAAGCGAAGTCTAAGAGACGGTATCCGTAGGTGAAGTTACTTCATGACCGATGACCTCCTCCAGCTCCTGCAGCCACCGCTTGAAGAAGTCCGCCATGCCTCGGGCAGCGCTCACCTGGTTGTCTCAATCGAGAATGTAAGTGGCAGGATAGATGTGAGAAGTGCAACGCATCTTAGAGGGCGGGTGAGTGAGCGAGTGAGTGAGTGAGTGGTGCAGGCACGGTCTAGATCCGGGCCTATCGCAGTGGAGTAAACAAACCAGAGAGGCAAGAGCGATCGCGTGCTTTCCTTCCCCGTCCGACGGCATCAAACTCTCCATCAGGCCCTCTTCTATTACAATTCCACCTTCTTCCCCTATATAAACTAGAAAGTTTTTGTTCCTTACAACAATCGACCCGGTTAGTGGAGTGGGAGAATGCCTATTAAGAATCACGCATTAGAGATCTCCCCGAAACGAGGACGCCGGTGGTTCGATTCCTGTGGCGAGAGCGTGTCTGCCTTAATATCAGGGTAAAAAAAGTCGAATGGAGGCTTTTCTATAGATGACCCCGCAAAAAAGACGGGGTGCCTATAGTTTTTGCCATTTTTTTTCGTATATTTTCTCTTACTTTTCTCATGTTTTTTTCCTATCTTTTTTCTTCATTCTCTCTCCCTAGCCTCCTGCGCTTGCACATACTCCAGCACCGGCATATGCAGGAGTCTAGTGAGTGACCCGATACGGAAGGCAGCGCATGGTTCCTGGACAAACGGGAAGCCCTGAACAACACCAAAGCACTACCTCAAAAGCGGACTGTCAAACAAGGGCATTGTTTATTTTCGAGGTACTCACGGAGTTTAATTCCTCAAAAGATTAGGCGCTGTCCATCTGTGTGCTTGACTTCAATGACATTTTAGAGCTCGGTTGAGGAAGGTGCAGTTTGATGTCTTTGAGACTGACACTATTGAAGTTGAATTGGCACGCGGGAATTTAGAGTATAAGAGATCAACATGAGTGTCGTCATGAACTATGCCCCTTCTTCCTAAAACGGATCCACGAACGTGGAGCTGCGCGCGGTGCAAGCATCCTATCCAACTGCCCAGGCGGACAACACTCCAAGACGAGGACATTCCACGTATCCATACCAGCCCCGTGCCATTAAGTGTCCCAGAAGCACTCACTATCCCTCAAAAACTCTATCCTTTATGGCCAGACTTGACGCTCCTCGAACTAGTCCGTCACAGGTCGATAAGATCGAATTCAACATGACCTGGATATTCTGATCCGTCTCCGCACTCTCATCCTCCGGCGAGCTCACAGGAAGCTCGCCCTTGGCTTCAGCCGTAACCTCCCAGGGCCTGAGATACCTCACAATTTTCTCCTCCAGGTGATGTGCCGATATATCAAAGGAGCAGCTCCTGCCCATCCTGCACCTCGGCCTGTGGCACCTATGACCATAAATGCAATCAAAGCGCCGACACAGTCCCCCGTCCGGGCACGGCGTCTTGAGCATGGTCCATTGAATAACAGCCCTCACCGCGTCGTGAAGCTTTGGCCCATGGAAAAAGTCGCACCTTTGTTCACAGAATCCGAGAATCTGAAGGTTCGGGCACACCTTTTTGATGTCTGGGACCCTGCTGTAGGCGTTCCAAGAAGACCGAGGTGGGCATGGGTACAAAGGATCGACGCGTTGATCGTGCGCATCCAATGCGATACGACTCGAGGCCGGATTCACAAGCTCCTGGAGCTTGTGGATGAAGGGACATCGCGTTCCGGTGCAGATTCCCGTCTATAGAGGGCCCAGTGTCAGACTTTCCATACACAATAGGCAGTCTGGCAACTCCCTTAGACAGAAACCTACCATTTCGTACTGTGTACAGATCCTATCCTTCCATCTTCCACTAACAGGTTCCATAGAAGCTCGACACTGATGGATCGGACTTCCGCCGTTCAGCTTCGTGCCGTCAGACATGATTTTTCGTCCCTTGCGAGACTCTGATTCAGAATCTGGATCTTGGCCGTGGACAGTTCTGCGGATGGCGAGGGCGGACATGAGAGAGGTATATCTCGCTCCATTGAGCCTGATGGCGTCGATGTATTTCTGCTGCGCCTTCTGTGATGAGGGTACGTTAGATTGACATCTTGATACACGAATACAGGCTCGAGATGTCCAACCTGCTTTGACTCCCTGGGTAGAGTACGTACCTCGAATTCTGCTTTTGCCTCCTCGAACTCTCTTGCCGCCTTGTCAGAATCTTGCTGCAGCCTCTGAACCTGTCGCTCAAGCTCCGCGCCCGTGAGCTGGTGATGATGCCCGTTCATGCTGTAAACAGATTGTGTACGTATATGTTGGAGAGGTATGGGGAAGGAAACCAGAATGGAAGAGGCGAAGGAACTCGCAACCGAAGAAATTATATACTGTACCGTGCCTGTGACGCGCCGCAGGACTGTTTACGCGTACGCGCCTAGAGTTTTCAATCTTTCACCGGCCTAAGGGTACCGCACGGTCCAAACACAGGGGCAGACAAGCCGCATGCCTTCGAGAGCCTTCGGCTAGTCTACTGCGCAATCATCAAAGTGTAATCTGCAGTGCCCTCGGACATAGTCTAGCCGAATGGTTCGGCTCCCTCCTGCGGCGTAAATTTATAGACGGCCAGTTGATTGCTTGAAGGCGTTTCCACATGCTCACAGGACATGCCCATAAGGAACACATCTGCACGTGAGCCCCAGTTGATCAAAATAATACTCTTGCCGCAGAAGAACAGCTACCTTTCAGGTTCCTTATACTGCAGCACAGTGGCTCCGCATTACTTTGATGTTACCTGTAAAAAAGAAGTCGGGCCGGGAGGTTGGAAAGCATAGATAAATTGTCCATATCGTCGTTATATCCAACACAAAAATAATTGCAACGAAGACTTATAGGAGGGAGCATAATTCCTGTGTCACGTAGGTCTGAGTGCACAACCGCTCGGCCGCTTCAGCACTGCCTATTCTTCCCACAACCAAATTATATGCCAAAAAGAAGAAGCGGGGGTTTGGATACAGTTCCTCGCTATTTTTTTCTCAGTGTCCAGAAGCGTGTAACATTTGGCACCTGCACGAGGAGTGAGATTTGCAGGTCACCGGCATTGGGAACCAGGGTCCTTACACGACCACAGATCATGTCAAGTACGGTGACGACCGTAAATATTGAGGTTCGTCTAATGTGGACTGAGTACGGGCATGGCCGCAATCTGTTCGATGATGGGCCGCATTATTTCAGGAGGTGACAAGATTGATAACACTGGAAGATTCCGAGGCTTGCCACATATTGTGTTTTGACGAAACTTTGTAGCTGAGAGTGGGAAATGGTGACTTGTCACTTCATCCTGTCACATAGTTCAAATTTGACATATCCCCTAGAATACATCCTTTAAAGAGGTTCCATACATAGTTACAAAATGCTGAACCAGGATTAGCATCTGGAATGCGTCGCTCGATATATAGGGAGAACATGAGAAGCAGGAAGTTCATATATTTTCAAGATAGTCACACTATCATTCCGGCAATCGGCAGAATATTCAATTCCTCCCCGTCTCCCTGTCAGATGCCGCTGTCTTCTCTGCTGTTTCGATCTCCAAAAGGTTTCATAGCTACCGCATCACATACAGCTGACCACCTTCGTACACAACCTGAAGATCACTATTCATATCCCGTCTTGCCATTGGGTGTATCGAGATTACATGTCGATGAGGTTGATTTCGCCGGACTGCGTTGCGTCTCGTGTCTCCCCCTCGTCGCTCTCACTGCTGCTGTCCGTTGTCTCCGCTGGTAACGTGCCAAAGGGACCCGAGGGGATATTATCCTTCGCTGGGACCCATCGCACAACCCTGGTATCAACTCCATGACTGAGCACACAGGTCGCTCTAGTGCAAGGATTGAAGTGACAGTGGTGTCCGTTCAAGCAGTCGAGTCGCCGACACGCGCCTCCATTATCGCACACGGTGTTCCAGAGCCGATATTTCATGCACGATTTCATTGTGTCGCTGATAGGCGGTCCGTGAGCATATCTGCAGACCTCCCCGTTATCGCATTCTCCACGAATGTGGAAGTCCACGCAGGGTTGACCTGACTGGCGATATGTGTTATACTCCTTCCAGAGCTTCCAGTGGGGCAGTCGCATCATCATGTCGATGCGATGGTCCTGCGCGTTTAACGGGATGAAGCCTGGTGGCCCGGTCGTTGGGAGGGTGTGGTAGAATGTGCAGTTGTGTTTGGTGCATTTACCAGTCTGTTAGAGTTGTCAGTCTGTGTTCGAATGGCCGTGGAGCCTGAGGACTTGCGGTTTTGTACTCCCAGCAGGTCTCCTTGTGATACTCTGGAGCTCGGCTATTGGAGCTGCTGTCGGCTCTGCCGGGTCTTGAGGAAGTGGCGCCAATCTCGTCGGATAGGACCGCCTTGGGTTGGGAGTGCATGAGTTGGTTAAGAGCGTCTATGAGCGAGACACGGCGCGCCGCATATACCATGGTCATGTGCCTGTACTTTTGGATCGCGGCCTAAGTGTGGTTAGCTAGTCTTGCCTGGTGAAGATTCTACTTTGGCTTCTCTGTATGTACCTGGAAATCCCTCAAGTTGTTGTCGTCATCCTGTTGAAGTTCTCGGAGCTGCTCCCTCAGCTCCGCGAGTCGACTCTCGAATTCTTCGCTCATGTTGATAGTGCGCGCCTGCGTTTCGGCCGGGCGACAGAGCAAGCTTTAAGAGTTTTGAGGTCTGCAGTGGCATGAAATGGATCAAGTGAGTGGGATGTTCGGCTGCTGGGAAATTGCAAGTGCGCGGTAAACGGAGCGTGGCTCACCGCATTGAGGGCAAGCTCACCACAGGAAGTCTAGGCGGGAAGATCAGGTTATTGATTTGCCTATCAAAATGTTTAGGAGGCATTACACCATATCATGAACCAGGATCCAGAACCCAATAGAGCCGTCCCATACGGTTCTGTCAGTCGCCACGTTCTATACCGCCTTCACGCCAACGCCTGATAAGGAGACACTTCGAAATGCAGCGTTTTAGCGACGACCCCAAACGCTATCTTCAACGCGTTTAAGGCCGAGACTACCAGCCTTCCTCCGTTTACGATCTGTGCTCTCGGATCTCTCCAGCATACTCATAGCACTCTTAACCGGGCTATCAAGCACACGCATTCGGGCAAAGAGCGCATCATCGCTTCCATCGTCGACATGGCGATTGTCGTATTCAGCGTCACGCTTGAACAGCGCAAGCATATCCTTCATGCTCAACTTGCCCATTGCCTTGCCGCCTTCCAAAGCCGCTGCCGCAAGCTTGCGCTTGGCTTCCTGCAGCTCGAGGATGCGTTCTTCGACGGAGTCATGAATAGACAGGCGGTATACAGTCACATCAACAGTTTGATTCAAACGATGCACACGATCAATCGCTTGCTCCTCCACGAACTGCAAACGCGTTAGCGGATTCGTGGACAAGAAACACTGGGATGACTTACAGGATTCCAGAACGGTTCCATGATGACAACACGGCTAGCTGCCGTCAAATTGAGACCCAAACTTCCGCACTTTAAGCTGCAGAGCAGCACCCTTGTACGCTTGTCGTTACGAAGCTTGTGGAGACTGGCTTCGCGAAGATCATTGCGCATGCTGCCGTCATAGCGGGTGTAGTTGTACCGACCCCGGCGCAAGAACGGCTCAATGAGGTCAAGCATCGAGGTGAATTGGGAGAAGACGATGACTTTGTGCTCCGGAGTCTCTTTCTCCAGTATCGCAAGAAGCTGCCGGATCTTGGTAGATGGCGTAAGTTCAGACTCATTATACTCAACTTCAGATTCTTCCTCGGTCTCCGACTCCCCTAGCTCTGTGCCAGAACTCTCATCGTCCGATGCCTCGCTTTGGGATTCATCATCGGATTTGAGGTCGATGACCTTCTTCTTCGTTTCCTTTTTCCGCACAACGGGGCCTTCATTTTCACTGTGCGTGTCGTGAACGATGAACGAGTCCAGCTCAGCCTTCGACGCAGAGTCTTCGGTAGCAAATGAGTCTGAATCGACTGAACCCAATGTATCGCCGCCTCCCTCAGCGTCCTCATCGTCGGTCCCACCAGCCTTTCCAAGATCGGGCACATCACGCTGGTCTTCAGGGACTATCCATTCGCCTTCCTCTCCGTCTTCGTCGTCGCTGTCCACGATTACTCGGCGCTGCCGTGATGACTTGGAAGGAGCAAATTTCTTCTCTTCGTCCTCAGCTTGCTTGTGAGATCTTCGGTGCTTGTGTTTATCTTTTCGATGCTTTTTGTGTCTTCGCGGCTTCTTCTGTGATAGGTTAAGATCGTTCTCACACTCAAGGCACCGAATTCCGTCTGTAGAAGTAGTGTCCTTTGTCAGCATCTTCTGACAGATATCACAGCGCTTAGTTGCAACGCTCAGTCCACCAAGTAAATCAGCGAGGTCATCTGCATCGGTGTCTTTGGACTTGCGTGGTGTTTGGGTACCGCTAAGAGAGCTAGATTTGGAACCGGTAGTCAATGCATCTTTGTCATCCTTCACATTGCTCTTTGTCAGGTTGGGATGGTTGCAAGCCTGTCGCAGCCGAAGCAACAACACCAAGGCTCCGATGTAATCAGTCTTTTCGCCGCCCATCATCTCCGCCAAACGGGATTCTGCACGGTTCGCTAACCTGTTATAGAAGAGCCGTTCTTGAGCGGTGAAGTTGCCTATGACATTCTCGACGTTGCGAGCGACAATCCGGAAGCCACCCTTGTCCTCGGTTTCTTTGTCTTTGCCTCCGAAGTTGAGGGCACCGTCTTTTTTGAGGACGTCTTTAGTGCGTCGCTTCATGAAAGCCTTGAGGAATATCTGAAGGCGCCGCATCGCGAGATTCCCTCGACCGTTTTTCATGGGACCAGATATAGAATCCTTCCAACTGGAAAGGTCACAGTATGGTTTGATCTGCAGAAACTTGATCAAACTTTGAAGCTCATCAAGGTTATTCTGCATGGGTGTTCCGGTGAGACACCAACGATAATGGGCGCGGATATCGTAGCAGGCCTTCGTCATTTTTGCATTGCGATTTTTGATGGTATGAGCTTCATCGAGAATGACTCTGTACCAGTGAACGCCAAAACAGCCCTTCTTAAGTCCGTCAGGTCCCTCACCGCAGCTAGCATGTTCTGACGAGAGAACTTGATATGTGGTAATCACAACATCATAGCTTTTGAGCTTCTCGATGGATTTCGTTCGATTGGGCCCATGATGCACGAGTACTTTCAAACTGTGCGACTTCAGAACCTTGTCGTTGATCTCAGATTCCCACTGTTTGATGAGAGCCAAAGGGGCTACGATGAGCGTCCCTTTTCGAACGGTAGGCAGGATTTTGTTCTTCTTGTTCTCAAGTTCGACGTCTTTTTCTGGTCGTGGATTGGAGAGAATGAGAGCAATAGACTGTATCGTCTTGCCGAGACCCATGTCATCCGCAAGTATACCCCCTTTAGGTGGCATCTTCTTCATATGCGCCCCAGTCTCTTTCTCGATCATCCACGCAACCCCATCCACTTGATGCGGTAGTAACCTGACTTTCAATCCTTCAACAGTTCCGTCGTCCTCGGCATCCTCATCTTCACCTTCATCTTCGTCGGATGCCTTCCCCGCATCGTCGACTTTCAAAGATGCTAGTTTATCCGCTATGGATGCCGCATCCTTCTCAGCCTGTTGCTGTTTCTTGTGTTTTCGGCCGCGGGTCCGTGGTATCCTCTCATCATCTCCTTCGAAGGCACCTTCTAAAAGTGCTTTGATATTTTCCTGAGCCTTTGCAGAATCCACATACGCAAGCGGATCCGGAGCACCAAATTGTTGTCCTTCGGCTCGAATGGCCGCGTCCGGATCAAAGTTGTCCTCATCATCCTCCATTTCGCGGCGCTTCAGCAAAGGATCTGCGATTATAACCGTCTGCCGGGACCCGTGAGGGTTGAGTGGAATAGAACCAGGATTCAGAGGCTTGAATCCGTCCGAGTGCCCCATCGACGAATATAGTGGACGGGGTGCGGGGGGTATGGAGGACAGTTTAGCCTCTCTAGGCCTCGGTAACGGGACGCCATGGTATGGTTTTCGTTGGAACTGGGAAGCGGGTATCTCGAGAAGATCAGATTCTGTTGATGACGCCGTCCCAGGGCGCGGCCCGATAGAAGAGAAATCAGGCTTGAACGCATGGGGAACGCTTCTATGCTGCCCCTGCCCCGCCAAACCATGACTATTAACATTCAAGTGAGACGGTGGCCTTCTAAGCTCATCTGTGGGTGCCCGGTACTGCTCTTGCCGCGACTGAGCCTGTCCATTTAAGCCAAACGGGGGAGGCGGTGGCTTTCGTAATTCATTTGTAGGCACACGGTGATGCTCTGGGCGTGACTGGCCTGCCTTTGGCACGTTGAACAGGTGAGAATATTGATCGTTCTGTGCATCCTTCTTCAGCGGGTTCCGCAAGGGACTCGCCTTGCCGAACTCTGGATTGGTGTTTGCCCGCTCTTGAGGGAGCTTGGATGGCACGGCGGTGGTACGTTGGGGCAGAGGCGCCGCTTCCCTCTCCCTGACCATATTTCTTCTGTTCGCCCGGTCGATGTTGTGGTATATCGGAGGGACGGATTGAGGGGAGGGCCTGAATACGCCAGGGCTCTCTTCGAAAAGCGAGTCGGGGTTGCCTAGATCGTCGATAGAGATATCCTGACCGGAATAATCAAGTCGACCGTTAATTGGGGAAAGTTTAGACTGAGTTGGTGAGAGTTGCGTCTTCACGGTCCGATCGGATGCACCAAACGACGGCTTCTGCGGCGAGGAGAATGTGTCAATCCCACGTGGTGGACCGCGATGTTTTCTCGGACTGCTGCTCATGCACTACAAGCTGAATAAGTCGCCATACGCGGGTGAGCAGAGTTGTTTTACTTACGGGCTCATATCGTCCTTTGGTGGAGGTGGGCGCTTGATGTTTGTTGGGCGGCACTGAAGGCATCAGTCTGGGCGCTCGTCACGCCGGCAACGACTTCCTCTGAAAGCGGATTCCTTGCTCGCGCGTTCTCACGTGCCAGCCCGTTCACGCGTCGCACAACATCGATCCACCTGCACTTGTCAGGAAGCTTCAATATTTGTCCACTGCGAGATCCCGAAAAGAAGTTGATTGAGAGTATATTGTGAAGCTCTAGGATACACAAGGAAACAAAACAAAGTAGTAAGGCCCCAGTGCAGTCGTATGTTAATATTCCCTCACTCCTCTTTCTCTAAACATTCCAGCTTGATTCAATCATGCCCGAGCCTTCTCTTTCTCCAAGCCACGCATACCGATCGTCGCCATTGCTATGAATGCAATTGCACCACCCCCGATAATCAACGCTGGCGGTTTCGGAAGCGTCCCGTTAGCCACTCCATATGCCACGGCAGCAACATCGACAAGGTCACACCCAATACCCGCCCAGAGGGTACGCTTGATCTCCCTCCTGCCACCGTCTGGACTGTTCTTGTCTTCAGCCGTGAGAAGTAGCTCGCCGAGAGCCAGGTCGCGGATGCCGAAGAGTCGGGGCATGAACGCATATGCCGCAGGAATCGGGAATTGCGAAAGGGCAAAGCTGAAGCGAGGTGCTATTGTGAACGCCGCTCCGACGGCAATTCGAACAACGGACAAGACTTTGATGGCCGTGGACGCGGGAGGGGATAATGGCTCGACAGGCTCCTTCAGAGATTTTGGTGGGAGGAGCGGCTCGGATTGACGAAGCGAAGATGCGTGTGAAGAAGACATTTTAAGGCGATATACGACAAGAGTACGGAGTGGAAATGCGTGTGAGTTTGGCTGTTGGAGTTGCAGTGTTGATGATGTTTGCTGATGAGTTCTCCAAGGCAGTGTGGACAGTCACCTTTTATCTTCAAGAAATTAACATAAGGAGGACTGGCATAACATCCTCAACAGCTAATCCACTTTTTCCAAACTGGAATGACGGAGAGCACCTTCGTTATCCCGCGGGAACAAGCTTGACACTGCGCAACTGGATGAAGGCAACCGTTTCCGCCAAGAGCCTTACGCAACTTTCAACGGACTCATCATCTGCAACGGGGGCCTAACCAAGTTGAAGATGGACGAGCCGAAGCGAATTGGTTCCTGAATTCTGTGACGCAAAGAGGGTTCGATTCTTCCGATTTCTTTCGATTCTCGTATATCGTATTGGACGGCGCTAAGCCGAATCTGGTCTAGCTCACGTCTCGAGCATAACGTTATTGTCCTGGGAAGGGCGGCTGACAACCCACTTCATATGTATAAGACCGCCCACTCGCACTCGCACTATCTCAAAACTGTCATTATACCTTAACGTGAAGCTCGTGTATCACGCGATGCCTGCCGACAGACGGACGAAGACAGCGACACCAGAAGAGGTACCTCGTCTTGGAGATCCAGATCGAAAGAGGGTGTTGAACGTCCTAGCCCAAAGAAGATATCGTACTTCTCCCTCACTCCCTCTAAAGGATAGAATGGGTCGCTGAGCTGTGTAACAGGCCAGAGACGGAAAGAAAAGCTAGCTGAACTGGAGGCACGAGCGAGGACTTCATCCTTGACAGACATATCTCCACAACCCTCGGGTGGAGGAATCCAACTGGGGCCAGAGTGCCTATCAAGTTCGTCTTCAGATCAAGGCCGATCCTCAAGCTCACCGTCGGATTACGCGACGGAAAGCAGTCATGAAAATGACGTGGAGGAGATCGTACCTGGCGTGTCTTTGCCTTCCACTAGCTTCGAGGATGTGAACTTCAACCCGGACCCTATTGACCTTGGCTTGTTCACAGACTTTGGTGAGTCATTGGCCTTGCGTGCTAAACTTTTCTCATGTCATGCATAACACCGCCGACCCTGCACCTTCCTGTACTTCTCATTCTGCCACTGAATTGCCAGTCGCTCCATTCTTCGAACACGTAGCTTCGTCCTATCACTGACCTGTCTCAGGCTTTGAAACCCTCGATCAACCCAATGGCACAGCACCAGAGTCACTAATGCAACCTATTTCCTACAGCCAGCCTGCGACATTCAGCTTTCCCCTAGCGGCAGACGGGGCCCAGCTCGACATACCCCTGCTACCCGCCCTGCGTGCGTTTAGCCTCATCATCTCAGCTCTCGACATAGGAGCGAACATCTGGAACCCATTCTACCTCCATGTCCTGCCCCCGACACCTAACCCTTCTCTGCCTCCAAACTTACACCCAACCCCTGCTCAGATCACCATACCACATCACCCCATGCTGGATACGCTCCCTTGGCCTACAGTGCGCGAGAAGTTAATCTGCATGTTAGCCCTGCCTTCACCATGTCGGCCACCTGTTGCCCAGGAGGCCGAAGGGGAGGGCCAAGGGACCGCCATTGTACGTATAATGCAAGACCTCGACGATTTCCGGGATGGAATTCGAAACCATGGTAATACGTCTACCTGGGGTAATGGCAATGAATTGGTCGAAGAGGCGTGGGAGATAGGTGAAGTATTTTACCGGCACTGGTGGTGGTGCCTTGATCAGAAGATCATTGAAAGGTCGAATCAGAAGAGGAGGGAAAGAGGATTGGGGCGGTTGCAGATAAAAGCTTGACCTAAACCGCTGTGGATACTCAAACATGCGATTACCAACAAACTAGTTTTTGCCACGTTCACCTCAGCATTGACTTTGTAGCCTCTGGCTATCAAGCTGCTTGTACGTCTTAGACTTTCTCAATGTTGTCTCTTCTAAACCTCGAGCCTTATGAACATACCCTTCCTCTCAACCCAACCTGTCTCTGCACAACGAAATCGCCACATCCACCGTCCCTCCATCAATGAAATCGTTCATGAGCACAACCAACCCCTCCTCCCTCACGAGATTCTTCCCCGTCTCCCCACTTAACAAGGGCAGAATCTTCGCATCGCAAATCCCCTTCGTCGCCAACAGAGGGCTAGTCGAGACGTCCGAATCCATAACGCTAGCAACGATGACATCCCTAATGTTCGTCGAGGTAGCCTGACACTGCAGCAATACAATCGGGTGCCCCTTGGGTGGATCCCTCGACATCTCCGTCAGCTTCGCCACAATGGTATCGCCGTTCAGCGTCGCGCTGGCGGCATCATCGTAGTTGGAGACCTGGTTGACGTCGCGCGTGATGATGAGCCTCTTCCTTTCGTTCCTCAGATCCTGGATACTCATCCTCTGCATATCATCCAGATTCCCGACTTGTAGGTCCGAATCCCGGAGGACCTCGTCCAGCACGGCCCTCATCTCCTCATCCGTTCCCCTCGGACAATCCCCCGGCACGCCGTCCCATCGATTCTGTACCACGACGATCTCGTCCCTTCGCTCTTTCAGGAACCCCACCACCCCGGTCAGAAACTCCTTATACAGCATCCCCGGAATCGCCCCGTGCTGGAAGTACAAGGTATCCTCCAACGGACTGACCCTCTGCATCAAACGATGACACTTGGCCGGGCGAAACTCAAAGTATCTAGCCCCAATCTTGAGCATAGTATCGAGGGTATCCTTCTGCGTGATGGCGAGAGCGCGCACAATGTCTGGGGCGATGTGCCCGACCGCCGTATCAGCGACTTTATTCAACACCGCGAGGGCGCCTGGGAGGCTTTGGCCCATGATCTCTTTGATGGTGCCCGTTCCGGCTCTCTGGATTATGGCGAGCGAGGTCTGCATGCTGTTCATGCCGACGTCGTGAGGACAGGGGAGGACGAGTCTGTGGAAAGGCTTGTCGGCTTGGGGGCTCCCCGGAGGCGCTAGTTCCCTCATCCAGTCCTGGTTATTGCGAGTTACCGTCACGTAGCACTGGTGCTGTCTCGGGAGTCCTGCCTGTCCCGGCCCAGCGTCGTAGAAGCCGTACGTGATGACCAGGTCCTCGACGAAGATGCTGGGCGTCTGGTCCATGTTATTCATGGTGCCGTCTCCAAGAGCGCCAGTGAGGCAGTTGATGTCGATCCACTGCTCGGTGAGGTCTTGACCATTGCGTCGGACTTTGAAGGAGAAGCGGCCTGTGAGTTTGAAGGGTCCGAGGTTCTTGGCATCGACTTCTAGGTGGTCGATGGTGAAGCGTTTTTGGTCGCGTTGGGTGACGGATTGCTTCGGGACGGAGAATTCGATCTCGACATTTGGCGCCGCGATGTAGGCGTAACACTTTACACCTTTAGACGGCATGGTGGGCTATGATACGATCTCCGGTAGTCCGACTTGATGATTCGGGGCTTCAGTGAACGTAGTGGTTGACGGGTTATAAACAGGTCGACTTAAGAACAATCATGAAAAAAGACGATTGGGTCGAAAAATATAAAGATCGTAGGTAAAGAGGGACGTCCGTTTTGAATCACGAAGATAGGAATCGGTATAGCTACGTCTGGCGGCTCGGAATATGACAGGATGCGACCGCGTAGAGCGACTGTGAAGTTGGAACTCCGTACATGGAGTACGTGGGTTTATATCACTTCCCAGCCTCTCTGCCATGGCACTAAAAGAGCGAAATCAGACTTCGGCTGCTGGGACTGGGTCAGGTTTGCTCAGCTGGAAACGTTCCTGGGTGGCTGGTGTTGGTGTTTCCAAGGAACTCCCCACTTCGCGCCCGCCACGTTAGCCAGCTCGCTAATGGATGACGGCGAGAGGGACAACTGTTGATCCCCGGTCTATCTCCATGAGGTATCCACCGTTAGTGGAGTTAATGCGGATACTGTAGATGTGCAAAGGAAGAGGGGGGCAAAGAGCCCCGGCGTTTGAAGAAGGTAGTCATTTCTCATTAATCATACAGATACCATTATTGAATGCTCTTTGGAGAATGTCGGATAATTACGTGTCGGTACTCTTCATCATCTGCATGTGGGCGGCTGACATGCGTGCCTGTATGGCTGCCGTGAGGTGTTGTGTCGCGGTCTGGTCAGAGATATACTTGGAATTTCAGCAGCGCGACTTCTCAGTCAGCGTTCTCCGTTTCCTTCTCTCCATTCAACGTCACGCTTTTCCCACTCTTCATGCTCTTGATGCTCTTCAGGCTCTTTCTACTCGTTGTCCGCCTCAACTTTGCTTTGAATTTCCGCCACTTCTCGTTCAGGGATTTTGTGTTATCAGCATCTTTCATCTCCAATGCACCCCCGTCACTGTCGATACTACCTCTGTAGCTCTGCGCTTCAGCGTCCGCCGCAGTGTGCTTCTCTTCCTTCTTCCCCCTCCCGCTCCTGAGCACATATTCCAGAGTCTCCCAGGCGGCCATATTTTTGACTGGCCCATCTGGAGGGTTGCTCTGGCTTTGCGGGCTCTTCCAAGGGCAGTGCTCGCGATGGGATTCTAGGAGATCGAGACGAAGAGATTCGACGGGGACATCGAGCCTGGAACTCGAAGCTTTAAGCTTCTCATCCTTGTACAGCCACAGGCCAACGCGTTGGAAGCAGTGGTTGCAGGTAGCCAGTGCAATGTTGGATTCGGACATGCCTGACCACCCGAAGAGTGCAAATACGAATGCTTTCTGTTCTGCTGCTGAAGAAGGAGGGAAGTTCTCCAGTGGCGAGGAGTCTGGTAGAGTAAAGAAGGTTTGGTTGATGTCCTTGAGAATTTCTTCTATTGACGGACCCGGGTATGTAAAGTTCTCTGGGAGAGGTAGCTCGTCCGCGATGGCTAATGATGAACGATACCGCTCAAGGAGTTCTGCCGAGGTCTTAACCCGGTTAGGGATCGGTATATGGTATATATCATCTGGTGGACTGTTAGCACGAATCACCCTGCCGTCGCAGGACCCATATGCACTCACCCATGCAGCCACGCTTCCTCCAAAGGCAGTCCTCGTAGTGCCCTTCCACGATGAGCTCGCCAAACTTCTGGATAAGTCCTTCGTCCACATCATCTATCATGTCCTCCGTCATGTCGATCTCCTTTCCATCATGGTCCTTCCTCCTTGGATACAGCTTCACCACCACCCTCTGCTCGCAGCCACCCTTGCAAGCCACTGTGTTCCAGGTATCGCACACCCATCCTCGCTTCGCCCATTGCACCTCGTTTATCGCCTCCGGCTTGTTTGTCCACTTCTTCACGTCCGCGAACGTTTTCAATCTTCCCAGGAATTGCTCTTGGCTATGTGGTTGGAAGTTCGGCTCCTTTCTTGGCGTCGAGAGCTTCACCGGACCAGAGCTCTGGTTGACGGTGCGAATACCGGTACCAGCCTGCCTATCACCAGACTTACGCGGCGTGAAGAGTTTCTCCTGTATGGCACGTATGCGGTCGCTGCCTGAGACGGTACGCGTCCCTCCTGCAAGATCGGTGACGCGCGAACGCTTTTGCGGCGGTTCGGGGAGCGTTCGTTCCACTATGGATGTCGCAGAGGCATTGGACTCCTGAAGAGTACTGGCAAGGGAGGTGGAGGATGTGCTCGCGGCGAGGTTATCGAGGAGTTTGTGGAACTTCCGTTTCGTCGTCGCAAGAGCGGGTTGGGGCGGCGACTCTGGAGAAGCCATTCTGGAGGATATTTTCGGGTTGTAGTCCTAGCGAGGGTGAAGTGGAGGAGTTGTGGTCTTTGTGCGACGGGACTGGGAAGCTTTGTCTACTGCGAGGGCATCAATCCGGAGTAATCGCGAAGGGGATTGCTGGGTGCGAGACGGTGGTGCTGCAAAGTAGAACAAAGGCAAGAAGCTATAAGCCCAGTCTTTCCTTGCTACAGCACCAACCTGGTGTAAAGTTGCGCCATAAAGCTGGTGATGTGTCTCACTCGTGGGTTTCTCAGTTGCTCGAGGTCAAACAACCCTCGGTGGCCCGTGCGCCGCGTCCAACTTCCGCGCTTAAACCGCAACCGCAACCGCGCGCTTGTACCTAGTGTGCAAGGATGCATGACGTGCTAGCAGATTTGCTCGAACCTTGGAAACTCCTCCCACTCAATTGAATGGCACTTTTCTTTTTCCGACCACATATAATCCTCTTCTCTGTCGTCATTCTGGCTATTAGTTTCTTCCTCCCTCCGTCTCTGCTATCCCGGAGCCTGTCCCGTCTTTCGCAGTTGAAGCGACAACTACACCCCGCCCCCGCAGTCCTCTTCCACGCGCGAAACCTCAGTACAGCAAATAGAACATTCGGCACAATGACATACGAGAAAGAGCTAGAGATTGCCCTGCTGGCTGTTCAACGAGCTACGATTCTTACCAAAGCCGTATATTCGTCGCATGCGAAAGGGACGCTCTCCAAATCCGATACATCGCCCGTCACAATTGGTGACTTCGGCGCGCAAGCACTAATCATATCTTCGATAAAACACGCTTTCCCAGAGGATGAGATCGTGGGCGAGGAAGATGCCGACGATCTGCGCAAGAATAGCAGTCTGAGAGATCAGATCTGGGAGCTTGTTCAGGCGGCGAAGCTGGAAGACGCTGAGGCAGAGGAGAAGATTGGAGGACCTATCAAGAGCGTGGATGCGATGCTGGATGCAATTGATTCTGGAAATAGCCAAGGGGGAAGAATTGGCAGGATATGGGCTTTGGACCCGATCGATGGGACTAAGGGTTTCCTCCGCGGTGGACAGTATGCTGTCTGCCTTGGTCTACTCGTCGACGGCGTTCCTACGGTTGGTGCTATTGGATGCCCGAATCTCCCGGTCGACGACAATGCACCATTGGATCCGTCAATTGGAGCGGATGCAGACGACAAGGAGGGTAAGGGCGTGCTCTTCGGCGCAGTCAAGGGCCAGGGAGCCACCAGTCGCCCCCTAAGCAAAGGGGCGCTTCAAGAGGGAAAGAAGATATACATGAAACCTCTCGATGACACAAAACAGGCTACTTTCTGCGAAAGCGTGGAGTCAGGCCATTCCAGTCACGGCGATAATGCCGCCATCGCCGCCAAATTGGGCATCACGAAACCGAGCGTGCGGATGGACTCTCAGGCGAAGTACTGCTCTATTGCGAGAGGTGCTGGTGATCTGTATCTGCGCCTGCCTGTCAGCAAGACGTACGAAGAGAAAATCTGGGATCATGCCGCTGGTGCGGTAATTGTGCAAGAGGCCGGCGGCGAGCTCGCGGATTCGGAAGGGAAGCCTCTGGACTTCGGGTTGGGGAGGACTTTGAAGGGAAATAAGGGCGTCATAGCTGCTCCAAAAGGGGTGTTTCCCGAGGTTATCAAAGCCGTCAAGGAGGTGTTGGCTGCGAAACTGTAAGAGAGGATCAAGAGGATCTGACGGCAAAGCATTTCAGGCATCATAGCATCGTGCGTGTACATCGACTCACAATGATCGCAATCACAAAAAAGGAATGACCCAGTTGCTCAAACATCTTTGATCATTCCGACCATGGGTATGCCATGTTGCCACCGCTCTTCTATGCGAGTATAATACAGTATCCCAATTAGTACAATCCGAGCCCTCCAATTCCACCAATCACTGACATCCTTTACTTGATCTTCTTGTTCTTCAGCTTGATCGTCTCGCCGTTTACGAAGATACCCTTGCCCTTATACGGCTCCGGAACCCTCCACTTCCTGATCTTAGCGGCAAACTGCATGACGACTTCCTTCTCCGGCCCTTCCAGCAGCAACCGAGTCGGCTGGGGCGTGCTGGCCTTTACACCCTTCGGAATGCCCAGCTCAACGGGATGAGAGTATCCGACCTTCAGGTTTACAAACTGCTGGCCGGGGTATTCTGGCTCGACAGTTGTAGCGGTAGGCTCGACGGACGCACGGTATCCGACACCGTTGAGGCGGAGAATGGCGGAGTGGCCTTCGCTCACACCGAGAATGTGGTTTTGGAGATAGGCACGGGTTGTGCCTTTGACACGTCAGTCATTGCTCTCTCACCAGGTAATAGAGCTCCCTTACCCCACATTGCTCTCTGCTTGGCATCTGTCGAGTCCTGCACCGACAATGTCGGTCCCGGTAGCTTCGGATCCTGGTTGATAATGACATATGGGGGAATCTCCATAGAGAGCTCGCCCAATGGGCCCTTGATGCGCACCGTCGGCGAGGATTTTGATCTTGAGCCTTTCGCGCCACGCCCAGACGGTGGGATCACTGTGAAGCTAACTTCTGGGGGGATCGAGAGCGGTGCGGACCCAATCTTGGACAGACATGACGACGTTGTTTTGAACGTTCGCGTTGGTGTCGGGGCCTGGAAAGCAGGGAGCAGAAAAGTCGGGATGGATTCGGAGGGGCGAATTGATATGGACGTTAGGCGTTGCGCGCACCGACGTTGTGCTGGGCCGAACATTGCTGTCTTGATAGCATCAGAACTCGCCGTGAAGATTTCGGGAGAGGTTGCGGCGCGTTCAGCCCTACCGATTATGTAAGATACATGGACCAATCAGAACGGCTTTTACCATGCGCCTTCCCCATCTTCAGATCCATACCATCGCTCCTTCTCAATTGGCTATCATCCCGAAAAAGATGAGAGACCGTGTTTACATCACCAAGTCACCGCCGTCTGCCTGGTTCCATCCATTCGGCGGTGGAGCAGCAGCTGGGATCAACTCAGCGTTCTCTCTCTCTCAGTCGTCAACGCGGCATACTTTCACTTTGCGGCGACTACCTCAACACCGCCTGATATTCCGGATAGCAGAGCGGAATAGTAAATGATATAGCCAAACAACGACCCTCATCATAGCTTCGGCTTTCTCACTTTCTCTTCCCCATATTCGTCGTACCTGCACGGATCCCTTTATAGCTTTCTCACTTTATCAATCCATTCGTCTCTATCTCCATTCTTCACTATGGTCCTCTCGAACACGAGAAGACGCGCCCGCGTATGGCTATTGATACTCACTTTGTACGGCAGCCCACTGCGAGCGACGCAGACGCCGCTTCACTCTCCGCTGGCAAGCGAAGGTCCGTTCTCTAACAGTTTATGTACGATCAATTGCAACTGACAACTTGCCCCAGACTGGGAAGTGAAAAAAGATTTGGCATCGATACTCAAAGATCCCCCAATCCAGCAGCATGAACGGCTTTCTGAGGCTCTTCAGATCATACACCCAATACAATCCGGGCCAAGATGCCATTACCAAGCAGCACTCAACTTACTTAACGATTGCAAATTTCTCGAAAGTGCCTCTCCTGATGTGAAAGTGGATTCCGAGGCTACATTGCAACAGCTCGAGACGATATATGCAGCTCGACTCGCCGTCTGTGAGCTGATGAGTGCCAACGTACCTATCCCGCCGGACTGCAAAGTGGTCACGCCATCTCCAGAGGCGTGTATCAAGAAACGCAGCGGATATACCTCTTGGTTTTCACAGGCAGAGAGACCGAATGGTGACCGGCTATGCTATCCTGGGTCACCTCCACCCAAGGAGTTTCAACGGTGCATGAAGGCGTTGTTCTCCCAGAATCAGTCATGGATGTCCTACAGTAATGCTAGGCAGAATGCAGTGGTTATGTGCCATGCCAGCAGAGATGTCATTGAAAAGGGTACGTGACTCTATCTTTCTGGCGCGTTGCTACTAACACCCGGACAGAGAAGAACCTTTCGTTCTACAAGAACCTGGGAGAGGCTGTGTCCGTGATGGCATCCATCTTGGAACAGTACAACCAGAAGATAAAGGCGTGGCTTACCGAGCATGATGCACTTGTCGAAAAGATTCGCGCATCGTCCGAGCATGCTTTGGTGGATATGCAGGAAGGATTGTCGACCTTTGATACGATCAGAAGTGCGTTTCGCTCTTTTGCGGGGATGATGTCTCACATGACGGAATCATACTCTCAAGAAATCAGTAAAGTAAGTTCCTACTGTCATCCGATATGAACGACGTCATCCTGACATAATGCTCAGAACATCGAAAAGTCCAAGATGGATATGGAGCAGCACCGTCAGGAATTGCAGCAGCATCATGAGGAGATGGCTGAGTTCAGTCTGAAACATGCAGCCGATTACAGAACACAGCTACAGATGGGTCATGATGCGGCTCTTGCGGCACTGCGCTCATATCACAATGCAGCCCTCGAGACTTTGCAGGCGAACCATAACGCGGCGATACACAAAGTGAACGAAGTAGCAACTACAGTTGATAATTTGCAGATCAAGGTGGTGAGTCTGTGCTTCCCATCATAATCTCCATGTCGGCTAACCAGCGCAGCAAATATCTTCCGATCGAATGGAACACATCAATCAAGTAGGTATATTCTTTCGAGAACCTGTGGATCAATACTGACATGGATAGGGCTTGGTGAACGTCAACAGGACTGTGCAGCAGCTGGACGCGGCAACGGAGAGGCTCCCTGAAATGCTTCACGTCTTGACGACAGTAGGAAGCATAATAGCGAGTCCTCAACTTTGGCTCGCAGGGATCATGTGCCTATTTGGTGTCTGGAAAGCGAACGGAAGGGTAGCTGGTTACTTCGTTGCTACCGGTGGTAAGTCTGCTTCTTTTGTCTCAACTGAAGCTGCTGACAGGCAATCAGGTCTACTATATGGGCTTCTTTTACTGGACGTCCGGACCCATGTCGGGGCGGCCTGGAATAATCTCAACAACAATATCGTCCGCTTCGCTACGACTGGAAGCCCGGCAATGCTGAGCGTCATTCTCTTCGCACTTTTCTTCGTTTTGTCATTTGTCCTGCATTTGCATCTCCGTTCGGCTTATCTCTACGTATACGAAGACGAAAGAGGAGAAAAAGGCGTTCTTCCCAGCATCGAAATGCCGCACCAACCAGAGTCCCAGCCTCCAAGAAAACGCGGTCCACTTAGCCTCTTCAAGGCCCTCCATTTGGCATCGTGATGGCCAGCATCCCGTCTCCGACCAGTTTTCGCCTCAAACATCTTGACAAGTCTTTTTCACCTTCGACATTTGACAGGCGCATTTCATGGTTCCACCTATGTATTTTTATTTCCGCTCCTGGCATGGAGGGCACCCTTATGGTTATGCTTGATACCCACTCCATCTTTATGAATCGGCGTTTTACACCATCGACACGGGATTTTTGTCATCTATCTGGTACTCAAACTTATGTCTTGCTATTTATTTCATATTATGCATGGTATTGGGAGATCGACTGCACACGTTTCTCATGAAAGTTCTCAGCGACGATAGTTAGAAAAAGGGTGGGACTTTGAATCCGGGGAATCATGAGAAGGATTTACCTCTGAGGTATTGGGCAAATAATTGCGAATTACTACGTTACTACTAAGGGGTCTGACCGACATGTCATCAAGTGGTAAAGTTTATTCTTTTATTGTGCCTCAAGACCACACATTCTATCTATCCGGAACCATAGACTCCACGCATCCATGTACAAGGCCTAACTATTAAGCGAAACCGCTTCAAAAGCACAAGAAGTATTCCAAGTGCCTGAGCACCGTTTCAATCCACCTCCTCATCATCACTCAACTCCTGAATTCTCCCCGACCGATAAGCCTCCGCAACAGGATTCTCCACATTCACCACCCCCGTCGCCTTCAGCCTCTCAAACAGCACAAACAACCTCTCCGCCTCCCTCTCCCTCTCCTCCATCGTCATTGGTGTGCTCGTATCCGGCTCCTCCATATCCAGCCTCTGACCTGTGATAGGATTGACGGGAATACCGCCACTGTCTGAAGGGCCTGTCGATTGGTCATGCAACGCGTGTTCGGGCATAGGAATATTGTTTGAGATGAGGAACCCGGAAGCGAAGCCGTAGCCGACGTTGTGGACGAATTTCGCGGCGTCCTTGCCTGAGAGTTCGAAGAAGAAGGCGGATATAGAGGTGCGGAGGTTGGGAGCTAAAGCGGATGTGGAGAGTTGCAGGAGGCGGGAGGAGAGTGAGTCTGACTTTCCCAACGGGCGGGCGCGTTCTTCGTCTGTGGGGAGGAGAAGACGCTCCATTTCCTTTTTTACGGAGTCCGGAGCCGATTCGTACATGCGGCGAATGAGGGTTAGGAGTGGGGAGACGTTGGCGTCGAGATCGGATTCGGGGTAGGCGATGGTGGAGAGGTCGAGAAGGTGGATGAGATGGGAGGCATTCGACGAAGGGTCTGAGGGAGGGAAGAAGGCGTCTTTGTCGCTGTCGTTCAGAGGAAGGTTGAGGAGGGCGTTTATGAGGGCGCTGAGGGGTGGTTGGAGTGGGGGATTTGGAATTGGTCGACTTAGTAAAATTTTGAAGATCGCGGATGTTGACTTGGAGAACTCTGTAGCTAGACCTGGGAAGAAGTGGGTAATGTTGAAAAGCAGTTTTAGGATTTCGGACAAAGCCATCAGGTCCATCGGTGCCGTGTGTTTGTCTCTCTTGTCCTTTCCTGCGTCTGAATATCGGCTTGCGTGTCTTTCAAGCGCGGCATTGACACTATCGGCGAGGTTGCTGCTGCTGACCAGTTCCTTGTAATCAAGCTTCGTCTCGTATGTCATGAGGAAGAGAAGGCGGGATGACAGAAACTCATCGTCAATGTTGTCACTCTGCGATTCAAGATTAGCATCTAATCGAGAGAGTAATGAACGACACAATACCTTCAATTTCTCCGCAATTTTTGATGCGTTCCCAAGATCCACAAAGGTTTGCCGGGTGCTTGGGACAAGGAGCATGGTGTTAGCCAAGCAGCGAAGCGCTTCCCTCGACGTTTCCGCATCGCTCGTTTCAAATGCATATCTACTTAATGTGCGAATGCCCTGGTCCTTGGTGAGCAATTGGCCCCAGTCCCGCTATCCACTACCATACCTGTTCCGAGAATATAGGGTCCGCATTCTGAGGAGATCGACCGTGCACCTTGAGCTGTTCTAGCTTCTCTTTCCGTTCTGACCCCGGGATGAGCACCTGTACAATCGAGAGAGTGAGGGAGCGTACGTTGATGAGAGAGTTTAGGGCCGTCAAGGTCGGCTTTGAGCTCGTCTAGCAATTTAGTGACCTGGTCGAGCTTTGCTGTTCAATGTCAGTTGCCATTGTCTAGAAAAAGTCCAGGAGGCGTGCACACCTGTGCCGCTGTTTGCCATGGTTGACGGTAGCTACGGTTGAAAGGAGGGCGCTTCCTCGAGGGAATCGGCGGGATAATCGAGATGTTCAGCTAGCAAAAGATGGCTTTCCGAAAACTTCTGTCCTTAGCTTAGCTAAGGGGTCGAGTCCATTAACAGAGCAGAGTCCAGGGATGAGGTCACCCCCAAGGACATGGATGTCCCGCTCGGGCAAGAGTGGGGCCTGTCAAAGCGGGCTGCGGGGATGCCTGCCCAGGTGGCTTAAGTGGCTGCACGTGACGCTTTACGCGACTTTACACGACAACGCGAACCCCCAGCCATTCGCGAGCTGGCGCCAATTCACCTCCACCTCGAATGCTCTGGCCAGCTTCCTTTTCTCACCGGCCATGCACACGCCCTTTTGTTTTCCTTCTTGTTTTTCTGTTTAATGCTTGTTGAGCATAACCATGGTGTCTTCAAAATTCGAATGCCTTTCCATCCGGCCGCCCACACCTCCCAAGGATCTCAAGGACATCGACATACAAATCAACGACGCCATACAACTTCTCGACGACCCTTTCGGCACCAAAACCCTGCTGAAGTTAGCTCTGTCTGACAAGGCTCTACTGAACACACCAGATTCATCCCCTTCATCAGGCACGAGCGTGTCTTCATCAAGCAAGAAAAAGCGAGTCAACTTTGAGCTTCAAGGATGCTGCTCTGGTAAGAGTAGTGATCTGATCGTCCAGCCGTGGACTCCACAGAAGAGCTCTCCATTGCGACCGTTACCTCAAACACGCATATCGAAGCCGCTGAAATCCATATTAAAGCCGAGCGATCCTGCGTCCGTACCTTCACTCGCCGAAGAAGGGACAGCCCACCACAACTTCGAGTCGTTTGCCGAGATGCTGGAATCAATGACAAAAATGCTCGCCCAGGGCGCCAGGCCCTCAAAGTTAGACGCGTACATAACCCTGCAGAGGACGCTACAAGCATACGACAAACTCCCAGACACGAACGAGCTCATGAACAAGATGGGCCTATTCGAACAATTCATCAGGAGGGATCTTCAGGCAATCGGTATAAACGGTACTGGTCCTGACATTCAGCTCATTCAACAAGCGCTCAAGTTCGTCATGGGTCTGATGAGGAAGCTCCAAGATGCCAAGGTCTCCATGGACGACGACTTCTGCTCTTTCTTGATCGACCACAGCATTTCGGTCTCTGAGAATGCTGCCACCCCAAAAGCAGTCGTTAACCATCACTTGGCCTTGCTGATGCAGCAGAATTTCCGACCGAGGGTGATGACTGTTGCCCGTGTTGAAAAGATTCTCGACGTGCTTGATGCAATCCACGAGCGTGTCAGCGGCTACTCAGTGCAAGTTTACAGAATTAGAGTCTATCGCAAGTTGATCCAGCAGAGACCAGAAGTGATGGCCAAGCATACCGAAAGATGGTTCAAATATGTCCTCAAGGCTCTGCTTTCCGGACAGAAAGACACTCATACTAGCGCACTCGAAACTGCTATATGTGCCGCGAAGACGGTGGGCTCCGACCCTTCTGTAACAAAGGCCATCCTGGCGATCATGAATCGAGTAAAGAGTGACGGCGATACATTCGGAAAGGCTTTCGCGCAAGAGCTGACGAAGTCTCTCCACTCCGATTCTGCCGCTCTTGTTCCGCACGTCTGGGGTGCAATAACGGCGTTTCTTGGGGAGTCACTGCGCGCCGGTACTCTTACCGCCTCTCCCGAATGGCTACAAGTTTTTGAAGACTTCTTTAATTCCAGGGCACACACCATCACATCACAGGCAAACATCGCATACGCTTTCATGATCTACGCTCTCGATGTGGACATCCACACGCCTAAAGCCTGGTCAGAGATATTGCTGAACGTCTCACGAAGTCAGTTCCGGCGCCTGCGTGAGGGAAAGTCCGTGGCCGACGCTGCCACGTCCGGATACCTTACGCTCATCTACTACGCTCTACGACCCTCAGCATCCCACGAACAATTGACCCGATATTGGGGTGAATTTGTCACCGATTTCTGGATACCGATCATGACAGACTCATCGCCCAGTTGTGCGATTGCTGCCTGCCGCTTTGTGTCTGCACTTCTCAAAGGCTCTCGGAGACCGTGGAATCAACATCGAGCCTTAGAGACCAAGTTGCAGCTGATGGTGCAACCCCAAGATCTACCTCTTCTGGACCCTCGATGGGTCCGTAAATCAATTGGGAAGGTGCTCGCGTTTATCGAAACACTCCTGGATGCGACCCCGTGGACACTGGAATCTGCGGACGACGAACCTGTCAAAACACTGTGGATATCTTTGCTTGATTCGTTGCGAGAGGCCAGCAGTAAAGAGGTGATGATCACTTCCGAGACCAAGAATGCGATCGCCCAGATTGTCAACATGCTTCGGCGACTGTGGGACCGCCACACCGCTGAGTTGGCAGTTTCGCAGCAAGGTGAGGATTTATGGGCGGACAAATTCTGCTTCCTCCTTGAAATGATCATCGAGAAGCTGGGTGCATTCCAATTTAGCGACAAATGCTTGAGCCGCAACGTACAAGATGAGTTTGAAGTAGCTCCAACACCTTCCAATCGCACTCGTCAAAATGGTGCTCGGATATCGCCGCTGCTCTACTTTGTGGATCTTGTCATGGTTCGATCGGAGATGAAGCTATCAGACAACCTTCGAATTCGCCTGCTGATGCTAGTGCTCGAGCGCTGCCTCTGTTCTCAAGGTACTCGTTTGGCCAAGTTGGAGTTACTCAGGGACTGCTGCTCCGTTGCATCTTCCTCGTCCACCAACCCGGTCACCGCCAATTTCTGGACACAAATGGCGTCGTTGGCAAAGGTCGCCATCGAGGAACAGCCGGCAGATCCAAAGGACGGCACATCTCGACAGCTGGGGCAAGAATACGACTTAGTCGTTGAGATCCTTGCGCTTGCCTCTCCACATCTACCGGACTATGACCATGGCCCGAAGCTCCTATCTACATTCTTGGACGTCGTTCGCAAGGAGAGTGGGGAAGGTGGCGTCATATTCGCTGTAATTGAAAAGACATCAGCGAAGATATTGAGGGACGGAGAACTATCGTGTGTACCATACATAACCCTCCTTCTACGCAACCTGCCATCTCTGAAGAGTCAGAATATACGGCACGTCGTAGAGGACGCCCGGCAAAGATTTTACTCAGCTTCAACCGTTGCAGCACGTGGTGCTGATTTCGATCCTTACAACCATTTTTACACCGCGGTCACGTCCATAGGAGCAGCCTTGTACAGCGAACTAGATTCCGAGCGTGCTGATCCTGCCCGGAACTTCCTTGAGTCTCTCGCAGAATCCATAAGGAGGTGTCCAAACAGACTTCTTGGAGTCTACATGCGGAAGACTCAAGACATAATCGCACTTTGGGTCGAAGATGCTCAGAAAAAGCTCCGTGTCAAGGAGGAGTACGTAAAAGCCATACGAACCCAGGTGAGAACACTCCTGCAATGCTTCTGAAATAGTACTAACGACCGTAAGATTATTTCCCTATGGCAGGCTGTGGATTCTGCTGTGAAGTTGTTACCTAAGAAGGACAGCACCCTTCTGGCAGCGCTGGAGCCGCTACTTTGCTCAGGGTTCGTGAGTCGTCAGCGTGCAGTGGTGAACATCGCTGTCTGTTCTTGGAACGCTACTTTCGGGGAGCAAGAGGCATTGAATTATCCTGCCCGACTTCAAAAAGCTCTATGTAGGGTGAAAAGAGTTGTTGAACTTTCAACGCCGTCCTTGGGAGAGCTGGACAACGTATCTGTAAGTCATCAGGGACTCCGAGGAGGCACGTCTGACTCTGACCAGGATGAGCCTCTCCTGTTCGATGACTCCGACGATACCATTACCGGCGTGGCAAGCAGACTGCCCGAATCACCTGTCGTGTCATCAACTCTACGCGTTCGAAGGACCCCTCGACTTTCTCGTTCGCCGGCTGTTCAGAGTACTGTCGGTAAGCGGTCATCAACTCGCAAAACACGCAAAGTGCGCCTTCGCCACGAGGATTCTCAGATCCAGTTCGAACCTGTTTTATCGTTACCCTCGAACCCTCTCGATCAGGAATCACAGGTTTTGACGGAGCGCCAAAAAGAAACATTGGAGCGGCAACGGGCTTCTCTCGGCATATTCGCCAACATGGATTCTCGACCCGAGTCTCAGCCAACTGGCACATCCACAGAGCAACTCCATGAACTTCATTCCGATGCACTTAGTGCTGATGAGCTACCGACTAGTATATCCCGAAGCCCGCTCAAGTCGTTGGCTTCGATAGGTCATATGGATGTCTTTCTCGGATCTTCTCCTACTCCGCGGTCCCGAAACAAGAGCCACCCAGTCAGGGGGAACGACGCGCTTGTCGCTTATCCGAATACACAAAGGAGCGTTCACATCACTGAAGGCTCAGAGATCGGATCTTCTCCACCTCGTTTTGCAAAGCTCATAACACCACACAGTAATGGTGCTTCGGGTCAGAATACGGCAGTGGCTTCCACTGACGGTTCAGATACCAGGGTCTTCGACGATATTATCACGATAGATGACGACATGTTCCTAAATGCGGATTCCCCAGCTGGTCAGGGTAACCCATCGATTTCCGAGCGTGGTGACTTTAGCGATGAACCCGAAGACAAGATGCCAAGCTCGACGATAGAGCTGCAAATCAATGCCCAACTCAACGCGGAGCTCCAGGCCGCAGCAAGGTCTTCTCATGGCTTGGATGTGGACGAAGGGTCGAACAACGACCATGTCCACGCCGAGCCACAATCATTTCCCGATTCTCTGGATGCTTCTACCGGATGCAAACAATCCAGCGATATAAGCCGTGTGGACGACTCCTTCTGCGCAGCAGCTGAAGACAAGCAGCTGCCAGATGGGATAATGTCAGAAAACACCACGGTCCGCCGGTCCACACGGCTATCTGGGGGCGAAAGCCTACCCCAGGCTTCCGCTACCAAGAAGCGACGACAGGCTGCGGCTGATCCACCTCGTGAGAATAAGAAAGCCAAACAAGAGGACTTTGCCGACGACGAACCTCAAGGCGATACTGAAGAAGATGACTTCATTGTCCTCGCTCCAGCCCCCAAGAAGATCACGGCGAGCAAGAGAAAGAGGTCTCGAAGCCATTCGCGAACCCCTTCACGGCTGCAAACGCTTGTCCCAGAAACCACCCAGAAACCTGCTACTCGTCGAAGGTCACTTCTTCAATCAGCGTCACAGCTAAATGATCAAGAAAATAAGGAGGACGAGGTTGTGGAGGACACTCCGGCGCCTAAGAGGGCACGGAAAACAACGAAGCAGGATGTCAGCGAAGCGAAAGATACATCGCCACAGACCAGAGTCCTTCGCCATGTGCGAGTTTCGCCGCAGAATGCCGCGTCTCGAGCTTCCTCCGTTGCGGCCGACGAGACCCTCACGATCACTGAGGCAGTCGCTCTGTCTTCTGCCGGCAAGCAGAAGGTAGAAACGACAGCGCAATTAGAGGGCGACACTGCAGGCCCTGTACAGGAACCCAGTAGTGTAGTACAGCCGGCCGCTACAAGCAACACACCCAGTCGATCTTTCGCAAAGCGCGTGATCCTGACGCCGAGGAGTATCCTGGAAAAGCTTCAGGGATTTACGAGCTCTATCAAACAGATGGTGCTAGGGCGCGAGGAGGAGCGAGAACTTGTTGGTGCATTGTTTGACTTGGGAACAGAAATCCAGGCTGCTGGGAGACGAGGCGAGCAGGGCCCGGGCGCATCAGCATGAGGCGTTCGAGGAGTTTGGGTAGCTTCGTGAGATGAAAATACGCCGCAGAGAGAGTATTGGATACCCCTTCGTATTGGTGCATGTTGCATCTGTAACGCAGTTTTCAAATGGATTGTACTACCAAAGGTCGCCCTCGCTTGTGGTGAACATCTGGCGGCCCAAGCTGCAGGTGAATGTATTTGTGTACTGCGTATATCATGTTGTATGAGTCGAAGGAACGACTCTCCACGCAAGATATATGGACAATGACTAAAAGTACACATACGGACAGTATCTATGTATAAGCAAATGCAATGTCTATCACCTGAAACGCCGTTCCGTTTCAGGTGAGTCTGGCTTGGGACTGTGCATAACTGGTCAGTAGTGGGGCGTGCAGGTGGAGGTTGTACCCCTCCAGAGCTCCCTCACACTTTCACTTCAACTGCTGTCTGTCACAATCCTATAAAGCCTTAGCTTTCGTCTCAACTCGTTCATATACCTGCAGATCACTCTGGACCTTTATTGTCTTTCGAGTATCCATCCAACGCTCCAACACCCCGCAACCTCTCCCTAGCTATTCCGATCATCGTCGCATCAACACATCGGTACACGGTTCTGCAGAATGGTTGAGCGTCCCAATCGTCCTTCTGCGCTGAGCGCTCCGCCTGCCACTGGACCCGGACCCCAGGTAGATATCGTTGGATCAGGACCAAGCTCCAAAGTAGTGGCTACCTTACCCTCGGGCGAGAGCGTCGAAGTGCTCCTATACGGAGCTACAGTAACGAGCTGGAAGAGCAACGGGGGACAAACGGAGAACCTCTGGCTGAGCGAGAAGGCAGCCCTTGATGGAACCAAGGCCGTGCGCGGAGGCATCCCAGTGGTCTTTCCGGTAAGTTGGGCTCGTGGTACCTACGAGGACAGTGTCATGTAGCTAACTACGCGCAGGTTTTCGGACCTCCCCCTAAATCCGGCCATCCCACGTCGTCGCTCCCTCAACACGGCTTCGCACGAACATCTCGCTGGGAATTCCTGGGCAAGTCGGCTTCGGAGGATGCGCTTGGCTCCAACTCGGTCAAGCTGGACTTTGGTCTCGAAACCTCTGGCGTGTCGGACGAGGCGCGCAAAGCATGGCCGCTGGACTTTGCGCTGCAGTACAGCGTGACCCTCACAAAGGATAGCTTGCAGACCGTGGTGAATGTGCGCAACGAAGGCGAGCAGAGCTTCGAGTTCCAATTCCTCCTGCATACCTATCTGCGGGTCAATGTAGGGACCAACAACAAAAGCAACGCTTTTGAAGTACTGCTGGCTGACAAGGTGTAGGATATCTCCAAGGTCACCATCAACGGTTTGCTCGGCGTCGAATACATCGACAAGGTCCTCAATGCTACTACCCACCAGCAAGCAGACATGTCTCTCAAGATCACCGGCGAAACCGACCGCGTATACAAATCCATCCCCCAAGATACCACAAGCGTGCTCGAGGACGGCAAGCCGCTGTTTGACGTTGTGAGGGACAATCTTCAGGATACAGTTGTTTGGAACCCCTGGGTCGAGAAGGCGGCTGCTATGGGAGACTTTGCACCCAATGATGGATTCAAGAACATGGTTTGTGTGGAGGTGGGTACGGTCGATGGATGGCAGAAGTTGGACAAGGGAGAGGTTTTTGAGGGTGGGCAGATTATCAAGAGCCTGCTCTAGTGGGATGATGACCCAAGTCGCGATTGAGGTAGTGAGATAATGATTTCTGCTCGACTCAGCTTGCGGAGTGGAAGGCATTCTGGTGAGAGTGTGAGGTGGGGCAGCATGACGGAGGCGTGGTAACGATTGATGACCAGACAGCATATTTAAAGAAGGCTACAAGGAAATGGCAATCATTCCCTACGATCCACATGTCACGTGATGCTACCTACGGCGCTAGATTGCATGAACCAGATAAGTGAGCAGAAATGAGGTGAATTTTGTACGAACTCCTGAGAATGCAGATTCAGTATTCTTTTCGATGAGACGTACGGAGCTAGGGCTGGCCGACGCTGCTCTCATTCTTCTATAGCCCTTCTGTCCTTCAGTTATAGGCATACTAGTAAGATTGGAGAGGTGATCCAACACATGAATTTTCCTTTCATCTTAGGTTTACATTTAGTGTAGCATCTTAGAGAAGCTGTACTGCTCCTCTAATAATCTAAGGGGTCCCCTTTTTAGCTCTTCACACCCACCTCTTATCTCCCTTCCGGAGCTTTAAGACGGCAAGTCTTAATAATGATACGTGATGTCTGGTTTAGGGTTTCTTGCTGACGAGCCGACGCTAGCAAGAGGTTATGGCTATGCACCATTGACCCTGAAATGATGAAGCCAAGTCAGGCTCCAGAGGATGTGCAATCGTATCACATTCATCAACGTTTCTATGATTTGACAGTGCTGTCGTAGGCTATGCTGACGCCACAGAGGGTCTCAACCTCTGGCGGCTCGTGCAGATCGTCCAACCACTCGTCGCCTTCATCGTCCAGGACAATGACTGCATTGGACTCAGCCGATGAGCCGTCCCCCTTCGTCGTCGGCGTCGTCGTTGTCGTCGCCGCATCATGATGCCCAAAGACGGAATCCTTCTGAACCCTTCCACCATACCCGCCCAACTTTGGAGTGAAATCACGCCCGAGGCTGAATATGCGCCTCCGGACGGTCCTATACTCGAGCGCAAAGATATGGCTCCCTTCACTGAAACCTACCATCGCCCGTTCCCTCGCCGTCTCCTCGCCCGACCCGACAGAGGGATCCATCATCCCATGAATCGGGATCACGACCCCCGTGGTCGCCGCAACGGCCATCGAGACGGGCAACTCGAGCGACGCCCCGACTCCCCTAGCCTTCACCCGCCGATCCACAAACGTTGCATCCTGCCAGATCAACATACCCACGATGAAGTACGCCGGCTCGCCGCCAGGCCTCAGCATGCGCGCCAGATCGCGCCTGACGCCTTCATCCTCGCACAGCGCATCCAGCGCCTTCTGGTGGTTCTGCAGCCGCAGGTACCGCACTGAGCATGAGGAGAAGTGCATACCGCCGCCCGAGCGCTTCGACCGCAGAGCCGACACCAGGCCCGTCAGCTGCGTCGACAGCTCCTGGCGAAGCTGGCGCCCACGAAGGCGGTCGCATTGGCGATTTCGGTTTCCGAGGTGGGATGCCGCGCGAGGAGACGCTGTGGTGCGATGGGCGTGAAGTTTGCGTCTGGGGCGGCGGGGTTTTGCGTTATGCGGCCTAGCCAGGAGAGAGCGTCGGATGCGGGTTCGACGCGTTCGGGTTTGAGGAGGTAGAAGGTTGGCGATGCCATCATGTTCCAAGGTTGCCGGTGGAAGGGGTTGTGTCACGTGACTGGTCTCTGGGCCACTTCCAAGAAGATATTCCTGCCCGATCGACTTCAATCCTCCTAGGCTGACTTCGATCCCGACTCAAGTGAAGATGAAAAGAAAACATCCAAATACACGAAATGCATTGCTCTGGCTTTGCTCTTATACAAGTGCCCACTCTGCAGCTGGGAACAGGAAAGTCTATTGTGGCTGAGTGGAATACCTAGCTGCGCCTGATGGCTAGACTCGTCGCCTTGGAGAATCTCCATCAGTTAAAAGTAGGACAAGAGGCTTGCGGCTGAGGGAAGGTAAGGCGGGGAATTGCTTCTTCAAGCCTCCACTGATCGAGAATTCAGCAGGTAAACGAATGGCTGCGTCAGCGCTCCGCCACCAATAATGCACGTCAGTGAATGCACTCTGCAGTCAGTCGGCTGCTGCTCCGGGACCTTGCGTCCCAACCGGTCAATACGGAGTACAAGAATACAGTATCAGCTGGTAGTGTTCAATATTTCCCATTCAAACATTTAGTCTAATGGATTCCGCGATCGTTTCATCGTAATACGCTGGCGACTGTCCCTATCAGCTCAAGCAAATGAACCGTACAGTCGATACCCTAGGGTAGGTATTTCTCAAGCACCCAGCCCAACACTCTCTCATGAACACAATGGCAACTCGCATCCGCATCTGCGCCGCCCGCGACCAGCCCACGAACCCAAACCACGTCACGCTGCAATATACCCTCCTCCACAGCAACGGGCAGGCTGCCCGGTCGCACAGCCACCGCACCGCCGCGCTCACGGTTCCCGTTCCTCACTCTTTCATCACCAACGAAATCAGCTGGTACCTCGAGGACTACGCACAGAAGCAGCCATTCGAGGGCGGCCGCGCGGCCGACGCGCGCGACGCCCTGCGCGAGCATGCGCGGGACCTGGCCTTCTGGCTGCACACGTCCGGCGTCGTGCCAGATGTGGCCGCCCTTCACGGCGCCCTGGTGCTCGAGGTCGTCGAGGACGGTAGCATGCCGGAGCGGTTGCTTTGGGAAGTGTTGGAGCATCGAGAGGCGGTGCCGGCGCTTGCGGCACTGGATTCCGTCATTGTGAATCGTGTGTTTGGGAGCGACGAGGACGACGATCGAGACGATGATGCCCACGCTAGTGCCGAGGATCTGAAAGAGTGGCCGCCCAAGTTCAACCTGCTGATTGTGTCGTCGCGACTGAACTTCGAGTCGGACATTCCGCACAGGCTCGTGGTAGATGCTGTGCTGGAGATGCGGAATGAAGTGGCGAATATCATGAAGGGTATGGAGATTGGTGGCGAGCAGCTGGATTTCTCAAAGCTCTTCAGAGTAGAGGTCATCAATCCGGCTACCTTCAAGGCGTTTCAGGCCCATTTAGAGAGCAGGGGATCTGGATATTTCAGACTCGTGCATCTGGATGTTCATGGAATCGAAGATGCCGGAAGGTAAGTAAGCCTCCGGGTGGGCTCGCCACATCAACCCCATTCTAACCAACACAGTGTAAAACTCGGTTTTATGAGGCTTGAGGACATTGACGGATCCCTCGAATGCGTGCCTGACGACCGCTCGGCAGAAGAGGTTGCAGCGCTGCTCCAGCGCTACGACGTCAAACCGGTCGTGCTTAACGCCTGCCGCTCGGCCAAAGACTTCGGCACGGGCACTGCGATACCGCGACTGCTGCACGAGCATGGCGTCGAAGAGGTCGTCGCCATGTCCCACAATATCTCGTCGCGCGGCGTCCTGTACTTTGTCAGCCTCCTCTACTTCACCATGTTCTGCGGCTGCTCGCTGCAGTTCGGGGTGTGGTATGCTCGGCGCGTGATGCTGCGCAACAGCGAGCGCTTGTCGCACGTCGGCACGGAGCTCGAGATCATGGATCACATCGTGCCGCGATACTACAGAGCGACGCGCTGCGCGGGCGGTGTGAGTGACTTCCTTGACGAGCTGCAGCGCCAGTTTCCCGAGTTCCCTACGATTGATGAGAAGCCGCATAACCTGGTGGTGTCGAGCTTCGGCCGCGATCATGACTTACTGAAGCTGGCATGTCTGTTACTGGAAGGTGACCGAGCGGTAATGGTGGTTGGCGAACCGGGAATCGGCAAGTCGCTTCTCCTCTCAAATCTCATGAATTGGTGGGAGATGATCGGGTGTGTAGAAGGAGCTCATCTCGTGCAATTGTCGCAAGAGAAGAGCTTTTCAATAGAGAAATTAGGCGGCGATCTGCATCGCAAATTGAATCTGCCGGGCCCATACTCGGATTTAGAGGTGTTGATAACCGCTTTACGGAACAAGAAATATCTCCTTGTCATAGACAGCTTGGAGTCTTTGGGCGTTCCGGAGACAACCACTGTGAGAGACCAACGGCGCCGTATTCGCGACTTCGTGAAGGGTCTGCAGGGAGGCAAGACGGTGGTCGCCATTGCTTCACGTCAGCAAGATCCCCTTCTCGACAAACACACGCGACCCTTCCACGTTGGTGGTCTCCAAACGCTGCCCGCCGTCCAGCTCATGCGATGGCTGCTGAAGATGAGCCAGACGCTAGCTCTCCAGGCCAGGGAGAAGGACTCATTCGCCGGGAAACTCGTCGCTGCGACATTGGCCAAACTCGGCTTGGATCCCGACAGCGAAGAAGCTAAGCAGATCCATGAGGCCATCCCTTGGGACGAGAAAGTGGTTCAGTCCCAGTTTGCGACCTGGGAGACGGAAGAGGACGCCGTGTACCTTGAAGAGATTCACAAGCTGGTTGATGGGCATCCGCTCGCCTTGACCCAGCTCACAAATTACCTGATTCTCCTAGGGCCATCGGTAACTCCAAAAGAATACTTCCATGGGCTTCTTCAGGGAAACCCAATGTCGATCCACCCGGAACTCAGCCCGGACGAATTTCTAGCGGAGCAATGACTGGATCATGAAGGGGCGCGTAGCTTGACGGAGGCATTCGAGGTCATTCGTCATTTTGCAGAGAAGCATAGTGGTCTGGCGGGTTCGCTACTTTCGGCAATGACACTCTTCTGGAAGATCATGCCACGAAAATATCTGCCGCTTCTTGACAAGCTCCAAAAGCGCGAACGGAAAGAGCAAGATGGGGAAGGGAAACGAGATGCTGACTGGAAAGAGGTTGAAGAGCGCGCGAACGCAGGAGAACTTGACGAAAGAATGAAGCAGCTGGGCTTGGATCGTGGCTCGATGATGAATTTCATAGCGGAAGCGAACAAACCGTCCATCTTCGGCTCAGAAGTCACACCTGAATATGCGGAGGCCGCCAAGGCGCTGTCCACTCACGATGGACAGTTTATATTTCATTTTGCGATGGAGAAGCAGCTTCCTGGCTTGATGGAGAAGCATCCGGAAGCCGCCGAAGAAATTCGCGAACTCTTCATGGGGATTGAGAGCATTGAGGACGTGGGAATGCTCTTCGCGTCCATCTTGAGACCTGATCTAGCTAGCGCGTTGCAGCAATTGGTCCAACTGCAGCGGAGCGTCGAGAAAGACGGATTGGATATATTCCAGGCCCAGCATCTCATCCGGCCACTCTCATCTCAGGAGCTTCCGCCTGGAGTCGCCGACTTGCAATATTACAAAATCAGTCCGATGCTTACTATAGCGTTAAGAGCTCAGAATGCGTGGCTCGAGGACGAAGCCTTGGTCAATAGCTGTCGCGTCGCACACACGTTACTGTATGCGCGTCGATGTTGGAACTGGCCCGCTCCGACCCCTTATAGCAGCAACTCGGCGGCTGCTGAAGCGCGAATTGTATCCAATCTTGAGTTCTACAATATCGCGGCTGCGGTGTCGGCGGGCCAGCTGATATTTGACAAGACGTCAAGGGGCTTCATCATCGAGGATTGCGTGGCGACGCTCATAATGGACATAGAATGGGGCTTGGTCAGTGATAGCACGCGTGTTCCAGCTGTCCAGATGCTGTGGGAGGAAAGCCTGCAAGGGCTCGAAAAGCAAATGAAAGAGCTAGAGAAGAGTCCAAAGCGGCCTGTACGACTAAATAAGGTCCAATCGATGCTCTACAGCATCCTTCAGCAGGATAACGAGTTAACGGACGAACAATTCCAAGTGGAGATGCATCTCAGCTCTCGGCGCCGGGCTTGCCTGGGTCTTTCGGTGGCCCTTCTCAAATTCTACACGCACGTTGACGATCAGAGAAGGAACAAACACCGTGATTCAATCCGGTACATCGTGAAGGCGCTCAAGAATGACACCCACCCAGTAATTAAGGAGACCACGGATAAGCTGATACCATTGATGGACTTTGCACAGCACTATGCCGATTCGACAGTTGGTTGGTTTCCGTTCAGTTTGAAGGCTACGCAGGCCAAGTTGAGCAACATCGTGCAGGACGAGCTGATACCTGCCTTCACAGCCGAGAGGCGGCTCTCGTTCGACGCGAAGGATCCAGAACAGGTGGCCGCACGGCTGCAGAACATGTCGCAGTTCTCGACCATAGCCCAGTTCAACGAGACAATTGTGAAGATCTGGGAGGAGCATGGGGCGGGCAGGCACGACGAGGCTCTACGGCTGCTCGAGTCGATGCTCAAGCACGAGACCGACTACGGGCAGAACGACCCAGGCCGGCGGTCGACGCTGCTGTTCATGAGGTGCATCATCACCTACAAGCAGGAGCGCTTCACGGACGCGCTACGGGACCTGGAGGAATCGCAGCGACTGTACGACATCAGCAATACGACGTCCTCGTTCGCCCCGTGGCGGAGGTTCATGGGGCTCATGCGGCGCTTTCTCGTCTGGCAGGTCCGCATGGAGGCCAAATCAAGCGTCAAGCTGACCATGGTGCCCTGTAGTGGGTGCGGAGTGGCCAGAGGCACGCGACGTTGCATCGGCTGTCTTTACGTAGGGTACTGTTCTTCGAAGTGTCAAAAGAAGGACTGGAAGGAGCATAAGAAGATATGCAAGAGCATTTTCTCTGGCTACTGCATCTAGGCTAATGACGCTGGAGATGCGGCTACTAGATTAAGTAAGATTTTAGAGAAGTGAAGGTATACTATAGAACTGTATTATAAGGGCAGATGATCGCTCATTAGATGGATCGTCTAGATCGCATTGCTATAGGTAAAATGCGCGCTCCAGGCAACCGTGCATTTGTTAGATTATAGATCTAGTGAGTGCTTAGGCTAACATCTGCTTGCGCATCTTAACCCCTACTGGAATATGTATATAGGGACCTAAACTACTGGTCTACAGCCTTGGAACGCGCTAGATATGTCCTGGTCCGTGCGCCTTGCAAACATATTGTGATGAAGGTAGGAACACAGGGCGTTACTAGGGCAGAGCATGACCTGACCCACGGTCGAGCCTCCAGGGCTCTTTCACGCCTTCGTCACCCCGCTCGCTCTCCACTACCTCCAATGTTAGTGGTATCAAAGAATGACAGCGAAGGCATGGTAGCCACTACGCCTGCGCCACGTCGAAGGAGCAGCTTTCCCCGCAGCTATGGAGGATGACCACCACGAACATCAAAGAAGCATGTCGCTCGTACCTTTTGCGCCAGCCGAGGCGCGCCAGGTAGTTCTGTAAGTGGACTTTCTACCTGCCATTTCATATCCCATGGTCCTGACCAGCCGCACAGCCGTCATGGATCTGCCGTTGTCGTCTTCGATGAGGACTCGAAACAGCTGTCGCTACGCCACACCTCAACTGCCGTCGACGCCACCTCATGTCCGTATTGTAACCGGCCCTACAGAGAACCTTCGCCTCAGGAGCAGGATGGACAAGATGAGCACGATCACCTAGATCCAGATGCCGGATATGTCAGTTCGTCATACTTTCAGATGCTCAGCCGGAGCCGGGCCAGCTCTACAGCTGGTTCCCGTCCACCCTCACCGCACAAGCAACTCGCGCCAGCTACCCTACAAGGTGCAGGAGATGACTATGGGAGCGGCTCCAGCGCAGACTCAACCGGATCACCCCGGCATCATGGGATATCTGCCAGAGCTTTTAGTCCAAACTATTTCAAGACGTTCTTTGTTGAGGAACGTGAACTAGGAAGAGGAGGGAAGGGCGTCGTGCTTTTGGTCCGCCATGTATTGGATGGAGTAAACCTCGGCCGATTCGCCTGCAAACGTGTTCCGGTCGGAGACGATCACGAATGGTTGGAGAAAGTCTTGATTGAAGTGCAGCTCCTCCAAAATCTCTCTCACGAGAACCTCGTTTCCTATCGACATGTATGGCTGGAGGATTATAAAATCACGAACTTTGGTCCCAGCGTCCCATGTGCCTTTATCCTCCAGCAGTATTGTAACGGAGGAGATTTGCAGGACTACGTACTGGAAGGGATGAAGACGACTGTCACAACAGAACAGCTCAAAGAACGCATGCGTCGGCGATCCAAAGGCCAACTGGAGGACCCCAGTGGGCTTAGTGGGCCCCGCCGTATGCCTTTCGACGAGATCATAAGCTTCTTCAAGGACATCACGTCAGGCTTGAACTTCCTGCACGCCAATGGGTATGTGCACCGGGATCTGAAACCGAACAATTGCCTCCTCCATCGGACGGGCCGAAACGTGCGGGTACTGGTGAGTGACTTTGGAGAGATGCAAGCTGCGAATGTCACACGCAAGTCAACCGGGGCGACAGGAACAATATCGTATTGCGCACCCGAGGTCTTGCGACCAGTGGCCCCAGGAGGTCCCCTAGGGAATTTCACCACCAAGTCAGATATCTTCTCTCTGGGCATGATTGTGTACTTCATGTGTTTTGCGCGTTTGCCGTATACCCACGCGGATGGTATCGACGAAGATAAGGAGGACATTGATCAGCTCCGGGCGGAAATATCGAGCTGGCAAGGCTTCGACGACGCTCGGCGTGCGCGATCCGATTTGCCCGAGAAGTTATACCAGTCTCTCAAACGTCTTCTAGCTCTTAAGCCGAGAGATCGTCCGGGAACAGAGGAGATACTGCGTGCTCTCAAATCACCGTCGGCGCTAGACGAATTTTCCCAGTTCAGTGGACCATCCGGGTTAGATGACATTGGATCACGGATATTGCCAGCCGACACACCGTCTCCGTCGCCCCAGGGCCATAGACAGAAAACCTCGATCAACTACACGAAGCCCGGCCGGTCAAAACTGGGCACCTCTGCACTTGAACGGTCACCGAGCCCTTCGAATCAACAAGCCATAGCAAAATCGCCCATGGAAGAAGAATCAATCGTGCTTAGGCCAAGGAAGATTGATCTTCCTCCGCCGCGGGAATCCTCAGTCTCTCCTGATCCTTCCCCGCGACTGTTGCTTCCCCCGCCTGATGAAACCATGACTCCTGGGTATCATCAACTCAGTCACAGCCTGCCGTTTCTTGCTGCTGTCAAAATAGCTTTCTTCCTTATGAAGGTGTATACCTTGTTGACACCTTGTCAGCCCTACATCCCAGCCCCTCGGGTCACCTACCCACTGCTCCTTCTAGCATCTCTTGACTTCCTATCTGGCGGGTACAATCGCACAACTCGAAATGGTGTCTCCCAAGGATTGGGAAGGTCCATGCTGCTCTTGTTGGTACATACGCTTGTAGTTGGGACGTTGCTGCGGTGGGATGGGCTTTGTTCGAGGAGAAGAGTGACTTGGGAAGAGTTATCATGATGGACCGATGATGGCAGAAGTTGTGCGGCTATGAGATATAATGTATGAACACTTTCCTTATCAATTTCCACAATCGATGTGCAAGATATAGACATACTGACAACCATCCACGGATCCATAGATGAACGTGGTGCAAATCACGTGCACCTGCCTCCCAAAGAGGACTAGTGTTAGTGCCCGCACTGTTTACTTCCGATGTTATGGCGCACCATCAACACGTCTCCCCCAGCTTCGAACTCGAACAACGACTGCTCTTTCCGCATCCCTCCCCAGGACAGCTTGCATTCCCGCCCTGCGCGTGTTGGAGTTAATCCCAATATCACTTGCAAGCATCTGTTCTCTATTCCCTACAACTGCATGCTTTACGCGACACGTCTTTAAGCATATCTTAGGGCAGAAGCCTGGCTATACACACCATGCAGTCCTCTCCACCACGCAGCGAGGGCAAGGCACGCGCGATCCGGGAACTTTCACGTAGTATGAATGGCCACAGCACACGTTCAATACCTTCGCTATCACCGCCGCCAACCGACTCGAATCCAACACAGCAATTCGACGCGAACACCTCTGACTTCTTTAACAACGATGATGTTATGATGTCCACCCAGCACCGATTCGAGGAGGACACAAACACAAACGCGCTACCTCAGCTACCACGAATCCGTTCCACAGCGAAGAAGGTCGGCACCTGGCAACCGCTTCGCTCGGAGCCTCCGCAACCCGATACGTCAATGGTGAACAAGCAATTTGGCGATTTCGATCAGAGTGTTTCGGACGAGGAGGACATCTCAGTTGAACAGGCACGTGGGGGGCAGCGCAGCAGTCGCAGCACGCCGGGCAAGGCCAACTCTTCCCTCGGTCTTTACAACAGTCTGTACGACATGACTCCCCCTTCCGGGCGGCCGCACAAGTCGGCGGAAAGTGGCAACCTCCGTAGAGACGCGCAGATTCGTCGCGCCTCGCGAAATGACTTCGACACTGCTTCGCCGCGTCCTACCAGCACGCGCAATTCCCCCGCACTCGCAGGTAAACAAGAAAGGAAGCGCACTTCGCTAGCACAATCCCACGCCAAGATCTCGGAGGATGAGTCTTCATTCATGGAAGGGCGGCCGCCGACGTTCACCTTCCAGGCGCGCAGCACGCGATGGGGTGGCCAACGGAGTCGGCAGACCTCCTTGCAGTTGGACGGAGTTGCTGATACTAATGACGCGAATCGGCCACGGCCTGGGACAGCTCAAACTGGCACAGGCCAGTCTTTTATGCTGCCAGACCTTCCCAATCTTACCGAGCTTGTCTCTGGTGTGTATGAAGACGGTACACCGGTCTTCTCGAAGTCAACTCCCGCGCGATCACGGTTTGCTATGCCAGCGAGGGGCCGTCCGCGCCAACAAAACCACGTCCCAATCGATAGTGTCCCCATTCCGGATGAAGAGAAGGCCATATTCGCTTCGTTGCAGCTTCTCCAAGAGCGCGTAGCGCAGCTAGAACACGAGCGCGCTGAAGCAGAGAAGAAGATTGAAGAGCAGGAGACTGAAATTATTGAGCTCAGAGCCGCTCAGCGGGCTCAGTCAAAGTTTGACGGTGGTACCAGTGGAGATTCTGGGAAGAATATTTGGAAAGTTGAGAAGACGCGTAAGTGTGTATACCCCAATTGATTATTGGCTTCTGACCCGTGCCAAGGACTTGAGGCATCTGTCCAGACTCTTCAGAAGAAGTTGGAGAGATCTGAGCGGAAGCTGTCTGTCTCGGATATTGAAAAGAACCGCTTGCAGAAGGAACGAGATAACATGGCCACTCAGCTTGCTGTGGCTTTCCAGAACTTTGACGAGCTCAAGGCTGAGAAGGAAGCCCTTACTGCTGAAAACGACACGCTTCGGCAGGAGGTAGATTCCCTCCGAGCCGAAAATGACGAGCTCCACCAGCAGCTCGAACGTGAGCAGCAGCAATATCGTGAAGAAACTGTGCAACTCCGTCGACAAGTTGATGAAGCCGAAGACTTGACGCGACGTGAGGCTGAGACTCTTCGGGCTGAGCTGCATCGCGTCCGTGCTCGACACGATGAAAATACCCAGCAACTTGCACGCAAAGAGGCCGAGCTTAGGAAAGCTCGGAAAGAGCAGGCCGAATATGCAAAACTCAAAGCCGACAATGACTCCCTGAAAGCGCAATTAGCAGAGCTGAAAGCGAGTCGCGAGCAGGAACTACGTCGTTGGCTTAATCGAGAAAGTGAACTTAAGGGAAGAGTTGAACGCCGTGATGAGACGATCCGTCACTTCCAGGACATGACCCAGGAACAGACGAACGAGGCGATGAGGCTTGACAATGAGAACTTGCGACGCGAGCTTGCAGATCTGGCGGCACAGCACGACGAGGATATGAGTCGCTGGTTGAGAAAGGAAGCGCAGCTGAAGCGCAAGATCAGTGCGGCTGCTGAGAAGGAGGACCTTACTCGTGAGATTTTAAGCATCAGACAGGCAAACGGCAAGGAAAATAGGCCTCAGGGGGGTCTTCAACGGAGACCGAGCCAACGAAGGGAAAACACCCGGACTCGAATTGCACACCGTATCCAAGAAGAGGTCCGGAACAGCAAATCTGCTGCTAGGACTTCTCTGCCTACTCAACCAGCTCGAAGTGCATCAGCGCCTATTTTCACTCAGAAGAAGTCCCACGTCGACAGCGATGTCGAATCAACAACGGATCTCTCGCTTGGTCCACGTGGAACTCCTTATGTTATGAGCGGAGGTGCTGCCGGCAAGCCGTCTGGTCAGACCATCGAGCGTCCTGCCCCATTGGATCTTACCGAGTTGAGCTACATCGATGCTGAACAGATCGCCCAGCTTCGCCGCGCCCTTGAAGAAGAACGGGCAAGCCTCCGTAAGAAAGAAGCGACTGCTAACACGGAGCGCGTAACACGGGAAGATACTGCTCGTTCTGTAGCTTCTGCGAAGAGCACACGCCAGCAGTCACTGCCACGGAAATCTTCCATGAAAGACCTCACCGAGCGGACGGGGACTGTCTTCGAGGATCTGACCGGCCGCTTCTCTACCCGCAACGAGGATGTTACACAGACCGACGGTGGTGCGGACATCTCGATTGTCAGCAATACTAGCCGCCGCCGTCGCAGTGCCCCTGCAGATAACATGACGTCTGCCTTCATCGTTCCGGATATTACCATGCATGGCCGAAAAGACACTGCCCAACCTGAGACTCAGAAGATTGTCGACAGCCGTTCTCACGACAATGACAACTGCACTGTATGCCGCCGCAATGCGCCCAACCCGTCCGACAAGCCCCTTCAGGTGCCGAAGCTCATACCTGTCTCCTCCCGTATGCCTGACGAAGCGGACGCCACCCTTCGTCCCTCTCAGTCACCGATAGAGGCACTTGCCCTGGTCGTCAAGGAATTGCTCGATGAACGAGCCCATCTCCACCTCGAGCTTGCTGCATGCCGCGCCATGCTCGAGGCGCACGACGTCAGCCTGGGCATGAAGAAGCGCACTAAAATCAACGAAACCATGAAGGATATCTTGCGTCTTATTGAAGTCAAAGATACGCAGATATATCATTTGTACGATGTACTTGAGGGGCAAAAGGACCATGAGATTACAGAGCAAGAGGTCGAGGAGTTGACCAGGGAGATAAGGATGGAGGAACAGCAACAGCAGCAGCAGCAGCAGGAAGGACAGGAGAAGAAGACGGGAAAAAAGGTTACGGTTAGGAGTTTCCATGAGAGCGATGAGGATGAGGGACGGAGTGCGAGCGAGACAGACGAGGAGTTGCCGTGGGAAGGGTTCGAGGATACGGGGAGCTTGAATTTGGGATTTGGAGGGGTGGGAAGAGGGGGAGCGTAGGGTGGTCTAGGGAGCTTGGCTGCTTGTGTCGAGAGGCAGTATGCAAAATTGGCGTTTGGCAGGATGGGATCGATAATGGCGTTCCGGACATTGGTATGATTTTCGAATGGATGCGTCTTCAGCCTCTCTATGCGAAGGCAGAGGGGAAACATGGCGTTCTTTCATTCTTTCTTTTCTGCTGCGATGATGGTATATTTGTCGCTCGCTTTCTAGCACTTCTTCTCTTCGTCTCCTTCAATATTTTTCGCCCCCGTCCTTCTATCTGTATGCGCGTTTCTCCCCGCCATTTTGTCGTCCCGGTCAACCTTGCGCTCTCCGTCGGCTATGTCGTTTGTAGGACTCCCATCTCTCTTTGCACAGGGCAAAGGGCTTTGACTCGCTGTTTGCTTTTTCCTTGCTGGAACAGCGGACGGTTGGAGTTGGCTTCTCTTCCCGGAGCGCTGGGAGATGGTTGAGTCTTACGAGGGGCTGGTTGACGGTGTGCTGGCTGGGCTGGACTCGAGAGGGGAGGGGTAAGTGGGAGATGCGGATGGGGACGGGAGAAGGTGGATATGTTTGGGAGAAGTAGGAGAGGGTAGAACAAGCAGGCATGTTACCATTGACAAACTCTCTTGAATAAGTAAGACTGTGTGATTGCGCCCTTCTAAGCATGGAAATGTGAGAACGGTCACGCTATGGGTCGTCATCGGGGCAAATCAAATAACCACTGTTCATTGTCCTCTGATAAGCCTGGTGGGTGATATCTTGAAGGAAGCGGCAAATCCAGAATTAATCACATCAAAATGAGGTGGAGTGGATTTTTCTCATTGTATCATCGATCATAACCGCTAAGAGCAAGGGAATCGTCAGTAAACCTCCAGCAGAAAAAAAAAACCCAAATATATCGAGAAGCAAGACCGTCCAGTCCATGGACCCATGTCCCAAATATATGTATCCAACGCCTACGCTCCCGCAACAGATATCAGTAGTCCCGCTAGAAACCCACCATAGAAAGAACCACCAGCCCCCCAATCCGCTCCCAAGACACTACCATTCACTCCCCTCATGCCAACGCGCCCATCGGATCCCACAACTCCAACATCTTGGGCTTCTGCTCCAACACCTTCCTCACGGCCGGACTCACCACCGTCGGGTCCACAACCGCCTGATACACAAACTCATCCATCCACTGATCCGTCATGACGAAATACCCCTTGTCGCCCACCCTGTCACTCCAACTATTCTCCACCCGCCACCTCACCGTCTTGCCGTCTTTCACGTGCACCCCCGTTAAGACCATGGCGTGCGTCATCAGCGACTCCCCCGTCTGCAGCCGCTCGGCCTTCGTCATACCAAGCTTGACATTGAAGCCGAGCTCGTAGTCAAACAGAGCGGTATCCATGATGCCCTTGTTGGAATCCGAGTACTTGCCCACGTCCGAGCCAAAGAAGACGGGCATCCCTCGTTTGAGCATGTCGACGCAGGCTTTCTTGATCGTGGCCATGTCCACGTTGACGTACGTGACGGGGCGGCCTTCGTAGACGTTACCCAGACGCTTGACGCTTAGGAGGCGGTTGTAGGGGTTGCGAGGGTCGTTGACCAGGGAGAAGAGCGAGTGCACGTCTGTACCGCCTAGCGCTCGGATGGTCCTGTTGTCGGATAGTTCCTTGGCGAAGGCGATGGGGCGCGTTTTGACGGTGCAGAGGTTGTTGTCCTTGTCGTAGAATTCCCAGGTAAAGGGCTCGTTAGGGGGTGGTGGGGGGCCGAGCATGAGGGTCAGGATGAGGTGGATTTCGCGCAGCATTTTCTGCTTCGCGGCGGCGATGGCGGACTTGGTGTCCTTGCCGTTGGAGGTGGCGAGGCGACGGAGTTGGAGCGCGTTCTCCCGGAGTTTGGTGGTGATGAGGCGGTCCATGGCGGAGGAGTTGAGCGCATTGTAAGAGTCGGGATACAGCGCTTGCGGCACAAGACCATATTTCAGCACGAGGTTGGCTACCATGTCCCACTGTCCACCATCGCCGACGGGACTCTCCAGCAGCGTCTGCACCAGCCTGCTATCGATATCCTCGCCGGCGGTATCGAGAATGTTTTCCAGGAAGTAATTCGCCTTTTCGATCTTGTCCCAGTAGAAGAGGTAGGATTGGGAGAGCTGGAAGGAGGAAAGACGGTACTTCTTCATGATGGCCAGGCGGAAGATGTTGGTGGAAGCAAAGAGCCAGCATCTGCCGGAGGAAGCTTGGTTGGTCACTGGGGATCCTTCTTGGGGAATGCGGATGTTGAAGTTGTGCGTGTCGGATATGGTTGCGGTGCGGGAGGTGAGGATGGAGGTCGCAGGGTTGGTCGTGAGGGCTGATAAGGCGAGGCGGTTCTGGGTGATGTTAGTTGGGGTGATCGGAGTCAGTCTAGGTGACAATATGTAATCACCTTAGCGTCTGCCAGGAGCTCCTTCTCCCATTCTTGAATAGTGGAAGAGGAGACACTGTGGACATGGGGCACCGACTTCGAGGCTAAGGGGTTGGTGCCTTTACACGTGTAGTTCACTCCTTCAAGCGTGGAGCTTGAAAACCCACTCCTCTGACTGGTAGTATTCTCTACACAGACATATCCCTCCTTCTCGTTCACGGAGAGGTCATCCTTTGTCTGGAGAGCCTGAAGCCTTTCGATAAGCTTCTCTTGGATAGCTACATCCGATGGTCTCGACTGGTTGGCCCCCATAGCACTCGGTGAAGACAGATTATGGCAGAAATGAGCGGCGGTGGAAGGGAGGGAAAGTGAGAGGTGTAGCAGTCAGTGAGTGGTGGTTGTCAGGAGGACGAGTCACCTGGGCGGCCAACTGGGTGCTCTCAAGTGCTCCAGCCCCTCAGCTTATCGCTTATCGCCAGGTGGCTGGTTATTCTTGGCGCGGCTGTGCGTTCCCCAGTTCTCCTAGTCTAGTTCAGATAAACCGAGGAAGGGGATTGTCCAGGTCGAACTTTTGCAGACTTCAAAATCATTCGCGCGCTCCTTCTCCTACAGGATACGTAACAGGAAACTCGTTTCTAATGACGGCGCAGAGCAACCATGACGACTAACGTACACAGTACTCCGTAAAAGCTCACCAACTGGCATGGGTTTTGGATCGACGCCTGGGCAGGCACGTTCACCACCCGCGCCTCCCAAGGATGAGTGGCACCCCAACGCGTTTCATCATGGACATCTTTTATCATATTTAATTGTGCCACTTTCCATCCCACCGCTTTATACCTGTGCCTCTTCCTCTCACTCTTCCTTCTCGAGCGGCGAACAGGCCGATTGAGTATTATTTCCTACATCTTTAGTACTCTGCACAGTGACCCCTGAAGTCATAACACAACAATCGCCATCATGGGCATCGGCGTGAAAGCACCCGTCGTTTGGAAGAAGCGCATCTTGATACCCTTCTGGATACTGCGAATATGCATCATGGTCTTTATCATTGCCGCCTATAGCTGGGCGATTAAGGTGTTGAAGGACCAAGGGGACGGGCGCAAGGGGCTTCCCCGTACTCAGTAGGTCTGCTGCTTGTAGGGCGAATATGAGGCTGACAGTCTACCTAGCTCCATCGTTCTCTTCATGCTCATGACGGTCATTGTGCTCCTGCTGGATATCCTGGCCATTCTCCTGTTCCTACGCGATAGATTGACACCGAACACATTCCTGGTCATGACCAGCGCCCAAACCGGATTCTGGGTAGGCGTGCTCATCATGGAGACTGTTGCTGTGGCCAATGGCGCCAGCGCATTGGGACTCATATTTGTTTTATTCTGCCTGTACGTTCTTGATTCCCCATTGTCCGAAATGTTGTGTGGTGTTTTGACAGCCCCTAGTTTATCCTTTGTCGGCCTGCTCATCTACGCGATCGTAAAGTACCGGAAGGCGAAGAGGGAAGGAAAACGCGGCCAATACGCGCTCGCCTATAACCCCTCTGGAGCACCGATCACGCCAACGGCCGGACACCATCCTCCCGCGTTCATGAACGCTGCACCTTACCGGGAGGAGACGACCTACAACCAGACCACCGCTTACAAACCTCAAGGTGCCGAGTTTGCTTCCCAAGTGGAGCCGCCGGCATATTACTATCAAGCTCCGGCGAAACCAACTCAGATGGTGTAGTGCCGTGAACACTCGGCAAAGGGCAAGGATTATATTTTGCTGTCAAGGTCACTGGGATGAAAAACGGCGTATACTAGACTGGGTTTTGGCGCTTGTTAGATGGGTACAGAAGCAAAATATGTTTTGTGCGTAATACTACAGGAGGCAGTTTCAAAGGCATACTCAGTTCATTCTTAGATGGTTGAAGTTGGACACTCTCGGCTGCGCTTGCACATGATTGTCGCGTTCTCCTCACCAGAACCGGCCTCACGGGGCCTCAAATGTTCAGTGCTTCAGCACCCAGACACAACTGAGAGATTCTTCTAGCGCAGGAGAACAAACGTAGAAGGGTTGTGGAGTATCTGTGTCAGCGAATGTCGATTATGTGGAGTATGAAGTCCAGGACGACTGGCTTAGCCTAGAGTACCTTCACCACCATCCGAAGGTCGATTCAACCTTTGCCAGCTATGTCGACGTGTTACTGTCACAATCCTAGGCGGTCTACAACGACCGCGTGGGTAATCCGCGAAAGAGAAGAGGATGTCTGAAAATGCCCCATACCGTGCCTTTCCAGACCATGCAACACGTCGTTTGTGCCGAATGAATGAGAGTATTAGATATGTGCATGCGAATCCCATGGAGCTTGGGGAGGTTTACTAGCAGTCCGAAGTGTGTTTTCCTCAAATAGGAACGATCTTCACGCAGTCTGGTATCGAGGCTGCTTAGACCACAGAAACCTGGGCAGAACCAATCCCTTACGTTCTCATAAGCAGAACTTCGTTGTTTTCAATAGACCTTCTCTGAAGCAGTTCGTCCCAGTCACAGGTTTGCTGTCCAGCCCACCTCACGAGTAGTTGGTGATGCAGGAAAAGACGGGTGGCAAATATGGCCCCGCTATACCACTCACGGACTAGCGTTCGTCGCGTCGCCCTTGGCTTGTTTGTCCGCGCGATGGCCCCACCCCTCCGCGACTGCCTCACTCTGGGTCTCTTCTTCTTGCTTCCATCCCCGCTGCCTCGCTCGAAGACACGCCCCGTATATATCTATATCCTCACCTTCGCTTTCAATCGCAATAACACCCCCCATCTCTAAGCATCGCTATCCCTCCGCCCATCCCCTTGCTATCCCATCTCGCTATTTGGTTGGATCATGCGGAGTTGCTCCACTCGCTCTTACTGTGAATGTATGTGAACCTGGCACGGAGAACCACATTGTGGAAGCCTTTCCGCTTTGCACGAGGCTGCCGCAGTAACTGACGGCTGCTACCATAGATTCACTTACCCTTCTTTTACCGTTTTGCGGAACATCTTTTCGGGATCCCTCAATCCATTACCAATCAGTAACGTGAACCCGCCCTACCCTATATACCAACAGAAGAATGGAGTTTCAAAGCGCCTTCGGCTCCCGAAAGTCTGTACAGCCGAATGTCTCCACCGACACGATCGGCCACTCGGACGACGTTATGGACTGTCGTTTCGGATTTGGACCACTTCCGGAGACTGGGGAACACACCACCGGCAATCAGCCGTTCATCAACCCAAAATTCAACCTGCCCAGTTTTGTAGCAACACCCAACAAGAAGCGCTTCCACAACTGTGCCGGTCGCCTCTACCACCAGCTCAGCTGCTCCCATCGTATTCGAACGGACATCGTCGAAGAGTGCGGCACGAATTGTGTGGAGCCATTTCAGGGCCGAATGGGTCTCCCTTTCTGCTGTCAGGAATGCTTAGATCAGCAGTACAAAGCATCGAGGGAGCAGCTTGAAACTGGCGTCCGATCCATGTACAGCGGATATGAGGAAATCAGCTGGGAGGAGTACGAGGCCTGGTTCAACGCAAAGGAAGCGTCTCTGGAAGATTTTGAGCGGAGCTGGCAAGCATACGTTAGAGGAGTCCGATCCGAAACGCGACCTAGTCATGTGGCCTCTGCCCGTGAGTCCGAGCCAGAGGACTTGGATCTCGCGGGCAGTCTCGGCTGTATTTCCTTGGAACGGGAAACGCCCACCGTGGCTTACTGTCCACCTTCAATGTCATTGAATGGGCAGCGAGTGAGCCTTGCTACCGATCCACCTGAGCAACTTCGCTTCAATCTTGAACTCTTGTCCCTCTGCGAATCAAATGATGCCGATCAGAATGGGGCGGGATATGACCCGCGGTCGCACACAACCTGGGTCCATTGATGACAAGTATTGTATAGTAGGCTTGGAGATCCACCAGTGGCCCGCTCGCACGCTTTTTGACGCTGCAATGTTCGGTCCCACGGCCAGCAACTCGGTCTGCAATGATTGTTTGGGTCTGTTTAGGTTCACCCTAAGGACGTGGCATTCTGGCTTAGCATAATTGGTCTCATCGAGGCTGGATGTTGTGATTTTTCTAGTACTATGGTATCCATGTCATTAGTAACAGAAATAGAATGATCTCTAACAGCGGGGATGCCTTTATGGAGTACCAACTGGTAGATTTCGACCTTGGTGACAGAACAGAGGGTGCTCTTCCGCTTGGTCCTTCGTAGTTGACACAGGGCGTTGCCAACAGGCATTCTCGAGTGGGGGTTCTACTTCTGTCTATGCTACAGTAAGTAACATCACTTACAAGTTCGATGTCAGCTAACAAAGCTTAGTGGGTTTGCTATACCTCTGACAGCATAGTTGAAGCTTTCAACTGCGTGATTGTTGAAAGAACTTAGCATATACAGTGGATACAATGATGTGCAGGACTTGCAAAATCGTTGTACATCCCACAGGGCAAGCCGATCTCATCTACTCCCGGTAAATCCCAAAAACCACATCAACATTCCCAGATATCGCCTACTCAACAGATCCCAATACTCATGGAATCTCTCGCCTTAGGCACCATCCCCTGTCGCTTAGTCATCCCATCCATCAACTCAACGGCTACCGATATATTAACAACTACCTTGGACGTAACACAAAACCGCTACTCCTGGTACCAGATGGCCAGCCTCTAGATTGATATGTGCGGCTCGCTGTAGCGGCAGTTTGATTTGCCCCACATGATTGGCAAAGAGGCTATCGCGAGAAAGTATCCCACAGGATGTTGAGAATGCCATGACTGCTCATATAAGGCATGTTGCCTTAATTCTACTTCGATACCCTACCTCTCCGACTCACCAGCGAGGTCAAAGCTAGGCGTCACCACCTCCAAGATGCGCTCTCCCCTAACTCTGCTCGCCCTCGCGAGCACCGCCGCCGCCCAAACCGCCCACATGCTCCGCTTCGGCTGTTCCCAACTCGTCGTCGAGCGGCTCGACCCACTCGTCAACCCAGGCCAAGTCGGCACTCCGCACGTACACCAGATCGTCGGCGGGAATTCCTTCCGCGCGGACATGAAGCCCGTCGAGCATGATTTACCTTCGCGGTCCACATGCACGACTTGCACCTTCTCCGAGGACTTTAGCAACTACTGGACTGCGGCTCTGTATTTCAGGGCGAGGAATGGGACGTTTAGGCGGGTGCAGCAGTTTGAGAATGAGGGGTTGAGACAGAGGGGTGGGATGACGGTGTATTATATTCCGCCATATGATGGCGTGAGCAATGTCACTGCTTTCAAGCCGGTCAGTATACAAACCCCAGACAAAGTAGAATCGGGCTGATACCTACACTCTACCAGGGCTTCCGCATGCTCGCTGGCAACCCCGCCCTTCGCAACAACACAGGTTCGTCCCGCGGGATCTGCCACCGTTGCTTCGAAGGCGAAAACTTCAGACCCTTCGGTGGCGCCCCTTGCACTGGGAATGACACAAAATCGTTGCCTGACCACCCGTGTCCCGGCGGTATCCGCACCCAAGTCACCTTCCCCACCTGCTGGGACGGTGTGAATCTCGACTCGCCGGATCACCAGAGCCATGTAGCATACTCGATTATCCCATTTGAGCCTTATGAGGAACCCGTGGTCAAGAGGCCGTATACGCCCGAGTTGCAGAGGGGCAAGTGTCCCGACAGCCATCCGGTGCATTTGCCGCAGTTGATGTATGAGGTCATGTTCGATACGAGGCCGTATAATGACAAGGATTTGTGGCCCGAAGATGGGAGTCAGCCGTTTGTGTTTTCCATGGGTGATGCGTAAGTGAAACGTTCAGTAATGAAGGGAAATCCAGAGCTGATTGTGAGGTCTAGGACTGGGCATGGTAATCACGGCGACTACCTCTTCGGCTGGAAAGGAGATTCCCTTCAGCGGGCTTTGGATGCGAGATGCGATAATGCCAAGTGCAAAGAGTTGCTTGATCAGACGCCTGAGGAGGCGATGAAGTGTAGGGTTCCGCAGACTATGGTTGAGGATGTGGGCGATGAGACGTGTAAGTGGGCCTGAGCATTGGAGAGCTCGAGCTGGGTGGTGAGTGAGACCGTTTGTGCTGACATGCCGACTTTTAGGGCTCGAGACGCTTCCTGGAGGGGTGATGCCGCATTAGGAGTCGAAATAAGGGTTGAAAGTCGAGGGGAAGAGGTGATATCGAGGCATGTAGCTTTCAGGCAATGAGCCTCTTGATTTTCTAAAGTAATCAACTACCGGTTAGATAGATGTACGTGCATGTTGCACCACGCCTCTATCCCAGAAGGAAGTGCCGCTGCAGACCCGATGATTGGCTCATCGTTCAAAGCTTTCAAAACGGTTGCACTACTACAATGACACAACTAGATAGTCCTGTGATCTGTACTGTTAGCCCTCTACGCGGGTCCAGCTCGGCCGAACACGGTAGCACAAGTGAATCGGTGAACATCTCAACGACAACGCGGGGCAAAAGGATGGACGAACTCGGATGAAAATACATGGGGATCGGAATGGAGGTTCCGATCTGCCTGCAGTTCGTAGACATAAGAGTTGACAGACGCATCGGGATTCGACATCCGGAAGCGACTATACAGTATTTCATAGCGTAGAATGGTTGGGGCTTGGCGCCACCGCAGTATGACGTCGAGGACATGTACAACGGACGGGTTTAGGCGGATCTAACCATTATTGCCTTCAGTAACATAAGGATGGGAGACATCGAAGGACCGCCTGCTTACAAGCGGCTTTGCACTTTCCTTCGTCGCACCCGTAAAAAGGGCAGTTGCCATGTTCCTGTCGCCCCCTACTCCAGACAGTCAACTCCAACCTAGTGTTGACCTTGTCATCACACAGAGTGTTTCAAAGACAATAAACGTCCTTAACGGGTTGAACACAGATGCCATTCTTGAGTAAAGAGTCGTTCTTTTCGGTTGTTGAAATTATTTCCTGACGCTCCTGAGAGCCCGGATCCGTACCATGGATTCTCATTCAGAGCACCCGACGCCGCACGTGGAGGAGCTACCTGGTGGATGGATTGAGACACCGCACGAGCCTCCCCGATCACGATCTTACATAGGACCCGAAGGACAGGGGAGTAGTGAGCTCGATCGTCAACAAGCCATCCAGCTTGATTCTGCGAACTATGTCGCCAACCAAACCCCTACCAACGGAGGGGCACCTGTGACACAGAGCGCGACAGTGACCGACAGTTCATATTCCAACAACACGTCGGAGAACACTGCGATAGCTTCCTCACAAGCGAATGCTACGCCATCAGAAGAAAACTCTCTAAGGGAAAAAGAGGACCATGACCGTGAGTCTTCAAGTGGCAGCGAGGAAGAAGGGGAGGAATGTTATGCTGCCCTCAAACCGGCCTCCTCCGCACCTCCGCGCCCTCATACTGAGAGGTCGCACTCTAAATCCCTCGGCGAAGATGATATATTCAGGGTCTTGTCAAGGCGTAGAACCGCTTCGTTATCTCGGCAAAGCACATCGACCACGGTTTCGAGCCACCATGACGAGCAGGAGGAGATCGATAGACTGCTGTCCCGCATGTTTGGTAGGACCCGCCAGGAGGCCTCCGAGGAAGAGAAGACACGCCACGTTGGGTTGGTGTTTAAACATTTGACGATTCGAGGAATGGGTGCGGGTGCGGCATTGCAACCTACAGTTGGCGACATATTCCTGACACTGCCTCGATTCCTCAGAAATGTCATTACCAAGGGCCCGCGACGAGCTGCGGGGAGGCCGCCCGTACCAACGCTCATAGATGACTTCTCCGGTTGCGTCAAACCCGGCGAGATGCTGTTAGTGCTCGGCCGTCCGGGAGCAGGTTGCAGTACATTCTTGAAAGTCATCGGCAATCAGAGATTTGGCTTTGAAGGCATCTCCGGTGAAGTCACTTATGGTGGCACTGATGCAAAGGAAATGAAGAAGAAGTTCCGCTCCGAGGTGCTGTACAATCCGGAAGATGATCTACACTATGCGACGCTCAAAGTCAAAGATACGCTTAAGTTCGCTCTCAAGACTAGGACGCCGGACAAGAGCTCGCGCAAAGAGGGCGAGTCAAGGAGTGACTATGTCCGCGAATTCTTGCGTGTAGTCTCGAAGCTATTCTGGATTGAGCACACAATGAACACGAAAGTGGGCAATGAGCTGGTCAGAGGCGTGTCTGGAGGAGAGAAGAAGCGAGTGAGCATTGCAGAGGCAATGATTACAAAGGCTTCGGTACAATCATGGGACAATTCTACGCGAGGCTTAGACTCATCAACAGCCTTGGAATATGTCCAGAGTTTGCGGTCTCTCACTAATATGGCTCACATATCGACTTCTGTTGCTCTCTACCAAGCAGGAGAATCGCTCTACGAACTTTTCGACAAAGTTCTTCTGATCGACAAAGGAAGGTGCTGCTACTTTGGTCCGACGGAGAAGGCAGCAGCATACTTCAAAGATCTGGGATTTGTGCAGCCGGACCGATGGACCACGGCAGATTTCCTGACGTCTGTGACGGACGAGCATGAACGGAATATTAAAGACGGATGGGAGGACCGGATTCCTCGGTCGCCTGCTCAGTTTGCCCAAGCGTTCACCGAGTCCAAGCAGTATGAGGACAATCTGGATGAGATTGCCGATTTCGAGACACAGTTAGAGGCCATGGCCGAAGAACGTCGAGCTGCCCGGACAAAGTCTACGAAGAAGAAGAACTACACGTTGCCGTTCTACAAGCAGGTGACGGCATGTACGCAACGCCAGTTCCTGGTCATGATCGGAGACAAGCAGTCGCTCTGCGGCAAGTGGGGTGGAATCCTCTTCCAAGCGCTCATCGTCGGCTCACTCTTCTACGATCTCCCGAAGACGGCGGCAGGAGTTTTTCCTCGTGGCGGTGTTATGTTCTTCATGCTTCTCTTCAACGCGCTCCTGGCTCTGGCGGAGTTGACATCCGCTTTCGTAAGCCGACCAATCCTGTTAAAACATAAGAGCTTCTCGTTCTACCGCCCAGCTGCCTTCGCTATCGCGCAGACCCTAGTCGATACTCCGTTGGTGGCAATCCAGGTCATAATATTTGACGTCGTTGTCTATTTCATGTCCGGACTCCAGAGAACCCCCTCACAATTCTTCATCTCCCTGCTCTTCCTCTGGATTCTTACCATGACGATGTATGCTTTCTTCAGAGCTCTGGGAGCGCTCGTCCGCTCTTTGGATGTTGCTACGAGACTTACTGGAGTGGCCATCCAAGCACTTGTCGTCTATACAGGATACCTGATTCCGCCCCGCAAGATGCATCCTTGGTTCAGCTGGCTCAGATGGATCAATCCTGTAGCGTATGGGTTTGAAGCTCTTATGGCCAACGAGTTCTACAACCTCGAAATCCAATGTGTCCCACCGTTTCTCGTACCACAGGTCCCAAATGCGAGTCCTCAGTATCAGTCTTGCACCATCCAGGGCAGCACTCCCAGTTCGCTGACCGTTAGCGGAGCAAACTACATATCCGTCGCATATGGATACTCTCGGTCCCATCTGTGGCGTAACTTTGGCTTCATCTGTGCATTCTTTGGCTTCTTCGTCTTTCTCACTGCTTTGGGTATGGAGCTCCAGAAACCTAACAAGGGTGGAGGCGCAGTTACCATATACAAGCGAGGGCAGGTGCCCAAAGTAATCGAAAAGGCAATAGAGATGCCGAGAAAGAATCCAGATGAAGAGACTGGAGAGAGCGATACAACCGAAGCTACACGCCAAAAAGAGGGCTCGGGAAGTGACAAGGAGGATGGCGTCCCCACCAAAAGAGGTGTGGCGAAGCATGAGGCCATATTCACGTGGCAAAACGTCACCTATACGATTCCTTACGAGAAGGGGGAGCGGGTCCTGCTGCAAGACGTGCAAGGTTACGTCAAACCGGGGAAGCTGACAGCATTGATGGGTGCTTCCGGTGCCGGCAAGACGACACTTCTCAACACTCTTGCACAGAGAAACAATGTAGGCGTTGTGCATGGCGATTTCTTGGTCGATGGAAGGCCACTCCCTGCTTCATTCCAACGGTCTACTGGTTTCGCGGAGCAAAGTATGTAACCCATACGATGATCATGTTCCTCAGCTAACAATTACCTAGTGGATGTACACGAGCCAACCGCTACAGTGCGCGAGGCACTCCGATTCAGTGCAAAGCTGCGTCAGCCGAGAGAAGTCCCTCTCAAAGAGAAGTATGAATACGTCGAGAAGATTATCGATTTATTGGAGATGCGGGACATTGCTGGGGCGGCGATTGGCAGAGTTGGCTCCGGACTGGATCAAGAACAGCGAAAGCGCGTGACTATCGGAGTTGAGTTGGCCAGCAGACCCGAGTTGCTGATGTTCCTTGACGAGCCCACTTCCGGACTGGACAGCGGTGCAGCTTTCAACATTGTTCGATTCCTGAGGAAGTTGGCCGATGCGGGCCAGGCAATCTTGTGCACCATCCACCAGCCGTCATCGGTACTCTTCGAGTACTTCGACCAGCTATTACTGCTCAAGAGCGGGGGGCGTACTGTATACTTTGGCGAGCTTGGGCAGGACAGCCGGATCCTGCTTGACTACCTCGAGCGAAACGGCGCCAGGAAGTGCCCGCCCGAGGCCAATCCAGCTGAATACATGCTGGAGGCCATTGGAGCTGGAGATCCGAACTACAGAGGGCCGGATTGGGGGGACATATGGGCTACGTCCGAAGAGAACAAGCGATTGAGCGAAGAAATACAAGGTATTATCCGCGACCGGAGGGACGCCTCGGGCAGTGAAACCCGAGACGATCGTGAGTACGCCATGCCGCTGTCTACGCAACTCGTGACTGTTATTCACCGGAGTTTCGTGGCCATGTGGCGCGACCCTGTCTATGTGAGCGGTATGTTTCTGCTGCACATCTTCACGGGGCTTTTCAACTCGTTCACCTTCTGGAAACTGGGGAATAGTCAGATCGATATGCAGTCACGGCTCTTCTCCGCCTTCATGACATTGACTATTGCACCACCTCTTATCCAACAACTACAGCCGCGGTTCATCCACAGCAGAAGCCTTTATGAGGCTCGAGAAGGAAGCTCGAAGATTTACTCATGGCCTGCCTTCGTGTGGGGCTCCATTCTCAGTGAGATTCCCTACCGTCTCGTGGCCGGTACCCTTTTCTGTAAGTGAAGTCGAGGGCTATGATTGATTGTACTCGGCTGACTATGACAGGGTGCTGCTGGTACTGGCCGACATTCTTCCCTCGTGACACATACACATCCGCAAGCGTGTATGCCTTTATGCTCATCTTTGAGCTGTACTATCTCGGTTTCGGGCAGGCGATTGCATCTTTCAGCCCGAATGAGCAACTGGCGTCTCTGTTCGTTCCGCTATTCTTCACTTTCAGTAAGTCTTGTGCAGAGTCTCCAGGGAAGTCATCTAACAGCGTGGAGTTGTATCTTTCTGCGGCGTCGTGGTGCCTTACGCAGCCCTCCCAACCTTTTGGAGGAGCTGGATGTACTGGCTCACGCCTTTCAAGGTACCGCCTTGCGCTCACTCAAAATCAGGCAAATGCTAACATGGGTAGTACCTGCTGGAAGGACTCCTGGGTCTACTGCTCGACGGCATTCCCGTCCGATGCGAGACGAGCGAGCTGGCCATATTCCCCGCACCGCCAGGGCAGAGCTGCCAGTCATATGCGGGTGGGTTCGCGCAGCGGGTGGGAGGATATGTGGAGAGGCAGCCCAACGGGGACTGTGGGTTCTGCCAGTACGCTTCGGGAAACGCATTCGCAGCCAGCTTCAACGTGTTCCCGCGATACATCTGGCGGGATTTCGGCATCATGTGGGCGTACGTTGTCTTCAATTTCGCCGTCGTCTTCTTCTGCACATGGTTGTATTTGGGAGGGCTCCGCAGGGTCAAGAAAGCGCTCAGTCCGACAGCACGGAGGAGAAAGAGGCACGCGACCAGAGGACGAAACGGTGAGGGTGGTGATAAGGCGTAAATGGGAGCCGTGTTGTTGGGTCGGGGAGAATCGTACCGGCCGCGGACAGGCCCGCTCTCCTAACCGGATGAGGCAATTGGCTGGACAGGGCTCGAAGATATTCCTTGAGGAAAGGGATAGATGAACTAATGTACACAGAGATAATGCAGGGTGTATTATGCTGCCGGCACAGGAGGAGTATGTAGGTGTAATAATGAGGGTCATGACTCTCCCATGCTTCTCCTGTTCCCTTATGTTTCTCGTTACTGCCTCATGATCTCCGGTGGTAGGCCTAGACCAGCTCCCAGGTAGCCACTCGCGGAGCCGCCGTTGCAGGTGACTACTGCGCACAGCTGGGGATGTGGCGGCTGGGCTCGGCAGACGTGAGCAAAGCCGTGCAAGAGAGCTCCCGCAACCAGTACCGAGTTCCAAGGCTTCCCCGTCCGCCCACCCGAGACGTTTCTTCGGGTACAGTTACAGGGATTAGATAATCGCGCAACCCTCCGGCGCTGGCGGGAAGTGGGCGCGGGACGAGGTGGAATCGGAAGCTGAGGTGTGAAAGGCACAGTTTACAGCCACGGGCAATCAGCAAACCGTCCCAGCGGGTTTCAGATTGCTTTGCTGCGGATGAAACATCGAGGACACATATTGCGCTGTTTTTCTTTTTTTGGGGAGACTTGTCACTTTACATGCTGCGTATCTTTTACGTCGTGAAGAGAGCGAAGAATTAATTCCATATTTAAGCTGCACGCACGCGAGGTGCCAAAAGCAGCTTAGCGCGATCGTCATCCGCCGCTTGCAGCGACGTCACACCTGGCACTCCCCAACCTTCGCTGGTATCCGCAACACTCCACATTCTTCCCCAAGCTCCATCTTTTGAAAGGCGGGGAAGCACACTGGTTAATCCACGCTCGGCATCACAGAGAAGAGGCTCGGCACAGGGCAAACCCAGGCTCATCCGCCCTGGGTCCGCGGTCGTCAGCTGGGCCACCTGGGCTCCTCGCTCCGCCCTCCTCGTCATGTGAACGCAGTTGCACACACCTGCAAGCTGTTCGCACATCAATGACATCTGCCGTACAGGAGAGCGACAGCAAGCCTGCAGCAAATCCTGATGTCCAACTCGTTCCCTTGCCATACCGCAAATGCCCTGGACACTCCGCCGTGTACTAAACCCTCTTTTCCGCCAGGTAACCGTTAACCGCATCACCAACGCCCAACCCTTTCATTATTCCGGCCCATTTTCGCTCGGGAATACCCGGCTCACGCCTTCACCAGCCTCAGACGCCTGGACCAATAAGCGCCCCACAGGACGCCGTACTAAACAGGACAACGTATCGAAACTGAATCGACTGCCGAACCAGCTTCGTAGAATGGGGCCTATTAAAGGGCAAGCTGACCCCGCTCCCGTTTTGCCCAACTCAACAAACCCAGCTCCATTAGCTCAAGATTTTGCGTCTCAAGCAGCCACCAGCTTCCATCGTCACAACTATCATTCTTCCTCCCTTCGCACTGGCGCCGTCGACATGAGCAGCGTAAACAGAACCAACCTCCACCCGGCTGGCGTCCAGTACGTCAATTGCACTTGCTACTTCCGCTCTATGCTAACACCACTACAGACCGTCAAAGGAACACACGGAGATTGAGGAGCAGCTTTACGACAGAGCACACATCGACTACGACCGTGTAGCAATTGTAAGTACTCAATCGGTTTGGCCGAGTGGCCGTGCTATCGTCTTCGACAGCTCTGACAATGCCTACGCAGGTAGCAAACCCCTCCGTCGCCTCTCTCTACGAAGATGCCCTCGTCTACGAGTCTGGTTCGGCCATCACAGCCAGCGGAGCTCTCTGCGCATACTCTGGGGCGAAGACGGGACGCTCACCCTCGGACAAGCGCATCGTGAAGGAATCGTCTTCAGAGAACGAAATCTGGTGGGGTCCGGTCAACAAGCCTATGTCGACCGATGTAAGCCTTCTCTCCTTTCTCGCTTTCGTCCCATCCTTTGCTTGAGCAGTTTTGCCTGTCCGTTTGGCGGCAGACGTCACCATTGGCGCGGCGCGACGTTGACGAGCGGCGCCATCCGGCAATGGCCGACCCCTGCTCCTGCATGCCTTAGCGTGGCTTCCCCGCATCACACTGCATGCAGACCACGTGCCGCCCAACGACACTCCATTCTGCGACTCTTGCTAATGACGTGATTGGCAGGTCTGGCGCATCAACCGCGAGCGTGCCATTGACTACCTCAACACCCGCAAGCGCATCTATGTCATCGATGGCTTCGCCGGCTGGGACGAGCGCTACCGCATCCGCGTGCGTGTCGTTTGCGCGCGCGCCTACCACGCCCTTTTCATGAGGAACATGTTGATCCGTCCGTCGCGAGAAGAGCTCGAGCATTTCCAGCCAGACTATGTCATCTACAATGCGGGCGCCTTTCCCGCCAACAGATACACTGCCGGTATGACCTCATCCACCTCTGTGGCCATCAACTTTGCCGAGAAGGAGATGGTCATTCTTGGCACCGAGTACGCCGGCGAGATGAAGAAGGGTATCTTCACCGTGCTCTTCTACGAGATGCCCGTCAAGCACAACGTCCTGACCCTCCACTCGTCGGCCAACGAGGGCAAGGATGGCGACGTTACCGTCTTCTTCGGCCTCTCCGGGACCGGCAAGACCACTCTCTCCGCCGATCCCAAGCGCGCCCTCATCGGCGACGACGAGCACTGCTGGGGCGACAGGGGAGTTTTCAACATTGAAGGCGGCTGCTATGCCAAGTGCATTGGACTCTCTGCTGAGAAGGAGCCCGATATCTTTAATGCCATCCGGTTCGGCTCCATCCTGGAGAACGTCGTCTTCGACCCCATCACCCGTGTCGTCGACTACGATGATGATACCCTGACGGAGAACACGCGCTGCGCCTACCCCATCGAGTACATTGAGAACACCAAGATCCCCTGCATCTCGAGCAGTCACCCCAAGAACATTATCCTCCTCACCTGCGATGCCCGCGGTGTCCTGCCCCCCATCTCCAAGCTCAACAAGGAACAGGTCATGTACCACTTCATCTCCGGCTACACTTCCAAGATGGCCGGCACCGAGGTCGGTGTTACCGAGCCCCAGGCGACCTTTTCGACCTGTTTCGCCCAGCCCTTCCTTGCCCTGCATCCCATGCGCTACGCCAAGATGCTGGCCGCCAAGATTGAGGAGCACAACTCGGATGCATGGCTTCTCAACACTGGATGGGTGGGCTCGAGCGTATCTAAGGGAGGCAAGAGAATACCGTTGAAATATACTCGTGCCATGCTCGATGCTGTTCACAGCGGCGAGCTCGCCAAAGCAGAGTACGAGACCTACGAAGTCTTCAATCTCCAAGTCCCGAAGAGCTGTCCTGGTGTCCCAGATGATCTCCTTAATCCTATGAGGAGCTGGAGCGGATCGGGAGATTTCCAAGAGGAGGTCGAAAAGCTCGCCAGGTTGTTCATGGACAACTTCAAGCGGTATGACGCGACGCCTGAAGTGATCAAGGCCGGCCCGCACGTCTGTTGTTGCCCTAAACACTAGGCAATATTCGCCTAGACGGCGTTTCCATTCTTCTGACAAGTTACAGATTGAGTAAAAGTTTTTCCCTAGGATTTCGTACCTTCTTCTTACGACGAAGCGTCACACTATGGCCGACGACGATGATTCCCGGTTCTTCTTACCTACATGTTTGGGTGTTTTTCTCTAATTCCTTGGCATCTTTGGATTTTGTGCTGCTGCCGCGTTGGTCGGCCGGTGTATTATCGATGGACTGATGGCTCTGGCCGGTTGTTGTCGGCTGCGCGCCTTGGTTGGACAGTGTGGAAGTTGGATATCTTTTGGGACTGCATTGAGCGGGCAGACCTTGAGCGTAGTTGGACAAAGCCTGTGGTTAGACGAGCGGTTGCGAATATGAAAGTCTTTATTGTTCATACCCGCCTTCACCTCATCTGTGGTGTGTCGGTGTGCTCTACTGCAAAGGGAATGCCGTGGCTATTCCCTCTCTACCTAAGCATTGTTCTATGTCTATGCCACTAGATTGATACCGTGCCTGTAATCATCTAGTACGGTACAACGGAGACAGAGCTAGAACGCAGGCTGACAGAGCCAGTTTCCTCTTCGAAGAACATCAGATACCTAATCTCGAGCCTGGACACGCTTTCTTAGTTTACCAAAGCTTCTCTAGCGTTAGTAGGAAATCCGGCAATTTTCAAGTGACGTTGTGCACTGTATCTCAGGTTGAGCTAGAATACAGATAGCACGGAGCCTGTTTCTATTGCCTTACTTGCGATAGGGACGACAAAGGACTCGCTTTCTGCGTAGTAGTACACTGCTCCGATGACTCCGTCTCTGTCTCCTTTTGACGAGTCCCTGTTCGCGGCCGGCATGGAAACGTCTTTCGCATAGCTGGTCTCTTGATGTGGTGGGGTGGGGTGTAGGACATTGCAATTGGAAACCTTTCTTTCGATTATACTTCCCCATCCGTTTCAAGCTCGAGTTGGAGTACGCGACGGACGGATGTTTGGGACGAGGAATCATTTTGATGACTGATTCAGGGTGGAAGTCCAGTCTGATGCTCACTCTTTTTCTTGCCTTGAATCTCTCCGTCTTCCGGGTAGCCCTTTCTCTTCACCGTGGGTAGAGAATCTGGAATTTGCTGGTGGTTGGCGTCGTGGCCTGGAGAGCTAGCGGGAAGTGAGATAGTGGATGGTGAAGTGTCTGACGGATGCCTTGGGCTGGGTGACGGTATAGGTACACGGTAGATTTGAAAAGCGGAGGGTTTATCAACGCATATCCTCGTGACTTTGGTTCCGTGATTCTTCCAATGTCATCCAAACGCAAAAGCAAGAATCTTGGAACCGAAGAACGAGTGGGATTGAGCGGACAGTAACTTCTATCTCTCTACTCCTTGGCTCTTGACAGCGAATGAAGTCGCTGGAAAACTCCTTCCATCGGGTCTTGCCAACGCGGGTGTACTGTAGGGGCACGACCTTGTTCTTTCCTGGAGGGAGATGTGTGAGTGTGTGAGATGGATACGGTTCGAGGTGCTAGGACAACCACGGCAAAAGGACCTTCGCGGTTTACTAGGGAGTTAGTCGGAAATCCACTTCAGTACCACATATCCGACGTCCCCCATTAAGTGCTGCGAGTTCTGGGGGTAAAGGTTTTCGTACCCGTGTAGCGTTCTCCAGATGAGTAGATTTGGTCAATGACAGCCACAGGAAAGGTCTCCTGAAGATAAAGAGGAATTTCTCGACCTTGTCAATGGAATGGAAAAGAAGGAAGAGATAGATACTCGCTGAAATGCACACGGAAAGCGATATGAGACGAGAAATGGAGAATGAATAGGAACGATATCGTTCCATGCAATGTAATGTATGTATGCACATAGCGCCCGGGGGCCGCCAGACGGTACATTCACAGTTCCCCCAGTACCGTGGTCTGCACACCCGGTTCTGGTCTTCCTTCTGCTTCAACATGATATATGATCTCACCCTCTCCCATCCACAAACCCTATTGATCCGCTCCACAACAGAAACCACGCATCCTTCCAACCAATCCTCCCCCACCTCTTCCCCCTCATCACACAACACACCTCCTTCCCCTACTCCATCTCCAAACTATCCCTAACACACTTCCTCACCCTCTTCTTAAACTCGGCCGGATTCTCCCTCCACAGCGCCGCCGCCTCCACGTTCGCCGGACTCTCGTCATTCGGACTCGACAGCATGCTTATCACGGAGAGCAGGATCGTCTCGGGCGTCTGGACGGGCGACCAGCGCTCCGCGGCGGATTCGTAGCCGTACCGGTCTTCTTCGGGGGGATGCAGGATGGAGATGCAGACGTCGCCGTTGGGGTAGACTGGGGGATTGTTAGTGGAGGGTGAGGAGGGAAGAGGGGGTTGAGGGATGTACTGTTTGGATGGAAGATTGGGGTTTCGAAGCGCATTTTTGGTGGCATGTGTGGGTAGTCTAGCGGGAAGGAGAGTCGGGCTCTGAAGAAGCCGCCTAGATGTTCAGTTAGCCTTTCATCTTTCATATCGTGATATCCACTACTCCTCCATCGACCATGCTCTTCCTCGATGTACACAACATATACATATTCTTTATTGTCCCTCCCCAGGTTCTTTTCCTCAACCCCGCCACCAATGTACCCAGAAGAATCTGCAAGGAAAATACCCACCCCCATACAGCTTCATATCATCATTCAGCATGAGCATCACCTCCCACTCATACACATTGTCGTCGACGATGCCGCAGCTTATCCCCGGAACAATCTCCTTCCCGCTCGCCATCTCCTTGAACTGCCTCTTCAGCAGGGCCGCCGACGCGGCTGCCGAACTCATTTTTGAAAGTCTGTGTGTATGATTGTCCGTGGGTTGTGCGGTGGGTATGCGGTTGTCGTGGTGGTGTGCTGCGATCCGGAAGTGGGGAACCGAGTTGCAGTGCGGTGCGGGCGGGAGCGTGGATGCGAGCTTTTGGGTTATGGGAGGTTTGTGCGGCGAAGAACGTTTATTAGGCAGCGGGAAGAAGAGAAACGGAGGAAGAAGTTGCAAAGGCGAAGTGGCGGTAGTGGTGAATACTGCTAAGTATGGAGTGCTGCGTAGCCCAAGCGGTCGGGAGGCGCGGAGGCGGACGCGAAAGAGATGGTGGGGCAGCCTTTCACCACCTTACCAGGTTTCCGATCGATCGATGGAGATCCGCAAATCTATCGGTGTACCGCGATCGCGTGGGTGTCCTGTATCACAGCTCTAATGAACCCTCGTCTTGAAAATTAATTTCAGAAATGTATATGGAGAGACAAGCCGCGCGACCTAAAAGTAAGACACTGAAAGCGTGGGCGTACACAGGCACGCTACCGAATCCGGTCATATCTACATAGCTGTCATTCACGCATTCGTCGCCACAGGTGCTTAGTGGCGCGGGCCGAGGTGGCGCGTGAGAAATTATGGGGTTGGTGTGACATACTCGATGCGCTTGTTTGGGTGCAGTCACACACGAGTGGAAGTCTTGTGAGAGATGAAACAATTTAATGTGAGGAAGGTGTACACGTTGGCCAACAGTTGAGCAAAGGCAACTACTACTTGGGAAGGCGAAGTGTCTACCTTCTAATATCCAAGCAAAAGTACGTACTCCTATTGAGTATTGTCAATATAGGGGAATATAGTTGGTTTTCTGAGCCTTGCACCTAACGACTCATACGCTGTACTGTACAAGGAGGAGATAGACAGATAACCAAATAAATGTGAAAGAAGTAACTTTCTGCCATCCCAGCGACTTCTCTTTCATAACCAAGAAAGTACCGATTAGGCCACATCCCAAATAAGGGATTGTGCTTCTACTTGAACCCGAGAGATCGTAACCGCATATAATTTACACTCAGATGGGAGAGCGAGATCTAGCCAAATCCACCAACATCTACCCACCCGCGCAACGCCCCGAAACCCACCAATGCCTTAGGAACAGCGGGCATGATTGTCTAGCCGTCCACCGAAACATAAATATAGAGAAAGTAAACAAGGAAATGCTAGGCTTGTAACACAACAAAAATCGGCCAATGCCTCATCCAAATATGGACAGAAAACCCCACAATCCCGCTCCACACAACACCGGAATCGTCAAATTATCGTCCCAGCCAAACAGATCCACAGCCTCGCTGGCGCATGCCACGATTCCGGCCCACACCGACACGGCGCCGAGAGCGAGATATCCGCCCACAGACGCCTGCGAGAAGCTCAAGCCCAAGGCCTCACGTGCCTTGGAAGGTAGCGCAAGGACGCCCTGAAAGGCGAAGCTGTTCTCGCCCGTATTGTAGGAGGCCATGAGCGGCCCTAGCCAGCCCCAGAACAGCGAGGCCGTGATGACGCCAGTCACGCAGGCGGCCATGGTCCCGGCCAGAGACTTGCCCTTTCGAACGCGCCATGTCCGATGGCCCCAGAGCCGGCCAAATGTGGACGCTGCCGTGTCACACCAGCTGAGCAGCAGTACACTCATGACGCCGATGTCCTTGGGGCAGAAGCGAAGAACTGTCCAGGCACCGAGAAGGTAGGAAATGACACCATTCCAGCCGTCGACCTCGGACTCCCGCATCAGGGCTCCCAGGCAGCGAATGTAGAAGCGATTAACAGAGTAATACCGATGTCGTATAAAGTCGGTGGCAGCAATGGGTATCAGCAGAGAAAAAAGGACCGGGTGTATTTGGCTTGGTTGGCGCCCGGTGCAGTAGAGGTAGATTGTGAGGAAGCCAATGGAGACGTGCAGGATTTTGCGTGGAATCTCATGTTTGTGGATCTGTTCTGTCAGCCTGTATAACTCTTTCGAGACAGAATCACCTACAAATGACCTCCATTTTTTGTGTATTGGGATTAGACCTAATGGACTCGGACTTCTGCTCATTTCCCGCCAGTAGTCCTTATTCGCAGCCGCGGGCGACAAATGCCCATTGACCGTCCCATTCGGCAAAGCAAGCTCCCCCTTCTTTCCCGGACCAACTTGCTTCGACTTGAGCCCACTCATCCTTCTCCGTCTGCTTCCAGGCGGACTCCTGCTCCTAGTCCGCGCCCTCTTCTCCGGATCCGATCCCGACGAGTCCTCATCAATCCGCGGTGTTGTAGACATGTTTCTATTCATCCTTGCTGCGGACCGCGTCACAGGCCCAGAATACCCATCCTTTCCACTTATTTCTGATGGAGTTGGAGAGGGTGATATCACCCGCGGCGTCCGGGGCACCTGGTACTGCTTGACGGAAGCCATGGCCTGCTGCCAGCAGTGGGCGAAGGAGGGGAGAGGGGGTGTCCGAACGAGGCCAGTCAGCGACTGCCCTGCGCGCGTGCAGAGGTATGCGACGTTTTCAAGGAATGTGTGACGGTCCGGTCGCCTTGAGCGGTGTCGCGAGGCTGTGTTCGAGGGCGGGTCGATATCCACGTCAGTTATGGAGGTTGGCGACGTCGGCGCATAGGTGGTGTCAGATGATGGAGTTACTGGCGCTACGGAAGCCAGGATGGATGTGGTTTCGTCCGGTCGGGGCGCATCGTCTGAGGGAGGAGAGGAGGCCACAGTGGAGGAGGAGCCGCAGCCTCAGCTAGGAGATTGAGAGGCGGCGTGGTTGAGGATCGGAGGAGCAGGCTGCGCTTTGGACGAACTTTTTCGGAGGTCGAGGTCAGCTTCGTCAGAGGCTCGGAGCTGAGGTCGATCCGTCTTGGCGGTGATGGCTACTCAGAAACATGTGCACTTGATACAATCAATGGAGGACGAAGAGGATGAAAGCGGCTTCAGTACATAGAGAGGACTACATCTCTTGCGATCAACTTGCGTCCTGTTCCGAACGCTCCAAGTTGCATCAAAGCGGGCACGTGCCGAGCGACTCCACATTTCGATTAATCGCACCGCCACAGAAATTGGCTCAGCCACAGCAGCCACAGTTTCTTTCGGAACGGCAAATAAAATAAAATTCCCCAAGAAACTTCAACTCCATACAACGAGGGATACCCAACGTCCCAGGAAGGACTCGCTCGCCGGTATAAGGAAGAGATATCATGGCGCCAGAGACAAAATCAGATGCACAGCGTCGCCGGCAATGGGATGCGCTCACTCCCGGATTATCAGAATGGATACTGGACGCCATAAAAGCTATGGGTTTCACCAAGACCACGCCTGTCCAGGAAGCCGCCATTCCACTGTTCATGGGGAATAAAGATGTAGTCGTCGAAGCAGTCACAGGGTCAGGAAAGACACTCGCCTTTCTTATCCCCGTTGTTGAGCGGCTATTACGTCTGGATGCACCCATCAAGAAGCATCACGTCGGTGCTATCGTCATATCTCCTACTAGAGAACTCGCCACGCAGATACATACAGTCCTGGTGTCACTATTGAACTTCCACAGTCCGTCTGCTGCCCTCCTGAAGACTGAAGAGGAGGAAGATAGCCCCATGGCCGATGCCGATTCCACTCCCCTGCCCGTCTATCCCGCTTCAACCCTCAAAGTCGTCCCCCAACTCCTCCTAGGCGGATCCGTAACCCCGGCGCAAGATCTCAGCACGTTTCTGAAGAAATCCCCCAATGTTCTCATCGGCACCCCTGGAAGACTACTGGAACTCCTTTCCTCTCCCCACGTCCACTGCCCCCAATCCTCGTTCGATGTCCTCGTCCTAGACGAAGCCGACCGCCTCCTGGATTTAGGATTCAAAGAAGACCTCCAGAAGATCCTTTCCCGCCTCCCCAAGCAGCGCCGTACCGGCCTCTTCAGCGCCAGCGTCAGCGAAGCCGTCGACCAACTCGTCCGCGTCGGTCTGCGCAATCCCGTCCGCATCGCCGTCAAGGTGAAAGCGCGATCCAGCGCCAACGGACCCGAAGGCAGTGCGAAAATCGAAGACAAGCGCACGCCCGCTAGTCTCCAAATGTCGTACCTCATCACACCACCCACGCACAAACTCCCGTCGATTCAGAAGCTGCTCGCCTCGTTGAATCCCACACCGCAAAAGACGATATTATATCTCTCAACCTGCTACTCGGTCGACTACTTCCAACACATCCTCCCCGCCATCCTTCCTGGGTTCACCCTAATCCCACTCCACGGCAAACATCCCGATAAAGTGCGCCGCAAGAACTTCTCCAAATTCATCGACTGCATGACCCCTTCCATCCTCCTTACCACAGACGTAGCAGCCCGAGGCCTGGACATCCCCTCCGTCGATCTAGTCCTCCAACTCGACCCTCCCTCCGACCCAAAGACCTTCATCCATCGATGTGGCCGTGCAGGTCGCGCAGGCAGAAAAGGCCTAGCAGTCACCTTCCTCACTCCCGGCAGAGAAGAAGACTACATCGAATTCCTGCGCGTCCGACAGACGCCCATCTCCCCGCTAACCAACCCCTCCATCTCCATCTCCGCCCCCGAAGCCCAGCGCCTCACGGAAGAGATCCGCGCCGTCGTCCGAACCGACCGCGCCATCTTCGACAAGGCGCAGCGCGGCTTTGTCTCCTGGGTCCGCGCGTACAGCAAGCACACTGCGAGTTCGATTTTCCGCATTGCCGATCTGGAGTGGGCCGAGTTGGGCAATGCGTGGGGGTTGCTGAGGTTGCCGAGTATGCCCGAGTTGAAGAAGTGGGAGGGGGATCGGAGTTTGGGGGTAAGTATCGATTGGGATGCTTTTGCGCATAAGGATAAGGTGAGGGAGAAGCAGAGGTTGGCGGAGTTGAAGGGTGAGGGTGGTGGGGAGGAGAAGACGGCGACCAAGAAAGTGCATGGCGGCAAGAAGGATAGGAGGGAGGCGGCTTGGACGCAGAAGAAGGATCAGCGCGCGGCGAAGGAGGTGCGGAGGGAGAAGAAGCAGGCGAGGAGGGAGCATGAGCGGGTCAAGAAGATGAGCGAGGAGGAGAAGGCGAAGGAGAGGGAGTTGAAGAGGATGATTGAGGAGGTGAGGAAGAAGAACCAGGTGCAGGAGGAGGAATTCGAGGGGTTTAGCGATTGAAGTGCTAGCATGGTCGTTGAAGAAGAAGGCTCCATTTTAGAGTTACAATACTATACAACTACATGCGAGAAGCCGACATCTGAGCACACATTGCCCTTCTACTCTTCCGTTGCGTAATTGTGCCCCCTAATCACCTCCAACCCGCCCATGAACGGCCTCAACACCTCCGGAACCGTCACCGTAGCATGATCTTCATCCCAATGGTTCTCCAGAATCGCCGCCAACACCCTCGGCACCGCCAACGCTGTCCCATTCAGCGTATACGGGAAATCCAGCTTCCGCCCAGCCTTCTCCAGCTTTACGCGCGTATGCAGCCGGCGCGTCTGGTAGTCGGTGCAGATGGAGGCGGACGTGACTTCGCCCCAGCCGTCCTCTTTCTCCCGACGAGAGGGGAAGTACGCTTCTATGTCGCGTTTCCTGGTGGCGCTGGCGCCGAGATCCTGGGTCGGCATTTCGAGGACGCGGCAGTGGAGGCCGAGGGATTGGAGGATTTCCTTCTGGATGGAGAGCATCTCGTCGAAGATGGCGTCTGAGCTGGATTGTTGGGAGGTGGTGTCGAAGTGCTCCTCATCATTACTGTCTGGTAGTGTCCACGCGAACAGCTCCACTTTTGTGAATTCATGCACGCGGTAGAGACCTTTGGTGTCGACGCCGCGGGCGCCTGCTTCGGCGCGGTAGCAGCGACTTACGCCGACGGTCTTGAGGGGGAGGTCGGAGTCCTCGAACGTGTGGTTCGCTTTCATGCCGGCGAGAGGGATTTCGGCAGTTCCAGCGAGGACCAGGGGAGGTTTCGCTTTGTCCTTTTCGGCTTGCTCGATGGCGTAGACTTGCTGTTCGCCGTGCTGGTCTCTGGGCTGGAAGCCACATGCTGAGGCTATGTGGGAGTAGACGAGCGTAGGCGGTGAGACAGTTCTCCAGCCTCTCTTTCTTGCAACGCTAAGAGCGTACTGAATCAGGGCTTGCTCCAGCATGGCGCCCTCCCCGATGAGATAGTACCATCCCCAGCCAGACGTCTGCGCGGCGCCTGCGAAGTCCAGGATGCCCAGTTCTGAGCCGATATGCACATGTGACCTCCACACACGGTCGGAGCTGTCAGGCTTCGGCTCCGGGTGGTCATTGATGTACTCGAGGATCTGAGCTTCGCTTCCCAAAGGTGTCGCCGTACTACTGAGGTTCGGTAGGTCCTGCGCCAGCTTCTCCATTTCTTCCTGGAGCACCGCTTCCTTCTCTTCAATGACGCTCAGCTCGGCCTTGAGCGCCTTTGCTTCACTCAGCAGCGCATCTTTATCGTCCGTCAGCCTTATATCTCCCTCCGCATCCCCACTGCGCCCGGCTGCGTCGGCCAATCTCCTCCGCACCTGGTTGTTGCGCTCCCGCGTCTTCCTGGCGCTCTGCTGCAGGGCGAGCCACTGTTCGTGTAGCTCGACAATCTTCCAGGGTGAGTCCTTGTGTGCGGCATAGTTCCTGTCTATGCAGTTTTGCGCGTAGAGCCCTGGATTCTGGCGGATATGCTTGATGTCGAGGGCGGGCTTCGGTGCGAAGGCGGGACGGGTGTATGCTCTGCGAGGGAAGGAGCGCGACGGGGGGCTTTTTGGGCCTTGTCTGAGCAGTCGCGCTCGACAAGCCGAGCAATTGAGGAAGCTGTCTTTGAAGGTTTTCATTTTGGACGTCTTTGCGCTGAGCCACGATGACTGCAGACGTCAGACATGAGATGGATCGAGCTTTGGTGGAGCAGAGCTCATGCCAAGCCCGGAGCTTTTCCATCTGGAGCTGCATGGGTCGCGTCGCGTGTCCAAACATATGGCACCCTATTCACCACCAACATGCTACCCAATTCGCAGAAACGCGCAGCGGACTCAACTTGGAACTCGTACAGTCCGGCCAAGGTACCGCGTCTTTCTCGATCAACTAGGTGCGATGGCAGAGCTGCGCCGTACGGAAACAACGCGTCTCCGCCAGCTCCGAAACTATATAGCTCGCCATACCAGGACAGCACGCCCATACCAGCTCCAACGCAGTCGTATAGCTCGTCGTCCCGAAACAATGCATCTCTGCCAGCTCCAAGACAGCCCTATAGCTCGCCGTACCAAAACCATGCGCCAAAGCCAGCCAGACCGGAACAGCAGCTATTCGAAGGATTTAAGCCTACAGTTCGACATCCCCCGCACCCCGACAGCCGACTATGTCAGGACTTCTATTGGGTGCCATATCCCTTGGGATTGATGCCGCACGACTCTTGGGAAAGTTTGCACAATTATGGGAAGATTCCAACGCCTCCTGCGCCCAACCGGTGCCCAGTCTGTCGCAACCCCGCAAGGTGACGCCGCACATGCGCAAGCTGTTCCTGGTGGCGGAGCGGTTGACCTGGGACTATGCCGTGGTTTCGTCGCGTGAAAGGGAGCAGAACGAGCAACTTACCTGGGAGGTCAATTACGAGCTGGGAATTCTGGAGCCCTTTGTTGAGGACGCCGAACAAGTCCCAGGCGGGAAGAAGAGCAGGTTGAATAAGTGGTATCCGTATCAGAATCAGCACGAGATGAAGCTGGCTATGAGCTTGATTTCTATGGACGCGGGGTTAACGGAGGTGTCTTGGTCACTGTGGTACGGCCTCCAGATGAACATACAGAGGGTCCTTGGGCACGAAGAGGATGTTTCGAACCGCAACAATAGTGCGCCACGAGATTACGCTGTCAGTGAGGAACGATCTGGATTGAATACAGGCATGGACACGCGCTCTGACGGGGTTTTCGAATTCGATGTCACGCGGTCACCTGACGACGCGCTGTTTGATACATCCACTATCGTTCCGGATGTCGGTATACCGACGCCGCCTTCCTCGTCCTCTAACCCGTCCAAAGAGACCACGAGGCCTGCCACGGACGCCATGTCCTCTTCGAAAAGCATCCATCCAGCCCTCGCGACCAGGATCGCAGCTGGGCCTACAGTGGAAAGGCAAGTGCCGTGCTCGAACGACGACAAACGAATCATAAGCTACAAGACGCTGCAGGACTTCTACTCTCTGCTGGAACAGATCGAGCGGACGTCGTATCTGGGTGCACTGTTCCTGGAGGCGTATGCGGAGCATCTGCGTGACGATGCGTGCCGGGACTGCTGGCTGAAACATAACATCGTAGGGGAGGCAAAGTGACTCTGTCATACCTTCCCTGTTCTCACTGTTTCTTTTACTTATATGATACCCTGTCTTGTCGTCTTTGCATAGTATGTAGCATGTAGAGAAGAGATGGGACTTGCGCCGCACCGCTCAGGTAGCTATGTCAACCATCATCACTAATAACCTCTCTCGAGCTACAGAAACCATGCTCTACGGCTACCTATTTACTCAGCTTTACCGAGCAGCAGCAGACCTCCCAGATGCAATAGTCCTAGTACGGCGCATCGCATGAAGAGGCAGCCTTTGATCATTCGGGCGGGCGATGCGGATGAGGATTCTCGCGTGCAGCCTCGCGACTCTCGCCTTGTTGGGCAAGTGTGAAGTGTGATTGACCAACGCCTCGCAAACACATCTATGCGGCGCTGACTGACTGACCTCCGAGCTCCACGCCTCTTCTGCCTTCTGCCTGCTATAACCCTTTATCCTCTCCTTCTCTTCTTCCTTTCCTTCCTGCTCCTTCTCCCGCGATCCTGCGACGCTCGCTCTCGTGCAACGCAACTTAGAGATCGATCGACTGCCGCCCGACACGCCGCCCTTGCATCCGCCTCGGTATTCACAACCCCTCCGCCATGCGCGACCCTTTCCCCATCCCCCCACCACCGGCGATAGCGGAACATGTGCAGGCACTTGCCAACAAGGCCGGCCTTCAGGTGCTCCATCTGCACTTCCACGAGGTCGTCTTCGCCTTCCTGCTCTACCATGTCACGTACAAGTACATCTCGCCCGTCATCTCCCGCATCTTCTTCCCCCAGATCTACACGTCCTTCAATGCCCGGACGAAGCTCAACTGGGATGTGCACGTTGTCTCGTTTGTGCAGAGCACGCTCATCAACATCCTCGCCCTCTATGTCATGTGGCAGGACAAGGAGCGCGCAGGCATGGACTGGCGAGGCAAGGTCTTGGGATACACTGGGGGGTCTGGCTTGATCCAGGGCATGGCTACGGGCTACTTTGTGTGGGATCTGGTCATCACGGTGCAGCATCTGGAGATCTTTGGCGTCGGCATGCTCGCCCACGCCATTTCGGCGCTCTTTGTCTTCTCGTTGGGATTTGTGGGTTCCATATTCTCGAAAGAGAGGCTCCCTGCTGATATGTGACGACAGAGACCCTTTGTAAACTACTACGCGCCCGTCTTCATCCTCTACGAGCTCTCGTCGCCGTTCCTCAACATCCACTGGTTCTGCGACAAGCTCAATCTCACCGGTGGCAGGTTCCAGCTCGTCAACGGCATCATGCTGCTCCTCACCTTCTTCTCCGCGCGCCTCGTCTACGGCACCTACCAGTCGGTGCGAGTGTTCTCGGATATCTACCAGACAATCAGGCATAATAGCGTTCTCACGGACCCGGAGGTCGGCAAAGCCGCGCCCCTCGACGACGTGATGCAGTTCGCGGGCGAGCGGGCGATCCCTCTGTGGCTCCCGCTCTGCTACCTCGCGTCGAACCTGACGCTAAACGGACTGAACTGGTTCTGGTTCGAGAAGATGATTGCGACGCTGCGCAAGCGGTTCGATCCGCCGTTCGGGACGCGCAAGCCGGAGATCAAGCTCCCGGAGAAGGTGCCCGAGGAGGAGATGGTGCTGGTGGAGGGGACGGCGTTGGCGACGCCGGGGGTGAATGCGGCGGACGAGAGTGGAAAGGACTATATTTCGTCGGTGCAGGTGGAGAAGGCGGGGAGCGTGCTGAAGGTGCAGCAGACGGAGGTGAGGAATCGGACGGCAAGGAGAAGGGGTTAGATGTGTGGATAATGGGTTGGGAAGAGGGATGGTCGCTGGGGTATTGGTCCTCGCGGTTTCCCGAGAGGTATTTATGGTCTAGCATTTAGGGATTTTACTGTGTAGCTCTCTAGCGAGGCTGGATATCCAAGAAGCAAATTTCCAACGAAACGAGAACAAGTTCGTCTCTCCTTGAGAAATCCTCAAGTCAACACTAGAGATCATAGCAGAGGCGAATATCTCCCAAAGGGTGCAAGTGATTAGTCCTCGTGCTCAGCTGCGTGCAGGCCCTTGACCAGCCAAGCAAGGCCCCAAAAGGAGCCTCGCTCCAGCCGAACCACCTCTGAACCCTGGGACAAGCACATGCACGCAGCTGGCTGCCAGTTGCTGCCACTGCTGCCACTCGACCGGCATGGCCAAACCGTCGCCACCAGCCACTCTCTGTCTCCAGTTGCACCGCCCTTGAAACGCTCTCGCACCTCCGCTCCCTCCTCGAGGAGCACGTCTTCACGAGTCACAGAGAAGTCTCGCGACCGAAAGCGGGGTGCACTCCTGCGCGACGGGAGCACCACCTGCAAGGCCTGCAGACCGCAGCAGGAACAACAAACCACGCAGCCCATATTGGACGCGCCCTCCTGTCTTCGACAATCCCTCGGACGACGCAGAGAAAGACCTTCCCATTCTTCATTCTTCAGTCTTCGCAATTCGTCAGACATTGCGCCCTCTCAAGCGGCTTGGGGAGATAAATAGCGAGCCTCAACACCAAAACATCTATCAACCACAACATACGCGCATGGTGTCCTACCCCGAATCCGCGGTCCCCGACCGCACCCTCGCCATCCGCCGCCCTCCCTCCGTCACATCGCACTCGTCGCGCTCCACCTCGCGCCGGCATCGACCAGGCCACCGCTCGCACTTTGGCGGATCCTCCTCCTCCTCCTACCAGTCGCAGAACGAGTTCCCCGTCTTCACGCACACGGGCGATGTCGAGATTGTGATTTCGAATGGGAGGAAGGAGCAGCGGTACCTGCTCCATAAGCTGATCCTTGCGCAATGCTCGGGCTTCTTCGAGGCGGGGTTGAGCGACGAGTGGGCGAGTTCGGGGGAGGGGAGTGCGAGTGCGCCTGGGAATGGGAACGTGAATGTGAATGCGGCGGCACTGGCGAGGTTGCCGAATAGCTCTACAGCGACGGAGAAGAAAAGATGGAGGTATGAGTTGGACTGGGGCAAGGGCGAGGACGATGTCCCCATGCTGGTCCAGAAGGTCCGTATACCAACTCCACCCAGCATCCACCTACTGACAACAATCATAGAAACCCCAGCCCTCCCTCTTCGCCGGTGACGCCTCCCCCTCACACCCTCCACCGACCACACGGCCCAAGCCCGCCGCACCCGCAACCGGCTTCTTCCGCAGCATGGCCAACTTCTCCTCCCTGCACATCCCCGCCCCAGCCACCGACCCCGACGACGACACCTTCCGCGACTACGACAACCTCTTCCGCATCTTCTACAACTACCCCCCGACCCTGGATCCCATCAACATTGCGAATGCCTACGTCGAGTGCAAGTCCCTGCTGCACCTGGGCGACATGTACGACGCGCTGGACGTCATCGGGCCGAGGGTGGACCACCATCTCCTCCGCTTCCAGGGCCGGCTGTGGAAGCAGATTGCAAAGTACCCGCCGAGCTATCTCAAACTAGGCTACATGGCGCGCAGCAAAGCCATCTTCTCCGAGGCAATGGTGCACGTCGTGGGCCAGTGGCCGGCAGGACTGAACCAATTACGCGGCCAGACCTCGGACGCCGTCATGGACTTGATCGAAGACAAGGTCGACGAGCTGGAGGAGCTCAAGGCGAAGATCGAGGGCAAGCTGTTCCGCCTGACGCTGTCGACCAGTCGGGGGGAGCGCGTCACGCCGAGCAATAACTGGCTCGACTGGCTGGCCATGAGCCTCTTCAGGCAGTGGCTGGCGGAGAACACGACGCCGCCTCCCGCCCCGATACTGAAGCCTTCGTCGTCCTCGAGGCCCAGAGCAGGGAGCTCCAGCACGCGACCGAGCGTGGACGGTTCGGCGCCGCATCCGCCGGCCCCAGCAGCATCGTTCAATACGGGACGCGTCTTCCGCCTGCTCGGCACGGGAGGGTCGAGCTACCTCAATCATGATGAATGTAAGCGGTTCCTGCGGCTGTGTCCGGAGCAGTATAACAGAGATAATTTGCGGCGGTTCGAGAGGAGGATCGATGAGCTCAAGGAGAGGGCGAAGGACGTGGTGAAGCCCCTGATGCGGAATTTCCTCGAGCTGGAGATGAGTGGCGGTGGGTTGCCGTACTTGACGTGTACGCGGTTGGAGGTGGTGGACTTCCCCTGGGATGAGTAGAGGGATGGTGCCGAGTCTCGTTTCTTTCCTTGTCCGTCTTTTGTTTGGTTTTTCTGGAAGGTGGTGGGTTTGGCTGTGTTTTGCGTTTTTGGTGCCTGATACCCTTAGCCTTGCATGGTGTCGTTCTTTTGAGCAATGTTTAGCATTATGTCTATTCGCGATGTTATTTCGAGGAGGGGGGAGTGGGTTGCTAGTACGCTGGTCGTCCTGGTGAGATTTATACTGACAAAGAAGATGATGACGACGGCGAAGACGAGGCATGGTCGTTGCATAAGTATGATTTGTAGTTGCATGTAGATACCATTTTGCATACCCATCTTATCCCACTTGTCTTAGGAGGGGTTTGGGATTCTGGTGAGCTGATCCAACGGTTCTATCGATCGCTTTTCACATTCTTTGGTGCAAACACGGGCTAGGGAACGAGTCCTGTCAAAGGCTCAGAACTCATAGCATAACTGCCTCCTCAACAACTATGGTCTTGATTCCTCGCCCATCCCAGCATCCAGGATTTCCTTACCAATGCATTAATGCGGTGTCTGGTACCATATCCAAGGTGATGCCAGCCCCAAGTGGTTAAGCTGCTTTGTACGTGTATATGTTGAGTATAGTCAGTCGCCTCGTGGTGCTTCCACACCCCTCTCCCTTTCTTTCCGTGCTACCTCTTGATCGCAGGACACTGTCGGGCGGGTCGTTCCTAGAGCGGAACTGTTAATCTGCTGGTTGTTGCTAGGGCACGGACATGTGTATCTTCTACAGGCGGATGGAGTGGGCATACAACAGTTCACGAGGAGTGCCGGATGAAGTAGCTCTAAGTTTCCTCCACCGTGTAGTCCCGAATATCTCTACCATTGTAGCAAGTGTACCAGATATCTACACCCGTGGACCCACGTAAAGTCCACTTCCCCAATATAAACCCAATTGAACAACAACCAGAAACGCTTATCGGCATTTTTACTCCGGACAGAGGTCCAGGTTAACGTGCATGGAATGCGCGAAGTCCTTCTCATCACCAAAAAAAACACTTCAACTTTGCCGGGATTTTTAAAGGGGCCATAGATTTAGATGCAGAAGGGTTGGTTCACAGGGACGCTAGGAGTGAAGCAGGCGATTTTGCATGTCTGCGGTTGTACGGGATAGAGGACGGGGCGGGAAACGGGATAGATACTACGGAGTATGTACTGCGTCTTTTCATGTCCGAAGGAGCAGCAAGGGGTCGAAGTGGTATAGCAGACGCCGTGATTGGCTTAAAAGTCCCTATATCTAGTATCATCAGCCTTGAATACACTGTGCTCTAGTGGCGTAATTAGAACGTGATCAATTGGAATGGTTGAATTCGGTGATCTAACTCGGAGTAGTAGTACATGGGGATCTTCAGTCGGCTGTGAGAAACCGCAGTAGTAGGCATGTGGAGACTCTAGACGGAATGAAGGCTTGGATTGGCTTGACCTTGAGAACTTTGTTGCAAATACAGTGTCACCAGTGTGTAATAACAAATTCGGCAGTATATGTGGGACACAAGGAGAGATGATGTAATGGGTATTGTTAGAAGTTGCGGAATGTCGTGGTCGTAAAGCTTTTGTTAGGTGCTGCTGCGGTGGGAGAACGTTGAATTCTCGCTAGGTCGCTTGTTCGACTTAGCCGGTACACACTGCGCACTCGATTGTGAAGAACTGCATGTGACCTTTTAATTAGAAGCGCGCTCGACTCAACAACGGTGGCTATCTAGAGGTATAACGGTCGGCTAAAACGTAACCATCTAAACAAACAGTAGCGATGAGGTGTGCGGCCGAGCCCTTTTCCAGTCAACTAGATAGGCAGGCCGAAATCCACACAACCACCTCGCTCCACATGGAACAGAGCATTTATCGCCCCAAGGCCCGTATCTTAGGCATGCTAATGCCAACGAGCAGGCAAACTAGAAGCAAAGCCAGAGGCTCTTGTAGACTTGACATCTGCAACCTTGCCTAGCCCAGATAACTATACCACGTCACACCGAATGGATACACAAGGAGAGAGCATAAAGAGTTGATAGTATTGAGCCCACTGGATATGCAACTATAGACCTAGTTATCATTACCCTGCAGCTACGTTGCTTTCTCTAACCACCTATTGCCTACCCCCTTGCCTATCCATTTCCGTTTCGATCAAGACCTTGGTTCCGGGGATTGCGACGAGTTCGTCTATTCCATGTCCGATTCCATGTCCGATTCCATGTCCGATTCCATGTCCGATTCCATGTCCGATTCCATGTCCCTACCTTTGAGCAGACGGCATATCTCACGCACATGCATCCATTCAAGCCAGGATTCGAAGTCGTACCGAGCCATCAAGTTGGCGAGCAATGGATCGGCATCCGAGGCACCGAAGAGAACGAAAACCCGAGGGGAATGTCGGATGGCCGCAAGGAGCATGTCATAGTCACGCGGCATCCTTTCTCGCTCTGTGAGGACATTGCTACTATGAACTCGAGTGTTGTAGTCGATGCAGGCGAGCAGGTAGCTGTGGCAGGGGTTTTTAGTACGGTATTCCTCAAGGAATGTCTCCGGTAAATGCGGAAACACCTTGGCGACGTGCTTGTCAAGACGGCCGTCGGTGACATCGATTAGATCAAGATCGGCCAAAAACTCGTTGTCATCGCCCGGATTGTCTTTGCGACGGTTCTTGCGACAAATTGAAGCGGGGATGAAGATACCAGACACATGCTTGGGCTGAATCTCTGCAGGAATGGCTGCATCGATGTATGAACGGACATTCGGATCGATATGAATGTTCATCATCACGGTAGTGCCTTCCTCCTGCTTGCTGGGGAGGTCGAGAACAGCATGGATGCCGGACTCGATATACCTACCATCACCCTCCGCTTTCGACTCCTTCATATTGGCCTTCAGCTCGTCTCGGGCTTCCTTGCATTGCTTGTCCGTGTCCCTCATGGTGGGAAGCTCTGGGACGAAGAATTCAGCCGCGTCTTCACTCATCGCAGCCAACTTGTCCTTTTTTATGGTACCCATGCTGAATACCGAAACAGGCTGAGTGAGATGGCGCATCAGGCGAGCGATGGTGATGTGCCAGTGTTTGGAATATCGCAAGACATCGCGCAGAACCTTCACTGTTGGCTGATCAATGGTGTCATTCAGCTTACCAAGCAAGTGCGGGAATTGACGTATGGCGCGGAAGGTCTCGCGCACAATCGCATCACTGGCCGGTTCGATAATGAGACCACGGTTGATCTTCTCCATATGGTGAAGGGCAGCAGTCTTTCGAAGATCTTCGGTTGCTTCGTTACGGGAGAGCTTGCGGAACTTGCTCAAACCGTTACGCGCGAATTCATTGAAGTATTTGGGATCATCAACTGGTGGTGGAGGCCATTCTCCGATCACCCTGAGGACTGTCTCGAGTTCAGTATCCGGCATCACATCATGTGAGTCGCGGAGTCGATAGCGCAAATCATTGTCGATGAGTGACTGATGACCAGAGTAGAGCGCGACGGGCTTTGGGAGATTGCACCACTCGTCGTCGGTGAAGTAGGATGGGATGTCAATGATATGCCAGAGCGCGATGGTGCTCAATGGCTGCACTTGAACATTGTCGGTGCCGCCAACTTTGGCTTCATAATCATAAACGACGTAACTGACGAAGCACGGACAGTGGAAATCGGAGACGCCCGAGGATGTAGCGGGACCGGTCTCCGTCTTCCTTCGGCCCTTGCCACTACCAGAAGCATCCGCGATCTCTTGAAGAATATCGTTCCCATTCTTCATGGAAGCGAGAAGCTTGGAGAGCGCAGATTCCATATCATGAGGAGCTTCGGCCACGTCCGGCTGCAATTTTGGAAAGACACCGGTATGGCCGTCAACCACATGCGGCTGGATGTGAGCAAGGCGCTCCGCCTTCTTACCTTGGTGAAAATCCATGACGAAATGGAACGTTGATGAGAGAGGAAATGTAGAAGCCGAAAGACCAGAGGAGCTGATGAGAGAGGGAAAGTAGAAGCCGATAGACCAGAAGAGAGAAAAGGGTAGCTCGGAGTGCAGAGAACGTAAGTGTACTACGTAGAAACTGAAGGAGAGTCGTAACTTCGTGATGGAGAGAGGAAAGGAAAGAGGGTGGTGGAGAGCAAGTGAGAGAGCAAGTGAGAGAGCAAGTGAGAGAGCCTTTTGTTGACGCGAGTGTGGCCGAAACGCTAAGACTCAGGAGCGGAGATCGGAGATCGCGCAGAGCAGCACGTGATCACGGTTCCCGGTGTGGAATGACGGAATGAAGGTTCGTCGTTGGTGTCGTTATCCGTATTCAGATGTATGTGAGGTGTTGCTAGAAGGTGCGTGGATGAAGGATGTTGAAGCCGTCGGAAACGGAGATAACCATGTAAGTGGTGCCGTACGGGAAGTTGATTGCAGAAGTCGATGTTATGTCGAGTTGGCGTCGGATTTTGGCCGTCCGAATCGATGGTAACGCGAGAGAATGAGAGTATGTGTGGAAAAGTGTGGAGAGATTGAGGAGATCGATAACCAGGCCGTCTAAGATCGGGCCTTGGGTAGGCAGTGGTTTCAGGATCGCGCTATGCGGAGATGGCGCCGACCCCGATTGCTCGTATCAATCGAAAACACATATAGAGTATGAAAATTTTGATGGAGAATTATTCAGAAGAAATGAAAAACGCCGGCTGGGCTTGGTGGTGCCGGAGATTCTGGTCGCGAGGGCGGAGGCGAGGTCGACGGAGGAGCAAGAGAAATGGAGCTGACGTCGCAAGATATACAGGTTCCGAGCCAAGCAGATGATGACTAGTGCTTCTTTTCACATCGGTGGTGTCGGACTGAACACCCCCCTGCACTTCCTCTGTACTGCTGTTTTCCACGTCCAGTTAAACCGCTAGCTGGTGCAGCAATATATAAGGTCCTGCCATTAGCTTTGTAGGGCGCCTCTACGCGTAGTAGGTTCTCAAAGGAAATTCTACCTGCCGCATTATCAGGCTGTAGCCAATTGACTTGTGCTAGGTAAGGAATTCCACCTACAGAGGGATTGCAGCTGGGTGTTTAGTTAAACGTAGAAAGCCGCAGTAGTTATACAATTACCCTATCGCCCATCCCAGTCATGCGGTCCCGCGCGGACGCAAGCCATTCACCCACGCTGATGTTTCTCAAGTGCTTGCTTCGAAGAACCAGTGCCTCCCCGTTTTAAGCACGTACTGGCGCGCAGGAACACAGTGAGTCTGAACAAGTTTTTTGTCCCGAAACGAAGCTAAAGTCCCATTCAGATGTGGTTACCCTGGAAGCTACACGCCTGTGGATCATAGGGTTCTGTCTGATGACATTCGGCAACGTTTGCTTCTACAGCACAGTTTCCGCAGGAGAATCCTCACAATTCTCCAGCTCAAACATGGACTAGAGAATCAGGTGATAATTGCAATTGATCATACGGGCACGAATACATACATAGGTAGCCCTCTCACTTCTGCTACATCTACCTATCTACCCCTGCTCTATTTCCTATTAAATACTACCTATACACATTAAACTAACATGTTCCCAGAAAACGCCCGCCTCCTCTACGACAACGACCGAAACCGGTACCACGACATTGTCACCGCATGCCCCCTCGGTCTCTGTCCCAGCTGCCTTCGACGCCGCCACCCTGCTTTCTCGTTGGACCGTGTACCCTAAAAGGTAAGAGAAGCACCCGTGGCACCACCAGCGCTTACACACGAACATCAGACCCAAGAGCTCTTGCTCAAACAACCAACAATCCCGATCCCAAGGCCTCAAGTTCATGCGCAGGTTGGCCCGAAGAGTTTGCCCGAAGACGTTCAAAGCCACGGCTACCACAAGATCCTCTCCCGAGCATAAAGGCGCAACGCTTCCTCACTCTCATACGAGGAGTTCTACAGAGGCGACGACCTCGATCTCAGTAAACTATAGGCGACCATCTCTTCCGCTCTCCTAAAGACCCGCACGCGCAATGCCTCCTCAGCTTATCTCCTATATAACCTATCCAGAAGTATCTTCCCTCCTACACCTCGCACCTGACATTATCCTCGTATCAAGTCAACCGTTCCTTTCAGTAGAGAAAGATCTTACTGCGTAACACGGCTCTTAAGCTAGAAGGGCGACGGAATACCTTCGCCTTCCTACTAAACAACCCGTTAATAACTTTCTTTCCTCCTCCTTCCCCGCAACTAGGACGCCCTACCCTACGGCAACCGTTTTTCTACCCGACAAACGCCTCCCTAGATAAGTTAGACGGCTAGCCAGGAAAATCTAAGAATATAAATCCTCCCTCTAGACAGGATAAGAACTAAGCCATAGAACTACTGGTTCCAATTCCTAAATGTCCATACGTTAAACCGCAGCTCTCACCGTACGTTCACTTAAGAAGAAGAAGAAGTTATATAAATATGCTAACTAAGTAGAAACGGCTATAGACTAATCGTTTCCGTAACAGTTAGAAAGGCCGAAGTTCAATTCCATATCCACAAGGGATTCCTCACGTATCACTCGTCCTATTTCAACGCGACCCTCAGCCAAAACTTCCTCGCTCTCGCCTCCCCACTCTCGCAAGGGATCGACCCTACCGTCAAGCCTATAAATAATACTGAAGAAGACAATGGCTAACGATCTATATAAACGGGTCAAAACTTTTGAGCACGAATGGCTCGTCACCGACTCGCCACCGAGGATTGCAAGTTTCGCCTCACAAAGCGCGACGCATGAACGGCGTGTGGACAATAAGAGGCTTCTCAAAAGCCTGGCCGGGGAGGAGACTTCTCAAGGTCTCAATGACGGCGCGTGGATGGTGAGAGCCTGTGTTTCTCAAACGTCCGCCGGCGGGGGTTTTCTCAAAGGTTTCATCTACGTCAAGAAGGGTGAGTTCAGCGTTCATTTCACAAGGGTTGCTTCAATATTTCAATCCTCGTCAACCCTCCCACTGCTTCCGCCCCCCGCTAACCGCATGCTTTTCCAGCTCGGTTTTGGAGGCGACGACGACCTCCAACAGATTATAGGCGACCATCTCAACCGCTTTCCTAGCGATCCGCACGCGCGATGGGGACCCATTGTCGTCCAAAGCAATGTCATATTTGATTCATCAAATCGTGCTTCCACCATCCGGACCTCGAGCGATACCTTCTTCGGACAACGATAAGCGTCGGGGTCCTGCAAGAATCTGGAAATCTTTGTCCGTCAGAAAGCCACGCACAAGTCGAATATTTTGTCTTCACTATCAATAAGTTGCTCGCGACTAAAACTCCGCATAGGTCTATTAACGAGGAGCAACTCGCCACCTCTATGCAACGCCTCGCGGACGGTGGTGGCCTTGGAGCTGTTCCTATGGAGATCGCAACGCTTCTTTATATATTTCAATTCTCATCAACTCTTCCAATAGCTTCTGCCACCCGCTAACAGCATGCTTTTCCCGCACGGTCTTGGAAGCGACCTCGATTTCGACTAATTATGGGCGATTGGCGCCTGAAACGAACGTTGCCAGTACGACCCGGAGATTCCAGTTGACCAGTTCCAACTATCCCTGTTGCCACTCAAAATCTAACTACTAGGAAGAGGCAGTGATTATTATGTCATCCTAGCGGCTTTCGAAGCATGGGTTGAATATCAACTCGCACTATAGGTGAAATCTGTGATTAGTACTACCGTCGATCTCCTTCTGCTGCGTCGTTTAGTAGAAGAATATTACAGTATCGCAAGCTAAATCTACTACAACGATCTAAGGAGCATATCTATTATGTACCTCACGATTCTAGAACTCTAGGTAGCTTGTAATAAATTAGCTTGTTATATGCACACTCTACCCAACTAGTACGACCTCGAGATTTCTGCTGACTAGTTCTAACCATTCCTTACTCCTTTTGCAACTGAAAACTTGACTACAAAGGCTAGCTATTATAGAAGACCACCTCCTTCTTAGACCCTTAGAGTTAGGATAGAAAACGAGTCCACCAAGCAGGGGGAGGTGAAGCGGAAAGAATTGCTGGAAAAGCAGGCCCTCAGAGGCAGGATAGAAAACGAGTCCACCGAGCATCGAGGGAAATGCGAGGCCCGACGTGTAAGGGCGCGACAGCGGTGGAGGTCGATGGGAGACCGTCGAGAGCAGCAGAAGCGGCAATGGTGTTGACGCGTCGCTGGTCCTGGTGTTGTTGCTGGTGCTGCTCCTAGTGCTAGCCATTCTGCTAAGACATTAGGAGAAAAGCTAAGACTGGCAAGGGCTAGGGCTGGTGGTGCTGGGCGTTGAGCAGATAGGTGTGCTGGCGGTTGGGTTCGTAGGCCGGGTCGCAGGTGTACAAGGAGTCGAAGTTGTCGAGAAGGGATTCATGGTGGAGGACGTTCTCGTGGTGGGACTCTGGTTGTTGGCAGCGCTCGGTGGTGAGCGGCGGGAGGCGAAACGGAAAGAATTGCTGGAAAAGCATGCCCCCAGAGTCAGGATAGAAAACGAGTCCACCGAGCGGCGGGAACGAAGCGTAAAGAATTGCTGGAAAACAGGTACAATATCAAAGGCTTATGGCGCAACATGGAATCCTCACTGTAGAAAGGCCACGCGCCGTATTCGTCGAAGACGCCGGATTAGTCGAAGACGATCTTTCGCAAAGGCTCTTTGGCGCCACAGTAGGTCAATGCAAGCATTGCAGAGCTCTGGGATGATGCGGGCATCTCCGAAGACGTAAGTCTCGCAAATGAGCTGATACCCGAGCGGAATCTTTCCGTTGGGACCACGCGCACCGTAAATGCAGCCAGTGTAGATCTAGTGGAAGAAAATCTTAAATGCTTCTGGATTGTCGTCGGGCAGTTTGAAGGCATTTTCTTTCCCTCCCTTCCGGTTTTGGTTGAGGGTCGCTCGTAAAGGCAGCCAGTGTAGACCCAGTAGAAGAAAGTATTGAATGCTTCTAGATTGTCGTCGGGCAGTTTGATGGCATTTTCTTTCCATTCCTTCCAGTTTTGGCTGAGGGTTGCTTTGAAATAGGAGGAATAATAGGTGAGGAGACCCGTTCGTTGGCGCATTCCCGTTCGTTGAAGGCAGTGGCAGTGAGGCCGCAGTCCAGGGTCTCGTCCCCGAATGGATAGCTGAAGACGGATCTTGTACGTCGCTGAGCGTAAATGCAGATCGAGCGGCTTCCTCAGGGCTAGCTGTCGATGAATGTAAGGTCGTAGGTAGGATCGTAGACGAGCGAGGAGACACACGGCGGAGACATTGCGTACAGTAGCAGTCCCCGCAGGCAAGCAGGTAAGCAGGCAAGCAGAGTTATCTTGTCTGTCGATATCGTTCTGTGCAGGTACAGCGTTCAGATCGATTCTGGGAAAGATGAGTGCCTGAGCTTGGCTTTCCACATGAGGGATTGACGTTCCACCTTGCGAGTTCTAACGTGGCTTGTGACGCTTCATCCTTGGGACAGTCGGATTGTGATATGCATTCTTGCAGCGACTGGTGGTCGCCCCGCAAGCATAGCACTTGGCCTCCCCAACGTGGATGTCGTTTGGCGGGATAAACTTGCCGCACTATGGCCTACTGCAGTAGGTTTTGTTGACCGTATCCTTCACGAGCTCTGCGAGTCGAAACTTGGACTTCTCCTCTGCAGACAGTAGCTTCCCGATAACCTCTTCGGGGATTGAGGTGCGGCAGCATCGCGGTGGCAGATAGGCCGGGTCTTTCTCGGTGACAGCGCGGAGGATGCGCGCGGTCGCGGTTTCGTAGCAGAGGAGAAATCTGAGAAGTCATTGTCGTAATACTCGTAGAGCTCTGGGGGAGGGCCATCTATCCGTAGAAGCCGCTGGAGTTGCGGAGGCTTCCGAGGCAGTTCTTGGCGCAGATTTCCAAGCTGAAGAGGCTGTTGATGCTAAAATGGCTGTAGAGGGAGCTGCTAAGGCTCCTGGCGCGGGCTTTAAAGGAGGGGCCTTGGTATCATAAGAGAGACCTTGATGTTTACCAAGATATAGGGACATAGCGCCTCAGCTCCTCCAGGGATTCGCGTAATGCTTGATGCGTTCAATGGCCGATGAGAAGTTGCACTGCGTACGCCTCGATTCACCTTCGTTTAAGGCTCATGCTTTCCAGCGGCCATGTCATGGATGTCAACACGTTGATCGCGAGCTCAATCCTTCAGCGGCGAGTAGTAGCTGCCGTATGGACGCGCTGTCAGTGGTGTGATTGCTTCGTCGGGTCTGAATGGTCATGGAATTTGCACGGCTTGGTCTCTTGCGAAGGCGACCTTTCCGACAGCTATGGGCCAGATTAGTGAGGGTATAAGGCGAGAAGAACTCTGATAAGAAAGTTGGGTAGACATTTAGCCCTGGGTTTGTTTATATTCCCCCACTTGAAGGTCTTGCAGCAATATACACAACGAATTGCCTCAAGCGTGATTTCGGACTGGTGTTGTGGTTGGAGATATGAGAAAGTGAGCGTCCTTCTCTCCCGTCGAAACTCAGGAATCTGGCAAAGGCCATGGAAGGTGCGCAATCCATCCTCAGTCACTAAGGCTTCGAGGTCCTAGAGTCCCCAGGCCAATGCGGTCAATAACAGTCTCGTAGTTACCGCAGCCTAGAATCTGCTAACCAGGCGGAAGGACAGTAGACACGAGAAGGTCATTTGATGGACTCGAGTGGTATGCTCATAAACCCTGGAGCCGCGTTTACTCCATTCTCCGAACATACGCAATCGCCAGTTGGTTTTCGGAAGGGACAGTCCATGAATTCTGACGGTGTCCATGTCTCATTCGAATAGAGACATTCCATGAGTTGATTTTGTCCCTGATGAAGGTCGAAAGGCGGACTCCTTACGAACACAAAGGAGAATTTAGCCTGATAGAAGCCGCAAGTTCACGAAACATTAGGGATTCTCATGGAATTTTTGAATAGTGATTCGTGGGACAGATCGGTGAGCGCAACCGATCCTCCATTGGAAGGAGTTTGCACACGCCGGCTGTCAGCTTAACTAGGAGTTTGCTAATGTATGTAGGGTCGTCGGTGTCCGAGGCCATCGTGAGCGGGTGGAGTCGTAGAGGTGTTTTCTCGTGCTGCTGGTCCAGGACACGGTTGGGAAAGGGATCGCAGAAGTGGAGTCGCAGAAGGTAGAGGGCTTGTGGATAGGAGTTTGCTGATGTATGTAGGGTCGTCGGTGCCCGAGGCCATCGTGAGCGGATAGAATCGTAGAGGTGGAGTCGCAGAAGGTAGAGGGCTTGTGGACTCTGCTCATAGATGTACTGAAGCTGCGGCATTGGAAACGTACATTCAAAGAGCCGACGTAAGCTCTTCCGAGATGGTAATTGAGCTGGGAAGATGGCCAAAAAGACGGTGAAGTATAGGAACGCACGATGGTAGGAGTGGGGGAAGCCCACACCCGCGGGCCCGAGTGGAGGAAAAGAGGGCTTTACGTCTCTACTGGAAAACCCCAGAAACAGGTTCGTAGCCGCCACGGCGTACAGGTACAGATGACGAGTTTCAGGCCCGGCAGCCGTGAGAGAGTGGTGTTAAAGTGGTGATGCGGAGGGTTCTGGTGGTGATGACGCCAAGTGCAGGATGTCACTGCAGGAGGCGTTCATAACGCGTGACTTTACCAGATCAGAGGGAAGCGCGCTCCCTCCTTCCTGCGGTGAAGGCGTGTTTACAAGGTGCCAGGACGCGCTAGTCCAGTCCAGTCAAAGTTTGCCACCCAAGTAAGAGTGAAGTCGAGTTGAGCTTGGGAACTCTCTTGAGGGAGAGCTGAGAGAGTGCGCGCATGGAGGCACAGAAAGCTGGTCGGGGTGTCGATTCATTGCAGATAGTGGGATTCGCTGAATAGGTCATCTCCTTTTCTACCTGCTCTGGAACCAACAAACGAAAAAGAGAGAGAATTAATGAACCTGCAGCTTGTTAGGCTATCCAGTATACTAAAACAATGAGCATGGCTTACCGATGTTTTTGCTGGCGTCTCTAGGCGCGTTGGGTTCACCAAATGTGGGACGGATGGACGCCGCTTCTGCACAGACTGCATCCGGAGCGGTCCCTCCCACACCGGTGGCGTCTCTGTGTTGGCTCTGTTCACTGAGTAAACTCAGGAACAGGTTCGTAGCCTTCACCGCGTACAGGTACAGAGGCCGTCTTCAGGAGAGCCGTATGGGGGTTGAATTGGAAACGCCGACTGGTAAGCGCTGGCGATTGGCAAGGGATGATATCCGAGTGTTCGACGTGTTATGATCGGGCTGCTCGTGGTAGGTGGCGTTTTCTTCCGTAAGAGAATATGAGCGAATTTTGAAAGTGATATAGTTGAAGTGGGGAAGGAGGGATAGCGATGGAGGAGGTTGCTGCGACGCCTTTTCATGAGGAATTTATGAGTGGATAGAGAGGGATTGGTCGGATCGTAAGATAAGAGAGAGAGAGAGAGATACGGCGAGGGACTGTGGGAGAAAGGCGGCGGGAGAGGGCGGCAGACGGAGGGAGTGGGGATGACGGGAAGGATAGACTTAAAGAGAGTGATGTAATAGCGGTGACTCGCAGTCAATAAACCAGCTTAGTTTTGAGCGCAACAAATGGGTGCTGGGGCCCGATCTCAACGAGAAGGCGATCGAGGCTCCAAGGAAACGGGGAGTATAAGCCTAGTTAGAGTCAACGGAATGGCAGAGTGGGATCGGGGGAGAGCGTACACCGAAGCTGGAGAAGCTGTTGCGGTTTGGTGGCTCTTTTGAGTGTGGCTGCTGAGTGTGGCTGCGACGTCCATGAGCGTGTGGTATTTGGAAAGGCGGTGGGCCCCCCAAAAGACAATGACGACCTCTAAATCGCCTTCGTCGGAGTACGCAGACGCGTTGTCTATCTCTTAAGCTGCACCTAAAGCAAACGCACAGCCAGGCCAGCAACGCGGGCGTCCACTTCGTCATTGAAAACTCCAATCTTGAGATCCCAAACTCTCTCCGCTGCATCATGCTCAGCTCGCGGAGATCCCCACGCTCACCATTGGCGTCCTATTATTTCGAGCACGCCCACTTCGTCGTCAAAAACCCCAATCTCCCGACTCCAAAACCCACTCCTCCCCGGTCTGCACTAACGTTGTTGGTCCGCGCGAAAGTCTGCGTCAAGGTCACCCGAATGAGACATTACGAGGATAAAATATTATGTGAAAGATCGTGGAGACAAAGGAGAACAAGAGGGGAGTTGAGTTTATTGGCCGGCCCACACAAAAACTGCTGTTGCCTAGATCCTGTATTATTACGTTACCACAGTAAATCAATGATGACTAATTGAATGTCAAAACATTGAAAGAGCCGAAGCTGGTCGATAACTTGACTGTTCGTCAATCATCGTCGAATGGAATATATGTGCAATTGACCAAATGCCTCGAAAGGCAAGGATTTGAGCATTTTTCCAACTTATATAGGAGGAAGCATATGGTTAAGCTTAAAGGCGAATAGGAAAAGGCAGAGGGTTGGCCTGGAGAAGGGCAAGATTTTCGTGATCTCCACTCTGGCACTCTAAGCATAGGGAACCCTAAGTTCAATATCAACTACTATATAAATTAAAAAAAGGATCAAATCCATGCCTTTCGAGGCATTTGGTCAATTGCAAAAATACAGAGAAGATTAGCATGGCCCCTGCACTAAGGATGACACGGTAAGTCCCTGTGTTCGATTCGCGCAGTGAACGGAAAACTAATTCATCCCGCGCAGCTCAATCAAAGAGAAGCAACCATTTTTTTTTGTATTTTTTTAGCTTTACGACCTGAACAGGCGTGCGGATTATTACTTGTCAAAGATCTGGGCGACAATGACATCTGGGTTTATTTATTGTATGCTGATATTGTTTCGTGTTGGGGTTTAACTGCTCACGACACTTCCAATCGGGGCGGGGGTCTGCAGCCAACGCTGCCATAGACTCCTGCAGTATCGGTGCTAACTGGTATCCTTCGTCTCTTACCATTTACTCTGGAATGCTCCTCTGAGACTCTTCTACTCCTCCAAACTTGATCGTAGGTGCTCGCGTTCATTAGGAATGCCAGGGCATTACAAGCGCTCTTCTGAGTCCGTTGTATACTCCGCGTACACTCTCTCCACCCTGATCTACATATAGAGTAGTCGCCAATTTATAACTGATGCGACTGCTAACATCGCAGTAATTCAAATAGGCAACTCCCAAAGCACTTGCCTCTTAAGGCCATCCGTCGCCTCCCAATCCCTTATGACCCGCAAGACTCTCAAGCTCCCTCCCGGCCTATCCGCCTCCGACATAACAGGAGGCGGCACACCCGGAACTCGCTCTCTTAATCCCTCACACTCGAACCGTCATCAAGATTTCCCATGGCAGTCCCGACGAGCTTGAACGGTGCGAGCGCGAGGCTGCAATTTACGAACGGCTCTACCAGTCAGACATCCCACGGCCAACGCCATTATTAGAATACCACGGCAGGAGCGAATGCGGTGATGGGAATACTCCTTGAGTATGCAGAGAACAACACCATACGGCGCTATCTGACCATCCCCTGGAATAACCAAACAGCGATTGGAGGGCCTGCCTGATATCGAGCAGCTACCGGTTACGAACTTTGCGGGTACTATTGTTAAATGTTTCCAGTCGCGTTATAGGAACATAAAGAGGTTTTGAGCGACATAGAGAGGATATTTCCAAGAATTAGGCAACGCTAGAGACCATTCTTCAGTATAGGAGAGTCATCGTTACCGCACTCCTCGTGAGTTCCACTAACGGAAGTAGACTCGAACGAAGTGAGCAACACAAACCCTGAAGCAGTTGGAGCATTGAACGACGGTATTGTTGGATATAAACCACGTCTCTCTACCTTCTAGCAAACATCGCCAAATTGAATCTCTCTTGTCTGAACCTGCCCTCCGCAGAGAAACTTTGTCTCTCCCTCTCTCAACATCACGTCAAAAACCTAAACCCATGCTCCTGCGCCTCGCCCGGCACCGCATTAATCGCCCCCTCGACATGCTCCCCCCTATCCAGCCTCTTATTCAGCCTCGTCAGAATAATCCTCATCACCATCGCACAAATGATCGCCAACGCGGCCGTCGCACAGTCCACGCTGAGCGGAATCGTCAGGTCAGGCTGCGTCTTCCCTTTTGGCTGCGGGTACATGTAGCTAGCGTAGATGGAGCTGCAGTTGGAGATAGCGTTGATGAAGGCGAGGGCGGCGGCGCGTTTGGCGGGCGGGCGCGGGATCGAGTTGGAGATCCAGGCCAGGCACACGACGTACCCCGTGTACACGCCGGGAACCATGAGCATCATGGCGACGTAGCGGGGCGCGACGGAGTGGGTGGCGGCGCCGAGGATGAAGGCGGCGACGCCGACGCAGAGGGGGAGGGTGATGTGGAAGAAGCGCTCGCCGGTGCGGTCGGCGTGCCAGGCGTTGCAGAAGGTGGTGATGACTGACAGATCACGGTTAATATATACCCTCTAGCAGCGTGTTTAAAGTGCTTACCAGCAAGGACATATGGAGGGGCCGTGAGAAGCAGAGTTTCCACGTTACCGTATCCGAGGGTCTTGACGACGGTCGGGAAGAAATTCGTGACGGAGGCGCTGCTGACGTTGGCGAGGAGCATCAGGGCGAAGATCCAGGTCTTGATGTCGAGCAGGGCGAGCTTCAGGCCGTGGAAGAAGGACTGCGACTCGGATGAGGTCCAGTCGTCCTCGCCAACGTCCTCTTGCAGGCGATAGACGGCGAGCTGGCGCTCCTCCTCGGTAAGCCAGGTGGTGGTGCGCGGGAAGTTGGGAAGAATGAAGAAGGCAATGAAGGCGATGGCGACCGTGATGGCGCCCTCGATGATGAACACCCATCTCCACGCGCGAAGGCCACGGGTGTGGTCCATGTTGCCAGTGATTCCAGCTGTGATGAGGCCTCCAAAGGCGCCAGAGACGAGAGAGCCAGAGTACAGAATCGCGGTGCGGAGGCCGAGCTCCTTGCGCGTGTACCAAGACGAGAGGTAGAACAGACAGCCGGGGAAGTACGCAGCTTCGATGAAACCGAGGAAGAAACGGCAAGCCACAAGGCCACCGAAACCCTGACATCCAGCTGTGGGAGTTAGTAAAAGGTAGTCCGCATGCATCGCCGGAGGGGCTGCATGTTGCCGATATTGGCGATTGCGTACCTGTGGCGCCGGAAATAACACCCCAAATAATCATGCACGTCGGGAGGTAGATTGCAGGGCGGCCGGTCTTGTTGAGGAACAGGTTCGAAGGAACTGAAGTCGTTTTAGTGAGAATTCGGACTCGTCACGAGTTCGGCTTCGTACTCTGCATAAGGATGTACCCAACGAAGAGGATAGAGATCACAGTCTAAGCACCGTCAGCAATTGGAACCGACGAGTCAATCTTGGTACCAACCTGGTACTGAGTGCTTGACAGATCCAGTTCATCTTGGAGACCAGCGAGCCGCACGGCCGCAATGTTGTTGCGATCGAGGTAATTCATGATGTACATGAGAATGACCATGGGCATTAACCTGAGATCGATCTTTCTCCTCATTTTCTTCTCAGCTTCCGCGCGATACTCTGGTGTCATGGCCGCCACTAGGGCCGGGACCTCAAGCTTGGAATTTGGCACCGCATGGCCGGGGGAGGAGGTTGCGACGCCATCGTCCGAGACGTGGTCGGAAGGGAGTTTGCTGTCCGGAATAGCCGCCATGGTGAGCTGGCACTTCAACTCTGGTATCTCGACTCCGGCTCCTCTGCAACAGCGATCCGGCGTTCACAGAGGTAGAGGCGACAAGCAGAGGGGAGAAGGCATAGGTGGCGCCGTCGGTCCTCGCCAGAAGCTTTATACTTGTACATATGGGTGGAGCTCGGAGCGCATCTCCGGGCAAGGGTGGATTAGTGAAAATTAAGATGTGATGGCCTACATGACCGGCCCAGTGCAGGCTCCTCGTTCCCCGGTTGGCGGCCCTCTTTGTGGGCAACGTTGAACCGTGTTGAGGCAGGGAAGCGATCTGCTCAACAGGAGGAGGTGCCGTTGATGGAACCTCGGCCGTTGATCACTGGAGCGACGGTTCGCTAGCATGATGTCAAGGTACCGCGTGCGCTACCCCGTCTCCGCTTGTGTTGGACGGTTGGAACCCTGGGAAGTGTTGGAACGGCAACCGGCATCGGTTTTGGAACAAAAGTTCACCCCAGCCGGGCGCCCCGAGTGGGGAATCCGGGGTAGCACGGGATAGCCGTTCTTGTGCTGGACAAGAGGGGGTTTTTCAGATAGTCCAAACTTTGGAACATCTTGTTGAACGTTGCAAATATGTGGAACCACTGGCAGACGAAGCAGTGTTGCTGGGTGAATGTCTCGTCGATGCCAGCCGTTTACTTAGGGACTTGATGTATCTCTAACAAACGCCCAAAAGCTTAACGGGAAGCTCAATAATGCGGTTTTTCTAAGCATATATATAGATATCAACGGCGGACTTTACAGACTTCAATCATGTGTGCACTTACTCTGGAGAACTTGTAGATGGGTGAACAAGCGTAACCCACCTCCGCAAAGATTCCGCTCCGTTTCCGCTCACCGCCTCAGAGTCTGGTGTTGGGAAGCAAACTTCTTCACCCAGTTAAACCCATCCCGTTATGGCTAGCGCAGAGGCTACCCCACAATAGGTTATCAACGGCTCAACACCATCTCGTCCATCTCCAACATTTGAATCATGCATCAAAATGTCCTCAACAGTTGGTATTAACGGTGTGTTCAGTATCGCTGTTGAGACACACCCATTCGTACCTGCTGACCTGCTCTCGAATCCTGCTGCCGTCTTGATTCACACAGTGTGTGACGCACGCCCAGGAGCAGGGTGCAGTGCCACTCCACCTCCAACTCCATGGCAACCCACTGTGATTCTTCTGAATGAGATACCCCGGTTCTGTATTCCGTTATCATTATTGCATGCAACCCTTTGTGTGATTTTAAATCACAAAATCAAGAGATAGCCTCGCAGGAACGCTGATGTATCACAAACATTCCAATGCCATCAAGAAGAAACCAACACCTCCTATCACCCATCAAACTCCTTCTCCCACTCCTCCTCCTACATCCTTCTGCACATGCCCAAAACACCACAAAACGCGGCATAGCCTACGCCGGCAACCCCCACCGACCTGACAACAACCTCCTCCAATCCCCCTCCTCCCCCCTCTCCTGGTACTACAACTGGTCCCCCTACCCAAACACCAATCTCCTCTCCCCATCATCTCTCGAGTTCGTTCCCCTCATCCACGGCCTCGACGGCGCCCAAGACCCCCAAACCCGCCGCCAAATCAATTCCCTCCCAGAGTCTTCCAAACACCTCCTGTCCTTCAACGAACCGGACGGCACGACTGACAGCGGCGGATCATCCATCGAGCCCGAGGATGCGGCGAGGGCTTATATAGAGCACATTGTGCCCTACCGCTCCGGCCGCGCCCGCAAATGGCTCATCTCGCATCCGTCGACGACAGGGTCCCCTAGAGGGTTGGACTGGCTACGTCGATTCAACGAGAGCTGCTACGAGATTGATGCGGAGCATGGATGCCCGACTGATTTCATTGCCGCACACTGGTACGGTGCGTTCGACGGACTGGTGTCGTGGCTGCGGGCGTTGGAGGAGTTTTATAATGGGGATAGGGAGGTTGAGGAAGGGAGGTTGAGGATCTGGGTGACGGAGTTGGCGTTGCCGCAGGCGGATGTGGAGGCTACGGTTGAGATGATGAATGCGTCGTTGAGGTATTTGGATGAGTCGGAGTCTGTGGAGAGGTATGCGTGGTTTGGGGGATTTAGGACGGATGACGCGAATGAGTGGACGGGGGATGCCGTGGCCCTGTTCGATGGCGATGGCGGCTTGACGCGGTTGGGGGCGTTGTACTTGGGTGGGGAGGGGAATGGGTTTACAGAAGGGCAGAAGGGGGAAGGCGGTGCGAGGGCGTTAGCTCTGAATATGTGCTTGATGGTGTTGTGTTTGGGAATATCAGTGATTATGTCTGGTTCTTAAGACGTAGCGACGCGTATTTGTCCTACTTCATTAGCAGCGTAGCGGACATGAGCATTTCGAACCATTTTACATTCTTACTGTCAACTTCGAAAAGTCGATCGGTATAGCAAAACAGAGATCCAAGACTTCGCGCATCAGGAGTCCTGGATGCGATGCTCATGTCTTTCCCATTGCAGTCCTACATCATTAACTCCCAACGCCAGTTGACCAACATATCCCGGAAGCCCAACCGACCCTATAAGCACAGAAACAGAAAGCTAATGCACAACACTCTAGCCAGCCCTCTGGTAGATACCACACACCATGGCGTGGTCTCTCTCGAAGGGCTCCAGAGTCAGCTGCTCCTTGGGCTTTATCCTCTCTTTCCTGAGCTTCTCGACCTCGGCCGCGAACACGGCCGCGGGAGCGGCAGTGGAATCGATACAGTTGGCCTTGATGGAGACGATGACACCGCCACCGACCTTCAAGAATAGATGTGCGTTGAGGCCGACAATACGGGCTTGGTCACTACAACTTGTCAGCATGCCACAATGCATGGAGGGCGTTTACACGTACGGTTGGGCAACGTCGGCGAAGATGCAGTCAACCATGCTCACAAGCATGCGGTACTTCAGGGGATGACGAGCGTCCTCAACAATGGGGATTACGTTCGTCCTGTGCGTGGCCATGTTGATCAGATCACGGCCGGAGCGGTGCGAGAATTCGACGGCGAACACGGTCCCTTCAGGGCCAACGATATCCGCAACGTGCGATACGGAGGTACCAGATGCAGCACCCAGGTAGAGAACCTTTGATCCGGGCTTCATGTAGATGGACTCGACACCACCCAAGATACCAGCGGCCAACTTGCTCTGCGAAACGTTAGTCGTAATAATTCCAGAACGGCATCAGGAGGCGTACTCGGAAAGGATTCCACACGCGGTATTCCACTGTGGTGGCTGGGGCATCGCCATTGGCAGCGTTCGCGGGAGCAGCGACGGAGATGCGCTTCTCTCCATAGACAGACTCGCCGGGGGTAAGATTCTTAGTGACAAGCAAATCCTCCTTGCCTCCACGGGCGACGAAGACGCCCGGGTGACGATGGGGCTCGATGATGACCTTACTGTTGCGCATTAGACCTTAACCTGCGCATCTCGTGTCCTTCCCAAGTACTTACGCTCCACCTTTCGCTCCACCCCTCGCTCCTCCTCTTCCACCACGACCTCCGCCCCTTCCACCTCGTGCACCTCCACGAGCGCCGCCGCGGGCTCCACCGCGACCTCCTCCTCTTCCTCCTCCACGACCACCGCGATCGCTGAAACCGCCTCGGCCACCTCCGCGTCCGCCGCCGCGTCCTCCTCGTGGTGTGAATGCCATTATTTTCTGAAATGCGTGAATCCGATCAAGGTGGTAGAACCGTTGAGGTGTTGCCCTGTGTCGCCGTGCGGATCGGATTGATGAAGTCGTCGCACTGCTGGAGAAGCTCTGAAATAATAATTTTGTTCGATTAGCGCCATGCCAATCTGGGCTTAGCGCGCCTGGAACACGCACTCATGGAATTTTGCGAACCCGACTTCAACAATACTCACACCACGATTCACCCACGCCCAACCGACAAGATGGTACGTCGCCGCCTGCCGCACTCGATCGATTTCGCATTGCCTGTTATATCTGCGCAACTCTGGAACTGCGTGCGCCGACTGAGCTTGTGCTGATCGAGAGGATAGGTCCGCTACGCAGCCACCCACATCGACAACGCAAAGTCCGCCCGGGCTCGCGGCAGCTATCTTCGCGTCTCATTCAAGAACACCCGCGAGACCGCTCAAGCCATCAATGGATGGAAGCTGGAGCGTGCTTTGGCCTACCTCGGCAACGTCTTGGAGAAGAAGGAGGCCGTTCCCATGAGGCGGTACGCTGGCAGCACTGGCCGTTGTGCACAGGGTGAGTGCACCTCTGGACTTTTGGGAGAATAAAGGCGGAGCGAAAGAGAAGTTGGAATTCGATGGGGACTGCCGCGAATTGGAACATGCACAGCAGGGCATGGCTAATATGGCAATAGGCAAGCAGTTCGGTGTCTCCAAGGCTCGCTGGCCCGTCAAGTCCGCCGAATTCCTGCTCGGTCTCCTCAAGAACGCTGAGGCCAATGCCGACACCAAGGGCCTCGACACCAGCAACTTGATCGTCAAGCACATCCAGGTCAACCAGGCCCCCAAGCAGCGGAGGCGCACATACCGTGCTCACGGCCGTGTATGTCAGGCATTGAGCGAGCTATGGACTCCAACTAATCATGGTAGATCAACCCCTACATGTCGAACCCGTGCCACATCGAGCTGATCCTCGCTGAGGGTGAGGAGGTTGTCAAGAAGGAGCAGGCTGTTGAGGCTGTCCGCCTGAGCTCGAGGCAGCGTGGTGCCCGCGCTCGCCGTGCCATCACCGCTGCATAGAGGGGGAAAGAGAAGGGGATGGGTTGAGCGTGGAAGAGTGGATCTGGCTCCGGTGCTGGCTCAGGATCTGCAACAGCGACGGCGTGGAGTCGACGAGCGAATGAATCGGGAGGCTTTTTATACTGGGGCATGATTTAGGGCTTCATTTTCCCGGTGTCTGGTCGAAAAATTCAATGAGGTTAAGGCCTGCTTCCATGGCTGTTCGGACAAGTGACCCTCTGCGCTTGGATGTCATGACCCGCACCGAGTTCCAACTACAATTGCCCGTTGGAGGCGGCACCCATGCTTTCGCATGTATTTTGGTTCAATATCCAAGCTAATGGCTCGTGAGCATCAATGACGACTTTCCCTGACATTTCCCACGAAGTCTGAGACTGGTGCCGCTCAAAGTGTGGTGTCCCCATCCCGAGCATACATCTGCACCGTGCTGCGTATTGTGCAACGTTTATTCCTTGGTGGCATGTGTTCAGAGATTCCTCAGACATATATGTCTCTGTAACATGTTGACGCAACACAGCTTTATATCTGTAGGGAGCACTTCATCTCAGATTTGCAACGTCGCTGTGACGCTCGTTTGTCCAATCACGTGCTCTTCTGATTGTCTGAGAGGACACCGAGGTAGATGGCATTCCGAGACCTGAACGGAATGTCGCAGCCAGCCGGGCCTACAAATGGTCATTGATCGCCTCAAACATAGTGGTTCCGAACACGATCGCCCACTTAATCAACCCCAAACGCCTCACCCGTTGCGCAAAGCTGCGTTTTGTTCACCTTGCCCCTTCACGATCAATGCTGGTCCTTTCCCTCTGAGCCAGACGCGTCGAGCCGCGACCCGCGACGCACTAATATTTAGTAGAAAGAACCAACCTCCCTCCGACCCCCTCTCTCTCCAACTTCCCACATTCACCAACCTTGGAACCCATTGGCAAGCCGCTTTAACACACCGTTGGGCCAGAAATCCGCCTTGTCGCTTCATGCGCTGACGGCCCCCATCTACCCGCCAACGTGAACGTTTATCAGATTATAGTTATTGCCGGCCACGAAGGACAAGGGCCCAAGAACCCTGCTGGCGAGCTGCATTAGGAGGCTCTCTGCATTATTCCCTTTTTAGCTCTGCTGGGGGGGCTACCAAGCACAATCCTACCAGTCCTCCCGGTCAATCACCCTCTGCCGCTGCTTGCTTCGCCTGCTTCTTTTCTTTTTTCTCCTTCTTCTTCTTTTCCCTTCCAATATGCGCCACGCCCACAGCTCGTCCGAGTCGGCCCACCATCGCGACAAACGGCAATTCCAGCCCACGATAACGAGCTTCTTCTCGTCGCGGGACGAAGACTACGACGTTTGGGAAGAGCGGGGTACAGGTCCGAACACCCGGGCTCGCACAAGTATTCAACAACACCGAGGAGGAGCGACCACCCGAGAGACCAGCTTCCCTACCCTCCCAGGAACCGTTCAAGCAGACTTGCTCAGCGTCGGGATGCGCGTCCGGAAGAGCGTGCCTGAGGGCTACAAGACACACAAGACGGCAGCCGGTTCAATGCCCTCAGCCTTGCCTTCTATCCAGACCACCTTATCGAAGGGCAACATAGTGAAGACCAATACCGCTACAGCACCGCCGAGAGAACCGGTTCCCTCCTCTCTACAACGCCAGCGCGAACTGCTTCCCTTCTGCGGCTTGCACAAGGTTGGTGGCTATGCGGAACAGCCCGTCACCAACGTGCATCTGTATGGTGCGCCCGACGGAACCGGCGACAGACCCGTGAATCTCTTCCCCCTCCCCGCCGAAGCCTTCAACGAACCCTTTTCATCCTCGCAATCCTCGTCCACCGAATCACTGCCACCGAACCCCGCGAATCTCCACAAGCGATCTTGGCAAGAGGAAGAGGAGGAGCTCGAGCAGCAGAGCAACCCATTGGGACTGAACTCAAACTTCCTCTTCGCAGTTCCCGTCAAGGATGCAGACGACGAGGTACCCGTTTCACCCCTGTCGGAGACTCCAAAGCAGTCGTTCAATGCCCTGCCGCAAGGTGCATTGCGGACGTTTGCGCAGCCCAAATCGAGAAAGGGTGCGAAAGGAGGTGGCATGCAGGTCGATGCTGCGATGGGAGATTTGGATATGCAAATGGGCATTGAGAATGTACCGCAAGGGGGTGAGACGGACACAGGTGATTTCGACGAAGCGCCTTTCTTGAGGCCATGGGGAGCGACCGGTGCTGAGGTCGAGATGGGAGGTGTTTAAGAGACGGGGAAACCCACACACTTGTTCTCTGCATACATTCTGCTTCTTATTCTTTTCACAGTGGGTAGAGTGAGTGGTATTGCTGCTGCTGCTTGCAACGCACCACTTCACCGACTCTCTCCTTTTTTTTCCCTTCTTGTTTTCATGCTGGTTTCTTTATCCGCCGTATTCCCACATTCCTCCTCGAAAGACTTCACTTCGTTTGCCTTCTTCGCCCGTTTACTTGGCTTTTTCTTTTTTTATTCACCGCACATCATCTCTTTTTCAGCGACTCACTCAGCATCGGCGTTTAGCTTTCCGTGGTTTGTGGGAATAAGGAGGCGCCTTTCATGACTTTCGTCATTGTGTTGGATTATCAGGCGGTGTGTATACCCTAGACTTCACGAAATGATAACGTTATATCTAGTAATCATCTTGATGTTTCTTGTGAGGTGTTTATCTTGAGAACCCAGGATAAGCCAAGAACATACGAAGACAACGCGAATTGAATCCAGGGACCTATTATCTAGACTACATGAACCGGCACACCGAACCGCAAAAGTGGCCATCCGCCCCACCCACCGTCGACCCCTACGCCAACAAAGGCGGAAACATGAACAAGCTAAACTGCACCAGAACAGCGCACGCATTCGCAATCCCATCCAAGAAGGCATTCCGGAAGATGATGATATCCTCCAGGTTCCTGGCCAGCCTCAACCTCTCTGCGAAATAGTACAGCATGCCCAACCGCGCCGTGATGGCGAGCCCGAGCCAGAACCACAGCGCGCAGTAGATCCACGCCGGGAGCCGGTACGGGTTGGCGCGCATCTGGCGCTGGATGGCATGGACGGTTTCACGCGCCGTTTTGAGCGTGCTGGTTGCGGTGGCGAGCGGGATGGCGAGCATCGAGGAGGGGAACTCGTTGATGAAGGCCATGGCGCTCAGGACGGGGTGGGGGGTGTGTCTGTTTTGCCAGGGGCTGGGACGGAATTGGAATTCGCCCGTTTGGTGGAGGAGGTGCGAGTGTGCGCCGTTCATGCTGAGGGTCCAGGCCCAGGAGTCGACGCTGGAGGCGGCGCGGTCGAGGCGAGTGATGCTGCAGTTGAAGACGTGGTGGTCTGGTTGGCAGAGGTCCGTCATGGCGATGCGTTTGATGCGGCGGCGGAGCTCGCCGAAGAAGGATTCGTAGTTGGGGGTGTAGTCGGTCCAGCAGGGGAGGTTGCGCGAGGTCAAGACGCGGGCGATTGCCAGGACGACTTCGGCGTGCGTGCAGATGAGGATGACTTGTGGAGAGCGGGCGGCGTCGAGCGTCTGGATGAGGTGGTCCATGGTGAAGTGTGCGCGGAGGAGGAGGCGGCGGGGAGGCTCGAGTAGCCAGCCTTTCAGGGGAGGGGTGACGAGAGGGCGGTACTTGGTGTCGATGTAGTTGAAATGGTCGATCAGGTCGGAGATGTCCGTGGGGCGTTTGAGTGCGCAGACTTCGCTGCAGAGGGGGAAGACGTCGTCGATGTCTTGCGATTCCCTAGCAGTTGTATTAGCAGGGCGGGTATGACTCCAGATAATGGTCGAAAAATCCTCCTACCGTAGGCCAGGTTCGACTCGTACCGTGAATTTCGGCCTGCCATCGGGAGTTGTCACGATCGGAAGTAGTGTCTCGAGACACTGGTAGCTGGGACTGCTATACACGAGGTCGATGGGGAGGTTCTCCATTGCGAGTCTATCCGCTGTCTGTTTGGCCTGTTCGACGCCCGTCTTCGAGAGCGGTACGTCGGCAGGGTTTTCCGTGGGGTAGTATGCATCTTGCTCGTCGTCGGTTTGGTCTACCGTCTCGCCGTGACATACGAGGTAGATGCGGTGGAGCATGGCTGATGAGGGAGATGGTCAGGCAGCGGATTTGCGGAATGGTATTGACAGAGATTGGAGTAGCCTCATTCCCAGTATCTGAAGTGAAGAGGAGTTCATCTGGTTCAAGACATGGGCCCGTGGCTTCCATAGAGAAGGGTGAAGCAACTGTCACTGCAATTGCGACTATGCCACAAGATAGGTAATTGACGGAAAACTGCGGCAGTGGCTTTGAACAAGGTTGCTCCTACTCCTACCAAAGAGCTCACCGTTGACGAGTTCCTTCTAGGTACGCTACACATGGATATGAATGCCATGGGACGGATGGCATGTGAGAGCAAATACTCCATAAACACACTAAGAAGACCCTGTAGCAACGGGGCGACCTGCCAAAGAGCGGAAGCTGAAAATAGTCGTGAATTAACCAAAACGATACCCCCTGACAGCGCCATGCCAAACCCGACATGCGCCTTTCCACACCATCCAGGTGCTTTTACTCCGGTAATAGTACAGCAAATAATACCGCCAACCTGATTCCATCATATCATCAACTTCCAGACTGAACTCCCTTAAACCCTTCTCCTAGCTGTCCTACAATCCTTCGAATCGATCTGTCTGGGAGCTCTGTATGGCCTGGGCGAGCATGGCAGCTTCCCAAGTCGCGGGACCCAGAACATTTTATGAGCGCTTCTGCCACCCTAGTGCGCCGTCATCTCAACCTCCTTCCTCGACTGCCTCGCCGCCCACTTATCCGCCAACCACGTCACGATCGTGAGCAACATGCTCATTCCAAGAAGCAGGAACACTACAAGAGTGCCATAGAGGGCGAATTTCTGCATACGAATGAATCAGCACCCCCGGAACATACAAGTCTCTAGGGAAAAGAATAAGGTACTCACGCTCTCCATGCAGATCGATTTGAAAGCCCCATTTCCCATTTCAGAAGGAAGCCGAAACTCCTCCTCCATGGGCTGCGAGTTCTTGTACTTGCATGTCCAGGTCTGGATGGTGTCCTGCTCGGGGCTGTCGCTGTTGAGGATATGGGCGTAGACGATGGTCACGAGGGCGAGCAGGGAGGATGGCAGGATTGTGCCTAGGCCGAGCAGGGCGCGGACGGTGGGCGTGAGGTTGAACTGTGGATTCTCGTTAGCTTTTGGAGTGATTCGAAGTGGGATGTGGAGAGTACGTACGCGTGGTACTAGTGCGAGGACGAGAAAGACTGCTGAGAGAACGAACGTGACCGTCGAAGTTGCAACGAGGGCTTTGGTGCCGTGTACGTTGAAGTGTTGGGGCCAGAGCGGTAACCACCATGGGTTGGATGTTTGTTGCTTGTTGAAGATATCGAGGGTGTGTGCGGATGTTCCGAGAGTTGCGACGCTGAGAGCCGCACAGAGACCCATGAGAGCGGCTTGGCCGGTGCGAAGAGGTGCGGGATTGACCTTCATGGTTGTGGTCGGAACCTCGTCGTCCTGGATAGTCCTTCTATTGAGGGGGGGAGATGTAACGAAATGATCGATGAGAATCTCAGAATATAGCAAAGGGAGCACAACCAGCCCTCTGATCTTCGAAACAAAAATAAGAGAGAAGCGAAATGAAGCACGAAAGAAACAAAGCCTTTCCGGCAATTATATCTTCTCAGGAACGGTTCTCACGATGGAAGATCTCCAGTAGTCGCAGGAGGGTTCACGCATGGTTTAAAACACTTTGCTCTCCATGGCGGTTTCAACTCCCCCATCACGTACTTACCCTCATGCATACAAGCCGCAGCCAAAATAAGTTACCCCCTGGTACACGGCCGTTCAAGCGCTACTGTTTGCGAGGTAGATGCTCATCGGGTGGTGTCCTGTGTTGCTGTCATGACCACATTCGTAGTAGTCCAGCGCGTAAGCTGCAGTTCTGAAGGGTGAGGTCAGAAATAGACCGCAAAGGAACACAGCCCTTGATGACAGATCCGGTGCTATTAGCAGCCATATCTCCCGCAGGAAGGAGTCGGCGATAATAATAGGCCAGTTTGTGGATATTGGCCTCATTTTTCTCGCCAAACACATGCAGTTAACCACCGTGGCTTGCTATCAATATTTCCATTGCGGGCTAGTAGTCTTTCATGATATCCCAATATGCGAGACTGGCGAATGAGCGCAAGTTGTACGGATATGCGGTGCGATCGGCTCTGGAACACTCTGAGTCCTGAGGCTGGGATTTGCTGGCGCTTGATGGGGACGAGATGCAGATGTGGTGTCGTAAAGATGTTTCGGCGCGTAGGGGTGAGATGTGATTGGCGAAACGCTACGGCGATTGTGTTTCCCAAAACGGTATTCGAATGGGTTTGCTGTTTTTGCACTATATCTTACAAAAGACAAAATATCCTAGGGAAGCTCGACAAGATCCAGGACGTTTGAAGTAGTGTGTGCTCTTCGTTTAACACGGCTCTGTGCCATTGTTCGTCAAAGCAACCTCTCACAATGTCCTCGACTCCTAGTTGTATTAAGTGTGACCATCTTTGAAGGGACTCATTGTGCTGGTGCCGACATTCTGCATACCTGAATGGATGGCTAAAACCCAGTCTACCTGAACGTACTGATAGTAAGCGCCCACGGCCCGCTCGAATACCGACAACACTACGGAGTAGATGTTCACGAAAGCTGGCCGGTCAAGCCGCCCGCAGTGCCGCCCAAAGTCCACTTGCGGAGTCCCCATGGGCCCGACTTCGACTTACCCTTCTTCGCAGCCTCCAATGGGTGGTCCTTCTCCCATCTCTCGTCTTCCCTGTATGCAGCGAGCGCACTGTCTAGGTCGTAGTCGGCTTGCTGAAGATACAGTAGCGCCACGTCGTACTCGGCAACCTTGCAGCCAGTCATGAATCTGCGCACCTTGCCCTTCCTAATCTCTTCCTCTTCGCCTTCGACGGGTCGCGGGCTCAAGCTCACTCCGCCTTTGTAGTAGGCTCCCGGAATCAGCACCGTCCTACGCGCTGCGAGTAGGTGGTCCGCGTAAAGGTTATTGGTACTCCGCAGGGCATGGGCTGGCACTCCATATCGCAATGAAAGTGATGTGATGGAGTCGTTGGGATCCACAAAGTGTAGGACGTCTGGCGCCTCCTCGCTCGCCACCTTCGACTTCTCATTTGGAACCTGTACATATGCATGTGCGGAGTACGGAGGAAGCTCTTCGTCTAGCGGGATTTCCGAGTTCGTTTCTTCGTCATTTCGAGGTGGCGAGTAGCTTGGTGGGTCTCTTAGACCTTGAGGGAGCGGCGACGGAACCATCGAGACCTGGCAGAAGGCGCAATACTGCGCAAACCGAGGATTATCGTGTACACATTGGATGCAGACTGCACGACTGCAGCAGGCGAGCCGACGAGCAAGCGGAGTTGAATTACTAGTCTTCTCGTTCGCGGAAGATGTTGAGGGGAAGAGTGTGGCGCATGTACAGCAAGCTTCAGCCATGGAGCGAGGAAGTTTGGTTAATGAAAGAAGGAGGACGTTCTACTATAACTGATAGAAAAGTATGCGAAGAGAACCGCTTGTCCTAGGTCAGCAGGGTGTTGCTGATGTCCGGAGTCATGGATGCTGAGGTGGTGGCGAATCGCACTCGCAACTCTGCGGAGATATGCAGCAAAACCACAGCCGACCTGCCGAATAACTTCAGTGAAGTTGGCAATTCGCAGATGGTATCAAAACTAGCCGATGTCGTCCTGGACACTCGATCCCCGCCCCTGTACTACATGTGATCACTTTCGTAGCATTCCAGCAGAGGACGTCGACGGACGAATCACACGCACAGACCACATCTATCGGCCCTTTGATTTTTTCCGTTTTCCGGGCCCACTTTGGGCACACCGAAATTCCGCTCCTCACGGTCGTCTTCTTTTTTCGCTCCGCCCACCCACTTCAACCCTTTGTGAGGTATGTTCGATCTTCATCCCGAGTGCCCTTCAGGGAGCCAGGGGAAGCAATCTTGCCGTCCATTTGGATGAGCTTGATACGCTTCCCCTCTGCGACAAGAGCTGAAGAACCCTCAAGTTGCAGGCTGAGGGCACTCTTTCTGCTCTGGCTTCGTGAGGGCTAACAACCTTAATGCAGATACCTCAGTCGCCCGCTGCCACTTGAGAATCTCCCGCCGTCAAAATGGTCAAGACCTCCGTCCTCAACGATGCGCTTAACGCCATCAACAACGCCGAGAAGGCTGGCAAGCGCCAGGTGCTCATCCGCCCGAGCTCCAAGGTCATCATCAAGTTCTTGACCGTCATGCAGCGTCACGGTACGTTTGACCTTTCTTATCTTTCCTCGGGTTGATAACTAGGCAATGGTTTTGACTGCTCCACAACTTTTGCCCTTTAAGTGCCCGACAGATTAGAGTGCGCGAAGAACTTACACGTCTTCGGATCTGTCCATGATGTTTGATGTTTATTTCTTCGCAACATGCTGACAATAAACCCAGGCTACATTGGCGAGTTCGAGGAGGTTGACGACCACCGCAACGGAAAGATCGTCATTCAGCTGAACGGCCGCGTAAGTGCACTTGAGCACTGAAGTCGTGACACCATGATTAACGGGCTGCAGATCAACAAGACTGGTGTCATCTCTCCCCGCTACAACGTCCAGCTCCGCGACCTCGAGAAGTGGGTTGTCAAGCTGCTGCCGTCGCGTCAGTTCGGTTACATTGTCCTCACCACCTCGGCCGGTATCATGGATCATGAGGAGGCCAGGAGGAAGCACGTCGCTGGCAAGATCATTGGTTTCTTCTACTAGGCTGCGCCGGTTAGGTTGATACGATAATGGATCTTGACTAGCTACGAATACCAAAAATAAAAGGAAGGTTGACGATCACCCTGTCCCGAGTCGATTCCTCCACCGCGGGCCCATTCCAGGGCAATTCTCTCTGTGATAGTAACAGACGGATGGCAGCATCATAAGCAATCCTCTTGATCCACCGTATGACAACAGTGTACTATGGTGGACAGAGTCCTGTGAAGTCGGATATAAATCAGGAGCACCGATTCAGTCCGCGGACCCTGAGCTGATGCGTGGGGTGATTGGGCTTGTTCAACGTCCGCATTTGGACTAGTGTCACTGTGACGTATTGGCGGGGCAGGTCCGCAGCATCACCAGATTCCAGTTGGCACTCGAACCTTCGCTGCCTCGCCCGAAGGCTGCTGAGGCACCCAGCTCCTCCTCGTTATTTCCCTCACTGTTTGCCAGAGCATATAAATCCCTCGAGGCAACCTCTAACCCCCCTTCCAGCGAATATTGAAACACCACACACGTCACATACGTTCGAAGCACCATGACTTCGTTCGATTCATTCACGGACAAGGCTGCTGCGGCTCTCGCAGAGAGCTTCGAGCTGGCCAAGAGCTATGCACATACACAGGTTACACCCATTCACCTCGCCGTCGCCCTCATAGATCCCCAGCCGGACAAGGCCTTCCCCGATGCACAACAATCCGCACCCGCATTCAGACAAGTCGTTGACCGAGCGAACGGCGACCCCCAGCAATTCGAGCGGTCCCTCAAGAAGGCCTTGGTCCGGCAACCTAGCCAGGATCCTCCACCAGACCGGACAGCACCCTCGCCTGCCCTGGCCAAAGTCCTCAGACAAGCAGAGGAGCTTTGCAGGACACAGAAAGACTCCTACATTTCCATCTTCCACTTGATCCAATCCCTTGTGCAAGACCCTTCCGTCCAGAAGTGCCTTGCAGAGTCCAACGTCCCGAACCCCAAGGTCATTGATCAGGCAGTCCAGGCGATACAAGGCACAAAGCGGGTGGACTCGAAGACGGCAGATGCCGAATCAGACAACGAAAACCTCAAGAAGTTCACAATAGATATGACGGCAATGGCACGCGATGGGAAAATCGATCCTGTCATTGGCCGTGAGGAGGAAATCCGGCGTGTCATCCGGATTCTCTCGCGACGGACCAAGAATAACCCCGTCCTCATTGGAGAACCTGGTGTCGGCAAAACCACCGTCGTCGAAGGCCTTGCACGCCGCATCGTCGATGCCGATGTCCCTGCCAACCTTGCTGCATGCAAGCTCCTGTCACTCGATGTGGGCGCACTGGTCGCAGGCAGCAAGTACAGAGGAGAGTTCGAAGAGCGTATGAAGGGAGTCTTGAAGGAGATTGAGGAATCCAAGGAGATGATAGTACTCTTCGTGGACGAAATCCATCTTCTCATGGGAGCTGGTTCTTCAGGAGAAGGTGGTATGGATGCCGCCAACCTCCTGAAGCCGATGCTTGCCCGTGGTCAACTCCACTGCATTGGCGCCACCACGCTCGGAGAGTACAGGAAGTACATCGAGAAGGATCAAGCGTTCGAACGACGTTTCCAGCAAGTCCTGGTCAAGGAACCAACCGTCGCGGAGACCATCTCGATTCTCCGCGGTTTGAAGGAGCGCTACGAGACTCACCATGGTGTCACCATTCTCGACGGTGCCATCGTTACCGCCGCTACTCTTGCGGCTCGCTACTTGACTCAGCGTCGTCTTCCTGATTCCGCTGTGGATTTGATCGATGAGGCAGCAGCAGCTGTCCGCGTTGCTCGCGACTCACAGCCTGAGGAGCTCGATAACATGGAACGCCGTCTACGCCAAATCGAGATTGAAATCCATGCCTTGGAAAGAGAGAAGGACGAGGCCTCGCGTCAACGCTTGAAGGAGGCCAAAGCTGAAGCCGCCAATCTCCAGGAGGAACTGAAGCCGCTGCGCGAGGCTTACGAGCGTGAGAAGGAGCGTGGCAAGGAGATCCAAGAACAGAAGGTCAAGCTTGAGAACCTCAAGAACAAGCTTGCCGAAGCTGAGCGTATTCGCGACCTAGCGACCGCTTCTGATCTCAAGTACTATGCTATCCCTGATGTCGAGCAGCACATCCGCCATCTCGAGGCCGAGAAGGCAAAGAGCGATCGAGAGATGGAGGCGCGTCAAGGTGGTGGAACTGGTCAAGGTCTCCTCTCCGACGTTGTTGGACCTGACCAGATTAACGAGATCGTTGCACGCTGGACCGGCATTCCAGTCACACGTCTCAGGACGACCGAAAAGGAGAAGCTTCTTCACATGGAGCGTCATCTGGCAGAAGTCGTCGTCGGACAGCGGGAGGCAGTCGTTTCCGTGTCAAATGCCATTCGACTTCAGCGGTCTGGTCTGGCGAACCCGAACCAACCGCCCAGCTTCCTCTTCTGCGGTCCCTCTGGTACAGGTAAAACACTGCTGACAAAGGCGCTTGCGGAGTTCCTCTTCGATGATCCAAAGGCGATGATACGGTTCGATATGTCAGAATACCAGGAGCGGCACTCGCTGAGCAGGATGATTGGCGCTCCACCGGGTTATGTCGGTCACGACGCTGGAGGTCAGCTCACGGAGGCACTCCGTCGTCGCCCGTTCTCTATCTTGCTCTTCGACGAGGTAGAGAAGGCCGCCAAGGAAGTCCTTACTGTGCTCCTGCAACTCATGGACGACGGACGTATCACCGATGGACAAGGTCGCATTGTCGACGCAAAGAACTGCATTGTCGTCATGACCTCCAACCTTGGCGCTGAATACCTTTCGCGTCCCAACGCAAACGCACCGGACGGCAAGATCGACCCCACTACCAGGGAGATGGTCATGGGAGCTCTGCGCGGATACTTCCTCCCCGAGTTCCTCAACCGTATCTCCTCCATTGTTATCTTCAACCGTCTCACCAAGAAGGAGATTCGCAAGATCGTCGACGTCCGCATGGCCGAGATCCAGAAACGTCTCGAAGCCAATGGTCGCAACATCAAGATCGAGCTTACGCCAGAAGTGCGCGACTACCTTGGCAGTGCAGGTTACTCGCCCGCCTACGGTGCTCGGCCTCTTGCTCGTCTCATTGAGAAAGAGGTGCTCAACCGTATGGCGGTTATGATCTTGCGCGGCACCATCAAGGATGGCGAGGTCGCGAGGGTGATTCTCGAGGATGGACACATCCAAGTGTTGCCGAATCACACGGATACAGACGCGGATTCCGAGATGTATGACGATGAGGATGCCATGGCGGAGTTCGATGAAGAGGTTGATGGTGGGATGGACTTGTATGACTAAGTTCAAGCGTAGAGATCCATGAGCGATGAGTTATTAACGGAGAAGATTTAGTGATTGAGCGATGAGCGATGATCTGCCATCGAAACGGCGTTTTAGAGGGATGAACGAGACAACGATTTTCTCTTCAGGGACGATTCGCCTTTGATAAGCGGCATCTCTTTTTCTGAGCGATGGGCGGTTTTTATGCGGTCTAAAGAAGGTTATGAACATGGCGTTCGGATATGGCGTTCTCTCTGGCGGCAACTGACTAGGTCGTCCTTTTGCATGGTATGGGACTTGATCGAGTTAAAACTCTGTAGTATATAGAGTTAATGAGATGATATGAGCTTTAAACTTGGCTGGCTTTATTGCATTCGTGACTGTGATGATGGTGGGGATTTGCACTCATCATATAAGGAACCAAGAGGTATATCGAGGGTTAGAGGGATGTGGCCCGGCTGAATGTGAGATGGATTTGGAATCTTCTGGGTTGGATGAATCAAGGTCGGCGTACGCTGACTCGATACCTGTATTGCATGGTGAATCTATCGCCGCCAATCCAGAAAGCTCATGCCGCCTGTATGCATATTTGGCAATGCTCTTGTTGCGTGAAAACGGAACCGAAGACGGGGAGCACGCTACAAGAACAAGAGCCAGATAGTAGTTGAGAGTATAATATGTAGAGATAGGCATGGACGATTTCTAACTAGCGCGCCGCGTAGTATATGGTATATGCTCATTTGATTTCATTTCAATTCCAATCCAATCCAAGCGATGCCTCCAGGTGATCTCAATGTCGTTAGTTCCACACAGTGGTATAGTCTCTTTCCACACACTCTATCTATTCGTCAATTCGCAACCCCCTCCTTACATATTCGGTAGGATCCGCTTAAGCAACGGGACAAACTCCGTCTGCAGCAGAGCAATCCCGTTGGCTTTGTCTCATCTATCGGACGGACGTGGCTGGCTTGCTAGCAGTTTATGCCTGCTGCTGCTGCTGCTGCTGCTGATCGCCCTCGGCGGCAGCTTGCTGCTCCTCGTTTTTCTGTTGTTCCTGCTCAGCGTTTTGCTGCTCCTCCTCGTTCTGCTTCTGCTCCTGATCAGCATTCTGCTGTTCTTGCTCAGCATTCTGCTGCTCCTGTTCAGCGTTCTGCTCCTGCTCCTGCTGCTGCTTCAGCTGCTCATCAAGCGCCTTCTTCTCCTCGGCCGAAATCTGCCCATTCAACCCATTATCCTGCCCATTAAACTCAACCTTATTCAAGTCGTCCAACTCCGCCTGCCAAATCGCGCCCAACGTCGCCGCGGGATCCTCGACCACGGAGCTCCATGTGGGCCTGGCACCGAAGAGCTGGATATCTGCCGTCGCCGTGGGAAAAGCAGCGATGCCATTGTTGTTAAAGTCAAAACCCTGGTTGAATTTCCCGTTATTGAAACCTTTGGCGGGGATGTTGAAGACGTTGTTGTTCAAGTCGAAGGCGTTGAGGTCGCCGTTGAAGCCGGCAATGTTTGCGAATTTGCCGCCGGCGAAGAAGTCCTGCGCGATGAGCGTTTCCTGGGCGAACACTAGCATGAAGCGTCATTAGCAAAACATATCCAGGTAGTTATCGGATTTGTAAAGGGGACAAGACTCACCCATCACCGTCTGCGTGGCCGGGAACCCCCTATTCGCCACGACGACGCTCTGCGCAAACACATTCTGATCGACGCGCTGCCCGAAGCCATTGTCGACCGAGACCTGGATCTCCTGCACCACGAGCATGACGGTGCTGACCTGGGGGAACTGGCGCTTGAAGTTGGCCTTGCGGAACAGGTTGTTGAAGCCGCTGTTGAAGCCAAAGTTCTGCTGGTTGAGCACGAGCACCTGGCGCGCCTGCTGCACCACCTGCTGCTGGAAGCCGTTGTTGACGAGCTGCAGGTTGTTCTCCTGGATCTGCAGGACCTGGTTCTGGTTGTTGAAGGTGTTGAAGCCGTCGATGAAGTTGAAGGCTTGCCCGTTGTTGCCCAGGAGCACGTTGCGCGGGGTCATGGCCTTTTCCGGGGCAGGGCGCGAGATGGGCTTTGCGGCTGGGAAGGGGTTAGAATGGATGCACTGCGAGGGTCCGAGGGGTTCTGAATGCTTACCGGCGAATCCAGTCGCTAGAGCCAGCGCGGCGTACGTCTTGAAAAACATGGTGATGGATGTGGTTGAGTTCGATGAAGGAGGGAAACCCAGTTAATACAAGGTAGAGATTAGAAAAAAGTTAAGAGAGTATTACTAGACGTCCCAGACGCGGTCAAATAATGGCAGACTATCAAAGCCGCGAAAGAATGTAAATAATAGAATTAACTGGGGGTTACAAGAAAGAAGGACTGAGGGAAAGGAGTGAGTGCGAGTGAGAGAGAAGAAACACCAACCGACGACACCACCACCAGCTTTTATTTCCCACCCACCACCACGCAGGAGTGGGTTTGCTTGCTTGTTCCAGGCTTCAGGAGTCTTCAATTCTGGCGCCAGAAATCCTCCGGTTACACTGCTACCCGTCCGGCCAAGGCGTTGCGATGAACAGCTAAAACTGCTGCCAAGAATTCTTGACTATCCGGAGCTCAACTCAGCGGCCTCGACATTGGACAGAGAAGGGATGGTGGTGGCGGAGAGATGCATTCCGATCTCATGCCAAGATGAGTTGCCGGCTTAAGGTAGCGTGGATCACGGCTGAGGTACAGATCCCATACTGGTAATTTTCATGGTTCGGTAGTGACGAGAACCCCCCAGGGGTGCCACGAGTCACGCATTTGTCATTATGCGGTGGTCTTCAACATAGCCTTCATGTCGTCGTGATGGTCGCCATGGTGTTGAGGGGAAGCGAGACGTTCATGAAACCCTGCAAGTCTGGTCCCTGCGCACCTGCGACCCACCATGAGACCCATCCCACCTTTAATCACCCTTAACCGTACATAAGACCAAGCGATATAGTCGATATCGTCATGCAATGACTTTCGGATCTTCGTGTTCCCTCTGCAACGGCTATTTCCATTGGCATTATTGTCCGGTCAACCAGATGGCGAGCGTTTTTCGGTCACATCGGAGCTGCATTATTTCGTTGGGGCATCGGACACATCCTGTGAAATCCAGAATGTACCGTGAATTTTGAGTCCAACAACCTCTTGGAAATGCAGGGCCAACAAGGGAGAAAGACATCGGACTGGTGCGCCAACGTGTGGTTTCGTCGGCTTTGAGAGAATCCTCTCACTGCTGTGAATTACTATGCCATGGCGTAAACAAATGACCGTTTCCCACTGTGCTTGCATAGAACATGATGTAGAAATACTGAGTGGACAAGATTGGGTATGGGTTAAACACAAACCTACTCTATTCCTCACTATACTGATTGAACACTCCGTCCGTAACGCCTGAAATGCCATGCCGATGAGGTAACCACTTGACCAGTTGGTCAACGATATGCCACCGAAGATAAAGCCCGTGAGGGACGGTGCTGCTACGGGGTCGTCGCGGGTTACGAATAACTACTCTTCATCGGTGTCCGTGTCCGTATCTGTCTCGCTGTCGGACTCCACGTCGCCCTCCGTATCGCTTCCGTCACTCGACTCGTCCTCAGACCGCCGCTTCTTGGTCTTGGTGCTGGCGCCGCCAGCCTTGAGGCTTCGCATCTGGCCGGCGATGGTATCTGTAAAACATGAGCGTTGGTGTGGTGTACCAGATGTAGTCAATGCGACTCACCCTCTTCAGGCTCGCTGATCTCCCCCTCCTCCTCGACCTCCTCCGCTTTGCTCGCGTCTTCAACAACGAGCGTCACTTCCATCTTGGTGTCCATTCCAACGTAGCTGTCACAGATCATGTGCATGACGAAAGTGTAGCTGCCGGGTTGCGGTGGTGCTCCAAATTGCATCTTCAAAGTCTGCACGTTGAACGTGTATTTGCCGCTCTCGTCGAGGATCGGCTTGTCAAAGGTCTGGAAGGTGAATGGCGGCACGGCAATCTTGCCCTGTTTGCTGTCCGCCAGGAACACATGCCATCTGGGGGCGTGGTCGCGCGGAAAGTAGGGAGCGTGCGTCAGCGGTGGTTGGATAGGTTTCTCGCCTGACTTATCGTCCTTGCGTCCGGTGATGGCAGCCACGTCGCCTTCGTCAGGGTCAATGTCCTCCAGATCAGAAGGTTTAACCTCGGGCACCTTTGTGGATCCAGGAGGGATGAAGCGGCACTTGATAACAAACTGAACCAAGCTGCTTGGAGTGACAAAGCGCTCTCCAACAACCTTGAAGAACGCCTTCTCAACATGTAGGAAGGGGAGCTGAGTTGCCACGGCCATAGCTTTTCTATACTGTGCGTCGGAAAGAAGACCAGACGCGACAACGCGACGTTTCCTGACATCAGCGGGGAGACGCATGAACTCCTGGATGGTCAAGTGTGTCTTTGCACGTTCGGCTTCGGCGGCGGAGGCCACCGCTGGAGTGAAGTACGGTAGTTGCTCCAGCGGAGATGCGCCGGGTCTCAACGCCTGGATCAGGTTCTGTGATGTGTGATAAGCCGAGATGACTGGCTTGGTGTTGCCGTAAGCGAGCGCGATTGATGTGTATGCCTCGTTCAACTGAAGTGCAATGGGTGCGACTTCGAATTTCTCGTCGTTTAGAGCCTCGTCGTCCAGTTCAATGCGCCCCAGGTAAGCCCACAGGAGTGTCAAGACCTTCCGCTGGCGACTGTCATCTAGATTCTCAAGCTTCTGGCGATCTTTCTTTGTCAAGACGGACGATATCGGGGACCTTGCGGAGTCCGAGAGAACCTTCTGCTCGAGTTTGGAAAGGCCGTGGTCTGCTTTGTTTCCGTTGAGTACCTCGTTGAACTCTTCGCCAGTGCTCAGGGCGCCAACCACGCCCGTCTCGCCTTGGTCGTTGTCATATTCCCGGAAGAGTTTCCCAGCGCTCGCCACCAGAATCTTCTCCTTCGTCATCCGTTGGATTCCATACCACCACTTGCCTACAGTATAAGGCAAGATGACGCCAAGCGCGAGCGCATACATGAGCAGAACATATTTGCCATGGCCTTCAGTGATTATCCACTTGGGTAGAGCGATTCCAATGCTGAAGCTCTGCTTGCCATCTGGGTGGCCATATTGTAGGTAGTTGTTGCGGACTTCCTCGTCGGTGAGAGCCTTGAACGCCTTCACCACGTTGACCCATTCGTCGTTGATGACAGCGCTGGTGATATTATTCGCTGGGTCCTCTTGCCGCTTATCTGGATGGTTCGTGAGGGAAAGCTTGCGGTAACGACTCTTGATCTGCTTCTCTGTTGCGGACTAGAGCAGATCAGCACAAGTACCGACCATGAAACAGAAGAGACGAACGTACTCTAGATACTCCCAGAACCTCATACGGATCCCAGATCTTCGGGATTGTCCGTGTCGTGACGATTGTGAGGTAGACCATCCACGCCATGATGGCCCAACCCGCCACACTGACTACGAATCTCTTCAACCTCCGCTCGCGCCGCTTCTGCTTCTTACGCTGTCCTTCGATGAGGTCGTCATGTTCTGGGGTGAAGTCGGACTCTATTCTCGCCGCAGTACTCTCCAGTTCTACAGATGGTCAGTAACTCTCGCGAGAAGGAGAGCGGGGGCATACTTACTTTTGCTAGGCTTTAACAGGGAGTAGGTCACTGGTATGGTTACCAGACTGGTGATTGTGAGGATGAAGTAAGGGAAGAATTGACCCTAGAGAGTTCAGTGCCATCGTTGCCGTAGACAGTCTTCAACCTACCTGTTCGTCATAATCGTAGTCCGTGCCGGACATGTTGAAAGCCGGGCTCACTACACAGAGGAACCAGAAATACGCGCAAAGCGAAAAGGAATGTTGGAGGCACGGCAATCCTATTCAACGCTGGGGCACATGAAGTAGTAAGGCGGAACTGTGGCCTTATTCTAAAATGCTGGCATTGGAATGCGGGAAGCCGCTGAGCTGGTTAGGATGGCGACTGGGATGCTCTCGCTTGTCGAGGACACATTTCGGCTTGGCAGAGTGTCGCGTATCACGTGTTGCCGCGCTTCCTGGGTATCCTCTCACCAACCCATATATCTGTCGTGTCAACATGATATTCTGTGTTCAAAACCGATATAGATTGGTCGTGAGTATTCGCTATGACGGCGATTTACCACAATTTGGTCAATCGAACTCTGTATGTAAAACTACATTCACTTCTACATGTATACCAGCAAGCCTTTGAGTGGGTAGTCTGACAGCGAGGGTGCAGAACAGTATGCGAAACCAATGCCCAAAAATCAATCACAAGCCTCTTAATCGCTCAAAATGTGAAACCAGCCATGCATGTACTTATGATCCCAACCAGGAGGTGCCCACATCTTGCAGAGAAAAGCAGCGGCCGTGAATACGATCAGCATCTGCTTCCCCATTCACCGTAATCAACAAAATAGGTCAATGACTGGACCGGCCAGTCAATCGTCGCAACAGTACCGAATCGCAGGGGGCGCATGTCCAATTTACTGCAGTTGTATCGAGGATGCTGCCGATGGGGTGTGCTGAACTCCCGCTTTTCCACCTACGCTGGGACGGCAAATTCCATAGCTGGTGTCCCATTCTTCTGTCCAGGACTCGGTACCACATCCAAAGGAGCTGCGTGGAGCGCTGGTTTCTTCGCCCCTTTGCCCAGTGTGCCGTTCTTGCGTTTCGCAAGACACTCCTTCACCCAATCGGCAACCTCTTTGTCGACCACCTTTTCCGTGCCTGGGGAGGCGGGTGAATCTAACTGCCCTGCGGAGTTGGCTTCCGCCTCGGCTTCGGCTTCCTCATCCTCCTCGCTGATGGTCTCAGGCTTGACGAGGGGTGCAAACCATGCATGCTGCAACAGCATCGCGTAGGTCGGTCGAAGTTTGGGTATCTTGTTCAGGCAACCCCTCACAAAGTTGCGCGCTGCTTCTGAAAAGCCTTCTTCGGGTAGATCTGGCGGTTCTCCATCTACGATTGCCTGAATACTGATGTCAGATTCGTCTCACGGAACCAGGGGCCTATCTTACGCTAAGCTGGCTGAAAATGTTGTCGTAGGTTTCAGGGGGGTACGGGTACCGCCCCAAAGCGCATTCGATCATGGTCAAGCCTAAGCTCCAGATATCACTTTGCACACTGTAGGTACCGCCTCCGGGATTCGCACCGGCTTGGGCAATTCCGCCCGAAGAGATTCTCTCTGGGGCCATGTAGCTTTGGCATCCAATGTTCGTCTTGGCGATGCTTGCAACCAGGTTTCCACTAACACCGAAGTCGCAAATCTTGATCTCGCCTCTCGTGTTGATGAGGATATTGGTTGGCTTCACATCTCGGTGTATAATGTTGTGCTCGTCCTTTAACGTCTTCAGTCCCTTGACTGTGGAGAAGGCAATCTTGCGCAGAACGTTCTCCGGGACACCGTCACCGTACAGCTTGTCTATGGAGCCTCCATCCATGTACTCCATGCATATGTATACAGCCCCCTCTTGGAAGAAGGCGCCGTAGAAATCCACAATATTGGGGGATATGCAACGGTGGAGGACGTCCAACTCCATGATGATGGAAGCAAACTTGGCGTCTTCCAGTTCCAGGCGCATCTCCTTCATGGCCATGATGACACCGGTCCCGCCCGATGGCTTCGCGGTAGCTGGCGAGGAGTCGCTGCTGTCGCTACCTGAGCCTGGCGGAGCTTTATTGCCAGCTAGACCCTGGCCCGGCCGTCTCATCCGCGGTCTGCTATGCCGAACCTTGTAGACAGTACCGTAGTTGCCCTTTCCGAGCTCGTCGAGAGTGTCCACCTCGTCCAGGGAGATGTTGAAAGTAGTGCCGCTGGCGAATTGTACGCCTTCCGAGTTCAGCACCGCCTTGCCCTTGAATGTTAAACTCCCAGTTTCCTTATCCAGGAAGTCGGCGTATCGGTCCATCATACTCTCTTGTCTCCGTACCCCCTCCTCTTGCGGGTTCCTGTCACCATTGATCTGGGACAGCTTCAAGCCTGGACCTTTCCTCTTAGGCGCTGGGGAGCCACCCGCTGGGCCGGCGCCGGGAAGCCCACCTGGCAGTTTGAGACCTCTTTTCTCTGCTAGCGAAGGCTTATTCGCCCCTCCAGACGCGAGGTTGGGTATTGCTGGTGCAGACTGAAAGTTGTGCAGGCTCGGTTTCACGCCAACGGGCATCCGAAAATTTGCTGGAATGCCGCCCGGGAGCGGAGGGGACGCCATTCCCGCTTGTCCGGGAGTAGGATTCGCAGGCCCACTTGCAGAAGGTGACCGTCCTGTCGTTGCGGCTGGGGGAGCGCCCTGTCGACCCAAATGTACAGCCTGGATTCTGGCTAAGATATCTTGTGATACGTTGAGGCCGCTACCTCGACTGGATATGGTAGGGACGTTGGCACGAGGATTTCGAGCGGCATTGATGTTTCCCAAGGGTGTAGAGGAAGCCGTCATACCTGCGGCGGTGGCACCTGATGTTGACTGTGTGCGGATGGTGGGCCGTGGAGGCTCGGATGAGGGCGAGGGAGCGGGGGAGGCATCGAAGCTATCTAGAGAATCGGCGGGCGAAGGATAGTCAAAGGAATCGGCACCCTGCTCGTTTCCGGGAGTAGAGCTCATGGCTGCAGAGGGGGTGAGGTAACGATTGAGATGAGCAGCTGGCGGAGAGCCGGGGGAGGAGGCCGGAGGGCGCGCGGAAAGGAATGTCGAAGGACAGGATGGGGAGAGAGTGTATATGGCAGCAGCAACAGCTGGCCAGGTGGGTAGAGATGGTGGGCGCACAGGATAGCAGACGGCGGTGGTGGTGTTGAAGAGATGGTGGCGGTGCGCGCCGATTGATCTACACCAAGTATGGCGGGGGGAGCGAGTGACGTTGGAGTGCAGCAGCGCGAAATCACGACAACGGCAACATAACTGGAGCTCAGCAGGACAGCCACAACAGCATGGACGCGCAATGCAGGAGTTGGCAATCTATAACGAGAAGGATTGTCGGTGCAGCACTGTCAGTTAACTGGACACACACGGCCGGGTTTTGTTGTGGATGGGTGTGGTGGGCGACTAGGGGGCATCTACCGGTACTGTGCATGGCGGCGAACCTGCTCGGTGCTTCTTTGCGGCCGATCTCCCAAGATTCCAAGGAAGAAGCGTTTTGAGATGATAAGTAGTATGCAGCAGTGCAGCATGACTGGGGGATAAATCGGACTGGCCAAGCACACAAAATAAATGGGAGCGCCAGTTGGAAAGCATGTCCAACGCCTTGTCCAACCTTTGGGACGCCATTGACTTGCTTGGAAGGCTGGGCAGGCCATGGACGACACGTCGCGAGTATGCCCGCACGGTAGGTAGGTAGTCTCCTCCGTACTGTACTGGGGAATCAGAAATGGTCTATTCACTCACGGTCAAATCAGCTACCTGCCCGTCTATCTAGCGGCGCAGTGTCCCCGCCTCTGTCGCCATCGCCGTGGCTCGCCGCGTGCTCCAACCTCACTTCCTCATTGCTCTCCATGGCCATCTCCTTTTTCTCTCCGCCTCAATTCACCCTCCCATCCACATCCTCGCATCTCTCCACGGCACGTCCAAATCCACACAGGCCATGGCCATGTTGGCAATCATTGTTGTACCCGCCTCCGCGGCGCTCTGAGGTCGAAGCAAGGTTCAACTACTCCATACCTGTGCCCGGAGTCGTCCTCGTCTCCACCTGTCGCCGGTGACGTCGTATTGGTCCCTGCACACGCCAAGACCGACGCCAACAGCTCGACGCCTTCGCCTTCACAATCCACCGCGCCTCCGCGACATTCAAAGGCTTCATCCATCCTCGACCTTCGCCCGGGCGGCCGTGAGCCACGCCGCTGAACCTCGCCTGCGTTCAGCATGCCCTCTCTCTTCGCAGGCGTGCAGTCGCTGCGGCTGAGGAACCTCGCTGCGAGCCCGTCCCCCGAGCTCATGTCCATGGCCATTGACCCTTCTCCTCCCCATCATGGCTTCCTCAACGTCTTCAAGAAGAAGATTCCGCCTCACAGCTCACATCCCAACTTCGCCAATCTTACCTTGCTGGTCTTTGAGGCCGTCCTCGAGGTCGTCTGTGTCAGCTTGCCAGGCTACATTATTGCGCGAATGGGCATGTTCGACGCCGAAAACCAAAAGTTCCTGGCCAACCTGAATACACAGCTCTTCACTCCTTGTCTGAGTACGCTCAATTCACATCCAGCAGCCTCCAATTGCTGACCCCCTACAGTCTTCACAAAGCTGGCTTCTCAGCTCTCCGCCAACAAGCTGGCAGAGCTCGGCGTCATCCCCTTCATATTCGTAGTCCAAATGCTCGTGTCCTTCCTCACCGCTATATTGGTATCCAAGATATGCGGCTTCAGAAAGCGCGCCAAGAACTTTGTTGTGGCCATGGCTGTATGTGCAACCTGAGCGGACTTCGGAGGTCCGCCTAGCTGACGGATGTAGGTCTTCGGAAACTCAAACTCTCTCCCCATCTCTCTCGTTATCTCCCTCTCCCAGACGCTCTCCGGCCTCCATTGGGACAGGATCCCCGGCGACAACGATAACGAAGTTGCGGCGCGCGGCATTCTATATCTTCTCATCTTCCAGCAATTGGGGCAGCTCGTGCGCTGGACGTGGGGATTCAACGTGCTGCTAGCGCCCGCCAGTGCGTACAAGGACGAGGACCTAGGCGTGAATGGTGCGCTCGAGAGCGGCGAGTACGCCGAAGAAGAGGCAGAACACCTGCTCCATGATGACTCTCACTCCGACTATGAATCTGGGAGTATCACGCCCGAGTTTCGCCGAACCTACGCCCAGTCCGCATCTTCCGAGTCCGGTAGTTCTTCCAGCGACCCGGACATTGTTGCGCAGCGAGACCAAGTGCTAGCCAATACGGACTTCATCACCCCAACAAATGGGAACGTAGTCGTCAAGGGACCCGCCCATCTGCGAAGTCACTCGATTGGCCAGCACGATGTTGCGAACGGCTTTGTCATGCCACTCAAAAGAGATAGCATACCTCGGGGTCCGAAAGGATGGTGGCCTCGCCTTCGCAGATCCATCCAGCGCTTTGCACAATCTACGGGCGCCAGGGTATCCAACATATCAAGCCGCACATTCGCGTCGCTCCCCATATGGTTACAGAAGGGGCTTGTCACGGTGCACAGGTACACATCGAACTTCTTGCAGGGACTGTGGGAGTTCATGAATCCGCCACTATGGGCCATGCTCGTTGCGATCATTGTCGCTTCGGTGCCCCAACTGCAGCATCTCTTTTTCGATCCAGGAACGTTTGTGAGCAATTCGGCAACGCGCGCCATAACACAGAGCGGACAGGTGGCGGTGCCGCTCATTCTCGTCGTGCTAGGGGCCAATTTGGCGCGTAACACATTGCCCAAAAGTGACGCCCAGCTGGCGGAAGATCCAAGGTTGGAGAGGAAGCTCGTCATCGCGTCGTTGATCAGCCGTATGCTCTTGCCAACGATCATCATGGCGCCCCTTCTCGCTCTGACGGCGAAGTACGTGCCCGTCAGTATTCTGGACGATCCGATTTTCATCATCGTCTGCTTCCTCCTCACAGGCGCACCGAGCGCGCTGCAGCTCGCACAAATCTGTCAGATCAACAACGTGTACATGGGGGCCATGGCCAAGTTGCTCTTCCAGAGCTACGTCGTCTGGATTCTTCCTTCGACGTTGGTGCTGGTCATGCTAGCACTCGAGACGGTGGAGTGGGCCATGGGCGGGCAGTGAAGCGCCTTGCTGCGGTCGCCATGATTGTATATATAAAATGTTGGGATGGATTCAGGGAAACAACCCATGGGCTGGCTATACCTGGCATACGGAGTAACTGCTGTTTATCTGGAGTGGCGTATGGTGTACGGATGCGATTGACTTTTAGTGCACGGGACATGCAAGAAATAGTGTCTTATCCCGTCTGGTTGCAAGGGTCACGTTGGAGTTCAATAAGGTATCGCGTTTGGGATATGTACCTTTGGGGATCGGCTGCGGTGAAGGCCTGCAGGCTAGGCACACGTTGTTGAACACGTTGGCCACGTTTTTGTCCTGGGATGAATGTTGGCAACATGGCATATTCTTATTGTATTAGGAGATGTAACATACCGCGTCTATCTTTCCCCGACCAGTCGTCCAGTCCTGGTGGTGACGTAGGTCGGCACGTGACTGATAAGCTGATAAGGAGGTCACCGCCAATTCGTACAAGGGCGACGCATGTTTTTGAAAAGCTGACCTCTTTCATACAATTGTCCACTTATCTAGCTTCCATTGCCTTCTCCACTTGCCATGTTTCTCATCCACTTTCTCAGGTGAGAGAGCATGAAATAACTTACAAGTACTGTATCACAGTATAAAAGCTGCCTCGGCGGAGCCGGCCCACCGCTTGTTGCGCATGTGAATCATCCGGCGGAAGAGAGCTCCGCTGCTAGCCCACAATAGTCCACACTCCTCCAAAACCCCCCGAACTCGCCAGCTCTCGCCCTCCTTCAGACGGGCTATTCTTGCAATCCGTCACCTTGCTCAGTTAGGAGGCACGCCGCGGTATATACACGGAGCCGAGAAACACCCCATACGAGTGCTTTCGATTAGCTTCCCACGTCCATCTATGGCGCCCACCAATGAGAGGGCGCGGAGCCCTGACAACACCAGGGGAACCGCATCCCCAGAATTTGCTCATCTCGATGCCCAAGCTGCAGGTCGCGTGGGATCCTGCAGTGCGGCTTCGGCGTCAAAGGGTACGTTTTGTTTTCGGCAATTTCAACCTTCGCTACTCGTCCTGTCTGTTGGAACGCTTTTCACAAACTTGCCACTATGCTTGGGTGGATAGTACTGCAATGTCTTCTTTCCCTCGATTTTCCGTCCGTGTGCTTTTTCAAAATCAGTCCTTTCGAGACACTTTGCCCTCCCCTTTGTGCCTCTTCCTTGATCACTGTATTGGCTCGAGGAAAGGAAAAAAAGTTCAAATGGCGAACAAACTCCTTGGACAAGCGGCTTATAGGACTCCACAGTGGCTTTCGTGGAGCATGACTATGCGCAACCACCGCCTCAGCCCAAACACAAGGAGAACGACCACACTCATTCCTTTGATTCTGAGAAAGCAGGAAAGAAGTTTCGTGCAAGCATCGGTGCCAAGCGACTGTCAGGTAGACCATCAATAGAACGACTTGCAAGTTCGGCCAAGTCAGTCCCCTTGAACCCCCTCACCAACTCGTCCATATCATCCATCATCTCCGAAGATGCAGAAGGGCCAGAAGCATCCCAGAAGCACCGAACTGCCTACGCCCGCCTGTCCCAGCAAGTTCACCAATGGATGGATCAGGAGCGAGCAAGGAGAGCAGCAAGGAAAGCGAAAAAGGCTGCCGCTAAACATGCCGCACAAGATGCCCATATGACTGCTCCCACCTTAACGGACCACAACGAGGCCCCCAGTACTGAACGCGCCAGACGCGATTCTGACCTGGAATCTGAAGGTTCCGCTGCATTGGAGGCACTCGCAAACATTCTTGCGCGGAGTGCGTCTCTCAGGTCGAACGAAGGCTTTCCAAGAAAGCCGCGGAGGCTGTCTCATAGCCATCATCGGCCTTCCGCTGTACTGAAAAGACAGTCAACCGTGACCTCTGATACCGACTACTTCGATGGCGCTGAAGAGTTGGTCCCAAGCTGCGATGCCGTACTAGACAACTCAAAGACAATGGCATACAGTGGCGGGAGCTCCAGCTCTGGCGAAGATCCCGCCACACCAGGTTCCAAGAGAAGAGAGGTCGACGCTTGGGCAACCTTCAAGTATGAAATTCTACGCATCACTCATACCCTGCAACTCAAAGGGTGGCGTCGCGTGCCCCTGGACCAAAGTAACGAGATCGAGGTCGCACGCCTCAGTGGCGCCCTCACCAATGCCGTATATGTAGTCTGTCCTCCCAAAATCTTGCCCAGCAAAAAGGAGGAGGCGCCATACCCGCCAACGCCAAAGAGGCCGCCTCCGTAAGTCCAAGCAGCTGCTTTTCGGCACCCGCATACTAACTACGACAGTAAACTCCTCCTCCGCGTCTACGGCCCCCAGGTCGAGCATCTCATCGACCGGGATGCCGAGCTACAAATCCTCCGTCGACTTGCAAGGAAGCGTATTGGACCAAGGCTGCTGGGAACGTTCGTCAACGGGCGCTTCGAGGAGTACTTCAACGCACAAACACTCAGGTTCGAGGACCTGCGCGTCCCCGAGACTTCGAAACAGATTGCTAAGCGCATGCGTGAGCTGCACGATGGTATTGAACTGCTCCGCTCGGAACGTGAAGGCGGACCCTTTGTCTGGCGCAACTGGGGTAAGTGGGTAGACCGGTGCGAGCAAATCGTCACTTGGCTGGATCAGCAGGTGAAGAACCACAAGGGCGATCCCAGCGATTACCGATCACCGGGGTCAAGACAGCGAGGTTTCGTGTGTGGCGTGGAGTGGCCGGTGTTTCGAAAGATGGTGGAGAAGTACAGGAAGTGGTTGGTGGACCGCTACGAAGGCCTGCAGAACATCAATGAGCGGCTAGTCTTTGCCCATAATGATGTAAGTCTCCTATCGCACGTGTCGAATAGCTACGGCTGACAAGTGGTGTACAGGCTCAGTATGGCAACATCCTCCGTCTCATGCCAAGTGGAGAGTCTCCATTACTCCTCCCGAAGAACGAACATAAGCAGCTCGTGGTCATTGACTTTGAGTATGCGAATGCGAACCTGCCCGGTCTCGAGTTTGCAAATCACTTTGTAAGTTGCGACTTCACACGAACAATGAGTCTCTTCGTGACATCTTAATACCTCGATGCTTACCAAATCCCAGACGGAATGGTGCTACAACTACCACGGCGACACCCCCCACGCCTGCAACACGCGCTACTACCCGACCCCCGAAGAACAATCCCGTTTCATCCGCGCCTACATCACGCACAACCCCTCGTACAAGGCCTCGGGGGCCTCGAACCCACCTACCCCTCAACTGAGGCCACTTCGGCACTCGGGTAGCAGCACCGCGCTCGCCGCAACCGCAGCCCCCTCGTCCATCTCAGCCTTCATGCTGGACTCCCGAGCTCCACCAGGAGAAAAGTACTCGTACCAAGAGGTGGAGGCGCAGGCAGAGCGGGAGACGAAAGAGGAGACGACGAGGTTGATGGCGGAGACGAGACTGTGGCGGTTGGCCAACTCGGCGCAGTGGACGGCGTGGGGAATCGTGCAGGCAAATATTCCCGGCTTGCCTGATTTCGACAAAGTCGATGGAGAGGAGAAGGAGATGGAAAATGGTGAAGGGAAGACGGATGATGGGGAGGAGAAGGGGGAGAAGAAGGAAGAAGGAGATGCAGCTTTGCCGGAACAGGAGCCTGAGGTCGAGGAATTCGATTATCTGGCTTATGCCCAGGATCGCGCCATGTTTGTTTGGGGCGACGCGATTCAGCTCGGTATCGTCGAGGCGGACGAGTTACCTGAGGAGGTGCGCGCGAGGGTTAAGCTTGTGGAGTATTAGAAGGGAATGGTGGAGAGCGAGTGGGATTTTGAAGTGGACACTTGAAAGTGGCAAGCCGGAGAGAGAGGGAATGGTGGGGTGTGGAAAGGAGAAGGGAGCATGATCTGGGCAAATGAACCATTCGTGTGCGCTGGCAACCTCCATATGCTCTCTGTCTCGAGCATGATATCAATTATGAGGGCTCCTCGGGCAGTACTCATATCAGGTAGGGCTGGTTTGGGATTTGTGCGGAGGTAACGTGCAATGTGTAGCGGAATACTATGGAAATGTCATGATACTTTTTCATTCGACGGATAGTGAATGGGTATGGGCGTTTCTACTCCGTAATCAACAGCACATTCTCATTGTTTGTCCTCTCTACATAAAAGGCCAGTCCACTGGCCTCACTTCCACAGCGGCATAATACATAATCCATCCTAAAGCATGGGAGAAAAAAAGAAATCGGGGTATCAAATCCCCTCCCATCAGATCCGCAGTCCGTCCGTCCCATGATCCATCCCTCCCGGTTGCCAAACGCTACAGTCTTCGTAGCTCAGAGATGTCGAATATCCAAAACCATACTTCCCAATTCGCCCCAAGCCAGTAAAACTGAAGGTCCTCAACCAAATGGAACGCCTGCTAGAAAGCCAAGAACCAACCCTCAAACGCCAACCCCCTTCTCTCCTTCTCTCCCACACATCCCTCACGAAATATCCATCTCCTCCCCAACTCCCTCACCCTCCACCTCCTCCATCCCCGTTTCCGCACCACTCCTCCTCTTACCTCCCCCAAACACCCCTTTCCCAAC